CGACACAGAGCCCTGTCGTTCCGTCACAACAAACCTCACCTAGTCTTCAAAGCTTCGCACCTCAGGCTGCCCACATCAACCCACAACATTCCAAGACGAACTATCGTGCCCATGGGGGGAAACTTATCACAACCCACTTCCAGCTCCCACGACGACGATGAGCAGTACTACGATGACCCCGCGGAGCCGACCCGCATCGTCCGCGCGATGCTCTTCCACCTAGGCCTGCCCACCGAGCTCGTCCTTGACATCATGGACCTCGCCGATTACCACCCGCGCATCGGCGACGGGAACGGCCCGCTCGACCCGCCCTTCGCTCTCCCCGCTAACAAATTCGATCCCTCCGACTACTGCTCCGCGTGCGCCATCCTCCAGTCTCCTCCCATCCCCGGATCGCGTGAAGACGAGAACTGGCGGATGTTGAGGGTCGCGTGGACCATCGAAGGACGGGATCAGGGATGGGGCGGGACCACCCGGGTGCGTCGCGGCATGTTCACTATAAAAGTGTGGCGCGCTGAGCGACTGCAGGGACTTTTGACGGCGCGTGGTCGTGGTACGAGGCCTGCATCCTGCGTCCTACTGGACACTCTCTCGACGAAGCATCCAGACTCGACGCCGCTCTGGACCTGCACGAGTGGCTCCACGAGCACCCCCTCCATCGCACCACAGAGGACGTTCAGAAGGCCCTCCGGGACGACCGAGTTGGATGGGAGCTCGTGCCGAACTCCTCGGGCGGCGTCACCTGGCGGGTGCAGAACAACCGTGTTGCGAAAGGTGGATTTTCGCGGTACACCTTCGAGTGGCTTCCCGGCAAAACGCTGGACCCTGGAGTGGTGGATGCGGAAGGGCACGGAGGCGGTGGAGGTTTCGTCGACGCGCTACGCCCCGGAGATGTCGTTGTCCTCTGGATGAGGGCCATGTTCCCGGGATGGGCGAATCATTTGAAGGAGGCGGATGTCGAGATCGTTTACGACGTGCGATAGCTGCATTCAATGATCGTTGTGCTACTGTGCACGGACGTTTCGGCACATTCAATCCGATGTGTACGGGCCTCTTTACAACGTCATGAAATTGTGAGCATTCAGACCACGATGGCGGGTAGAATTCTAACATATGTACTTTGTCGTCATGGAATGAATCAGATTACACCCACGGTGAGTGCGCTCGCTATTGGATCCATCAGAGCGTGGGCGCCGTTCCAGTCAGTACGTTTACCGCCTCTCTACGTCGTTGACGAACCCACCTCTCGCAGTTGAAGTGGGTCGCTATCGATCGAGGGTCATGCATCATGTGGGTCCAAGCGCCGCCTGACCCACCGAGTCCTCCGAAAGTCCGAAAAGATGGTGGTACACTTGGTATTTACTATTTAGCCTGAGGGCCTCGACACTGGTCTCTCTTCACGGATGAAGGGATGCCACTTCCAAGGCCGCAGACGCCAGTCAGCAGAGGTGACAATTGGATGAATACCGCTCGATGGATGTGGGTCATATCATCGACCGTCCGTCGAATCTGACGTTCACTCCACAGGACTTCCGCGCCCTGGAACAGAATGAAGAGGGTATATAAACACGAAGGACGCCCACCCAGCAGAGCATCTCAACCTACACCATGTCTCCGGCGAACAACATCAAAGCTACGGCCGTCATCCTGGGCGGAACTGGCGATCTAGGTCACTTCACATTCCTTTTCTCCAATACAAGGATCGATCCTGACTGTCCTGACCCCAGGGGCGCACGTTACCAAAATCTTCCTCTCGGAGTACCGTGACCACTTCCCCACCGTCCGGATCACGACGCGCGACCCCGCCTCGACGAAGGCAAAGGAGCTCGCTGCCATGGGCGCCGAGGTCCACGCGATCACCGAGCCCATGGACGACGTGGTCGCGGGTGCGACCGTCATCGTCAACGTGCTCCCGACCGCCGCCTGCCTCGAGATCAACAAAGCCCTCGTCACCGCGATGGTCAAGCACGGCGTGCCGGTCTACTTCCCGAGCGACTTCGCGTCGTACGTCCTCCCCTCCCCTCCCTCTCCCTCGTTTCTCCACTAACGTGGTCCCCAGGGACTACACCCTCGGCGGCTTCGAAGGCTTCATGCACACCGAGTGGATCAACAAGACTGCCCTCGCGCGCGAGACCGCCGCGCTCTCCGCCGGCGCCGCCACCCCGCTCAAGGCCGTCACCGTCTTCAACGGCGCCTTCCTCTCCTGGCTCCTCGACCCCTACCGCTCCCTCTGCGCCAACGTGCACGCGAACACGTTCACCGCGCTCGGCGACCCCCACACGCGCTTCGCGGCGACCGCGCTCCCGGACATCGCGCGCGCCGTCGCGCGCCTCGCGCTCCTCGCGCTCGACCCCGCGACGCGCGACGACGTCCCCGCGGTCGTGCACGTGTACGGGGACAACGTGAGCGTGGCGGAGATCCGCGACGCCGTCGCGCGCGTCAAGGGCGTCGAGAAGGGTCCGATCGAGGTGGGCGACGTCGCGGCGGTCAAGCAGCGCCTGCGCGAGAACCAGCCGCCGACGCTGATGGACATCGTCGACTATGCGCGGTGAGCCTCACGACGTCGTCGCGCTCGTGTGTCGTGTGCTTATGCGTGCCGCAGGGTGCTGGTCGGCCAGGGCAACATCGACTACTCGGAGAACAACCAGAACGAGCTCGTGAACCCAGGACAGAGCCTGTGGAAGTGGCGCACGGTCGAAGAGGAGCTTCGCAGTATTCTGTAAAGTTGTCATAGCATGGCAGGGAGGGCTGTTGGGAACTGTTCGAAGAGGTTAAATAGACCGCGCTGGAATACATAATATAGCTTGATTCGCTTTTCTGGTCTGCCTCAATGTTATCACTTCGTCAATGATCATGACTCGAGCATACGTTTGCGTTTTCATTAACCAACACTCTGAAAGCTACAGCAGGACGTTCAGATAGCGATGACAGCAGGCAATATGAGAACAAAAGCGTCAGGACAAATACACGATATGGTCGAGTGCGAGATCTGTGTAGCATATCAGCCTGATATGGCGGGAAAAGAGAAGAGTAAAATGCACCTTGTCGTATGGGAGACGACTCGTTACAAAGACGCTTTGTTCAGCTGCGCAAGGAACATCAACTGCGCCAACTCCGTTCGGCGGGCGGGACAACGCCGACGGAATCAAAACGGTTCCTTCCTGGACTGACTTGCGTGCATCATCTTGATCGAGGGACGAACTGGAAAGCGGGACACAGCCGTGCGACCCCGCCCCCACTACGACCGGACCCGCCTGCGCCGCGTTTGCCTCCTCTGGTCCCACCGGCCGGACGCGCACCTCCACCACCGCCCTACCCACCGCTCCACTCGGCGTGCCCAAGCCGAGAGGGGCTCCGACGAGGAGCCTCCAGGTTAGTCAGAGGTCCTCGTCGTCCGACATGAACTCGTCCTCGTCATCGTCGTCCACGGTCTGGAGGTTCGTGAAGTCGACCTTGTAGCGAAGGAGGCCGCCAATGCCGCCAAAGCCCTTGACGAACTGGGCACCCTCCTGGGAGCGGTTGGTGACGAACTCGAGGTTCGCGCCGAAATCCTTGTATTTCTCCGCGAACCACTCGAGCAGCGACTGTGGGTCCTCGGTCTTCTCCATCTCGAGCCCGGTCGACTTGTCCATGAACCGCTCCCTGTCCTTCTCCTGCTCCTTGTTCGCGAACACGACGATCTCCTCTAGAAATATACGCGCGCAAGGCGAGCGGATTTAGTTTAAGATAGTGAAAACGGAGAGATTACGTACCTCCGGCAGCATTCCGGAGCAGGTAGCGCGTGATGTCGAGGTTCTCCCAAACGATGAGGGTCTCGACGGAACCGAGCTCCAGTGCCTTGAGCGTGTCTTCAATACCGAAACAGTACTTTCCGGTGTCCTGGCTGATCTCATCGAAGTACTTCTGGATAAGCTTCTTCTCCTGGACGAACTTAACGTTCGAGAGCGCCTCGGCAGCCAGCTCGATAGCCTACAAGGACCACATGCGTTCAGGAACCTTGAGCGCAACATCACCAGCGCATATGACGCACCTGGTTGAAACCATTCTCGCCACCGTAGCTCACGTCCACCACCTTGATGACCTTTGCCCCTAGACGCGGGTCGAACATATCACTCTGACCAAGCTCCGTCTTGAAGTCGGCGCTACCCGCGAGGACGATACCAGTGACGTTGACCTTGTCGTTCGTGATGTAGTGCTGAACGGCCAGTTCGGCGACTTTGCGGACGTAATTATGCCGCTTCTCGTCACGCAGACGGGCGAAACGAAGGGCGGACTGACCACCGCGGCCATGCTTCTTGGGAAGGTCGACAGTGAACTTGTGGATGACCTCGCGCGTGTTTCCGGCGACGGTACCGAAGAGAGTGCCGTTTCCGTCCATTACAATGAAGCCGAACTTGGAGTCGGACTCCAAGAGTTCCTGCAGAGCTTCGGTGTGGAACTTGTTGTCGCACAGGTACAAGGAACTGGAGACACACAGATCGATATATGCATCAGGGGAAGAGGGATATGACATACGTATTGATGGGTTTGTGGGGCTCGAAATCGAAGGAGACCTTCTTCTCCTTGCCTTCGTCCGTGAGGATCGTTCCGACGAACAGCACGAGACCGTTCGGAGGGACACGGTTGTAAAGCTTGAGGCGCTGCTGGGTCGATGTGATGGCAGCGAGCACAGACAGCCTGTTGACGCGAGACTTGATGTTCGACGCCGTTCCGTACTCCTGCGTCAGCATGGCGGAGACCCGGGAGATTTGGTCCTGTGCTTGCGGGTTAGGCGATCGGAGAGTGATCCCAGCGAATCGGACGTGCCTTTGGAGGGATGATGAGGGAGATCATGGAAGTGCCAGCTCTGGATCGCACGATGAGCGCGAGTTCGTGGGGCAGATGGACGGCAGGCGTACCCTCTGGCGGCGTCGAGGCTCTTGATGAGCTTCTTGACCTTCCACATCTGAATGTTTTGCTCCGCGGGATCCTGGCTCATTTTGACGACGACGCGGGGGAGCTTTTATACAAGGGTGGTGGGGGATAGAGAGAGAGAAAGGACGGCGAGGAGCGGAGGGGGCGCGAGACGGGCGGAGGACGGGAGGTCCCGCCCGCTGTTTGCCAAAATTTGAGGATGTGGCAGGCGCGCCTCATTAGACTTATCGCCCTGGAACGGGCGATATCTCCCGATCCGGCTCCCGATCCGCCCTGCATCTTCGAGTTTCGAGCGACAACCCCTCCTTTGACCCAAATTCCCCGCGTCCCCTGCTCGTCGCCGCCCCCGTCGAGGGCCCCACCGGAGCCGTGCATGGCGAAGCGCAAGGCTGACTCTGTCACTGACTCCGCGAGCACCGGCTCATCAAAACGACTCAAGTCGACGTCGCGCGGGACGTCACAGCCCAACGACGACCAGCGCACCCAGCCCGCCGCGCCACCCGTCGCGGGCCCCTCTGCTCCTATGCCGGCGGCGGCCAAGCGGGGCGACGAAGGGTCATCCAAATCCAAGAAGCAGAAGCAGAAGGGCGTGCCGTCTATCCCGCCTTCAGACAAGAAAGACAAGCACAGGGTGCGCAAGCTCGTACCCCCGAGACCATTCCCCACCGTGCCCGCCTCAGTGTCCGCGACGGGACCGCGCTCGGCGCATACGGAGGGCAAGAACTATATCTGCATCACGCGTCGGACGGAGCTCGGCGCGTATCTACGGCGCTGTAAGGATGTGTTTCTCAAGGATGGGTGAGTGTCCTGTGGCTCTCCCCGTGCGAGTAGACGGCTGAGTGCGCGCGCATACAGCCACAAGACGCTGCACCTCAGCGCGATGGGGGCTGCCATACCGCATCTCATGCAGCTGGCGCTCTCGCTCCCCGAGATACTTCCCTACCCGCGCGACGAGGTCCATACCGAAGTCCTGACCGGAACCGTCGAACTGCAGGACGAACTCATTCCAGTGGACGACGACGAAGATATGTCTTATCGCACGCGCAGCAAGTCCACCGTGAGTGTCGTGATCAAGATCGGAGATGGAGTGGACGAGCCTGTCGCAGGTGCCGCTCGTGGAAGTGGCAGGAAGAAGAATACCGGACGCGGCAAGAGTGCACCCTCCGGAGGCGGAAGGCAGAAGGGCAACAAACAAGCGATATCTACGGAGCCCATCATTTTCCGTGAGGATGAGATGGATGAAAGCTAGCGTGTCGATTTGAGACTGCAGGTGTGCTTTCCATTGCAGCTCTCGCGCTCGTGCTCAGTGCTGATCAGCCCAAAAGCACCCTCAAATCTATTGGTGCAGAAACGCGGGCCGAGCATGCACCCCATAGACGGGTCGGTCTGTCTGCGTGTGCGTAGCCTTACTGAAAGCTTAATCGCGCCGGTACGATCAAGTGCAGTCCGACGTCGTCATTTTTGTTGCCAACAGAAGCTGCTTTGACTCGAACTAGAAGTGGCGCGCTACTTCCAGGCTGCTCAGGCCCTGCAAAGCCGCTAGTTGTTACCCCGAAGGTTTGTGGCATGAACAAGCACTTGCAAGATGAGAGCCCGTTGTTACGAATATTGGTTAGCCAACTGTCCTGACTTTCACTGCTTATCCTTCGGATCCTGTTCAAGTACAATGTCGCGGTTGCAATAAATGCTACTTTCCACAGTAACGAACTGGTTCGATTGATTTGCAAACCACAGGCACTAGCTGAACTGGACGTTGACGTTGAAACGTTGAGGCCTGGGCGCTGGCGGGTGAACGGTATCGCCTATTCTGTTAGTCAGCAACCACGGCCAGGTACCAGTGGCTTTTACTGCGTCGCGCGAGCCTCGACCGCGAGATTGCTACGTCTCTGCCAGTTCGTTAAGGCCACCAGCCAAAACACAGAAGTATGTGCTAGTCTTTCTCCACTGGATCCCGTGCTCAAACACTGATTCCCCTCGGACAACTTATAGACGTCGAGATGGCAACCACCGTCTGGCCTGGAGTCAGGTTGAACGATGACATTCTCGTCAATGTCATGAATATGATCGACCAACCGGAGGTCATCGTTCGCGCCTTCGTGCCTATGAACAAGTTTTTCTACCATGAAGGTGCGAAGGCGGCGCTTCGGAAACCGATCTCCCTCAAGTCCTGGGAGGGACACGCCGTGCCGTTCCTGCATTTCCTCGCCGCGCAAAACTGGACCCGTTGCCGCTTCCTCCTCCACCTCACATTCGCGATTTTCGGCGCCCCCCAAAACGAGGAGGGAAACATCAATGCCTGGGCCATGGCTTTCTCCCGCTGCACCAATCTCCGCACTCTCAATCTGCCAGAGGCAGAGTTCACCTTGATTGAGCTGGGAATCCTCGGTGACGCCATGGCCCAGCTCCCTTCCTTGCACCGCCTGGAGATACACCACGGATGCTCGTGCGCGTACGAGTTCGTCGAGAACGTTCTATCGACTCTTTCCCACATTGTGCTCTGCGGCGATCGGGATACAAACGCAGACCTCCTGGCTGAAACGGAAGAGGATGACGCAGAGCTGGGGAGCTGGAACCCGATCACCCTCCTCGCACGCCACCAACACACCCTGGAGTCCATTCACTGCGACCATTGGTTAGGCTTCAGATACGAGCCTGCCGATCTCTACATCTATCCCAACGTACGCCGGCTCTTCATCAAGGACTGTGGCGACCTCGACCTCGTGCAGCTCGCGCGCGCGTATCCAAACCTCCAAGTCCTGCAGTGCCCCGAAAGGAGCGACACATACCTCTACGATGAGATTCTGGCCGAACGACGCCGCAACCTCATGGCGCAAGTGGGCTCGGAGCGGACGTGGCCCGGCCTGGAGCTCTTCAGTGGCGACGTGAGCGAGCTGCACGCCCTCTGCATCCGCGGCCATATCCCGCGCATCGAGCTCTCGCAGCGCACCAGGAACTACTCTTCGATCATGCTTCATGCGGTGCTCATGCGGCATCGGCCGCTGCACCTCCGCATCGAGCTCAGCGACGACCTGCTCGGCGGGGGGCTCATCGATTCCCTCAGGGAGCCCGGTTGCGCGGACCTCCGGTCGCTCTCGTGCACGCTCCACTTGACGACGGAGCTGTATGACAACGGGGCGCTCGTGGTGCGTCTCGCGTCCTGCGCCCGGTCAGACTGGCACTCACACACCGGCTGCAGATGCAACTCGCGCTGGTCATCGGCGCGCTCCGCCGTCTGCAGACGCTCGAGCTGGACATACGCACGGCAGGGCTGAGCCCGGAGAAGGCCTTTCTGGAGGGCGTTTCGGGGGAGGAGGTCCTCGAGGAAGTCTCCAGCGGACACCCGGGCGCGGAAGAGGACATCTACCTGGACGAGCGAGATATGCCGCGCGTGCGGTACGTGCTGCGGCACCCCGCACCGTTCCCCGAGGGCCCGCTCCCGCTCACTGAAGCAGAAGCGTCGACGTTGGAGATCGACGTGGAGAGGCTCGCGCAAGGGATGGCGGCGGTGACACCTACCCTCGAGGACGTGGTGGTGAAGGTGCAAGGACCGCGGCGAGGGGAGACTCGGATCGGGTCTGTGTTGCGGGGAACGGCGCGCCGGCTTGGGGAACAGGAAATGTGGCTCATGATGGACTAGCAGAGTCGTGCTGGTGGATGTCGCAGGCACTTGAAGGTATTTACATAGCGTTGGCCGCTTGGTGGTGAAGAGGAGCCGCCCAAGGGGAAGCGCTGGCCGTGGGAGCTCGATGCTCCGGTTTGGGCCGGAGCTTCGCTTCGGACGTTGGGCGCCGTACGTACGCGTATCATACGTACCTTTCTTCCTCCCACCACCTCCATCGCCACTCGGCGGATATTGTTCGTCCGAACCACAAGAATGATATCGCGCTCACCGGCTCCATCCCCTTCAAAGACCGTCGACCCCCTCAGGCGCTGCGACTTCTGCAAAAAGCCGCCCAAGCCCGACAAACCACTGCGCCGCTGCGCCGGCTGCTGCCGTGTTAAGCCATTCTACTGCTCCAAGGAGTGCCAGAAGGCCCATTGGCCCATGCACAAGTGCAACGTTTTCACATGTATCTTCTAGATGACTTCACTGACTGTCATTGGTTTGCAGAGTCGGCTGCAACAACGGCCCTCTGGCCCAGCCTGCAGCGCCTGGCGAAGAGGTTGACAACAGCCTCGTCACCCGCCTGCGCACCTTCATGGACGCGCACGAATGGGCTCTAGGCGCCGCAGCCGGTGCCGTCGCGCTCCTCGCCTACGGCCAGGACTACGGCCGCCACCTTGAGACGAGCATGGTCGAATTCACCCTCGCCAACGTCCCGCCCGCTCCCGGGACACGCCGGGACCCCGTGCGCGCGTTCAAGATGCTCGGGATCGGCGTCCTCGACGTCGCACCCGGCGCGCGGTCCCAGCCCGAGAGGAAGATACATGCGCTTCCCGGGGCTGAGGCGCCGCGTATGCTCCGCGTCCTGCGCGAGTTCCGCGTCGCGGAGAAGGAGGACGTGCGACAGGAGATCGAGACGAACGCGGTGTACGGCCAATCGCCGCCCGCGGACCGGGTGCTCATCGTCACCGGGTGCTTCACCGTCAACGGCGAGACGCAGTTCGTGATGCACTCGTACGTCCGTGGCCTCCCGCGGGTCTGGCCACGCTCGGGCTCGGGGCGCGGCAGCGGCAGCGGGCCCGACCAGGCGGGCACCGCGATGGAAGACCTCGTGCGCTTGTGCATGACGAGCGTAAACGAGGGGCCAGGCTTCCGGAGAGAGCTCTCGGCGAACGCGGGACTGGCCCTCCCCGGCAAGTTCGAGCGCGTGAAGAAGGAGTGGGTGTGGTGGCCGTTGTTCAAGGATTGGGAGGAGTACGAAGCGAACCCGAGGAAGTACGGACCTATGGCGGCCTTCAAGGACATCCGTTCAGGCTATTCTCCCAAAGAGCTCATGATATTTACTTTTTTGTTCTGAGCACCTCCAGTATCTCGATACGCACCTCGCCTCGCATGATTGTACTACTAGTCACCTGTTGTATTGCATGTTATACCAGTTGTCACAATTGATACCAAGCCTTCTTCTGGGGCGATTTTCCGGCCCGGGGTGTGAAAGCACTATGGCAGGAGTTTAAGGATCGCGAGGAGCGACCGCGGATTAACGGGCCGAACCCGCGCGTAGGCGCCTTCGACGACTGCACAAGGGACTCCGCGGGCCCAGCCTGGCTCCTTCTCCTCCCACCACCACCTCCATCGCCCTCTTGTGGCAGTTCTATCTATCAGGAACAATTAAATGGCACCCTCATCATCTCCCTCAAAGCCGCTCGATCCACTCAAACGCTGCGACTTTTGCAAAATGCCACCAAAACTGGGCGAGCAACTGCGCCGCTGCGCCGGCCGCTGCATCGCGAAGCCTCTCTACTGCTCCAAGGAGTGCCAGAAGCTGCACTGGCTCACACATAAGTGCGAATCCGTATATAAATCACTTTTTACAACCGCACTAACCGTTATCGTTTTGCAGGATCGGCTGTAACAATGGCCCTCTCGCCCAGCCCGCCGCAGCGCCCGGCCGGGATCCCAACAACAGCCTCCTCGACCGCCTCCGCTCCTTCACCGAGGCTCACGAGTGGGCACTCGGCGCCGCGGCTGGTGCCGTCGCCCTCCTCACCTACGGCCAGGACTACGGTCGCCACCTCGAGACGAGTCTCATCCGCTTCCTGCTCGCGCACAACCCGCCCGCGCCCGGCGCGCGCCGCGGGAACCCCGTGCGCGCGTTCAAGCTCCTCGGGATCGACACGGTCGACCTCGCGCCCGGCGCGCGGTCGCGGCCGGAGAAGAAGATCAAGGCCCTGCCCGCGGGGGAGGCGCCGCGGATGCTCCGCGCCGTGCGCGAGTTCCGCGCCGGGGAGCGGGAGGACCTCGCGCGCGCGGACGTGGCGTACGCGATGTACGGCGCGGAGGGCCCGCCGGCGCCGGACCAGGTGCTCATCGTCTCCACGTGCTTCTTCGTCGAGGGCGAGTCGCAGTCGCTGATGCGCTCGTTCATGCGCCTCGGCGTCCCGCGCGTCTGGCCGAGCTCGGAGGGCGAGGGAGGGTTCGACCAGGCGCGCACAGCGATGGAGGACCTCACGCGCTTGTGCATCACGAGCTTGAACGAGGGACCGTGCTTCCGGAGGGAGATCTCGGCGGACGCGGGGCTAGCTCTCCCAGGAACTTTTCAGCGCAGGGAGAAGGCGTGGGTGTGGCGGCCGTTGTTCACAGATTGGGAGGAGTACGAAGCGAACCCGGAGAAGTACGGACCAATGGCGGCCTTCCGGGACGTTCGTTCGGGATACTCTCCCAAAGAGCTCATGATATTTACCTTTTTGTTCTGAGCTCGTACTACCGCATCCCCATCCGCACGTCGCCTTTGAACCACTGTATTACTAGTTGTCCTGTTGTACTGAATTTCCATAACCAAGAGGAATTATGCATTTGTAGTTCATGTAGTGTGAGCCCCCAGGTATAAATGCACACATCATCCCCGCCCGAGCGCCCCCGAATCATGCATGTTACACACTTGGGAGGGACAGTCCAGCAGATCGCGCCCGACGCCATCCCGTACGTACTACGGACCCATCGAGTGGGGCTACCCAGTGAAATCCATACGTTCCCGCGGCGACAATATCTTCTTCGCGTTGAACGGGGGAACGGCGGCCTGCCATGTCATCTTCATGGCTTCGAGGTCCTCGTCGGCGCCGTCTCGCGCGCGGACCTCCCTAGCACCAACCGCGCCGCGGTCTATTCGTAACCTCATGGGCAAGATCTTCGTGGAACGCGCGAACATGGCGAACGCGCGCTCGCGCTTGTGGGCGATGACTTTCTTGCGGCCGAGCGCGGGCGCCATCACATCTACCGCATCTACCACATCTACGTCTGATCGGTCTGCAATCAGCCGTCGAAATCCGCACTGCTGCTCTTCCATGGCTTCAGACCGTCTTCCCATAGAAGTCGCCGAGCGAGTGATCGACGCACTCGGCGCCCAAGCCGATCTCGCCACGCTCATCTCCTGCGCCCGAGTCCACACAAGATGGCTCCCCAGAAGTCGCGTCCACATATGGAACAAACTCACTGTCTCCAGCCTGGAGGTGCTTCACTCGATTTTTGAAGCGTTTAAACACTCCCCGGAGTTGTGTTTGTTGGTCCGGGCCGTCAGGCTCGACACAGGCACTTCGTTCCCCTGGGTTGCACCTGTGGCTCTCCTTCCGTATCTCGCACATATCGACGCATGGGAATTTCGTCCTCTAGGAATGGATTTCCTTCGGCTGTCTTGGCTTGCTTTCGGCGATACACCGCAGTCAAGACCTTGATCATCTACGACTGTGGATTTCCCACACCGCTCCATGTGTACCGACTAGCCCATGCGTTCCCGCCCTCCAGTCGCTTGAACTGTCCTGGGTCCACTGCAAAGCATCTTCCCCCGACAGAGCACTCATCTCATTGAAACCGCACGGGAGGTTATCACATCTCAAGGTGAGACGAGACTCGATCACATGAGAGTCAGACGATAGAAAAGACTGAATTTTCTGAGTTCCGCAGCTTTATGACGACCCGGGAATGGAGTCTGGATCTCCAACCCGATACTTGCAGCTTTTCAATCTCCTTTCCGGAAGTGGTTCAACGCTGAAACACCTTGATATCAGCCTGGGATGGCTCATTGTAGCAGGTACATGTGCACGTTCACGACATGATGGAGCTTCTCACTCACCCTCGTCGGCCCTTGCAGGCTTACCACTTGCAAGCTGTACCGGTCTCGAAAGTCTCTCTGTGGAATTGAACGGGACCTACACTGTAGAAATATTCTCCAAACCCACATTGCTCCAGAAACTGAATGCGCTAATGAGCCTCGGTCTTCCGCAATCATTACGGGCCTTGAGCATCACTCTAGGCCAATTTCTGGCCTATTACATTGGTTTGGAGCACAGCAGCGATCAAAAAACGGCCCTCCGCAACTTCACACAGCTTGTGACGGACCATAGCTCTCTTAGAACGAACGGAGTCAAACTTATGGTCAGAAACTCGACGCAGAATCTCGTGAACACATGGAGGGCGTCGTTGGAGTGTGCGTTTGCGTCACTACACAAGCTGAAGATTTTGCACGTTGAGTTCGTGTATTCCGGTGTGTATCCTTCTTCCCACCAAAAAGCTCAACCTCCGTAATCCCAAATTTATAGAAGGGTTCTCATCCGAACTGTACGGACATCCCAATGCGGTAGCGCATCTGACCGTCTCTCCGGACGGGAGGTGAGCAGCCAGCGCCAGCATGGCACCCTCACTATTCGCACAACAGTCAGTGATGATCTGGGATGTTAGCTCCGGAGGGCGACTCGTTCAACAGTACTGGCATCGCACTCCACCACAATCCTGGAACATAGATGGAAGTGACGCGCTCGTCTTCTCTCCATCAAGCACTCGCCTCTTACGTCGTTTCCGTCGTCAAATCGTCATCTACTGTCTCCCCCTCATTGACAAGGATGGATGTGGCTTTCATGGCGAGCCCCGGGAAACGGGAAACATCGAGGTAACCGAGAAAATTGTCGCTTCAGGCTGGTCCCCGGATAGCGCCCAAATTCTGGCCCTGATGTCCTCGACGGACCTTCGTGTTTGGGATGCGGAAAGCTTGACTCTTCTTCGTCTGCTTCGCTTTCCTTATTTATCAGGCCCGATTTCCACAGGTCGGATGTCAATAAACCCCCCTTACACCCTGATCCGCCTCATGACCTGCATTGACGAGAACCACACCATCCATGTCGTCGATCTAGTCTCAGGAGAAATTCACCCCCGTCTGGTCAACCGCTGGAACCGTTGCGACGCGGAAGAAGATGTGTATCAAGCCGTTCTTCGATGCGGCTCCGAGCGCGGCGACTTCACTGTGCTCGCACTGACGAGAGGCGGTACCCTCGTGGTGGACTGCGGCGAAGAAGACCCACTTAGATCCTCCACGCCCGCATCTCCGATGGCGCTGTCACCACTACACGGGCTCACTCCCAAGGCTTTGTCCGCCGACGGGACTCGCGCGCTGTGTTTCGTCCAAGACCCGGCCACGGGGCCTTCCGATTGCAGTCCTCCGGCCGGCGCTGCCCCGCAGTTCTGCGTTGTGGACACCGCCACCGGAGAGACACTGTCGGGGCCATTCGGAGGCAAGCTACCTTCGGTAGTCCTTGGAGAAGACCGCAGAATGGAAGTCAGGCGGTTTTGGGGGGAACGTGGTCCACAGTACCGCGGAGGGTGGTTCTGGAGCACGCTGCATGGCAGGCTCTACCGAACTCCTGCCCTCGACGACGAAAAGGACGTTGGTCAAGTCGCAGTCACGTACGACGGGGCGATGGTCGTATGGTCGGATTCTCGCGGGGGCGTGCACTTCAATCGCAACGGAGGCGACGTTTGAACCCTACAGGGGCGTATCTTGTTCGGTGGCCACACGTCGACCGGGCTGTCGACAGGAATATGTTTGTGGGCAACGCGGCGCATGTCTGATGATGATGGGGCGAATATCGCGCTATATGATGGGCTGGAGACGAGCATGCTGTTGACAAGGGTTCGGGCAAGGAGGAGTGTGAGGCGGCGATTGCGTGTAGATGCGAGGAGATTCGAGAAGCTCATCGATGTCGATACCAGGTGTACCATCGCTACGTATCCAATTCCATGGCGTGCGCTCTATCCTCTTCCCACAGCTCCCAATACTTCTCCTCACCTTCAACATCCCAGAACCCCGCGAGGCACGGTTTCTCCAGGAGCTCCGTCCCCGGCGGCACCACCTCGAGCTGCTCGAACCGACGCGTCAGCGCAACCAACCTCTCCCACGGCGCCCCGAGCTCCCTCTCCACCTCGTCGTCCTCAGGCTCGGACGCGTGCCTGACTGGCTGCACGGTGAGTGCTTCGAGCGGGCAGCCGGCGCGCGCGCGCCCGTCGAGGAGCTCGGCGAGGGCGTCTGCGAACGTGGCAAGCGCCCCGCTGAACTCGCTGCCCTCCGGGTCCAGGTTTGAGCCGACCGTGAGCGAGGTCAGGACGGGGCAGAGCGGCGCCCAGGTCAACCCGTCGTCGCCGGCTCCGACGAGCGCGCGACCGAGCGCGCGAAGCTTCTCGACCGGAGACGCGAGGTCTTGGACGTCGATGTCAATGTCGTCGGCCAACGTTCCGAACGGGGGTGGCGACGATAGGCGAATCCGGAGCGTGTCGAGGCGAGGCATGTGGTGGAGAAGAGCGATGGGTGTCTGTACGTCGACAAAGGGGACGTCGAGCAGGAAGTTGACGAGCCCAGAGAGGGGGGCGTCGTGAAGCCGTCCGAGCTGAGTGTGGGTCCATACATGCGCGTTCTCGGTCGCGTCCTCGGTTTGTCCCTGGAGCAGGAACCCACAGGCGCCCTCGAGGATGAACTCGACATCTTCCAGTGGACGGGAGACTCGCACTGTGAGGTCGGTTGCATCACGAACTGCGGGGACGTCCTTGAGGTCCAGCACCGAGTGGGGATCGATGGACGATGTCACCATGCGGATAGGAGTGGAAGCGGGAATGTCGACGAAATAGACGATCTGTAAGGCGGATGGAAACGACTCGCTGAACGAGACCGAGCGCAGGAATGGCAAACGGGGGCGCGACGATGGGAATAGTGTTGCTGTTGTGACGCTGGCCCTGGACAAATGGAGGATCTCAAGACGCGGCGTCGCGGCGAGTACCACATCGAGGACCATAGCCATGTGGCAATTCTCGCAAGAGAGAGAGAAGTGCGTGAGGTCCGGGAAGCTGTTGACGGGTATCCACTTGAAGAGTCCGGAGAGAGAAAGAGCCCGTAACGACGAGATTTGATCCCGGAAGAGTAAACTCTTTTCCGGCGGGGTCCCGGGCCAACCGCTGTCCAGGGAGTAGGAGTCACTGCATTCGATGACAAGATTGAGACACTCCATGCGGGGAGCCGATGTCGTGAACAGCCATGGCGGAGGTTCCAGCTCCGGACACTCCAGCTCTATGTCGAGTCGCTGGATGCGATGGATCAGGGAGGACACGACTTCTTCTATGGCCATGTTGCTGATACGGGCGGCGTTGCCCAACGCGAACCTAGGTCTGCAGATACGGGAAACATCGCGATAGTTGACCACTAGCGACACGCCAAGCTCTCGAGACCGTTCCTTGAAGGCTAGATACTGGCCGCGGCTATGACAGTCGATGTCGGTCCACAGAGCCGGGAGTTGAAGGGCCACTCGTCGCCAACTCTGGCAGACATGTGTCAGAGGGAGCAGAGTTGCGATGTGTTCGGCCTGCTCCTGCCATATCTGACTCGATGCCCTCCTGTCGGGTCTGTAGACTGAGTGGAGGAATATCTCGCTGATGATTTCCGCAGGTATCCGGGAGAAGGGGGAGTAGGAGTTGATGCGAGCGCGGAGATCCTCTAGGATGGATGCTGCAGTGACTCGAAGAGCTTGCTCTATTCCCTTGAGATCTTGCAATCTGGATGCAGGGGTAGGTTACTCAGCCGGATTAACATTACAGGAAACTCGGGGCATACCCGAGGGAGCCCCGGATGGCGTGGTATGCGGCTTCAAAATCTCGGACGATCGACGCGTTTGCCGGAGGGTTGTCCGACTGCATCATGAGTATTTGAGGGCGACGGGATTCTTGTAGAACAGAAGCAGTAGCACTATCAAATCGGAGATGTCGTGGGTGATAGTTACACGGAACGCACCTTATTGAACAGGGGGTAGATTCTCGACGGCTTCGCTGTAGAGCTGAGCACGTCGAGCAGAAAACGGTTTTCAATATCGCGGTGGCGACTCGCCGCGCATTTGAAGTATCCAGGGACCAGGCACGACGGGCAGCCCAGGGGCGTGTGAGATCGGGAAATGTTCCCAGATATGTTATTGTATCGACCCATGGGCGAGACTTGGAAATTCTGATAGATACTCAAGCCGTTTTTTAACATGGGCCGAACATTTCCCCGTCTTTGTCGGGTAATCCGACTGACAACAGGCGCAAGTCTTGGAAATGTTGATCACGTGTGTGTCGTCGATGTCCGGGTTCCCGCATCAGTGAGCACTGGGCTTTTCGTTGCAGACAACTCAGAGGCTGCCAGAATCGATTCATGTCTCATGGTGGGCCCCAGGCCTTAAAGGGACGGTAGTCATGTGATCTGAACTTCAACATTTCCGAGACTCGCGCATGTTGTGAGCCGGATTACCTGACAAAGACGGGGAAATGTTCGGCGCATGTTGACAAAGAGTTTATGTATCCCTCAACATTTCCGAGTTGCTGACGGAGTCTCGCCCAGGGGTCGATACAATAACATATTTGATAACATTTCCCTACCTCACACGCCCCTGGGCTGCCTGTCGTGAGGACCACTGATGGCAACGGCGCCAACGTGGCCGCGCACGTGATGGCGATCTCTAGTGTCCAATCAGGCCACGGCGCCAGGCGCCTGGTCCGATGTTGCGCAATGTGCGCATGTCACATAACTGCACACAATATAGAGCCGTGAAGCACGACTAAGTGCTTCAATGTCATCGTAAACCGCGCCGCTAAGGTCTGATTCTCGCTCGAGGTCGCGGCGGCGCGCGCGGACATCGTGGGCGTCGGTGGCGGTCCCGCGAGCGCGAGCGCATGCTCGCCGTCCGGCGTCCAAGTTGTTGCCTGGAACGACTGCACGCGTCGTACGCGCGTGTGCGTGTGCGTGTGCTCCCGCGCCGGAAGAACGGAGGCCCTGAGATGGCGCACGGTGCTCACGCGCGAAGAATGCGCTACGCATGCTCATTGACGGGGAGGCGGCGCACCCGATGACGCCGTTAAATCGCGGCGACTAGACTAGAAACAGCGCGGGCAGTTGGCGCGAGTGAGGGTAGGAAAGAGCGCATGGCGGCGGTTGTCCAGTGCGAGGAGATCATGCGACGTCTCGAACCATCGCAGCCATGTTCTTCACAGCATGTAGGACAAACTTTATCATAGCTCCAAGTGCTTTCTCGACCGTCTCACCACCGCGCGTTTCACCGTGGCTGTTCTGAAAATGCTCTCCATCTCTGCGCTCTACTCTAACATGTCACTGATCGGCTGAACCGTTTCGTACGATCTGGATCTACACACGGACGGCTCGACGATCACATGGCCCGACGATATGATCTCGCAGCCTCAGGTACGCTGTTGTTCACCAAGCGCCAGCCACAACCTGCGTATGCTGTGACTCTGGGCGCACACACTGGTGGTCAGCTGGCAGTCACATCGCCCGTAACCGAGTATGTTCACTGTTCACGCGACCAGAGGGGATTTTGGGTGGTTCGAAGCACATGCCACCGGGCCGCCACATCCAACGCTCTTCCTTCTGGCTCCTTCTCCGAAGTGGGAATGTTTCCACGCGGGGTCAAGGGCACACGGGGATAAAAAGGTCGCTGACACAGCTGGTCGCAAGGCCGTATCACGGGCGAAGGATGCCGAAAGAAAACATCGTTTCTGACGGCGCAAAGCAATGGGGAGCGTAAAAAATATATGCACAAACAGAGGCGGCAGGGCCAGACGCAAGTAGTAGCAGGCGGACCCCTGTGCCAAGGTGCTTGTGGCAGGCGAGGGCATGGCCACAGCAGCGACCAGGGCGGGGTGAACTGTCCGTCTGCGAATATACGGGGGAACAGGACCGAAGCAACATAGATCGAGGGCGCAGCATCTGGGGAGCGACAATGAGAGTGCGCTCGACACTGGGAGCCGACGATAGAGGGACCGGACATATTGGGGATGGCAGGAGAAAAAACTCACCTATAGAGATACATGTACAAGGGTTTCGACATTTCGATCCACCGCCTTACATCATCGTGGGCTCGCGAGGGAGCGCGCGGTAGGTCCTGAAGAGGAGAGCCGCCACGCGCTCAATATCCCGCCCGATCGGACCGCCATTAGTGATAGGGAGAAAGACTCACTTGGATGGGTAGGCAGCCTCGGCGCGCTTCGAAGGACCGTAGCCGTCGCGCTTGGCCGCGACGCCGCGGCGGACGTCGTACTGCTTGAGAGCCTTCTTGGCGAGGGTGCCCTCCCGCGCGGGAACCGGGTTGGCCGTCGCGAGAAGCGCGAAGGCGAGAACGGCGAGGCAGAAGAGGACGACACGAGTGTACATGGCGGGCGGCAAAAGGGGAGCGAGCACAAGCGTGACGGAGGGGGTGGTGGGCGCAGGTGTACACTGGGCGTGCGGTCCGGAGGGCGGGAGGGCAAGGGTTTTATAGCCAGGAACGCCAGTAAGACATCAGCGGGCGTTCGTGCGGAGGGGCGGCAGCACAGCGCGGCCGGGGATTTGGCGGGGCAACGGATTTTGCGTGGCTGAGTTTCGTGCTCGGCGGCGCGTATCGGCCGCAGCCACACGGACGCGCATGCAGGCAGCCGTATGATTATGTGCGACAAGTCTGCAGGGATCGGTCGCCTATGCCGATGCGGTGTGGGCGGACGGGAGCGGCGGCATCGCCCTGGCCGCGGCCAAGAGCCCATTGCTATCCATATTCCGGGCGGGTGAGCAGGGATAGCCTTATCGGAGCTGACGCAGCGGCCTCGAGCGGCCACAATCCTCCGATAATTGACGAAAGGGGGTGGTGCTGGTCAATGGACATACCCGCACAACGTTCGCATGGCATACTCGCGGGATACACCAGAGGGGCATCGGGGATACGTCCAGCTTCTCCGCCAATCTATCGCCTCAGGATAACGGTGAGCGAAAGTGAGAGCAGGACAGGCGTGCGTACGGGGCGTTCTGTGCCACTCAGGACGCCCACGAAGCGTTGAACGGCCACGTCTTCTGCATCTTCGGCCGCTTGGACGACTGCAGACACTGCCGCAGCTCCCACGTCTTCCGATGCTCCAACACCCTGAAACCAATCGGGTCAAGAAATGCAGCGGTTGGCGAGCGGGAAACTGAGACGACTGACGTGTCTTCGTGGGCGGAAGACACACACGCACGACACAGCGCTCCGACTCCAGTTGGGCGGGGTGACGTAGGGTGACGTGCTGCATCACGCCGCGTCACCACCCGTCACACGCCGCCGACGCCAGCCGCGTCGGCGGCGACGCTCTCCCTTGTACCACCACAATGTCTCGGCCTCAAGACGACAGAAATCAGGAGGCGACGGTTTATTTGGTGCGCCGGCTTCATTCTGCGCCACTCTGTTTTCGTGCTCACTCCGGAGGACAGGGAAATCTTGACGAGCGGTGTTCAGATGCGCTCATCTGGGAGTTGATGTTGCAGGCCGGCCCAGTAGGTGCGTACTGTCCCCCTCATTATCTCGGGATGTGCCCTGACTGTTCCTGCTGTGCAGCAAATGTACATCTGCCAAAAGACCGCATATCCATGGCGCATCAGGGCTACGGTTTCTGTGAGTTCTTGACCGAAGAAGATGCAGAGTATGCCTGCAAGATTATGAACCAGATCAAATTGTGGGGTAAACCTATCAGGGTTAACAAGGTTCGTAGCTATCGGCGTTCATGCGAACTAATGCTGAAATCCTCCCTTCGTGCCTGCCGAATACAGGCTTCCTCGGACAAAAAACAACTGGACGTAGGCGCAAACTTATTCATTGGAAACCTCGACGACAACGTGGATGAGAGGTTGCTTTACGACACTTTTAGTGCATTTGGCATGATGGCGACTACTGCCAAGGTACGTCGTATATCCGCTTTCCGCATGCTCCCCCTTCCTTCCCTGCCACACGCCCCCGACATATCGACGCAGACGTCCTCTGTCCATCTGCCGTCGTTACTACCCGTGGCACCCGCGGTTTACGCCTTTCCCATGACAGATTGCGCGTGATCCCCAGTCTGGAAACTCAAAAGGCTACGGCTTCGTCGCCTACACCGACTTCGAGGCGTCGGACGCGGCGGTCGAGTCCATGAACGGCCAATTCCTCATGAACAAGGCAATCACCGTCCAGTACGCTTTCAAGAAAGACGGCAAGGGCGAGCGACACGGCACCCCCGCCGAGCGGCTGCTCGCCGCGCAGGCTCGCAAGAACAACGCGCTCCCAATCGCCGCGCGGCCACCCCCAGCCCCGATGGGCGCCATCGGTGCGTTTGGTGCGCGCCCGCCGATGCCTGGCTTCCAGGGCCCGTATCAAGGCCAGTTCGCGGGCGTACTCGCGGGCGCGCCTCCGCCGCCCGCCGGGTTCACGCCCCAGCAGACGATTATGCCGCAGGGGATGCAGATGCCCCCGCCTCCAATGCAGGGCATGCCGCCGCAGGGCATGCCAGGCATGATGCCCCCGCCCCCGCCTGGAGTCCCGGTCTACAACCCTCAGGCCGGCTTCGCGCCGCCTCCGCCCCCGCCAGGCTACATGCCGCAGGGGATGCCTGGGATGATGCCGCCGCCGATGATGCATCCGGGTGGGATGCCGCCGCCGCAATACATCCCCCAGCAGATGCAGATGTAGCGCCCGCTCCGCTCCCACCACCCCACCACCCTCGCCGTCACCTTTCCCTCGCCTCGCACGCCCCGCCTTTAGGGTCCCTGCGGTCGTCCTGGTCTGGATTTAGGACGGCGCGTCGCCCGTCTGCGATGCGGTGCGGGCGTGCGCGCCATCCTGTCCATGACGTCGTCCCGTTATCGTTCGTAGCACTCCTCGCTCTCGCCATCCTGTCGTTGTACCCCCGCAATGCTACCTGCTGTTTTCACAGACCCCCTTGGACCGGACCCGCCCGTGGAGCACTCAGCCGGCGCATCGTGGAGCGCGTCGGCGTTCAGTATCGCGAGCGCAGTATCGCCTTCGCCCCGTCCGAAAGGCTCAAGCTCAGGCTCTGGCCAACAGCCGCACGTGCGCCCCCGACTCCGTTTCCCCGGCCATACGTCGGGCCCAGCGAAACCCAGCACAATGGCCGGATCGGGTCCCCTCTCCCGCCGCCGCGCGCCTGGCGGTGTACATGGGTAGAGTACGTGGGGCCATGGGCATCTAGAAGCAGAAGACGCTCGAGGCGCGCCGAGCACGTTGCGACGCTGTATAGGCCCGTCACGCAACGCGCGACGAAGCACGGCCCTCGCGCCGATTGGGGGGCCGCGCTGGACGGCATCTGGGCGGATTGGCTGGGGATAATGCTAGGGTTCGCTGCGAGCGATCCCCCTGCCCAGGTGGTTCCGCTCCCGGGCCCTCAGAGATGAAGCTTAAAAGACCACGGTCCGCCTGCAGGAGGGCCGCGGAAATCCGGAGCGCGTGCGGGTTCGCTCTACGCACGCGGGCACCCGGCGATGCTCGCAGCTGTGCGGCTCGCCTCGAGCGCGCCACAGTGTTGTGTTTTCCGTCTAGTGTTTCCCTTTTTTTCGCGCCCACGTCGCGCTGCGGGCGGAGTCAGCGTTCGAGCTGCCAATCTAGCATCTGGGTGGACGGGGGCCCACGTCCAGGTACAGCAACAGCGTTGTCCAGTCCGATTCCGTCATCCGGCACCCGCCGATGGTCAATTCTGAATGTCTCGATATTTGTCGCGGTATGTCTGTGCGAGCCTGGCTGCGGGCGCGGGCGGTCACCGTCCTGCGTCCGCGCACTCCACTCGGATTACGAGTTTGTCGCGCAGATATTTGGTTCCGGTGTTGCGAATGGCGTGTTTCATAGTATCCACTCCGTGAGCCTGTCGCGTATAGAAAGAGTAGTTTGTGGTGTGGTTTCCTATACACATCCTCACTCAAGCCGTGTGCTGCTAGTAAAAGCCGACATTAACCCAAATCCAAACCTGTGTCCCGCCAGCCCCTATACCCTCCGCAACACGCGACGCGACGTCAGCGCAGCCCTCTTAAGCTTGATCTCACCCGTCTCCTCCTCCCCTATCAGCGTCCTCCAAGTCCGGCACGCCCCGCCTCCACACGACGCCCGCGCGCGCAGCGACGTCCATCGCGATGCGCCGTACCGCGCGCACCTCCGCCGCGGACGCCCCGCCCGCCCGCGCGTTCGCGAGGTGCCAGCCGACCTGCCGCGGCGCGTCCACCGCGACGAGCGCGGCGACCTGGACGTAGACGAGCTCGCGCGTGGAGAGCACGTCCGTGCCGCCGTACGTCATCCCGTACCCGACCGTCGTCGCGAACCAGCCTGCGGATCGCGTGGGGAGGGCGGGCAGAGGGCAGAGAGGGGGCGAAGGAGGGCAAGGTTCCGGTCGGTGAGAGAAGGGCGGTCGGGCCCGGGTGTTTGAGGGGGTCGAACGGCGGCGCAGCGGTGAGGGGGGTGATTATGGAGGAAACGAGGTTCGCGCGGCGGGTGTTGTGCATATACAAGGGTCCCGACGACACATGCGTACGTGCGCGTCGTATCCGCGGCGGCCCAGACGAGAGGAGGACGTTGCGTGGAGAGCGGGTGAACGGCACCGCCAAGACGACGACCGGGAGCATAGTGGCGAACCGTCGTCGAAAGAGGCATCCGGGCACACACGCCGCGCACGTAGGAGGAAGAGGCAGGGAGCAGTCAGCGTCCGCCGTCCGAGGATGGGCGATTGGGTGGAAGTGGACGGACCTAGGTCGGGGTAGGCGTCGTACAGCAGCTTCTGAACCGAATCTGCCGAGTCGCGGTACACGGCGCGGAAGACCTCGTCGCCGCGTTTATCCCATTCGGCTGGGGGCCGAGCCGTGTCTCTATAATACGAAGAACGTCGGAAGGTCAGGTGGCAGGAGACGTACTACGTGACGCACCGCAGCGGCTTCGATTCGCGTAGATGCTCAGGCGTGGCATCGCGCAGTGCAACTAGGCTGTTGATGGCCTGCGAACGAAATGCGAGTCAGGGACAAGAATTTAAAGCGTGACAGCGTACGCAAGCAAGATTAGGAATGGCGCATGCGCAGTGTGACCAACGACTGCGAACGTGGTACCAAAGCTTCGCGGACCGTATTTATGATGCGGTCTAACGCCGCAAGGTTGAAAGATGAGGATGATATCTCCGCCAGAAAATAGAGAAAACAAAAAAGCGATGTCAAGAGGTACATCGTTAACGGTCAAACTAGTCAAGGACCAGGTGTTGCCACGTGTATGTTACAATGATGATTACAGGGCAGTAAACCCGCCGCTAAAACGGAATGGGGCCATATCTGAGCCAACACCTGCTCTCAAGCACCAAATACGAGTCACCAAGGCGGAGCATCGTAAAGGAGCATTCGCAAGAAGTCTCATACTGTTGCGCAGAATCGCTGCGTGCCTCCCTGTTGTTGACGCGTAGCGTCTCCAGCTGGCACCGCCTCCCTGCTTCATCGACGACGACTGCGCACAAGTCCACTCAAGTGTACAGCGCCCTTCGATGCATATCCCACTTCTACTGTCCCCTCTGCCTCGGTTCGGGGCACGGACCGACTGTCACATTGCGCACTTGCTCACGTCCAGGCCGTTTCGTTGCCAAGCGGTACTGCCGAGAGGCGTCGCCTTCCAGTAGTACCGCTGCACCTCCAAGGAGGCTGGCACAAACTACCGCCGTGTCGCAGGATAACTAGGCCAACCCTTCCGACGAAGACCCAATCCGCCCAAACGTTGCCGGCCTAATTTTGATGACAAAACGAATTGAACTTACTCGCGGCATCCCGCTCAAGAGCCCAGACATCAGAACAGCTTCTCGCATCTTGCGCGAGAAGATGATCTGCTCCTGCGGATCATGTTCGTCGAGGTCTTCCAGGGCAGACTTGAAGACCGCTGGGACGGCTTCCGGAACGTTGGCGGAGCTGAACGCGACGGCTGCAATGATCGCCCACAAGGTAGAGGGCACAGATCCAGCGTCGGAGGGAGGGAAAAGGGCTTTGATGTGGGCGAGGAAGGCCATCATGGTGTCTTTTCAGTGTACCAAAGGGGCCACAGGGGAGTTCGGAAAGGGGGAGATGGACATGAGAAATGCTCGTCGTTCGTGAGAGCGTCCACGGGATACCGAAAGCCGTCCATGAGGCCGAGCACGCAGCAGGCCAGAGGGCAGGAGAAGGTCGATGGTGTGTTGCAACTTGGGGATAGACTCAGGAGTCAGCGGGTTTGTTGCGAACGAAGCGACCACTTAAGCGCCTTGAGAGTGTGTCACGTGCATAGTTGAACGGCCAGCCTCCAGCCGATGCAAGCGCTTGTCTTGTTCCGACTCGATGACTGCACAATGTGTGAGTTAGTACTCTATATGTATATCCCATACCACTGCCTATACCAGATGGTGCGTCAAACCGAATCCGGCACGATGGGTAGTGCCCCCGCTACTACTGTAAGATTGTGCAGCGAGCCATGTCGTCAACCAGGCGCTAACTGGACACTGGCCAGTGAGCGCCGCCGCTGCCGGCCAGTAAAGTCCCTGTTGGATGTGCCACGTGACGACTGAGACTCACCACCACGACATCGACAGTTTTTCAATTTTCGGCTTACCAACGTGCTCAGCTTTACACCAGTGGAAGCTCCACCCGGGCTACAACGACAGCTTTCCTTCCAGTGGTGACTCAGTGGTCCACCGCAGTCTCACAGCGAGGCTGTTCAGAATCTACCCCCTGTTTCAATAGGGTGCGTTTCATGCAATATTACCCACGATACTCTGATAGTGCTACTGCGTCTGTTCTACAAGAATCCAGTCACCCTCAAAAGCTCATGATGCATTCGGACAACCCTCCAGCAAATGCGTCGATCGTCCGGAATTTTGAAGTCGCATACCACACCATCCGGGGCTCCCTCGGGTATGCCCCGAGTTTCCCTGTCATGTTAATCCGGCTGAGTAACCTACCCCTGCATCCAGATTACAAGATCTCAAGGAAACAGAGCAAGCTCTCCGAATCACTGCGGCATCCATCCTGAAGGATCTCCGCGCGCGCATCAACTCCCATTCTCCTATCTCCCGCCTGCCTGCGGAAATCCTGAGCGAGATATTCCTCCACTCATTCGACAGACCCAACAGGGAGTCAATACCCCCATTTTTACCCTCATCGACTCATATACAGGATCAGATCGACGAACACATTGCGACCCTACTCCCTTTGACCCATGTCTGCCAGAGTTGGCGACGAGTGGCCCTTCAATTCCCGGCTCTGTGGACCGACATCGACTGTCATAGCCGCGATCAATATCTTGCCTTCAAGGAACGGTCTCAAGAGCTCGGCGTGTCGCTAGTGGTCAACCCTCGTGATGTTTTCCGTATCTGCAGACCTAGGTCCTTGGGCACACCGCCTATATCAGCAACGAGGCCGTAGAAGAAGTCGTATCCTCCCTGATCCATCGCGTTCAGCGACTCGACATGGAGCTGGAATGTCCGGAGCTGAAGCCTCCACCATGGATTTTCACCGCATCGGCTCCCCGCATGGAGTGTCTCAACCTTGTCATCGGGTGCGACGACACTCAATTCCTGGGTCGTTGGCGAAGCTCGCCGGAAGGGAGGTTTCTCTTCCGGGATGAAATCTCGTCGTTACGAGCTCTTTCGCTGTCTGGACTCCTCAAGTGGATACCCATCAACAGCTTCCCCAACCTCACGCACTTTGCCCTCTCTTGCGAGAACTGCCACATGGCTATAGTTCTCAATGTGGTCCTCGACGCGACGCCCCGTCTTGAGATCCTCCACTTGGCCAGAGCTAGCATCACAACAGCAATCCCAGTTCCACCATCGCGCCCCCAGCTACCATTCCTACGCTCGGTCTCGTTCAGCAAGTCGTCGCCATCCGCCTCGCGGATCGTCCATTTCGTCGACATCCCCGCTTCCGTTCCCATCCGCATGACGTCATCGCTCATCGATGTCGGCTCGGCGCTAGACCTCAAGGACGTCCCCGCGGTTCGTGACGCAACCGACCTCTCAGTGCGAGTCTCCAGCACATTGAAGGAGGTCGAGTTCATCCTCGAGGGCACCTGCGGGTTCCTGCTCCAGGGACAAATGGACGAGCTTGAAAACGCGCATGCATGGATCCACGCCCAGCTCGAACGGCTTCACGACGCTCCCCTCTCTCAGCTCGTCAACTTCATGCTCGACATTCCCTTTGTCGACATACAGACAGTCATCGATCTTCTCCACCACATGCCTCGTCTCGAAGCGCTCCAGATTCGTCTATCGTCGCCACCCCCGTTTGGAGCGGGCGCCAACTTCATCCAAGACCATGCACCCCCGGTCGAGAAGCTTCGCGCGCTCGGTCGCGCGCTCGTCGGGGCCAGCGACGACGGATCGACCCCCACGCCGCTCTGCCCTGCGCTGACCGAGCTCACTGTCTGTGCGGACACGAACCCGGAGGGTAGCGAGTTCAGCGGGGCGCTCGCCGCGTTCGCCGACGTCCTCGCCGAGCTCCTCGACGGGCGGGCGGGCGCGGGCTGCCCGCTCCATGAGGTCATCGTGCAGCCAATCAGACACCCGTTCGAGCAAAGCGCTGAGATGGAGACGGACCTTGCGGCTTCGCGGGACAGGTTGGCCGCGCTGATGCGTCCATTTAAGCGGCTCCAGGTGGTGCCGTGGACGGTCCTGGGGAACCCATACCTCACGGAGTTCTGGGAAGTTGAAGGCGAAGAGAAGTATTGGGGGCTATGGGAAGAGGACAGACCACACGTGATGGACTTCGAGACGTAGGGGTGATACGCATGTTACCGATGTCGATGACCTTCTCGCATCCACCATCTCCAGCTTATATTCACTCCCATACCCTTGAACGGGCTCATCAGACATGCCCCGCGTGGCCCACAAGGGTGTTCCTGTCGACAGCCTGGTTGACGGAGTATGACGAGGAGATCTGGTCACGATGACCAAACCCGGCTCGGTCCCACGCCACCGACGCGTCTGACGCGTGAGGTCATTGCGGGTCGCGGGCGGTTGTCATGGGTCCGGGGCGGGCTTGTCACCACTCGACCCAGTCCGCTCCGTGCACACGGCCGCTCCTCTGAGCACGCCCACCATCTCGCGTCTACGCCCTCCCTTCATCTCCGCACCTCCTTCACGATACCATCATGCGTGAGCAGCCTCTACTGGACCCCACCTGGGACCGGCAACGCGTTGGCTGACGCGCACGCGCCCTCCAGCTCCCAGAAAACGCGCTGCCGAGGACGATGGTGCCGGCCCCGCGACGCGCGCTCCAAAGCTCCCAAGACCGACACCTCTCCCAAAGCCGCCAAGGCCAAGGGCGGGCGCAAGGGCCCCAAGGTGCGTACCGGTGCTCTCCGCGCCGCAGCCACGACCTCATTGGTATCGCGCAGACCAACCTCGCGGCGGGCGCGTTCAAGGAGCGTGCGCTGCCGCTGCATATCAACATCACCCACACCCCGCCCGTGCTCGACGACGAGGGCACGGTGACGATCGCGTCCCAGGACCCGGGATTCGTCGGCACCAGCACGCTCCTCCCGGGCACGTTCGCGACCGGCAGCTACGGGTGGAAGGGGAACAAACGCTTCACGGTCGAGATCAACAACCCAGACGGAGGCGGAAAGGAGAAGGTACATGTTATGTTAACGTGAGTGTTCTTTTAGTTTCAACTGTGAGTTCTAACCAATGGAGGTTTTGCCGGTTACGGCTTCCAGGATGAACGCTACTGTGATTGGCAGCAAGGACGCGAAGGAGGACGAACCCGGTGATGCTGAGGCCACGGCTGCAGATGAACCCAGCGACGAAGCCAAGGAGGCTATGGAGGAAGCTGTTGGCGAGGAAGAATCGTAAGCGTTACCCTGGAATGGCATTGTGCTCTAATCTACTCCGATCCATATGTTGCTACTATGTTGTAATGGGATGCGTGTTGTTGTTGTTTAGTTGTAAAGCAAGAAATTCTCGTTTGACCAGCCCCTGTGATGCGTCGTCGTTGAACATAAAACCAAGTGCGACACTAATGTCTACTGTAATGACTGTTGCATATCGGACATCCTCACCAAGTTGGACAGACCATGTAGGTACTCGTCCTGTAATTGCGAGCGAAATGAGCAAATAAGCGTCTAAGAGAGTGAGCGAGGAGCACAACGAGCACAAATTCAGCGGTACTGCGTCTGTGCTCGAAACCGTGGCCTGTCCTGCATGTTTTGCCTCGTTGTCAACGCTCCTGTAAGACGTCTTCCAATCTCATACGCCCAAGCACCCCATATTCATGACCAACTGCGCGTTTTTCCGAGACGCACCGTTTGGGCTCGGGCCAGTCTTCCGTAGGTCACGCAACTCTCCGCTCCCTTTCTTGGACGATGGGGCAGGGACCAAATCGCGATTTAGCAGCCTTCGCGGTGCGTTGACGCACCTCCAAACGCACCCCTGCACCCTGGTGCCTGCAGAGGTCTCCATTGCCGGAGCATGTGCAGGCCACCGTGATCTGGCCCAGTGGGTTCATGGACTTGTTTCATGCCGTGAAAGCACTTGCAAATTGCTTCTCGGCTGCATGGCGTCTTCATACATGAGCTCATGACGCAAGCATCCAGCTCTTGAGTGGACAACCCTTGCTTGCTCGATCAAGCACGAAAGCATCGGGAACATTCATTCGTCGCGGTTGACACCAAAGGTCACATTCACGTGATATGTAACTAAGTCAGTGACGTGCCTGGGACCTGTGAGACGGCTGGCAATTTGTGACGCCAGCTGGCGACAGCTTCAACTGTACCTCCTTCTCCATCTCGTTCTTGAACTTAAGAAGACATCACAGGGCATAATTAACGTGATTCTGGTGGTGAACCCAGAGTCCCCAATGTGAGATTATTCATGTTTCAGTTTCAAAGGATTTCTACGAGAACAATGGCTCTAACGTAGTATTCATCTAGATCGTAAGCATTCCTCTAGGCAGGCGTAAGCAGCATGATCGATCATGTCAAAAACCAGGTGCAGCTACAGTCACCCACATGCAGGTGCGATTGTGATGTTCATCTTTGATTCATATCTCCAGCAACCCACCGCGATACTCTCAACTTACCCAACTTTGATTTAGCCTCACGGATGTACAAATGGCAGATCCGAAGACTGGAACCAACCCTGCCATAGTTCTCCCATTGCGCTATGGAGTGTCAGAGGCGACGTTGCCACTTTCGGCCCGAGTTGACTGTCTCCCGGAAGACGTCCTCGTCGACATCTTCTTCTTAGCAACCGCACATCAACGCAAGTTGACCCGGCTAGGGTGGCAGTCCAAGCTTTTTCCGCGTAGATTTTCCATCCGGACGCTTCTCGCTATCACACACACATGCCGTCGGTGGCGCGAGATAGCCATTGGCTTCCCTCGACTGTGGACGAACATCGACATCCGAAACTGGCCGCAATACCTCGCGTTTGAAGCTCGGTCTCAAGCACTTCCGCTGTCCATGACGATGGTCGTTCCCTCTGGTGGTCTGCAAATGCATCTCAAGCCTTCAGGAAGTCGACTCATTATCGGCCCTGCTTTCAATCACGTTCGATGCCTCCAAGTGGAGCTACAGTCCGTGGATCTCGCCCCACCACCAGGATGGTTCTTGAAGATGGAAGCACCGAATCTTGAAGCCCTCATGTTGTCCACTGCGAGCTGGAAGTATGCACTGAAGGAGGAACAGGATCTGATCAACTACCCCTCCTTCGAGGATGTCCCTGCAGCCCGTCCGATCAAGCTCCTTGACACAGACAGTCCGAGCCCTCTGCAAGCCCTGGCGCTGTGGGGGATGCGCGGATGGTACCCACTCGACCACTTCCCTCACCTTACGCATCTTCTACTTCATGTCGTTACTTCCACGCAAACCCGACGCTCTTCAGCTTCCTTCGTAACACCCCGGCTGTGCGATTCCTTCATCTTTCGCATCTGATACACCTCCTTGAGGAAGCCCCCCCATCCTTCGTGCAGGTCCCCCTTCATTGTCTCCGCTCACTACTGGTCACCGACTCGAAACCAGACAATGCTGTACCCGTATTCTCCTACCTCCAGTTTCCGGATTCGGTCTCCATCCGTATGACCGCTCCGGAATTCCTAGACGACGAGTACTTCGACCTACGTTCCCTCGCCGCCGTCCGCAGCGCGACCGACCTGGATATCCGGACAGACAACCCCTTCCTCTGCGAGGTGCAATTCGCGCTCCACGGCCAACGTCCGGGTTCTGGCTAAACAGCCAGATGCAAGAGGCGCACTTCGCGCACCAGTGGGTCCACGACCAGCTCATCAACTTCCCCCGCCACATCCCGCTCGCCACCATCACGTCCTTCACCCTCGACTGCCCGTTCGTCAACGCCGGCGCGCTCGCCTGCGCGCTCGAGCTCATGACCGCGCTCGAGACGCTCCGCGTCCTCCTCTCCGCGCCGCCCAAGGACTGCAGGGAGCGCGATTCCCGCACGTATCTGCCGCCCAGCATCTGCTTCCAGCACCCCCCGGACCTCGGCTTCCACTGGCTCGCCATCTCGCTCAACCCGAGTCTCGACCCGGGAAGGGCGAGCCCGAAGGGAAGTCCTCTGCCCCGCGCTGAAGACGCTCGCAGTCGCGTCGAACATGGTCGAGGAGAACTCGGGGCTCTTGTGCCTCGCCGTCGGGCGCTACGAGGGGTACGTCAAGCAGTTCCTCGAGGCGCGCGCCGACACGGGCACCCCGATCCGGGCGCTCACGCTCCAGCCGTTCGCGTCGCTGCAAGTGCACACGGTACCGGAGGAAGACTTCGAGTACGAGGCGAAGGAGTGGTATCACGAGTCTGGCGCGAACGTGGAGCTGGTCGAGGACACGGAGAGGAAATGGCGCGAGACGTTCGAGCCCCTCGTGGAGCGATTCGAGTGGGTCCCGCCGGGCAAGTACATCTTTGGCGACTTCGCGAAGCGGGACTACTGGGATGTGGAGGGCCAAGAGAAGTACTGGAGCTGGGGTACAATAGTCGGCCACATTTCAGGAATCCGGAAGATCCTGCTTGCGATGGAGACGACAGTGATTCGGAAACGCACGAAGGTCCTTGTGACCCCGATGACGCCGACGACGATGAAGACGAAGGCGAGGGGAGCAGATCATCGCCTATGTCCTACGACTAGTAGAATGTATCTCGCGTGCCTCTAATACACTCCACTCTTCTACACTCGTAAGGAAAGGACAACCGTGAAAGCATTGAACTAGCTTGTTCCGAGGCGCTCTAGGCAACTTAAACCCAAGCCCCGTCAGCCTCCGACCCTCCGCCCTCGCGCCAGATCGTGTCCTTGCGCCTGTCCGTGTCACAGCAGAAGACGCGTTCGAGCCCAGCTCAGCCTCCCGGACCCACCGCGCGAGCAGCGCCAGCCGCTGCGTCCCGCTCGCGAACATCCACTCCCGGTCCGTCTCGCACCCGTCCCGCCAGAACGACCGCCACACCCACTGGCGCTCCACACCCCCCGGGTGCGGTGCAGCGAGCGGGGCCCCCTCCAGCACGGTCGGCGCGCGCACCATGTGCCCCAGCGCGAGCTCGGGCATCGCGGGACATCGCCTGCGGGACGGGCCCCGCCGCCGGGCGCGCGACGACGCCGAGCGGACGTACCGCACCGCGCGCTCGAGCGCGACGCGGATCTCCCCGAGGGAGCGCATGTACGTCGTCCGGAAGAGCGGGCACGCGTCGAGCGCGATCGGGCACTCGACCGACCCGACCGGCGCGGCGCGGTAGACGACGGGGACGAGGCCGACGAGGTCCGCGTCGCGCTCGCGCGCGGCGTTCATGCCGTCGTACGTGCTCTGGCACCGGCGGAGGAGCTTCTTGTTCGTCGCGACCACGGGGCTCGAGATGTGGACCGGGTAGGCGGTGCGGAAGAGGTAGGTGCGCGCGGGGTTGGGGGCCGCCCGGGAGGGGAGGGGGGTTGACGTACGCGAGCTCGACGACGATGAGGTGCGGCTCGCCAATGACCACGATGCCGGAAGTCGCGACGGTGCGCCGATGATATCCCGGAAGTTGAAGGCGTGGGCGGCGACGAAGTCCCGAAGGTGAAGGGACATAGACTCGGGGGTAGGGAGGGTGCGTCTTGAATCAGTGGGGTCGTGGAGTTGTGGATGGGAGAACACACGCAGAATTTCCTGTGTTTGGAAGATTGGCCCTGCTGGGAGACGACGCGACAAAGTAAGTACACACCTGTGAGGGTATCCTGCGACTTTCCCGGTTCACACCGGGACAGGAGATCGCTGTCGGCATGCCCGCAAGCCACACAATCGCTCAGGGGGTCGGTGGGAGAAAGGAGTCGAGCAGAGGAGGAGGGCATGGCGTGGACTGATCACAGATCTTGCAGAAGTCGGTTCGCTTGTCTGCCACCTTAAGGCTCATTTGAGCGAGGCTGACACCTCGTCAGCCTTAATCCACGGCCCCATTCTAGAAACCGTCACAATCGGGTGCTCATGAGCAGTCTGGAATGAATTAGTCCCGCAACTGTTTGAACCATACGGGATCGCACCCACCGCGAGTGCGACCGTATACGTGTCTTCCGCTCCAGGCCTGACCTCGGGTGAGCGTGTACATCAGTTCAAGTGGTGGGGTGCGCGCCACAGCGAGCGCAAAGCGGTCGTCGTCGAAGAGCCGCAAAACATGATGTTCTCGGGCTCGAAGCCGAGGTCGGGAAAGATATATGCGGCGAGCACACCGAGGAGAGAACGGGGAAGGGGGACTGCGCCTATGATTCCGCGGATGAGCGGAATGTCAGCGGCTTGCAACACACGAATGAGCTGCGCAGCTGCTTTCGGTTTAGGGAGGCGTGAACGATTGAGCAAGCGGTAGGCGTAAGATCGGACGTACCGCTTGCAGCGCTTTGGACCCGAGGGAGGGCGAGTGTCTGGGATCTGGGGAGTATGTCAGTGTGTCGCATGTCGTCGAAGTGGTGCTATCCCTCACCGTTTGTACTATGTGCTAGGTGTCTTGGAGATGTTCGATGTTACATTACCATCATCGTCCCACTCGCCTTGAAGCTCGGGGGAGAGCGACTTATGCGAAGAAGCCACATGTTACTGAAGACTCTATGAATTGCTGACGTAGTGGCTATGGCAGCATCGGGTGACATTAGCATACATAACACACGAGGTCTAGGATTGTTCCGTGAAAAATCTATCCATCCTTTCTTCATTCCACCTTCGCCTTCGGCTTCATGGCCGCAGGGCCAAACGTCTTCACCACCCTAGTCGTGAAGAGGCCCGCGAGGATGACCGCGCATACTGCGCGTGCCGTCTCGGGGTCGACGGCCGCGATCTTCTCCGAGCTACCCTCGGCAGCAGATGACCCCAGCCATCCCATCGAGACCGCGTGTGCGTCAGCCCAGAACGGTTGCGCGTGGGTGAGGAAGGAGTATATCCCGGTGATAACAGGTGCACACCACAGGTCAGTGGTCGTCCAGCCGTAGGGGAGGAACTCGGTCGGGGTGGTTAGGGTGAGGGCGTAGGGTTGGAAGAAGGAGAAAAGGTTTGTGAAGAAGAAACCGGCATTAGCAGTCATCTATGCGCGCGAAGTGGAGGTGGGATTAGAACAGCATCCAGAAGGAAGATATACTGTGACTCTGCGCACCAACGACGTGAGCAGGAGAGTCCAAGGGTTCTCCTGGATGGCAGGGGAAGGATGGGCCGTGACCATGGGTGGGATCAGGTTGCAGAGAAGGTAGGCACGGCTGAAGCCGTCAAACAGCGCGAGAGGAAGCTCGACTTCGTAAGAGGGCTCGGGGACCCAGGGAAGCTTGTCGACGGTGGCTTGAATGACAGTGTAGAAGGCGGGTACAACACCCGAGAGCATGAACGAGGGCGGGATAGCCAGAGCTGGACCTACAGATGGTCTGAGAGTGAGAGCTAGGTGAAAATACGACATACGCACCCATGATTGCTTCCCCTCCGTACACTACCAAGAGAGCGGCGGCGGCGTCGCGCACAAACGACCGCGGCTCAATCTCCTGTAACGCAGCTGTCTGGCCCTTCTCTGCGTTTACGGTCTTCATCTTCAGCGCATGATCGTGCCACAGCTTCTCACGGATCTGGCGGAGCGCGACGCATAGACGAAACGCGGCGACGGTGTCGAGAGTGCTGATACCGAGACCAAACCAGGTGAAAGGCGCGATGGGAGTGAGAAGCAAGCGGTAAACCTCGACCACCGGGGCGAGGAGGAGGGACATGGTGGCAAGAACAAACGGGAAAGGGCAAGCGGCAGCGATCTTTTATCGCGCTCGGGTTTTGGGCTGGTGGCGGGGCGGCTCAAGTCGAGAGGTGAACGAACGTGTCGCGAACGTGGCGCATGATGCATGATGAGAGCCGGCACTGTGTGGGGGAGAGCGGCGCGCGACGTCGACGCATAGGGCAGTTTGATCAAGCACGTCGGCGAGTCCTCCTCGGACCTCTCTATGTGCATAAAATATCATCACTTGTCAATTCTAGCGGTTGGGTCAGTGTTGGGGAAATGGGAGTGACATCAGGATACGGACCAGAAAAGGGTATATGTAACCTAAAGTTTGCATACTTCGCAGGGTACAATGGTGTAGTGGCTGTCATGGCCCTAAACCGGGAATGTGAGGTGGTCTAAAGCATCAACGGACTCAGTCGTTTGTGCGCTGGTTCAAGACCGTCCCCTCCAGAAAACTTGGTTACTTTGTGTCTCCCGTGCCGTAAGGCGTGGACGGACCTGGTATAATGCGCCTTTGACTGGCCAGGGAAGCAATTCCGCAACCTGCAAGGCGCGCCGAGTTAGTCTTAGGAGATCAGGACGCGTCGTCTGTCGCGCAGGTGGCCCGTGCCCCTCATAAACCCTTAATCTTTTTGTATCATTTGGATGTATGTTTCTCTTTTGTTAGTATTTGTTGTAATTGTCTCAGCCTCAGCAGTGTTCCAGGCATCTCGGAATGACCGATACTTATCAGTAAGTTGTAAGTACATGCTATCCGAATGGATGTGCGTCTATGTGGCTGAGACGACGAGTCTGGCGGAAGCGCAGCCCTCAGCACGCTTTCACCATTACCCTCTCAGCTCCCTCATATACCCTGTCTTTTTTCTCACTTGAATCTTAAGACTTGCGGCGCCGTTCTCTCGCGTAAGGTTGGCGCGGAGAATTGAAGCTCACTCCAAGAACCTCCCTCAAATACTGCAGCTTGCCTTCCGCCGCAATGAAGCTCTCCTGGTCAAACTCTTCTCCGGGGTGTCTTGCTGCTCTGTTGCTTCACACACTGCCCTCTTTCGCCATATGGCCGTTCCCTCCTAAACGGTTCAGCGGTAACGCCCTGCTCAATGCCGGTTCAATGGGCGTGGGTCCCGAATCGAGCATCATTGCCTTCGGGGACTTCAATGGAGATCAGTTGTGAGTACACTGGTATGTTTGAAGGATGATGAAGGTTTATAGATTGCTAGTCTTGATCTGCTAGCACTGGATTCTGACCGTCAATCGCTTCACATGTACCTGTGGGACCATGGTACGTCTTTCTTTTGCATCCCTTGCGCGCGCGTCACGCACCGTTTGCAGAGGCGTACACGTTCAAGAGCTCAGGAGGGTTTCGACATCCGCAACGCGTGTTCAATGTTATCCCGGGAGACTTCACGCAAGATGGGAAATTGGACCTACTCGTCTACGGGCAATCGTCGACCTCCAGTGTTCTCTCAGTGCAGCTGTACGTTGCAAACCCGGAGGGTGGATTTGGTGCGTGATGAATTTGCTCGGAGTTGCTGGAGACTGACCCTGTGACAGACTTCAAGTCCATCAGCGCAGACCCGGCCATTTACGCGCAACCCATTCCCATGGACATGAACGGTGATCTCAAGATTGACCTCCTAGGAACTACATCTTCTGCGCCGTCATCAACTTTCAAGGTCTGGCAGAACGTGTGGAACGCCTCGAGCACACGCTCAAATGTGTTCAATGTGTACGTTCCTCGCCGCGTGCGGGATTCCGGGTCGTCGGCTGAATGGCGTTCATTACAGCGTGGACCCTGACTTCAAAGGGCAACACTGCAGGCTGGCGAACCCGCATAGCAACGCGGCGGTGGACCTGGACGGAGATTGTCTCGCAGGTACGTATCATGTATACCCTCATGATGCGCGGCTCGCTCATAAGAGCGTTCAGATGTCTTCTTGGTGTGTGAGGATCCAAGCACGGGAGGGAAGTACTTCCAGATCTGGGTGAACAAGAAGGACAACGGGTTCGAGCTGGCGCAGACTCGGTCTCTTCCCGCGGGAACACAGGCAATCTCATTCGCCGACATCGGTGCGTAATCCCTCCACGAGTACGTTCCCGCATGGACTTCAACATCAAGCACAGATCGAGACGGAACGCTCGACATGATGTTTGCGACCTGTACGTCCGTGTCGTCATCCACTGGTATCGGGACAACATGTTTCATCAATATCGCGTTCAACAAGCAGCTCCCTCTCTGCGCCGCATCCACTTCGCCCAACATTGTGAACGGCAAGCGCGTCTGCAGGTTGCCAGAGCAGCTGTGCGTGGCAGACCCTAACTTCCAGTTCGACCTCAACGATGGTGCCGGCAACGATGTGCGTCCATGCTTTACCATGTGCCTCTCGTCCTCTTCTCACCTACGTCGCTGCAGGCATTCGTTCGTATTCCCCTGTCCGATCTCTTCCCTCCTACCGAAAGTTCGCCAGCCCCGCCTGGGTTGCTCGTGGTTGACTCCTCCCAGAGTCCAGCAATCCCCATCCCGATCAAACTCGGCGACGTGAACCAGGACGGTTTCCCTGACCTACTCATGATCGTCGCCACGGGCAGCAGCTCCAAGCGACAGCGGACTCCCTACCTCATAGAGTCCATCCCGTGTGGCAAGGGTGTTCCCGGCTGTGGTTCCAACGGGTCGGGTCGACGTGGATGGCAGGTGGTGAGGAAGGATGCGGACGCGCTGATCTCGGTGCAGGACGCAAGGTCGGCGGCGTTCTTGGACATGGACGAAGACGTGCGTATACTTGTGTCGTCGCTGGGGTCTCGATTGACGAGTTTTTGCGCGCAGGGGTCGCTAGACATTATGGTTCAGCGCACAGGGGAGCAGAAGCAGGGCAACATTCTGTTCGTGCAAAACAACTTCTACTACGACGCGTTCTTCTTGAAGGCCATCGGTAGGTCTTCTATCCTTGCATTCTCTCTTCGTTAACCCTTCTCGCAGTCCTCAATGGAGCATGCAGCACCGGGGTCTGCCCCGCTTCGAATGGGAGCGACAAGCACCACCCCTACGGCGTCAGCTACTCCGGAGCCTCGTACAAGTACACTGTGCTCGACACGACCGGCCGACGCTCAGCGGCTCAAGTCGGACAGATGCCGCAAGCCGCGTACCAGGCACTGCTGACGCCGTATGTCTACTTCGGGCTCGGACGGACGAATAATTACATCGAGAACCTCTTCGTGGGTCGACGAAGCACACCGAGATGCACTACATCAACATGGAGGGCGTCATCCCGAACTCGAAAGTAGTCATCATTCCGCCAATCGAGGGCGACACGTGGAGGCGGGAGTTGTACTTGCGGCCTGGGGAGTGGATTCCATGGGTGACGATCACCGTCATCGCAGCGTTGATCATCCTTGCGATTATCGTACTTGTGCTGCATCTGAACGAGAAGGTACGTCTCTGTGTGCTCTGTGTGTCGCTACGCTGACGAACGGGCTCCGCAGCGGGAAGACGAGCTTGAAAGACGACGCGCATCTCACCACATCAATTTCGATGCGCTGTAGTACTGTGGACTTTAGTCTCGGTATCGTATTGTACTTGTGCGCTACTCTGTGCTTCAGCTATTCTAATTCATGTGTAAATTCTTCCTCCGGATTCGCTTGCCGTCGTGACTGAACCCAGACCACGGTGCGTATGTGCGCATCTTCCTAGGCTATCACGACCCACTTCTCGCCCACTTTCTCGACCCTTCCATCCTCCAATAGTTTGGTGAGGTGAAGCCCGACACTATGCGCGGCAGGCCCCCACAGGTCCTTCGGATACCTCGCATAGATCGTCGCCACGATCTCCTCGACGGACCGCCCCTCCTCTCTCTCTCCCTCAGCCTGCAGCACGCGCACGATCTGCTCCTCGCGCTCGACCCGGTGCTTGAGGTACGTCTCGACCTTGACCAGCCCGTCCTCCACCACCGGGCCGTGCCCGGGGTACAGCCGCGTGTACGTCTGCCCGTCGTCCCCTCGCGGCCCAAGTCGACCATCGCGGCGAGGCTGCGCATGTACGGCCCGAGGTCCTCGAAGACGGACGAGCCCTGGCCGAGCACGGTGTCCGCGGTGAAGAGCGCGCGGTCGGGCGCGTAGAAGAGGCAGAGCGAGTCGGGCGTGTGGCCGGGGGTGTGCAGGACGCGCAGAGTGGCAGGGGTGGGAGAGGAGGAAGTCACGGGGAGGGTGTCTCCGTCGGCGAGGTCGTGTAAGGGGGCGCCGGACGGGCTGGGGGCGAAGGAGTCGGGAGTGAACGAGGAGAGGAGGGTGGAGAGACCGGTGTTGGGGGTGGGGAGGGGTATCTTGTGGATGCGCGGGGGTGGAACGGGGTTGAAGCATTGTCGGCCTCCCAGAGCTTGCGGAGAAGGGCGAGGACGGAGGGGAGGCCGTTGGTATGGTCGTGGTGCCGGTGGGTGAGGACGATGTCGGAGATGCGAGGGACACTGGTGTCGTGCTCGCGAGCAGGATCGAGGAGGGCTTCTTGCAAGAGAGGTGCGTAGGTGTCCTTGCCTTCTCCGGTGTCGACGAGGATGTAGGGGTTGCGTTCACCGAGGAGGTAGGTATTTGTGCCTATGAAGGCTGCGATTGAGCACACTCGCCATTCCAGGGTGAACAGACCTTCATTCACCTTGCAATGTGAACTTCCCGGGGTTCTAGGGATGTGTTGGACAAATTTTGGACAATAATATGAACATGTTTGCGCACCTGTCCTAGAACTCTCGTTACTGTCTTGCTGAGCTTATGATCAAAGACGGTATGGTTAGTCGACCTCGCTGAATACCACCAAAAGTGTGTCATACCCTCGATATAGACGGGAGGGCGTCCAATAATTCCATCGCAATGATTAACCAAGAATCCAACTTGCGATAGAGTGGGGGGAAGGATGAAGGAGAGGCAAGCCGGCAAGCCGGGAAAGACACTGGACCGGATCTTCGACTTGTTGATCTCCTCTTGATCTCCTCCGGTCTTCGCTGAGGGTCTTAATAAGCCGCACATGTCACGCGAATCATAGTAACAGACGATTCAGAGATTTGTAGTGGGTCGAGGAGGAGGAGGAGGTTGACTTTGTTCCTTTGGGCAAGGAGATAATTAGGCACATAGTACTCCTGACCTGCTAACGGGCTTCACGTGCTTTAGTCACACATTGTGACGTCCGTCACACCGGCGTTCAAGCCTTACGTAAGTCCAGCTGTCTTTGCGCGCTGTTGGTGAACGCGCTGTGCTCAGCTCTCTTCCTCATTCACCACGATGGCGACCGCGGCGACCATGACCCCTGCTTCCCCCTCTGATGGCATGCAGAAGAGGAAGAGGTACGTTCTATTCACTCATGCTTCCGACGTCGCCACTAACATCGCGCCAAGGTCGCGTTCCCCCGAGTTCGCGGAGCAGCCACCGTCCAGCCGGCGTAGGTCTCTGTCGCCTCCTCCCCGCGTAGTGGAAGTCCCGAAGGTGCTCGACGTTGACCCTGTGCGTCGCGCCGAGCGTGAAAGGCAACTCGCGGCGCGTATGGCGGAGAAGGAGCTCGAGCGGATGGAGAGAGCGAAGGACGGCCGCAAAAAGGAGCCTGTGTTCGACGCCGCAGCCGAGTTTGCGAAGCTCACCAACTCGCGCTCCGGCGGGGTGTACATGCCCCCGGCGCGTCTACGGGCGATGCAGGAGGAGGCGGGGAAGGACAAGACGAGTGCGGAGTACCAGAGGCTCTCTTGGGACGCCCTCCGCAAGTCTATCACCGGTATTGTCAACCGAGTCAACGTCGCGAACATCAAGATGGTCGTGCCGGAGCTCTTCCAAGAAAACCTCATCCGTGGACGAGGCCTGTTTGCGCGGAGCGTCATGAAAGCCCAGGCGGCAAGTTTGCCCTTCACTCCAGTTTTCGCTGCCCTCGTGGCCATCATCAACACAAAGCTTCCGCAAGTCGGAGAGTTGCTTTTCACGCGGTTGATCAGTCAGTTTAGGCGGTCGTTCAAGCGGAACGACAAGGTGCGTCCTTTTCACTAGCTAGGTGACTAGGGTAGTCCGAGTCTAGCGTTGTCGTGGAACGGCGTCGTGGCTAGTCACCTCAGCCGCCCTGACTGACTCTGTACTTTGCTGACTGCTCTCTTTAGATCGTCTGTCACTCGACGACTACATTCATCGCGCACCTCGTCAACCAAAGCATCGCCGACGAAATCATTGCTCTCCAAATCCTCGTCCTCCTCCTCGAGCGCCCGACGGACGACTCCATCGAGATTGCGGTGGGCTTCATGCGTGAAGTCGGCGCGTTCTTGTCGGAGAACTCGCCAAAAGCCACCGCCAGCGTCTTCGAACGCTTCCGCGCAGTTCTGAACGAAGGCACCATCAGCCACCGTGTACAGTACATGATCGAAGTCCTCATGCAGGTTCGCAAGGACAAGTTCAAGGACAACCCGATCATACCCGAGGGGCTGGACTTGGTCGAGGAAGACGAACAGATCACACACCGGATTCAGTTGGAAGAGGAGCTGCAAGTGCAGGAGGGGCTGAGTGAGTACTTGTATGCGTTCTCTCTTGGCGTTTGCTCACCGTTCGTAGATATCTTCAAGGCTGATCCCAACTATCTGGAGAACGAAGAGCGATACAAGCAGATCAAGGCGGAGATTCTCGGGGAGGGATCGGACGACGACGAGTCTGGGTCTGGGTCAGAGGACGAGGATGACGACGACGACGATGATGAGGAAGGTAAGAACTGATTTGCTATTGCACAGGCAGTTTAACTGATGGCTATTGTAGCGGTCGCGGAAAAGGAGGGCATTGAGGATCGAACACAGACGAATCTCATCAACCTTCGCCGAGTCATCTACCTCACCATCATGAATTCTGTCAACTACGAGGAAGCCGTACATAAGCTCCTCAAGGTGCAAATCAAGGAGGGTCAGGAGGTATGGTTATTTGTATCGGATAGTCGCATCGAGCTCACAAAAGTTTGTAGATCGAGCTTGTCAAGATGATCATTGAATGTTGCTCGCAAGAGCGGTCTTACATCCCCTTCTATGGACTCGTCGGCGAACGTTTCTGTCGGCTCAACCGCGTATGGTTCGACTGCTTTGAACAAGCTTTCCGCGAGTACTACGAAACTGTCCACCGGTACGAGACGAACCGTCTCCGCAACATCGCTCGCTTCTTCGGCCACCTTCTCGCATCCGATGCGGTCTCGTGGAACGTGCTCGACTGCATCCATCTCACCGAAGAGGATACCACATCAAGTTCACGTATCTTCATCAAGATTTTCTTCAGCGAGGTCACAGAGAGTATGGGTCTGAAGACGGTCTCGGAACGCTTCAAGGACAATGAAGTTCAAATGTCGTGTCGAGGCATGTTTCCTTTGGATAACCCGAAGGACACTCGGTTCGCAATCAACTACTTCACTTCCATCGGACTTGGTGCGATCACCGAAGACATGCGCGAGCATTTGAAGGTATGTGCTCACGTTTTTGAGGATCTTCGATGTTACTGAGCCTTCGCTTGTAGAATGCGCCCCGCCTCATCATGGAGCAGCGCCGCCAGATGCTCGAAAACGAGTCTTCGTCGTCCGACTCGGACAGCTCCGACTCAGGTAGCGACTCCGACTCCTCAGACAGCGATTCTGGCTCGGGCTCAGATGGCTCCTCCGCGGACTCCCGGCGGCGACGACGCCGGTCCCCTTCACATTCCCCTCGCCGCCGCGACAGCCCCCCTCCCCTCGCGAAAAGAATCGGATGCGCGACGATTCACGTACACCCCCACGCCGCGGCGGAGGCGACCGCGATCGCTCGCCTCCTCCGCGGTACCGCGACCACGACGACCGACCCCGGGACCGCGACGGAGACCGTGACCGGTACGTCTCGCGCCGAGACTCCCCACCTCCACCTCCCCGTCCCCGCGCGCACTCTCCCAACGGCCGGGACCGGGACCGCGCGCGCTCCCCGCCTCGCTCGCCCACTCCACCTCCGCGCTCGCGCAACGGCGGTGGCGGGGAGGCCGACGGTCTCGCTCCCGTTCCTACTCGCCACCCCGGCGTGGGTCTGGGGGGAGGGACTATGGCCGGGACAAGCCCCGCCGGGACGACTCACACGACCGCGACTACGATCGAGATCGCAGGCGTCGGTCAGTCTCGCGGGACCGGTACGGTCGGCGGTGAGCGTTGGCGTGGCGGTGACGAAGGCTGAAATCGCGCCCGTTGACTGGCTGAATGGAAGGCTTGGTCTCGGGCACGTTGGGAAGTTGGCTCTGGTCTCGCTATGGATGTATTTTGTATCCTATAACTCAGCCGGTATATGCTATGTGACCCCTTGTATGTGCGTACACTGCCAAGTGCCGTGCCTATGCGTGGATTGTAGAACTGAATCTTGATCCCTGGGCTTCACCCTTCCCACATGTGACAATGGGCAAACTGGCGGGCTGTGCATACTCACGGAATCATCCAAGAGAGGCAAGTTGCGCAAGGCGGTGGCAGTGCTGTCCTCGTTGTTCCAAGGCCGCCACCTGGACCGCATTCGATGACACCTCGTGTGGGTACATAAGGACGTCGCACGCAGGCCTGCCTGCCTTCCTCCTCTGACACCGGGCGACGACACAAGAGGATGTTTTCTTGGCTCCTCCAACTCTTTTCCCGAGTCTTTCCCTGGATTCCGCTCGAAGCCTTGACCCGCCTCACAGCCTCAATCCTCACACCGGTCCGGCTCTATCACTCCTCTGCTCTGGATCGCATACCAAACGAGCTCATACTTCACATCTTGCGGCATCTCGACATCGATGACCTTATTTCATGCGCATACGTGAGTGGCACGACTTTGCATGCGATAAATTTGTATGCTCAACTTAGTATTCCGCAGGCATCCCGCAAACTCGCTCATCTGATCAGAGATGATGCTTACTCACAACTTACCATCGGTCTCCGCCGGACTTCTCTGGTCGAAGGCGATCCCGGCGCCCACATTTCCGTGGGTGGCAAACGCGACTTGCTGCGCGCCTACGTCTCGCGCTTCCACCGTGGCCCGAATTTCACTTGCGTCAAAACCGATTTTGAGGCGTTCTACGATCCAAGGCTACTAGATACCTCCGATGGTTCGATCTGTTTCTTTATGCGAGACAGGTCCGGACTGTCGCCTCCTCACTTGAAAGTGCATACCCCCGGATCACCTCTTCGTTCGGCCGAGCCATCCTCGCTCGAAGTCTCGCTTGGGCATATCTTCACCAACAACCAACTCACATTCGTGACCGGCACTGTGGATTTGTCTCAAGATCTAGCTGTATTTGTAGTACGCCCGAGATCGTCCTGGTGAGCCGGTATAAACGACGTTATGAAATCTCTCACTGACTGCAGTGGCAATTGCACCAGGACCGTCTCCCTACATCTACTTTCTTCACACGGACGCGAGTCTGCGCATTCTGGGGCCCGCTGGCCGGTGCTTCACACTACCCCGTGTAGCAACACTAATGACACGCTTATCCCCATTGTTGTCCGGATAGAAGGGCTGCAAATCCGCGGCCCGTATTTGTCTTACGTGATGGTATCACAACAGCTCGGGAGCACAACCTACTCAGAAGTGGAGGTATGGGACTGGAAAGACGGCCGCAAACTTTGGGTGAGCTCTTCTGTCCCTTGTAGGGTTTATTACGTTGTCGCTTATGATTGCGTCCCAGACTCGGAAATATAGCAACACGGCGTACATGGCAATGCTAGATGACGAGCATCTCATCGTCGTACATGGTGACGCGCTTGAAGTGTTCCAGTATCGAAACAACGATCCGCCATCGACTGCATCCTCGAACCACCCACCAATGTGTCACCTTCAATGGCCGTCCCTACAGAAAGACCTGCGTATGCACATCGAAGAAGTGCACACCAGCCACCCTCCGCCCCCGGCACTTCCCCGACAACCACACCCGACCCTTCCAAGCCGACCCGTCCTACACCGTCGCCGCGACCCGCTTCAGCATACACCGCAGCGCCGAACACACCGACTTCTTCCTCCTGCTCCCCGTCCCCCCTCTCCTCGCGCTCGCCCGCCACGCCGCCCGCGCCGGGCCCTCCCCGCAGCGCTCCCGTGGGCGGCGTGGGGCCCGCAGACCGCGGTGCTCCTCCGCTGCGACGAAGCGGACCGCGCCGGCGTCGCCCTCCGCCCCTTCGGCGCCGCCTTCCCCCTCGCGTGCCTCAACGGGCGCGCGGCGCCCCCCTGGCCCTGCGCGGTCCTCGACCTCAACCCGCACGCGATCGACGGCGCGCCGCCGCCGCCCGCCGCCGCCGCGCCCGACGCCTCCGCCGGCGCGCGCAACGGCTGGACGCGGGAGGACGACGACGAGGGGCGCGCGCTGCGCCGGCGCGTGCGCCGCATGCTCTTCCACGGCGGGGCGGGCGCGGACGCGGACGAGTTCTTCGCGGAGCCCGTGGCGAGCGGGCGGACGTGCGCCGTCTACTGCGGCCCGCGGCTGTGGCGCATGGGCAAGAACGAGCTGACGTCGAGCATACGTCTGGTGGACGGCGGGGTGGTGGCCACGGTGAGTGTTCGAACGGTCGCCGTCCGCTCGGTTGTGGGAACGTGAGCTGATCGTCGCGGTGCGGCAGTACGTTCGGGATCCGATGGATTGGCAGGTGATTGGCTTTGAGACGCATACTGTCTGATATACCCCCCATATAGGTAGAAGTCGTCGCGAGCGTTGTAGTGTTTCTGAAAAGGAACCACTTCCGCGCGCCGAACACTATTTATCTCTCCCTCCTTGGAATGTATCGTCGGACCTCAGGACTATGTACTAGAGAGAATGGTTTTCAGTCGAATGTAAATCCGAACGTCGCGTCCAACGGAGGAAAGCATATTGGGACTTGCCGGGCGGACTATGTACTATGGCTCTCAAGTTTTGAAGAATGACTCGCACGTGCGCTTCGCTCTACTCAAGTCAGTCAGTTCTACACACCCACTGTCAGTAAACCAAACGCTGAGACACACGAAGCAACTACTCCTCCTCTCATGGCATCAACCGCGCTGTTTAATGATACGTAGAAGCGTACAACACAAGTGATGCGTCTTAGGCTAGCCGCGTCGACGTGAAAGCTTCAGCTACATCACGACGTTCTCGTTCAGATGTCCAATGCCCATAGGCGACTTCAGTACAAGTACATTCACACGTCCCTACTCCAGGACCACCTCTCATTTCCTTCCCTGTGCACCCTGCTCCGGCTCCGCTCGATCAACCACCAACCCGCTCGTCGCCCTCCCGCCACCGCCGAAATGCGCCTTGACCCACGCCTTGCCCGCCCTCCGGATCAGCGCCCGCCGCGCGAACCCGCGCGCGTCGATGTACACCAGCGCCACGTTCCGCGCCGTGTGCGCGCCGAGGTGCACGCTCTTGCCCACCTCCGCCCCGTACTTGTGCGCCGCCACCGCCGCCGCGCGCTCCGCCCCGACGTCGAACGTCCGCTGCAGGCCGTCGTCCACCGCGGCGAGCACGAGGTTCGCCGAGAGCAGCACCTTGTCGCGCGTGCGCACCCGTGGCGGCGGAGGGGGTGGCTGCTGCCCCGGCTGGGGCGACTTGCCGCGGGGAGGGAGGGGAGGAGCGGGGCCGGGGCCGGACGTCGGGGCGGGGCTGCGCCGAGGGGGGAGAGCCGGCTTGCCGTCCGTTACCCCGGGGTACGGCGGCGGCGGGTACTCTGAGTGAGGGGACTGCACCATCGGGGCGCTAGTCGGGGTGAGCGTGCCAGAGGACGGTGTGCGCGCCTGCGGCATCGCCAGTGTCGATACGGGCTGCGTCTTCGCCTTGGGCTTGCCACCGACGGCGCGCGTGATGAGGTCCTCTGCGATCTTGACGGTGCGCGCGGAGACCTTGACGGCCTGGCCGGAGACGGCGTACGCCTTTGAGAGCGTCGACTGCGTGCGCGGGTGTGAGAGCAACAGGAGCGCACGCGGCGGTGGCGGCGGTGGCTGGCCGTCCTTAGGCGTTGGGGCGGGCGCGGAGTGATTGATGTAGTAGTTCGTCGCATGGGTGAGCCCACCAAGCAAGAGCGTCGTCGATGTCGAGATCGCTGAGCTGCATGTATCCCCTTCAACACAGATCGTCATAAACAACCAAAAGAGACTCACCTGATGAGCGTCGCCGACTTCGTCATCCAGTCCTGGTCCTCCGGCGGGATCGCACGCACGAAAATCTCCCTCGCCTCGTCCAACTCCGTGCTCGGCGCCGCATACGGCACGACGCTCGCCCCCTGGCCCGTGTACGCGTCGTACACGTCCTCGGGCAGCTCCAGCATCACCGGCGCGGGCTGGCCGTCCGCGCCCTTCGTCTGCGACGGGTGCGCGAGCGCGGGGTCCTCCTTGATGCTCACCCGGTTCGGCAGCTCCCCGACGACCTCCCCGCTCGCCTCGTCCACCAGCACCAGCTTCCCGCGCAGGCTCTCCGGCGCGGGCTCCCCAGTCATCACCGACACGGGCGGGTGCGCATCGGCGGACGAGGCGGAGGCCGCGGCCGCGTCCGAGCCGGCCGGGTGCTCGGCGTGCGGCGCGCCCCCGTCGACTTGCCAGTCCAGATCGGCGTACTGCGCGAGGATGTGGTCGAACGCCTCGACGGTCTCCGCGCGATGCGGGTCTGCGCGGGCCGGTGGGGGCACGGCGAGCGTCATCCCGCTAGGGGAGGACGGCTCGGGGGTGCCGCCGGGGGTGGTCGGCGAGGCGGCGGTGAAGGCATATGTGCGCGTGCCGTCCACGGCGATGCGGAGGTTGCAGGGGCGCGCGGGGTCGATCGGAAGCTCGAGCGCGCCGAGGCGGAGGACGAGGATGAGGGATCGGTCCTCGGGCGACAGCGAGGCGGCGAGCGTGTCCGGCTGGGACTGCGAGCCTGGTGGATGGGAAGGGGCGTCGGGTGCGAGGGTGACGCATTCGAGGGCGAGGGTGCCGGACGTGGAGGTCCCGCCGGCGGTGAGGGTGACGTCGGGGATGTGGAGGAGCACGAAGGCTTCGGGGTGCGTCGCCATTGTTGAGATTCTTGAGTGCGATGGGCGGCGATGAGAACGATGAAAGCAAGATGAGAAAGGGACACACCTGAGTATATGCGATTTGGACCACGGGAAACACACTCTAGGCCTTCCACAAATGCAGCGACTGTGAAGGACGATGGAGAGAGATGAGAAAGATGAAAGGAGGAGGAGAGTTGGGGCGTACCTGAGCGAATGTATGCTGCGCGGAGCACTGGGGACACTCCTTTAGTCCAGCCAAGCCTGTTCCACCAACACAGTAACCTTATCCACCATCCGTATCCACGCCGGTCACGGTTTCCATGGCTTGGAACAGAGCGGTTTTCGGATTTATTGACGGCATAGACAGGCTCTAGGGGCGTTGGGGTTCGCTATGTGGTGACGGCAGCGATGAGCTCATGGCGGGGGTGAAGAAAGCCGCGTGTGCCTTCGCTGCCGTCGCGGAAGCAACTCTTCGTCTGAAGTTCCCGACGCACTGGTTCCAACCTGCCTTACGTTTGTAGTCAAAATCGACAGTGTGTACTGTAAGCTTCGGTCACCAGTCAAGATTCGACAATCGATTCGACCGACGGACTCGAGCGTCGCAAGGTGGTCGATAAAACCTTTTCACTCATCACAGCCCCGGGTGGGATTTCTAACTCACGGGTATTAGACCCCCCATGTACCCAATTCCGAACGGTATGGACTACACAACATCGAACTAGAACAGGCTGGTGAGAAGACGAGAAGACGAAGGCCCCGCACGCGCCGCCACCGCAGACGAGGCGGATGGCACCGTCGGGCCAAGGAGAGGCGAAACCTGCCTCAACGTGGAGAGACGCGTGACGCGGGCGTACTAGAGCTAGAGCTAGCGGCAGCGGGTGCACCAGGAACAATAGGCAGGAATAACGGTGGGGGGGAGGGAGGCGCGTTATGTGTGTATTTAGGTGAGTTCGGCGTAGATGGGCGAAGAGAGGAGCGAGCGATATATCTTCGTGGGCAGGCGTGCACAGGGAAAATCAACGTAAACCGGTCGTGATGGGTACGGACGTCGCGGACAGAGTGAACGGCGCGGGTCATTAGAGGATGGTGCACCCCCTTTTCTTCTTCACAACCGGTGGCTCGAGAGCCGCCACGATCGCCTGCGAGCCAAGGCACGTCAGATGGGGGTGGAGGACGCAAGAGAATGTGACACACCTCGTCGAAAACGTTCTTCAGGCCCTTCTGCGTCAGCGCAGAGCACTCTACATACTTCACCGCACCAAGTTCTCTCGCGAGCCGCTCGCCCTGCTCAGGTGCAACAGGACGCTGCTTCTGCCTCTGTAGCTTCTCCAGCACTTGAGGGTCGTCCCGCAGATCGACCTGCGTGCCGACGATGAGGCAAGGCACACCGGGACAGTGATGGTGGACCTCGGGGAACCACTTCTCCTTGACGTTCTCAAATGACGCCGGCGACGTCACGCTGAAGCAGACCAGGAAGACGTCCGTCTGCGGGTATGATAGTGGGCGCAGGCGGTCGTAATCCTCCTGACCTGTGTGGGTGGTCACACGACGCAGCGACGCAGGGTGAGCGTACAGATCTGGGGCCCGGTCGAGCAGAGACACGTACCCGCAGTATCGAACAGACCCAGGGTGTATGGGTCCTCGCCGATCATGACGGTTACAGCGTAGTTATCGAAGACCTAAGGAGAGGAGGTAGGGAATGGGTGCCAGTCGCTGCAACGCGGGCCGGATGACGTACAGTCGGGACATATTCACTGGGGAATTTGTTCGTCGTGTACGAGATCAGAAGACACGTCTGCGGTGGCGATGAAGCGCGAGGCGGGGTTCGGTGAGCTGGCGCAGAATGCGGGGAACGGGCAAACGTACCTTGCCGACCGCACCATCTCCTACAACAACACACTTGATTGTCTGCATATCTCTCCTGGAGTTCTAGAATCGGGGAGGCTGCGACACGGATGTGCATCAGCGTGCGTCCACTTATACTCGGATCCCGCACAGCAACGCCCCCGCCTTGGCCCCCGCGTCAAGGGAGCACCTGCTTCCCTTCCGAGGTGCCTCGGTGACGGAACAGAGAAGCAGCACTGGAGGACTATCGTGAAGCAGACCACATGTGGCCAACCATGGCCCCAGGGCCACGGACCGACATGATTGGCCCCTCCCCTCCGCGGCATGTTCGAACCACGCGGCAAGCGCGTGTCGGAGCTTGACGTGGCCGGTGGGGGAAAGGGGAGGCTCTGGTGGAGCGCACGGGGAATCAGGGAGACTCACGTTGGTTGTACAGCTAAGAGGGAGCGAAGGAACACGGCTTGCGTCGGAAGGGTCGGGCGATAGTTTGATATGTATCGCTCGAGACGAGGGCGGGGCGAGACTGGCACGGGCTTGCGCTCGGAAGGGCGAAGGAAGGGGGAGACGTAAAAGGAGGAGAAGACGAGCGGGGACGTGCTCGGGGAGCGGGGCAGCTGGGAGGGCAGATGGCGGACTGTCGGGACTACCAAGGGGGCCCTCAACGAGTTGGACTTGACGACCGGTTCACCGCTTTTCGAGAACGCCTGCCCTGAACTCCTGATGCGCCACATTCTTTGCCCGTAAGCGCGGCTCTTATCCTCCATACAACTGCATACAACCCGCCTCTTACTCCCGCTACTGATCGCCCTTATCCACCATTCAAGCCTCATATAACGGATCACCCCATATCCGCCTCGTGCCTATCTCCCCAGATAACGCCCGTCTCGGCTACCCATCCGCCCTCACCGCCGCCCGCCATGAGCTGCTCGTTGGCGTCCGTGCGCACGATGCGTTCGAACGCCCGACGCGCATGGACCCCGACTCTCATTGATCTCCCCCTCCACGGGCCACACCTGCCCAAACGCTGCGCGTCCGCCCGGACCGCGCTCTCCGATGGACGCCTCCGACGTCGACCCTGCGTCTCATCGCGATATCCGTCGGTCGCGCGTTTGGCCTCCTCCTCACGCACGGCTCCCGCACCCGCCTGAACCACCTGACGCGTGCGTGAGGGGATGGCGCGATCGCGAGCGCGTCGCGACGACGACTGCTCCCAGTGCCCCGGCTGTTTCGAACCCTATGACGCGCGCGAGCCACCCGGGGGACCAAATGCCATGGACGGTGTCTTTCGGGCTGCTGGCGGCGCGACGACGAACAGAACGTCGCGACGGTCCCCGCGCAGCTGGTGAATCCGGTCGCGACGCGTGCGGGAGCGCGACGCTGATGGTATGTATGCGAGCCACGGGACATGCCGTTCCTGCTCATTGAAACCGTGGCGTGCGTGGTGGCCAGGGCCTTTTCAAAGGGTCTACTTATAGAACGAAAGTCCCGATACACATTGAACTGGCGGAACCGTGCCACGGAATTTTTATACTCTTGATACCTAGAAACTCGTCGAAGAGGTCGGGCTCTCGGGCTTGAGCGAACGTCTCATTGGTTCCCAGACAGGCAGCAGTACCTCGGTGACCACTCTCCCGTCCACCACACGTACGCAAGTTGCGAAGTTGGGGGTCTCGTCCGTGCGCGGATACCCCACGTTCGGTCCACGATATAGCATAATGGTAATTAGCTGCATCTGCACCGCTTCCGCGAAGGAGCTCACCCATATTCTGCATCCATCTTGCCACTTTTAGACAGCAACATCGAATTTCTGCTGACGAGACTCGGAGCAACAGTACAGGTGCTCGTCAACAGGAGGCGTGCGTTACATATGTACGGCTTGAGGTTGGCGCTGGCCTAGGAACGTGGGTGTGAGCGCAAAAATGCGAACCATGTTCATAGAGTGCACTCTGGTTGAAGTCAGGCTGAGAAAATGTTGCTTCCGACTTGCCTTATCGAGGAATAGTTTGACGCAGGGTTAGGGGCGTGCAATCATACAGTCGAGCCTCAGCCTGCGGACTGTGCACCTCATCTCTTCCTCCCTCCCCACCATGGCGATCAACGCGAGCGAAGACACCGAATTGTGCGTTGTGCATCCTCCCCGATGCGCGGACGATGCTTGACCCGGGCACGCCAGCAACGAAGCGCTCCGCAAGCACGGCATCCTCCCGCCCCTCCCGGAGGCCCCCCGCACGCCCTCACCCCCGCCCCCGCCGACGCTCGAAGAACGCTACGCCAACCACAGCGCGGCGCAGCTCCGCGAGCTCGCCGCAGAGGCCCCCGACGACGAGACGGAACGCATCCTCGAGCTCCTCCGGCGCCGGCGGCTGCAGGAGGCCCGCCAGCTCGAGGCGGCGCGCTTCGGGCGCGTGTACCCGATCTCGCGGGAGGACTACACGCGCGAGGTGACCGAGGCGAGCGCGGCGAACGAGGACGGCGACGCGCAGGCGCGGGGGACCGGCGTCGTCGTCTTCCTCTACAAGGACGGGTGAGTGCGCCGGCCTTCTTCGTTGCTGCCGCGGCGCGGCGCGGCGCAGCCCTTCCCCTCCTGCGCATCCTCGGGCTGACGGCTCCCGCGTGCAGCATCCCGTACAGCGACCACGCGAAAACGCTCGTAAACGAGGTCGCGCGGAGGCACCCGCACACTAAGTTCGTGTCCATCGTCGGCGACAAGTGCATCCCGAACCTCCCGGACGTGCGGCTGCCGATGCTCATCGTCTACCGGAAAGGGGAGGTGCTGAACCAGCTGGTGGCCTGGGGGGCCGATCGCCCGCGGCTTGTCGAAGGTACGTCTGCCCGCGAGCTGCTTGCGTTGCGTGAGGGATTATTCACGTGAGCGTCGCAGAGCTCGAGGCCGTCCTCATCCTCGCTGGGGCGATCATTCCTCGACAGAGTATGCGGGCTGATAAAGATCGCGATGGCTCTGATGGTTCTGACATCGACGACTTGGACGACGATGGACCGAGTTCGCGCATGCCATCAGCAAGCACTCGGACAAATGCGAGAGCACCCAAGAACATCAGACGGAAGAAGGATGACGACTCCGACTCGGATTTCGAGTTTGACCTATGATTTTGGACAGTGTGTTCATGCAGAGTACGATGGGCTCGCGGACATATGTACTCTCCCTGTATCATTGAATGTATCCTATCCTCCGTCACCTCGGGCGCATCGCGCAAAGTGTCTCCAACAACGACGTCCACACCTCAGCCATGTATCAGACACACAATGAACAAGGCGAGAGCCCGTGCTATTGGTCCCCAGAATCGATATAGGATGGCTGAGCTACCCAGGTCAAAGGAACTGCCACGACAAACGAAAGCCAGCATCTTCGAAACAAGTGGGACGGAAAACAAAATGATGGTCAAATTTTATGAGATCGAGATGGCAGAGCCGCAAGTTGTGATGTCGGACATTAACCCGCACGTATGGGAAGTGAAAGGCATGGTGTCAGCGTTGAAAGAAGAAGTAGAGAATAACGTGAGGAGCACTGACAATGTAGGGTCCTATGCTGGTTTCCTGACAACGGCGGTCGGTACGCTGCGGTTTCTTCTTTGGGAAAAGCCATGTCGCCAGAGTTGACCAGTCGCTGCATAAAATAAGAAGAAAGCCCTGATCTTGTGTGGCGAGCACCCGAGGTGCGCTCGGGGCGTGCCTTGTTTGCACGTTGTATTCTCGAAGCGAGTTCCAAACAAACGCAAAGAGCCCGCCTTGGATAGGCACTGAGCACTGGCGTATTCCACAGGCGCATCCCCCTCCCCCCTCCCTTCCTCCCCAGTCGCTCACCAGGTATGTCCTGGTGGTAGTAGATTAGAGTCAAGCAGGATATCATAGATTCACAATATCTTATCTTAGCGCTTTGATATACTTTTCCCACGCCGCATCCAACGCACCTGGACACTGACTCTCCCAACGACTCTGAGGACGACTTTTCTGACGAGAGCGAGGACGAAGAAACCATCGAGCGCAATGATTGCTCTGGTCAGCAATGGGCTCCCCAGGCCTACATGTACGCTGTCGCGCGCATCGACCCCGTCTCCATGGTCCAACATCTCAACGACCCGTTCGCCCTGGAAGCGGCGAAGCAGATGGCGCTCCGCACAAAGACATACCTCATCTACATCAACCAGGTTTGCAGTGATATAGCGTACTGCGATTGCACCAGCTGACTGCTTACATGACCCCAGTGTCTCGCTTTGCCACTGGGCATCGAGCGATGGTTCCTCTTCAAGGTGACCGGGATTGCAACCTCGCCTCCCCCTCCATGCGAAGCAGAATGCCGCGGCCCGGAGACGTCTGTCCCTTTATTTCCGAACGACGCGCATCCGACCGGGCGCGAGCCCCTCAAGACCGATCCCAGCCCGTTCCCGTTCCACGACTGCTTCCATTGGCCTCTCAAGGCCATGCCGATCCGCGTCCTGCCCCGGCCCGATGGCTGGAACCGCAGCAGGGCCATCAGGCTTACTGGAGCATCTCAAGTCCTGATGAGCTTCTATTGGCAAGAGGACGGGCTGCGGTGCAGGAAGCTTCTTCGCGCTCGCAGAAGGAAGGAGAAGGAGGCACTCTCGGCAGGCGCCCTCCGCGAGCGAGTTGAAGACTCAGCGCCCGACGCTCCCTCTCTGCGCGGCGACATTCTTGAGGGTACGTTCACGAATAAGTTCCGGTTTTAACGAAAGCTAGCTCAGAAACGTCTGTACATGCATACAGATCAAGACCCTCTTGCCGAAGCTCAATCGCGAGTTGCCGAAGCACTTGGCGCGGCCGTGGACGGTGCAGATGCGCCTGCGGAAGCCGACGGCGAGCCTGAGGGCGATGACTCTGACATCGATAGCTCTAGCGACGATAGCAGTGCTGAGGATCGCTCTGCGGAAGAGAGTGACGCCGAGTCTGAACGCTCCGCCGACCCCATCGTCGACATCTTCCTCCCCAATCTGGACGAAGATGAGGAGTACATGCCCATCATGGAGGTCAAGTACGAGTTGACGGATTACGTCCGACGCGAGGACATCCCGGATCCTTCTGGACTGTATGCGGAGAGAGACGAGATAGTGCGGTACGAGAATTCGTCCATTTATTGGCTGATAACGCTGATTCCGTATCTCAGAATCATCAAAGAGTCTTACGCTCGTAGCTTTGTTGTGTACACAGTCGACTCTCAGGCTTCGGAAGCCGCGGCACCGCCTCCTACCCAGCAAGCTCAGCATGTTTCGCCAGCTGAAGTGGGCGTCGCTTCTGCTCCACGCTCTGGCAGCAGTACTCCCTCTGACCATAGCAATCCTATCGATCTATCCTCCGGACCGGAGCCCTCCGTGGACGATGAGAGAGCGCCACCGTCTGCGGGCTCGTCTGCGCTGGGAGATTGCACAAGCGAGGGTGCGGTCCCCGGAGCGGTGCGGCTGCCGTCGCCTCCTCGAGGTGGGTATCTTTACAGTTTTTGCTGTGAAAGGTTCGCTCATGCTGTGCTGATGAGCAGCACGCCCGAAAAGGCGCTTTCAGAGGTTCTGGAACGCCGCCAAACAGCAAATTTGTCGGGTTATTCCTCGTATTTCTAGATGGTCTTAGCATCCATGCATTCAGATTGAACTTGTAACTTGTCCCCTGCTTGTGCGCGTGGGCCGGTTGAATGCGGGAACGGCCGTTGAAACAAGGAGGGCAAGGCGAAGGGAAAAGGCAATAAGAAGTGGGACGCATCTTACTCCGACACCGACGCTGGCCTCGGGAAATATCAGGCTTCGAGTCGGAGCTACTAGAGTAAGAGGCGTCCTGAAGCCTCAGGCATGGAGAGTCGACCGGTGTTCGCACGGGGTCTGACGTCGACATATTCACAGGCATTGCGGATGCCATGCATTGAGACACCACCGGGCATCCGCAGACGTTCGTCAACCTGGAGCAAGGAGAAGCTTGAAGCGCTCGGCCACGTGCGCAGCTCTCCATTCGCCGACGACGGAAAACTGATGATGCCGGTGCTCGACTCTGCTTCCTTCACCAGCATCGGCTCGGGTGCGCACACTTAGGAGAGGGTATCCGCGCGGGCTAGGAAAACCTCTGCATTGCACGGCTGTGCTGCGGCGACAGCGTCGTAGCCATGCGGCTACGCCGGAGATCTAGCATCCCTTGTCGACGTGGCGCATTGATATCACCAACTTCACTCGAGTCAAGCATCTCAGTCAAAGCGGTGAATGAGAGAAAGAACGTCTTGAAGGCGTCTTAAGGTGTCAGAGGTGCGTTGCATCGGTCTAAAACGCCATTCCAAACCAGGCCGGTAAGGCTTCTCAGGAGCTTCGGGTCGCGCTATCGGCTCTATGACATCCGTCTCTAGCTCCAGAGTCGCGTTACCGACTCTGGGTATAAATGAGTCGCCTTCTTGCATCCAATCCCCCGCTTTCTCACACTCGAACACCTTCTCCTCCGCACCTTCAACCAGTATTCCTCAGGGTACTCCCAGAACACCAGCGCCGAGTTCGACATGATCCCCTACTACAACACTACATCCATGCCCCCGTCGTCGCACCCTACGCTCGGCATGAGTTTGGGGCAGCAGCGAGATATCAATGCGCAATGCGACTTCCCCTCTACCGCCAGTGCTTTTTCAACTTCATCACGACCATATGGCACCCTCGTGCAACCTCCCCGCTCTACCATCTCTCTTTCCTCTTCGCACATGGCCACGGCACCACAGAGGAAGCAGGTCCCCGGCTGCTCCTCCGTGCGAGTGCGTACTGCGAATGCGTGCGACGATTGCAGGGCCAGAAAGCGCAAGGTACGGCATAGTCCTTTCTCTTTCGCGCCTCCTGTTCTGACGGAGTGACGTCCTTTCCTTCTTCAGTGCACCGGAGGTTCAACCTGCTACCGTTGCCAGCGGCACGGATTACCCTGCACATACAGTCCGCGCAAAACGCGCGGCGCGAACAAGATGAAGCGTGATGTCCCCGACACCCGCAGGCATCCCCATGTCGTCCTCCGTCCTCCCTTCGCCAGATCAGAGTCAAGGAGCAGCAACGGGACGTCCGTAGAGAGTTTCGTTTGCGGTAGCTCGGAGCTCGCGTCCCCGACGTCGTCTCCCGCGCGTTCCTCGCGGTCGCCTACTTCGGTGCCTTCGGTGCCCCCGATGGGGCTCCAAGCTCAGTCGTGCCCGTCGTCGGCGCGCGCAACCACTACGTCCTCCCGGTCGTCGTTTAACCAGTCGCAACTCATGCGCAATCGAGCCGCGCGTCGTCGCGCCTGCCCTCTTGTGCCCGCCCCCGCGCCTCACACCTTCCCCGGTTCGCACCACATGGACCAAACACGCTGGGCCTCGATTGAGACTAGCATGCACAACGTTTTCCACACCGAGGTTGACTTCATGTCGCTTCTGGAACACGCGTGCCTGTACCCCCAAGACGCCCTCCGAAGCGAATCTAGTCAGGCGATCGCTCACCATAGCACGGCTCAACTGTGAGTTATCCACGCCCGTCGCCTCCCGGGATCATCCGCCCCAGGCCGTTTCGTCAACGAGGCTGACCCGCTCTCCTCTGCTCAGCCCGGGTGGTTCCCCCATCGACCTTGCCGCGGCGTTGTACGCCCAGGCGCACACGCACATGCCTGCGCCGCTGCCCATGCAAGAGTCTTCTTCGGGATCGTACTCCCAACTTTTCAACCCGCCCGCGCCCTCACGCTCATACTCGCACAACCACTCCGCGCCGTTCGCTTCGAATGGCGTTCAATACGGCGGCGCAGCCCAGGGGCAGACGCCCCAGTACCCACCTCAACAGCCTCAGTACGCGCCCCAGCCGCCTCAATACGCGGTTCCGCACACCCCGTCGCCGTTCTCGCACCTCCCGCCGCCGCCGATGGCGAGCGGCCCTGAGCCGTTCGTTTCGTTGGAGGAAGCGTTCTACGACTGGAGCCTCGTCGTTCCCTCGAGCTAGATCTTCATGCCCGAGGACGCGTACTGGGCCTTCAGCATGACGCCATCCCAGTTCGCGAAGGGCCTCGACGAGGTCACACACGCGTCACCGTCGACCGCCGGCGCAGATTTTCTCATCCGTTGAGAGGCGTTTGAGGGATGCGTGGCTCCGGGGCGCGCGCGCCACGCATGCTGGCCACACTCACCACTCCACCATGCTTCGGCCCTCTCGCGTTCTGTATGGTTAGATCCCCTCCCCGCCACCCCCTCAACATTGTTACCCTCCCCACGCTACAACCCATTTTTTTCATGTCTTCCTTCGTGCGCGACTCAAAATTTCTGCCAGTATCATTATCCCCTTCGTCTATATCGATTGCCCACCCTCCTTCCACGCCTCGCACCCCATTGTATTTCTATCTGTAAATGTATCTGCCTCGTCACGGACTTTTTGCCGTTCCGGAATAGATGAGAACGCTTCCACTCACTCGACCTGAGCGCGCGAGGAATGCGCGCCGGCCCTTACAGAGGACTAGATCGAACGATGGTAGCGTATCACGCTCAAGTCCAGCCCCAACTCGCCGTCAACGAGTTCAATGTCCGCATACGCGTCCTCCACCGATCCCACCTCCTCCGACCCCGCGCTCGAGCCGGGCTCGGACCCGCTCTCCGTCCGCGGCTCGACCTCCTCCATCAACCGCGCCAGCAGCGCGTACCGCTCCGCCCAGTTCCCGCGCGCCCACTCCCCCGCCTCCTCGTCCCCGTCGCGCCAGAACGGCCGCCACGCCCACCGCCGGTCGGGCGCCACCCCGTCCGGCACCCCGCCCGCGAGCCCGACCGGCATGCGCACCATGAACCCCAGCACGCGATGGATGAGCGTCCCGTCGGGCGCGACCGGCGGCGCCGCGCGCGCGACGACGCCCATCTCGATGTACCGCACGGAGCGCGCGAGCGCGGCGCGGCGGGCCTCGACCGAGCGCGTCCACGCCGCGCGGGGGATCGGGACCCGCTCGATCTGGGCCGGGCAGTGGATGTGGATGCGTCCGTCGACGGGCAGGGCGCTGTAGAGGACGGGGATGACGCCGGCGACGTCCGGGCGCGGGAGGCTGTGGAGGCCGCTGTGCGCGTCCGTGCACTGGCGCACGAGCGCGGGGTTGCTCGCGACCGCGGGGCTCGAGACGTGGACGGGGAAGGCGGTGCGGACGAGGAAGGTGCGCGCGGGGTTGGGGACGCGCGCGGGCTGGAAGGGGAGGTTGCAGTACGCGAGCTCGACGACGATGAGGTGCGGCTCGTCGAAGATGACATCCGGGGGGCCGCAATTGACGGCGGTCGCGACGGCGATCTCTCGGAGGGTGACGAGGTGGAATGCGACGAATTCTGCGAGGTGACGGTGCAGGTACTCGTTGGGGGGTAGGGTGATTACTGGGTTCATTCGGATCATGGGGTGGTAGATGTGACGCTGTCCTTCGACGGAGCGGGAACACACGCAGAATCTCCTGCGCTTGGGCGATGAGAGCCGGCCATAGCATGACAAGAGAAATACGTACCTGTGAGGATGTCCGGGCGTTTGGCTGGCCCCGCTGCTGTACGGAATATTCCTGTCGGACTGCGCGCAAACATCGCAAACATTCAGGCAGCTTGGGAGAGTCGGAAGGGTTGGAGAAGCGAGGGACATGGCGTGAACCGGGTGAACCTAAGACGCTGCAAAGGTGGGTTCATCTGTCTGCCGTTGTGAATGAGGCTCAGTTGAGCGAGGCTAACATTGGACAATGTCAGCCTCAATCCGCCCATTTTGGCATTCATCATGATCCGGCAGTCTGGAATTCAGTCAGCTCCTTTGCTGCCTCACAGCAATGATGATTCACTCTGCCATAGCTGTTTTGGTAAGTGCGGGTTGGATGCGAGGTACTAATTGGCGGAACGGGGACAAGCTATAGCTGTTGGCGCGCTCTTCAGGAATCAGCATCATGCATGGCACGGAGCACATCGGCAAATGCAGATGGACAGTAAGCAAAAAAACCTCTCCGACACTATTCATATGCGTTAAGGCCATACGCGAAAGCGAGAAAACATGCGACGGAAACGCTTCTTGGCGACACTCCAGAGTTTCCGCAAGCGCTTCTCGGATCGTTCTGCTCGCCATTTCACTGTGAGTAAACCAACTAGGAGCAGTATCGCAGAGACTCACCTTGCTCTGCCGACGGCACTGGCATCACTACAGGCGATACGCTCTCACGCGCCTGGACGCCCACACGGTCTTTGATGGTGGGGGACTCGATGTTCTCGATGGCAACGCTGCCGTGGTCAGAGGAGGTGCCGTTCGAACACGAGGCAGAAGCACGGTCCCGATCCGGAGAAACAAACTCGGCGTCCTGGACAGACAAAGGCTCGGCCGTCTCCGAAGCCTTCGGTTGGTTCGTCTCTGAGGTCTCAGGCTCGTGGGTGTACACGGCGAAGCTACGAGCGTACGACTCCTTGATTATTCTGCAGCGACAGGCATCAGCGAAATCGGGGAACGAAACGATGACCCCTCTTACCGCACGATTTCGTCTCTCTCCGCATACAGCCCAGAGGGATCCGGTATGTCTTCTCGTCTGATGTACTCTGTCAGCTCATACTTCATTTGCAGAATTGGCATGTATTCCTCCTCTTCATCAAGATTCGGAAGAAAGACGTCGGTAAGAGGGAGGGGGGCTTCGGCGGCGTGTTCGGGATTCGCGTCTGGCTCACTGCGACCCTCTACAAGGTGGCGTCCCGCACTCCTCTGGTCGTCGCAAGTGTCGTCGACATCACATTCTTCATCGTCACTCTCCTCTTCAGGCTCTTCCTCGGAGTCTGCAGGAACGTCTGCGCATGGTGGGCAGGTCAGCTCCAAGAGAATAGGATCTAGTATGCGCACACACCTTCATTCTCATCTCCCGGTCGAGAAGAGGCCGACTCCTGGAGCTTCTTGCCGAGGACCCTTTCGGATCGCGCTAGCTTTTCCTGCATTTTATAGGCTCGAGTCGGGTCCCGACACCGGAACTCGTCGTACTGCCAATAAACTCCCATCACGACTTGCGAGAGACCAGTGAGCCGGATAGCCTTGCTGTCGTTCCAGCCCTCGGTGCGAGGTAAGACGCGGACCGACATAGCATCGAGTGCCCAATGAAAGCAGTTGGGGAACGGAAAGGGGGTAGGTTCGGTCCTGAGAGGCGCACGTCCGGTAGGGTGCGTGTCGCTGGGAAAGATAGGCACGCAGACTTCTGGGCCGCGGTTCTCCGCTTCGCACGCAGGCGGGGGCGTGGTCGCGATCCCAGTCACCTGGAAAAGGAACCATCGTTCGACACCTAAGGGTAGAGCGAGGCACTGGAAGGACGAGTTCATGTAAGCGAATAAGAAGGTGGGGAGGAAACCGCATACATGGTCGATGTAGATGAGATACGTTTTGGTACGAAGTGCCAGCTGTTGCGCCGCCTCCAGGGCGAACGGATCATTGAGATGCTGGACCATGGAGACGGGATCCATGTGAGCAACAGCATACAAGTGCGCTTGGGGAGCCCATGCTGGACCAGAAGGCGGAGGTCGCTCGACGTTCCAGTCGTCTTCAGTCTCGTCGGAAAAGTCGTCCTCAGAGTCGTCGGCAACGCTGATGTTCGGCTCCGAGCCGCGGTCCTGGGCCATCTGTGTCCGTGGGAAAGCTAGATAAGATAGCGCTAAGATAAGAAAGCATATGTTCAGCAACGATCGAGACATACATGGTAAGTAGCAGGGAAATCCCCGAAGAGAGGAGAGGAGGGGCTGGAAGGGAAAGGCTCGCGGGGAGTGGCTGCTTTTCTGAATCTGCGTTTGTGTCTATTTGATGCTCGCCTCGAGAATACAAAGCAGACAAGAGCACCCCAGGCGCCCAGGTCAGAGCACCGACGCCCACCACGCGACCAACGCGCGTGTAAACGTTATTATTGTGTGCAGAAGTCAAACCTGATGTACTCCGCACAGACAAAAAGACTGTCGCTCTGGCCATCTCAGGAGTCACGGCAAAGGCTGGTGAAAACTTAAAAGCCAGTGGCATGAGAAATTTGCTACGTCTTCCCAGGCGATAGGAAGCGTACTATTCTGCCGCTGAGTTTGCCCATAGAGATCATTCGTGCTGGCATAGAGAGGACGAGTGGGATAGAGGTTCCGGGGTCTGTAGAAGCAAAGGTTTGTCACGAGCGCAGGTATATGGAGTCCAAGCATGCCAATGCAGAGTCCTAGTCAATATTCGTACCAGGTAGTCGTGTGAATGGATTACGTGAGCACTTCTAATGGCCGGTCATATCGAACCGCAACTTGGCAGCATTCGCCCCGCATCCTCCGTCGACCGAGGCAACTACTTACTTAGATATGTCGCTGTTGATGACAACGGTTGGTTCCGCAGTAGTCTCCCAGGGCTCCTTCATGAAACAGTCTTCAACGCATGGGCATACCCGTCTATCACATCATATTGCTTTTTTTGGTTGTGCTTCAGAGACACCGCAGTGATGGTGGCGGTGAGTTGGAGTAGACCGCTCTACACACCATTCCTCTGTCGATGGCCGGATGCGAGCGCAGATAAATAGCGGGTGCGTGCTGCCTCCTTCCTCCATATCCAAGGCCCAACTTACGTCATGAAGTTACTCTTGGCTTTCATTTTTTCGCTCTTTGCGGCTGTGACTGCGACACCCAATCCCTTGCCGGGCACCGGTACGCATCTTCGCATATCCAGGTCAAAGTCGTCTAGCTGACGCTAACTCTGACCCTCAGAGAACGTCGTCGCTCGTGGACCCTCTATCATCTATAACGGCGACAGCAAGAAGTACTTCTTGTTCCACACCGCGAAAGGCATCAACATATCCACAAGCCCTTCACTGACTGGGTGAGCGCCTTCAGGTTTTTCACCCACCCATATATCCTAGTCTCTGATTCTCTACCCCTTTGTATCTCTGATAGTCCATGGTCGCATGCCGGTATCGTCCTGACAAACGGATCCAAAATCCCCATTCCCCCGGAGCACACCGGCACAGAGGCGGCCGACGTGAACTTTATAAACGGCAGATATGTCCTCTACTATGCCGTCAGCACCAATGGCATGAAGAACTCAACGATCGGCGTTGCAACTAGCCTTCCATGGAGTCGGGAACCTGGCAGGATCACGGTGCAGTCATTCACTCGTCAAGCGCTACCAAGTACAACGCGAGTGAGTATATGTTGTGTGGTTCTGTGCCGGGACATCTAACCAGTGGTCATTCTGGCAGTTGACCCAAACACTATAGTCACCCCGACTGGATTCAAGTTGACTTTTGGATCTTGGAGTCAAGGCATATTCCAAGTTCCAATGACCAACATCACCGCTCCAGCCACTGTGAGCGATTATGACGCTGAATCCCACCTTCTATCTTCTGACCGTATGCGCAGCCGCCTCCTGGAGCCCATCTCGCGGGGGGCAACCAAACACCAAGCGAAGCTGGCTTCACGTACAAACCCAAGAAAGCGGATTTCTTCTACTTATTTTACTCGAACGGCATCTCTCCTCTCCCTGGTGTACGCCCTCCGTCTCTTCCTATCAGTTTATATCTCTTACATTCTCGCACGTGACAGGCAGCAACGCGGCCGCCTCCTGGAAAGGAGTACAAAGTGCTCGTCGAGCGGAGCAAGAACGTCGACGGGCCGTACGTCGACCAGACCGGTCTCAGTCTCACCGATCCGCCCGCCGGAACCCTCGTGCTCGGCTCGCACGACAACGTATACGCACCCGGAGGCCAGAGCGTGTACCTTGACCCGGTCAGCGGAAGGGACGTGATTGCGTACTACTATATCCGCAAGGACGAGATTGGTGGACTGCCGTTCCTAGGCATCAATTTCCTCGACTTTTCGTCCGGGTGGCCGGAGCTCGTGGCAAAGTAGTGCTCGTTTGTGACATACTCCAGCTCAAGATATATATTGAATCAGAGAAGGCCGTCGCTCTATTCTCGTCATTGTTGACTGAACGTGCAACGGTCGATCATACTTCTATAACGTTATCCCCCGTACCTCGGAATCAACTTTCTTGACTTCTCGTCCGTAGTCGTCAAGCACCGTTAGTCCTAGATGCTACAAATTGGGAGTCTAACGTGATGCTAACAAATACACAAAAGGTTGTTACAACAAGACCTAAGATCTACCCAGCATCTCCCTTCCTCTCGAGACCTCACGTCTCATCAAGCTCTAGCATTCGTTCCACTTCCCTCTCATCTGCCGTGTCGTGGTCCAATTCCGCATACTCATCATCCTCAGTGGCGTCGTCTTCGTCCTCCAACACCAACACATTCGTCCCCTCGAATAGAGTCCGCGCAAGCATCGCGAACCCTTCCACCGTCTCGTCGTCCAGCTCCTCCTTGTTCACCGCCTTCGCGTCAAACGCCTCCTTTTCCACTTCTGCGCTTTCGTCATCCATGTCACCCACATCAACCACCCCACCCGCCGTCTCTTCCACGCCCTCCACGCCCTCCATGTCGACATGATTGGGCCATGGGGTAATTTCGGCCGCTGCTTATCCTTCTCGATAGCCTTCCTCTTCCTTGCAGCCTTCGCCCTCGCCTTCTCCTCGCCGCGCCTGGGGCACGTACACAGGCGACGGAGGTAATGCTCGGACTCTGGGTCCGCGAGCACGCGGCGGGCGGCCTCGGACGCGAGGCCCTTCGCCATCGAGTTGTTCGGCGCCGCCATCGGGGCGACGACGGTCACGTCGTGGACGAGGACGGAGACACTGTCCGGCCGGCGCACTTCCGGACGGCTCTGCGATCTCCTGGACATCGGCGCAAGAATCAGCTTCGCCATACGGGTATGCGAGAAGGACGAGCGGCACTCACGCGAAGCGGATTGCGCGACACCCCGACTGCCCGACCCAGACCATAAGCTCCGAGACGGGGTCCTTCGGGAGGTCCGGGCGGAGGACGGCGATGAGGTCCTCGAGGAGCACCTGGACGACCGCGGCGGCCTTGTCGTAGTCGTAGCCGCAGTCGACGAAGACGGCGCCGACGACGCTCTCGAGCACGTCGCTGAGCGCCTTGGGCGGGTCCTGCTTCCAGCCGTGGAGGACGACCTCCTCCTCCGAGATCGCCTCGAGCACGGGCACGTACTTCTCGATCGCCATGCTCAGATCGATGTTGTTTATGAGTATCATCTTGTGCAGCCGCAGCCTCTTCACCGCGACGGATGCGAGCGCGGGGCTGCATACCGCACGCGAGCGCGCCCACGAGAGCTCGCCGGACGTTGCTCGCGGGAACTTCTTGTACAGGTATTCGGTAACGACCATGTCCACCACCGCTGTGCCCAAGCGTCAGCGTGTTCCGCAGGGGGACGTGATAGAGCAAGAGCACTCACCGTCCCCCAGGAACTCGAGCCGCTGGTACGACGTACCACCCGCGAGCGACGGGTGCGTCATTGCCTCAAACAGCAGCTGCCCATGCCGAAACGTATACCCTAAGGTCTCCTGCAGCTCCGCGAACGCCGGCGCAGCGGCCCCGCGCACCATCTGTGGCACGCGCCGCATCCCCCACGCGCCCGGCCCCCCGAACGCCAGTCCCAGCGCGGTGCCGGTGCGCAGCGCCATATCGACGCCGCCCGTCGCCCACGCCGCCCCAAGCAGAGCCTCCATGCAGTCCTGCAAGCTGCGCCGTACGATCCCCGGCGCACGGCACGCACAGGTCGTGCTTCCCACGGCGCGCGTCCTCGTCTGCCGTGCACCCGGCGGAGGACGGGAGCACATATCGCCACAGGCGCAGGCTCTGGTTCTCGGTCGTGAGGAACGCTCGAGCCCACGCTCGAGCCCCCGAGCGAGGAGGGTGTGGTTCGAAACGACGGTGCGCTTCATGTAGTCGAGCTGGCCCTCGTGCCGGTGCGGGAAGCGGATGTAGAGGTGCGTGACGGCGGCAAGCTTGAGCACGGCGTCGCCGAGGGTCTCGAGGCGCTGGTTGTTGAACGCCGCGGCAGCATTGGGGAGTGTGAGCGCTTGGACGAGTGTGTCGTCCGAGAGAGGCGGGAGGGAGAGGGAAACGCGGAGCGCGCGGGCGCGGTAGATGTCGGTGAGGCGGTGGAGAAGTTGGGGAAGGGCGAGGAAGGCGTGATACACGTGCGGGGGCATGACTGCCCAGCGACAGAACTCGACCGGGAAGGTGACAGTCTCTTGAGCCACGCTCTGTGGAGGGTGGCGAAGTGGAGAGTTGTCGAGGGCGTAGTTTGCTACGACGTTGCGAGCGAGGGGGATGCCCTCGACGCAGGGCCCGTCGCGGGAGATCTGCGGGGTTACGCCTCGCCGTGTGTACTTGTGTAGCCAGTAATCGCGATACGTGGGATATGCCGACTCTGTAGACCCAGGTCGAGGTTTGGACGATGGGGTGATGTCTGGGCGAAGCCGATGCAGCAGCATTGGGTGGCCGATGTGCTTCATGTTGACGTAAAGCAGCTGCCCGCACTGCTCCTCCCCGACGCCCTTCCAGTCTGTCGAGCCAAACTGGCTGCTGACGGCGAGATCGATTGCGTCAAAGTCGATCCTGAGGTCGCGATTGATGGGGACCAGGTAGCACGTCAACGGGAGGGTGAGTCCCCTGCCGGTAACGCACCACCATAGACCCATCCTCGTGTAGTCCTCCATCGCCCTCCGCTGGCTCCACGCGTGTTGCGGGTGGAGAACGATTTCTGTACCCTCGTCCGTCGAGAGAAAGAATCCGCTCGCCACCAACTCGACAGAAGGAAGGGAGGTCCCGGTCACGACACCAGCTGCGGGCACGCCATCCACGTAAACGATGTGCAACCAGAGCGTCGAGCCCAGGATCCATGGATCGCGGACAGAGACGTCGAGTAATTCAGGGACCTTCCTGACACTCATGATGGGAACACCGTCTGCGTCTTCGGTTGCGAATGATGGTTTCTTGGCCGGAAGGAGGTAATCGTCGAGAACGTTCAACATATGCAGCCGCTTCACCACCACGAAGGCTGCGGCACGTTTGGCTTCCTTTTGGTGTTTCTAGGCGGTCCTTCGACCACGAGATCCTCGGGAGGGAGAGGTAGGCTGGAGGGGAGATGGACTGTGGAGGTGTAATCGCCTACGTATTTCGGAACGTGGACGGGTGTGAACCGATCCCGTCGAATCATGGCGCAGAGAAGGTTGAGGATGCCAATGGCTGAGGTGTAGGTTAGCACGGCTCCCGTTGAAGGGACCACGTAACGCTCGCGGCCATCGAGATCCTCTTGGTCGAGCTCTTCGCTGTCCTCGTCGATCTCGTCGATGCCCAGATCGCTATTCAGCTCACGGTCTTGGTACACCTTCTTGAGTTCGGGTTCGCTTTCTTTGAACTGAAAGTATCGCTCCGCTTGCGCTTGAGCACCTTCCTGCACCATAATGACAAAAGTGGACGTTTTGTGCCGAGCCCTACCGCGCGATTGCAAGTAGCCCACCATGTGTTGTACAGGGTCAAACCGTATGACGACATCGCATGCCTAGAAAACATCAGACTGTGAAACAAAACGCTTGAGGTGTGGATCCGCGGCGCTAACGCAAACCACGCCCATACAGAGATGCCCTGTATGTTCCCAAGCAGAAGCATACGTGACAGCTCTGTGTGTGAGCAGAACGCGCAGAACAAGTGCCGCGGATCCACGTGTACGGTCAAACGTACGGGGAAGTCCAGGCCCTCCTCCGCAACAGAGGTCGCAACGACTAGGAGAACAGCGTGAGAGTCGGTAAACCGAGGCGTCGTGGTACGTACGCAAATTGATCTTCTTCTCTCGGAACATCTTCACCGTGTCTTCCTGGCCGGTGGACGCCATTCCCTTCGATTGTTGCGACTTGTTCGATGCAGCGGCCCCGTGTCCGATGAGTTGTTCCGTCTTGATGATGTGCGCCAACATTGGCATTCGCTCGAGGATCGTCGCCAGGCACGACGCAACATGGCGCTGTTCGACGAAGACGATCCCCTGGAAGTCCGGGGTGTGGCGTCGAAAGAGGACCTCAGTGAGCGCTTTGACCTTCGGCGAACACCACGTGAAGGGCACTTCAATCTGCGGCTCCCCCTCTGCAGGCGCAAAGAACGATCGGAAGTCCTGGAGCACTCCGCGAAGCTGGAGAAGGCGTGGATGGACTACGCCTTCGATGACCTCCATCGAGCCTCCGGCAGCGACCTTAGCATATTGGTCAGGGGTGAGCGACGCTATCGCATGCGAAATTGCGTCCCCGATGAGTATTGTCACTCGTTGCGTGACCTCCGTGAAGAGATAGTATTCGGCGCCGTATGGACCAATGTTGTAGTACGTCACTTCGTATCTGGTTAGGATCCGCTCAACGGGGAGAACGACCTCTGGGGGAAGGTTCTCTAGGTCTAGACATTGACGCAGTGATGGAGTCGGGTAGTGGAGGTAGAAACTCGGGGACATAGGATATACATGAATTTTCTGCACAAAAGTCAGTAAATACTGCAGTGTCGTGCGGACGGTCATTGTATGCGTACCTCTTCAGGTCGAGGAGAGTGGTCAGTGAGTTCTTCAATATGCTCCTTGACGGCGATGACTTTGGCGTCCAGGTTCTTCTCGAGGATAGCGAGGGACTCGGAGGCGTTCTTCGGGTTCCATATCGGCGACGCCGTCATCCCGAAGATCTTGGGACGAGACTCAGGGGCGGTCTGGAAGTATTCGCGCATGACGCCGTTGTACGTGTGATTTTTGCGCGCGTGGTGGCATTCGTCGAACACGATCAGCGCGACCTACGGGCGATGTTAGAAGCATAGTTGTGGCGACGAGGTCCTGCGCACCTTGGACATGCGCCAGTGGGAGTGGGTGAGCGTATTGAGGAACACCTGGGCTAAACGGGTATGAGTTTATTGTGCAGCGGTCCACATCGTCGATCGTCTGCCACACACGAGCAACTCGTAGCCGTAAGGTCGGGGCAACCGATAAGTGAAACGCCTTTCGACGCTCGTGCAGCAGAGACAACGCCGACGACAACATAGCGCAATGACCTGAGATGAAGGCTCACCGGTCATGACGAACACATCGGCGCTGTTGAACTGCTCCTTCCAACTCTCGCGGTTGTTCATCTCGTGCGAGATGGCGCCATGGAGCTGGCAGACGCGGAGGGAGGTCTGTCGAGCGATGAAGTCGCCTTGCTGATGAACCAGGGGAACCTTGGGGACGAGGAAGACGATGATCTTGCGCTCGTCGCTGTTCTGGGCAGCGATCCATCGGATGAGGAGGGTGCTGATATACGTCTTGCCGCTGCCGGTGTCGAGAGCGGCGATGACATTGCTTTGTTGCGCGCGCGTAAAAATCTCCTCCTGGTAGCGACGCGGTAGAAGAGTGTCACTGATCTCGTCCAGAGAGACCGCCGGGCGCGCAGGCATGGAGGAAAGGTAAAGACAAGCAGGGTTTCCGCGAACACATACACCCAGGAGTCCAGGACTTGGGCCTCAGGCCTCAGGCCTCAGGTGCTGCAGCAGTCTGCGACCGGGCTGCCGGGCCGCCCAATATCCCTTGCTCCGTCACGGCGGACGACCGTTCTGTCTCTCTCGCTGTTCCACCGCATCCTCCTGCTCCTCCCTTCTCCATGCTCCGCCGTGGTTCTGCACTGCTCCTGAGAGCACGTCCTTACATAGCCCGTCGACGATGGCTCAGTCAAGACCAACTTTCTCCACCCACGGGTTCTGTCTCAACGCCTTTTGCGCCCCCAGTCACCCCAGAGGACAACGAAGAACCACACTTTCATCCTCAAAAGACTTCCCGTCCACCAAACCACATACGTCTTTTTGTAGACCCGAATAAACTCCCTCCTGTCAAGGATGTCCTCATTCGCACTCTGGCCCGCCACCACCTATCCCCAGACGATTCCATCGACTTGTCTGGTGTACAAGCCCGGCTTTCAAGCTTGCCCAACACTCCACCTACCGTTGATGCAGCATCGGTAGATCAGAGTGATCCGCCGATGCTCCCATATTGGAGGAAAAGCGTGTACGGCGAGGACGTGCGCAGGGCCCTTTCCTACCTCCCCTTCCCCGCCGGAACCGTCGGACACTTCTTCTACCACCACAGCAGAGTATCCCCAATGGCTGGCTCGCTGCAATTCCGCCTCTACTCCCCTGAGGAGGGTATGTCGGGAAATAATGTTCTTCTCAACGAATATGGCACCCCCTGGAATGTCCCTCTTCTGGCCATCGCCTGGGAACCTCGACTTCAAGGCCTCAAGCAAGTGCTCGTGTCCGAGGGGCTGGTCCCGCAACAGCTCATGGACTATTGCGCTCAATACGTCCCTGAACGGAACTGCGGTGTCGGACCCTTCACCCAACTCGTGTTCCACAAGATGCAGACATTCTATGTCGACCTCACAGACCCATACCAGCAGTTCATCATCGCAGCTCCCGTCAAGATGATTGTCATCCGATTCCAGGAATACCTGTTCGGTCGTCTAATGTACAAGCCGATGTTCTCCTGTGAGTCTGTTGTTCCTCTGAACTTCTCTGCGTCAAAGTGACACGGTGTGTTTTCTAGCGGGACGGTTGCTCTGCAGATTGGCATCCCATGACTATATCCGCGTTCAAGAAGTCATCGAAGAAGTTGTTCCAATCAAAGGAGCTAGCAAGTTCGCCTTCAAGCCGGAAACGCGGATTCATCGCGATGGCGAACCGCTACGTCTCCACATCCACCAACAGTGGAGCAAGTCTCGCCAACATTGGGCATGGTCTTGGAAGCGGTAAGCTCCTGTCACTGTTCGATGCACTCACGGCACTGATAGTTGCTCTCTTAGATACGAACAGGAATTCCCTGGCTATTGGGTCCCCGACGGACGTTTGTAGACAGCACCTCATACTGTTTTATGACAACGTCGATGAATCTCCATAACCGTATTGTTTGCTCTAGGGAAGGGGGCCAAGAGGGACTCGCCAGTAAGGTCGGCCGCATATACTCACCTTCGAGGCGTCGTTCTATTGGCCCTCCGCCCTGGAGGTATATTATCCCACAAGCACCAACACCCAAGGGCATGAGCAACCGAGATCATGTTGCGACAGACAGAAACAGACATGAGAGACGGACAGAAATAATTACACAGGCACATATGTAGACGTATGCACAGGGGAGTCGGGCCACCCCGGCACACCCCCAGCCTCCAGTCTCACCGTCCTCGCCTCGGATCTACACTCTACCGCACCGTCCACCGAAGCTGCCGTTGCGACGTGTGAGTCCGGCGCGAGAAGATATGGGCGTGCCCTGCACGCAGCGGCAGCGCAGCACCTAACAGCACTTGCTGCCGGTGTTCGCGGAGGTGTCCACGGATTGGGAGACCTGGATGGTGTCGCCGGTGGTGGGCTTGATGGGGTCCTCGGACTGCTCGAGGGACTTGCTCGACACGATCCGATAGATGTCTATAGTGTGCAACACGGCCAATCAGACTCTTGTGGTCTAAATGCGCATAAAAGGAGAAACAGGACGCCACGCACCGGTGAGGATGGTCTGGAATGCCGACTCGACGTTCGACGCGTCTAGCGCAGACGTCTCGATGAACGAGAGACCGTTCTCAGCTGTTGAAGTTCACGCCGCGTTCAAACCTGATGGACTCGATCCCAAGTAAAAGAGAACGCACCTGCAAACGCCTTCGCCTCCTCCGTCGGGACCGCCCGAAGGTGCTTCAAATCGCTCTTGTTACCCACCAGCATGATAACGATGTTCGAGTCTGCGTGGTCGCGGAGCTCCTTCAACCACCGTGTTACGTTGACGTACGTCGCGTGCTTCGAGATGTCGTAGACAAGGAGCGCGCCGACAGCACCACGGTAGTAACTGCGAGTCGGGCAACAATGGCGGGCAGGCACCACCCATGGTAAGCGAGGAGAAGGCGAGCGTAAGCGAAGAGAGATGCCTTACGCGGCGGTGATGGCGCGGTAACGCTCTTGACCAGCTGCAACCGGATGGTTGAGCATATGAAGCATGAAAGGTTCGCGCGAGAGACCGTGGAGGAGGATGAGACTGACCCGTATCCCATATCTGAGCCTTAAGCGTCTTGCCGTCCACATTAATCGACCGCGTCGCGAACTCGACACCAATAGTCGACTTCGTCTCGAGGTTGAACTCATTGCGCGTGAACCGCGAGAGAACTGGAGTGGGCAAGGGCCTGCGTCAGACCCCCCACACACCATGCAGCTGCGGTCGAAGGCACGCACGGTTACTGGAAACAAACGATGCTTAAGGTCAGTTCACCGAAAGTAAATGGAGCTGGAAAGCAACATACGATTTTCCGACGCCAGAGTCTCCGATAAGGACGACCTATTCGTGGCGGACACGCAGCAGCTGATCAATATCCAGCGACGCCATAAAGCACGACAGACGACGACGCACCTTGAACAAGTAGTCGAAGTTGCTGCCCTCAGCCATGTCTAGTGGTATTCTGGGTCGTGAAAGGGGTCGTCGAAGGGTCGGGGGCGTGCGTAGAGGGATAGCGAAGGGGAGGAAGGATGGAGTGGGGAGGCGTGCGTGGAGGCGGATAGAGCAAGTGTCGCTGCCGGCGGAGTTCGAATTTCACTGCCACGCGAGCTCAAACTCGAGCGGAGCCGCTTTCGACTCCGAAGCTCCGCAGGTGCACTCCCTCCTTTCTGGGCAATCTCCGCGCTTGCGGGGCTTTCGATGCCATATGTCGCGGACTCGTGTTTGATCTTGCGCTCAGAACCCCCAACAGCTGCATTGCAATGACCACCAACTCAAGCCACTGGACGGCAGGCGCTGCTGTTGGGGTCACAGACATACGCTGATCATCCCTGGATGTCTGATGCGCATCATTGTCGTGATTGCCTGACGTCTAGAAACCGCCCATTGGCCACGTACGTACCTACGTCCGCTCACATTGAACGATTTCGAAATTCGTTGAGGAAAGCCAACGAAACGCAATGCTAGCAGCAAGTCTCGAGTCTCCACTGCAAGATAGAATGAGTGTGCGGACCGCGAAGCGGACCCTTCGGCCCGCTGACTCGGTCACTGGATGCATAGTACTTATAGAGGATGTGCATGCATCAAGCGAACGAACAGATCCCAGATCCCCCAACACATCTCACTTCGCTTTGGCATCGCTTTCGCGTTATGACACCTCCAGCGAGACGTTTCTGCCAAATCATCAAGGTACGTGTCCCAGCTCCAGCATCCCTCCGGCACCAATCACTCATCTCCGCGCTTCGCAGCTGAGGCCGGAGGCGGAGGCAGAGTACAAGAAGATCCATGCCAACGTCTGGCCTGGGGTTCTTGCTGCGCTCGAGCGGCACAACATCGCCGACTACTCAATTCATTACCACCCGCCTCTCAACCTCTTGATCGCGACCTTCAAGTATGTTGGAAGCAACTATGAGGCGGACATGAAAGGCATTGCAGCCGATCCAGAGACGCTGCGATGGTGGGCGGTCACGGATGGCATGCAGGAAAGCCTGGTGGAAGGTGCGACAGGGAGCGCGGGGACGACGCCTTGGTGGCAGGTGTGTATGCATGAATCTAAGCAGAAAAAAACTCACAACCGTCTGTCTGCAGCAACTGGAGGAGGTGTTCCGTTTCGAAGGCAAGACGGTATCTTGAGCGAATTGTAGTTCGCTATGCGGGTGACCGGACATGGTGTTATACAGAGAATAATATAAGATCCGGATATACGAGGTATGCATATCTCATATAAGCAGCATCTCGGGAGGCTACGTCAGAAGAATCTGAGTCAGTCATTGTGTTGGGGACGACTTTAAGTGGGCCACGCACCTGCCCCCTCGTCTCAAACGCCAACCAGTCCCCAGTCCCCGTTGGCAGCAGCCCCATAGACCGACACTTCCACAATCCAAGAGCAAGCGTCAAAAGGTTGCATAGGAGATACGCGACCTTCTGAAGTGGGAGTGTGCTGAACGCTTTCGGTGATGATGTCGCCGGCGCAAGAGGCGCAAACGCTACAACGTTGTCTCAGCTCACTGGGCACGAAACCAGCCGCGTGACAACGAAACGCACCAGAGTTGATGGCCGCGACATTCTTGAAAGGACTCGAGAGCAGCATGAAGACAATACCCATGCTGAAAATCTGCACACCACCGCCGGACATGTAGAGCATGAATGCTTGCATAGGAAGGGACTTTGCTGGGGAGATGGCGAGGTCCCATGCGCGTGATTGTTTCATTTCTTCATAAGAGGAATTCGCGGCCGCGATTTGTTTGTTTGAGGCCCCTTTCGACTGTACCTAGGGTGAGCATTGTATGCAGAGTCATGGGGAGGCCAATGGACATACCGACGTCACCGCCGACGCGAAACCTGGAGGAGGGGGAAGGTGTCTCCACCTGCATGGTGTGATTCATACTGCAGGAAGGCAGCCATGCATATTACAGAGACGTACTTGGAAACTTCAAGGACAGACATGTTGGATGGAGGAAGGAATTGCGTCCAGCACATTGCCCAGCATGCAGCGACAGCCTTGGCGCCAGCGGGCCGCTTCGTCCAGGCAGCCGCGCATTGCCTGCGAGAACTCAGAAGCGCCGGTGCCGGCACGCAACTTGATCTTGGACTAGTTTGATAACTATGGTAACCCTTGTTTTCCTCCCTCCATGTCGATCCTCCACCTCTCAGCTGTATCCAGATGGATGAAGAAACGACTAAGGTATCGCAGTCCAGCCAGGATCGCCATCACCCAGTCCTCGATGTTGCTTAACCTTCCTGACGAAATGATCCTACGTATCCTCTCACACCTCGATGTCACCGAGATACTTGCTTGCGCGAAGGTGAGCGGCTCGACAGAATGAAAGTTTTCTCTCTGTTGGAAAAAGAGACCGGTCAGGCGAACGAAAGAGTGGCCCTTTCGTCTGCCTGAGCTTCTCTTATGGTTTGTTCGCACTTCAGACCCCGCCCTGTACCGCTCGCCGTATTTTCATTCGCTATAGAATGAAGTACTTGTGCTAATCTCTATTTCTAGGTCTGCCGTCTCCTCGCACGCCTCATTCAGGCGGACGTGCTGCTTCAAATGATCATTTATTTACGTCGGACATCCATGCTAGAGTCGACTTCTAATCTCCCTAAAGCAACTGTTCTTCGGATGATTCAGGAATTCGAAAGCAGATTTCGCCGCTCGTTCAAGTTTACCAAACACTACATTCGTTGCAAAGAAGAAATTCACTTTCAGAGATCATACGATGGCTCTATATGCTACTTCATTGAAGGTCCCGATAAGCATGACTTCGTCGTTATAATACCGCCTTCTCCCGTTCGAGGCATTGAGAGCAAGACATGCACCATTCCTCTGGGAAACTTGGTCATTCCTGCGCAGCGGATAGTACGGGAGGCCACGGTCGACGTCGCTCAAAACCTGGTTGTCGTTTTCACAAGCGTACTCGGCACTTGGTGAATACTGCTTTTGTGATCTCCATACGTCACGAGCTGATGGGTCTTCAGGAGCGCCGAATTCCACCTCCTGAGTCTCGACGACACAAAACCACACCATTTCGCCGGAAATTCGGTGTTTCACTCGAGTTTATTAACACCAGGCCCGGACGACCATCCCAGCATCATGATCAAAACCCTCCAAATTAGGGAGCGCTATCTGTCGTATGTCATCGCGTCTCACCAATGGGGCTCATCAGACGTCGAAATATGGGATTGGACGGTTCAAGAGAAGATCTGGGTAAGCGACACCAAGCTTGATACAGCCGCGAGCATCCACTGACACGCATTCAGTCCCACCATTACGAGTCATGGTGGATCATGCAAGCCATTATCGGCGACGATATAATTATCGTCTCCTCTGCCGCAAGAAATACGCTCGACGTCTACGACTTCACCTCAGACAGCGCTCACAACCGTCCTCTGTTCTCGATTAGCCTCCCGCCCGCAACAGGAGGGAAGGCCGTGCGCATCGTCGACATGCACACCTCCAATCCTCCAAAATCTACCTTTCTCCATCCCGTCGGCCCCTCACGCCCGTTCCAGGTCGACCCGGCCTCTGCCATCATCTCGGTCGAGTTCACGGTCCGCGACGTCTCTTCCATAGTAAGCGGATTCCACGGCGCGCCGCACGACTTCACTCTCCTCATCCCGCACTCCACCATACGAACGCTCGTGGGCTCGACCACCTTCCCCCGCGGTCACCTCTATCCGTGGTCCGAGTGGGGTCCGCGTGGGAGCGCGCTCCTCCACTGCACGGAGGCGCAGAGCGCGCACGTCGTCCTGCGCCCGTACGGCCCGCTCTTCCCTGTCGTCTGCATGGACAAGCGCGGACCGCCGCCCTGGCCCGCGGCGTTCATCGACCTCAACCCTTGGGCGAGATACCGACCTCCTGCGGAACCCCCTCTCGACTCGGATCAAGGCGAAGAAGAGGCTCAGGCAGCGCGAGAGCGGGACGCGGAGGTGCAGCGGCGCGTGCGCCCGATGCTGTTCGACGATCCGGACGAGCCAGAGCGGTACCGCGAGTTCTTCGCAGCGCCCGTGCGCACGAAGCTGCTGTACACCGTGCACACTGGGCCAGGTGTGTTCTTCATCGGCTCGCGGGCGACGACGCGGGTCGACGCGGTGGACGGGGGCTTGGTCGCCGTGGTAAGTGACGTTGTTCCGCCCTCAGATTGCCGCGCGCTGATTCGATGAGTGGCGACTGCTTGCAGTACGAACATGAGGAGGAGAACCGCACCTTGGGATTCGATATTTACACTGTATAGTCTTTGTTAGTAGCCCTTTTGTAGTGGAGTCAATACGCGGACACGTGCTGCGATTCTCCAGAGCGCCCGCGAGCCGAGTCCTTGCTTTGTTCCTCCACATGTCTCGCCGACCTCATGGACATCCGTCTCCTGCTGCGAGATGACACGGAGCCATCTCCTTCTTCACCATCCCCTTCTTCCTCGTCAGACCCTACTCCCGGGCCCACGCCGTCCGTCGCCCTCCCTTCTGGTCAATCCGTGCTTGAAGAACGGCCACCCCCGTCAGAATGGCCCGCTAGTGGTCTCTACGTCCCCAAACGTGTCCGGCCTCTCGACGACATCCTCCTCGACCCCGAGAGGTACCACAAGGCCTCGCAGTTCTACGAGGAGAAAGCCGCACCGGATGGTCTGCTCGTTGTGCCACTAGAGGTGCCCCTCGATCTGCCCCCCCGGCACAAGGACTTCCCACCCGCGCCGTTCTGGCCCGAAAAGCCCCTCGGGCGCCTCCCGGGCTCGACGGTCCCCGCGACGGAATGGGAGTGCGAGGTGCGGTTCACGAAGCCGTGGCTGCACGAAGTCGCCGGGCAGATGGAAAAGGCGAAGAGGGTCCTTGGCAAGGACCGCCACGAGATCACGCCAGAGGTCTTCGTGCTCAACTACGTCGTCCTTCCGGACGGTCATGAAGAGGGGTCGTTGCTGCCGCCGATGAGCGCGCTCGGGCCGTTTCAGGAGGCCGAGCTACGGCAGGGCCCACCGATGCGCGAGATCGACATGCAGTATCTTCCCCCCGACTTCATCCCGAACCCGATTCCGTACATGGAGCGTCCGCTGGAGGTGCCGGGGGGTAAGCCGGTTCTCCTAAAAAGGGTCGAGGGGGACACCTATAGCAATCCGTACGGGCCCTCGAGAATTGCGGCCACGATGAAGCTGGACGCCAACGCTCAGCGGGTATACGAGAACCGGGAGCATATGTGGATGCGGACGCTGGACGGGAGCATCATACCCCAGGTGCGCGACCGAGTGTTTGGGCTAGCGGTCGGGGGGATCCAGGAGAGACAGCAGAAGGCAGCAGCAGCGTGGCGGGAGGAGGAGGCGTGGGCGAAGGCAAAGAGGGAGGCGGAGGTGGTGGGGGCGGAGCCGGAAGACCGGGATCCCTTGGGCATCATGGATGGCCTGGACGAAGGCGAAGACGTGGACCACCGATTCGACGTCGAGTTTAAGACTGCCGATGGCGAGCAGGGGCTGTCGATGAAGCTTCTCATGTCTGGGCGACGGGTCATGGCGAGGGCGATGAAGGGGCACAAGGACAAGGTGTTCGACGGCTACCCTCGGGAGAGCGTGCGCATACGGATACAGGCAAGTCCAAGTCCTATCGTTTCCGAGCCTGCCTTTGAACGCATTTTGCAGTGGCCCGCCTATCCAGACCACGAGCTCATTCGGTGTATTCTTGCGACCAAGAACACTTCGCGCAAACGGGTGCCTATCACCCGTCTCGAGTTCGCCGTCGCTCTCACCAGTGCTCTCACCCAGTACTATAAGGTGCGTCTCCCTGTATGTGCATGGATGCGTCACCTCATGACAACCATGCAGGAGGTATCAGATATGGAACCCCATCCAGCTTTCCGGCATCGCGCTCTAGGTCCAGATGGAGGTCGACTGTCCCTCTTTGCCCTTCGGGTGATGGGCGTGACCGCAGCCTCTATCACCGGAGTCTACGACCTTCAGATGGAGCTCGACGGAATTCAGTCCGCGCCGCCCGAACCTCCAGTAACACCTCTCCCATCATCCTCGTCCATGTCACCTCCACAAGAGGTCGACGCAGTAGAACTCGCCAACTCAGGTTCTGCTCCCGTATCGCCCATTCCCGGTCCCTCTAACATCCCTAGTCCCTCCCCTGCTCCTCCCACCGACAATATCGAGCCCCCGGAGCCTCCTGCACGTGCAATCACGCCCCCTTGGGCTTCCACACTGCCCGTCGAGTGCACCGTAGGCCCGGTACCCGAGCCGACCGCGCGCGACTTCCTCGCACACGTCGACTATCACGCCAGCCGTAGCATCCCCCTCCCCGCATGGCCGACGTCCACGCACGCGCCGCGCGAGCTATGGCCACCCGACGTCCGACCGAAGTGGTTTCCGTGGGAGGCGGGTAAGATCCACTGGTGGTGACGTCGGCACGGCGGCTCTGGCCGCGAGCGCACTTCGTGCAAACATGTACATTTGTGGGGTCTGGACTGGATGTTGTACACCGTATGTATCGATATCATCTCCTACTGCGATTCGAGTCTCCTTTGCCAGAGTTAGCCCACGGGAAAAGTGCTGAGCTCGACGTTTTGTCAATTTCTCTCTCGGACGCCTGCTGTACCAATCGTTCCAAACAGGATGCCGTCCTCTCTCTTTCTACATCTCCGCCTTCAATTTCGGACGCACGGGGCCTTCGAAGAGCTGCACCTACAGCACTTCCAAGTTCAGCTTGTCGAGGGACGTGTCCGCAAGGCTAAAGGGCTCTTCTTCCTCTCCTGAAACCAGTCCCCTGCGGCCTGTGGGCCCCAGTCGCCAACATCTTCGTCGCTGCAGCAAAACACTTCGATCTCAAGCGCTACGAGTTGCTTGAGGCCTATCCACGCTTCTACGGGCACCCCCCTATTGGAACGGGTTACATAAGAAAAGGGGAAGCGAATGGTGGCGCACCATGCCCGATGCTCCGACGTTTGTCTCTGCCCGTGGGGGCAGTCAGCGCAGGTCCTCATGCACGGCGATGTTCTACGCACGCCGCGGCCGCGCGGGATCACGGGAATTGCGCATGGGCATGTAGCGCGGGCCGTTGAGCTCGACGCACTCGACGTATAGTACACCACCGAGCGGCGTTCCGGCGCTGAGGCGTTGCAGGGAGAGCGGGGACATTGGAGCGGTGTGGGATTTGTTGAGGCGCTGCGTCCTGGAGACGTGGTGGCGTTGTATATGAGAGCCAAATCTCCTGGTGAGAGTAACACAATTCAAAAGGCCTCTTTCGAGCTCATGTACAGTGTATGGTAACTACAAGTGTATCACGGCGCCCATGATATATGATGCACACGAAACCAGCTCGCTGAAGGTCTGCTATTTGCATGAACCTCCGGAGCAATACCCTGAATCACGGTCGGAAGCGCTTGTGCTGACGCTCCCAGAATGAGGAGACTAGAATCCACTCGGTGAGAACGGCGGGAGCCAAAATGAAGGTCGCCTTACCTCGATCACCAAGAGACCATCAGGCTCTGCGTCTTCGGTTATCCTGTGAAGAGCCGGTCTTGCTGGAGACATAGTACGGTCGAGATTTATGTGACTGGGCGTCGCAGGGTCCTCAGGAGCAGCTCGAATGCGGGAGTTCAACGGCTTCATGACTTTCGGCACTGAGTGATGAGATCCAGGCGCATATACGTCGAGCACGCTCTAATAACCGACGTGTCAGTGATACGAATGGCTCATGTGTCTATCGTAACGTTCTACTTACCGGCTGAAGAGACGACGTCGAGATCATCGATCTAGCACCGATGCTTGATGTGCGTGACCACTTCGTGCGGCGGGACTCTTGGGTGATGCTACGAGACGCTCGAGAGCGCCATGAAGTTGTAGCCTAAGAAGATGCGACATCAATAACGTCACGGGCTCACAGGACGAGCTGGCGCGAGTGCTCACAGATGCAACGGAATGTTTTCCTTCCCAGAGACTTCCGTAGTCACCAGAAAGTGTCGATGATGTGTCCTGGACAGGGCAAATTATGTTAACAAATCGGTGTACCGAAACTGCAGAAGCCAGACATACCCCGCGTGCTCTCTTCTCCGCAGACCATTTCTTCCGGCCGTTCAGCAAGAAAGTACCAATTCATAAGAGTACATAGATGCTCACCAAAAACTTCCTGACATCAGTCTGTACCTTCTTTGACGGTCGTTTCAGCCAGGACTCCGCTCGTGTGTCAGAAATATCGCGGAGACAGCTCATCGCAGTGGGACCGAAACGCTCAGGAGGCATCCTGTATGCGTCTGGACCGTCTTTCCTCACCGGATAATCAGGTCTCACACCACTGGAGTACGGCCAGGCGATGACACGAGACGTGTCCCACATGTACGGCTTCACATTCGTCAGGTGAATGTGAGGACGCGAGGGATCGTCCTTCGTTTGGGGATGATATACTGGAACGGAGAAGTACTTGGGAATCCCAGGGATCTTGACCTTATTTAGATCTTCCGCGCGACCAAAGGATGTCATGAGGTAGATGAGTGGGGGAGTGCCGACGGCGTTTGGGGCGAACGAGAACCGTGAGCGAGGATGGACGGTCGCTGGGCGCGATCGAATCTGCTTCCCTTCTAGGGAAGACACCAGAGCGTTGTAAGAATACTTGATATCGCCGATGAGTTCTGGAGTGAAAGCTGCGAAGCTTTTGTCCTGCTCGCTGCGATTGATCAGGAATTCAAAAATGGGTGACTGAACGGTCTCCTGGAGGTAAAGGATGTCCCCAGATGTGACATCTGGCCAATAACTCCGGGTGCGAGGATGCTCTGACGTGAACCCGCACGTCTGAATAGGGAAAGACATAATGTTAGAAGAGAAGGAGAGGTAGTAGAGTAGAGCGTAAGGAGTGGCGCGGACGATGAAAGACTGACAATACGTGGTGCGATACGACGAGTTCTGAAATACTGCTCTCAATGGCCAATGCGGATGTTGCTGTATGTTACGAGGGTATGGATCGTCGCGTGATATGACAATAAGAACAAGGGGAGTCTGGTTGCGCAGTGGGTTGGTGCGGTTGGCCTTGTTGGCGCCTTGTTCGAAGTTGTCAGCCTTGTACTCGGAGCGAATCCAAACAGACGCTTACAGTCTGCCCTCACAAAAGACCAGCGCCCACGGGCACTCTTCCTCCCGCGTTTCCCCCTCTCTGTCCCCTCTCTAGCTCCTCCTTGTCGCCAGGTATGTCGTCGTGTTGGACCTGCTGAGTCGTTGCTGAGTCACTCCAGTCAGTGGCGAGATCTACCATCTTATCTAATCATCTGGTATTCCCACGCCTCTCATGGACGAGCCCGGGTACTGCGACTCCGCAATGGACGTCAGCTTGACCTCCTCTGAGGATGACTCCTCCTCCGAGACTGGAAATGATTGGAGCTTCAAGCGCCCCCCGCCTTCCGGCGTGGCATGGGCTCCCCAAGCTCACTTGTATGCCGCTGCTCGCATGGATCCCGTCACCATGGTTCAGCATCTCAATGACCCGTTCGCCCTGGAGGCAGCGAAGCAGCTGGCAGAGCGAACTAAGACCTACCTGATCTATATCGACCATGTGAGATCCGATGTTCTTGCGCAGACAGTTTCGCTTACGCGACCCTATCCGTCTGGCGCAGTCTCCCACCCTGCCGTTGGGTGGCATCGAGCGATGGTTCCATTACGAAATCACCGCGATCGCGGCTGCTCCTCCTCCTCCATGCGAAGAAGAGAATCGCGGCCCGGAGGTTAGCGTTCCCATCTTCCCAAACGACACGCACCCCACGGGACGAATTCCACTCAAGACCGATCCTGGCCCTTTCCCGTTCCCCAACTGCTTCCACTGGCCGCTCAAGGCCATGTTGATCCGCGTCTTACCTCGTCCCGAGGGGTGGAACCGTGACAATGCCGTACGACTTCCAGGCGACTCAGAAGTGCTGATGGGAACCTACTGGGAAAACGATCAGTTCCGGTGTCGGAACCCGGAAGGGCATCATAAGCTGAAGGAGAAGCTAGCTCGATACGAGAAGACTCTCGGCAAGCAGTTCGGTGCTCAGATCCCTTTCTCCCTAGTACCCATGTAGCCCATGTACCGCACCTGCACTCAGTGCGCGGGATATAAATGCTTGAACAAAAAAAAAAAAAAAAAAAAAAAAAAGATCCCTTTCTCGTCTGATGCAGACTCGAACAACGGTGCGTGTACAGATACTCCTTCGAAGATGATTCATGCTTTTTCTCCGGATCCAACGCATACGTTCGTAGAAGACGCGCACGAGTTCGAACATCAGAGCGACCTCGACGAGGACGAAGAGTCCGTCATCGACTTTCCTGAGGAGCAGAACGACGCCAGCCTTGCACATCCCGCCGAACCTCCCACTCGAACTTTCGTTCGAAGCATGTTTTTCCAATACAGGACGACGAACATGAATACATGCCAATATTGCAGATGGAGTACAATTTGACAGAGTACATCAGTGGCGACGACATACCAGATCCTTCTGGATTGTATGCAGAGAGGATGAGATCGTTCGGTAAGAGGCGTCGTCCCTTTCGCTCGTCGATTTCCCTGATGATGTATTGCCACAGAATTATCAAGGAATCGTACGCACGAAGCTTTGCTGTGTATATCAACGGCTCATCTGAGACATCGGAGGCGAAGCAAGAGGAGGACTTGGAGACAACAACACCGTTCACTATTGAGGACGCTCAGTGTGTCCCACCAGCTCCAGTCGACGTCAATACTGCTCTCTGCTCGATCCAGAGCCCCTCTGACCACGACAACGCCCTCGAGCCGTGCGCCTCTTTGGAAAGCGCCTCGAACGAAGAGAAAGCACCACCGACGAGCACCTCTACCCCAGGCGACTGCGCAGATAAGACTGTGGCTCCTGCTGCAGCGCCAGCACGGTCGTCGATTTCTCAAGGTGAGTCTCCTTGCGATCCTAAGTATGACAATTCCGTTCATGCTACGCAGAACAATCGAAGAAGCGTCACCAGCGATACTGGGATGCCGCCAAACGGCGCGTTTGTCGATTGCTTCTTCGCATCACTAGGTGGTCTTTCACGCATGGGAGTCGTACGGTTCTATAACTGTCGCTGCCAGCTCATGCCCGTAGATATATGTACACAAATGGTTTTCGTTCGACTGGCAGGTGAGCGAGCGCAGGAAACGCTCGCGGTATGCGCGCTCGCTCAGGTAGCGTGCGATTGGTCAGACAGCGCGCACTTTTCATTTCCATGGTGGCCTAACGTCAGTACACGGTGTTCGAGAGCAGAGTATCAACGTACCGCGCGGGGCGTCGCCCCGAGGTCGAGGTGACAGGGGTCATGCATTGACCACGGAAGCGCCTGTGTTCGAGATCGGCATGCACGTGCGAGGCCCGAACCGTGTTTTTCTCTGGGCGCTTTTGCAAGAGGCACCGGCACTCGTTCTTTGTAGCGCCTTGTGTTTCCTTTCATCCGTCACGCCGTTTCTGCACAGGTGTACCGAAGGTATGTCGGATCCAACCACTGTGCTGTTTCGAATCGTCTCACTACGTACAGACTCCAGACCTCGGTTGCATAGTTGGCGACAAGGGCAGCGTCTTGCTGTCGGTCACCGGCAAGAATTTGTCAAGATTGAGACAGATCAACTGCTCAAGTAAGACGATAGACCCAACACCCTTATCACTCACGGACTGATAGCGCACAGCGAACGCCAAGGGGCTGCGATGACATCGTGTTCGACTCACTCAACAACTTCGATAGAGCATCTGCCAAACGAGCTCCTCATTCAAGTGTTCTGCTTGGCTACTGAAGGCCAACGTCGCGTCACCGCGATCGATCCCGTCTCTCCGAAAGCAACGAAGGCGACTCGAGCTCCCATCCGCCCCTTACTGACTCTCAGTCACGTCTCCCAGAAGTGGCGGACGGTAGCCATCGGATGTCCGCACCTGTGGACACACACCGACTGCCACGAAAAAGCCCAGTACCTGGCTTTTACAACACGCTCTCAAGGCTTACCCCTCTCGTTGGTGATCCACCACCGCGACCTCTTCCGTTCCGACAACCGCGCTCCGTCCTTGAACGATTCCATTACGAACATCATTACCCATAACGCCGGCCGGCTCCGCACGCTGAAGGTCACTTTCGTGCAGAAACGGGGAGAGCCGCCTGATTGGCTCGTCAGAGAGATCTCCGGGCTGAAGCTGGACTGCCTGCTTCTCACGAACGACACCCATACCACCTGGAAATCCACGCAGCAAAACGATCCGAAGCTGCTCTTCGCAGAACAAGTCTCGTCCCTCAAAGCTCTCTGCCTCGACGGATTCGGGGGATGGCAGCTGATCACCCACTTTCCCAACCTCACCCATCTGCTCATCTCCGGAGAGCGGTTCTCAGGGCCGTTCCACATCTACGACATGCTATTGTACACCCCTAACCTCGAAGTTCTTTCCTTGCATCATTTCTCCAGCTTCGACGAGGAAAGGTTCTCCGGCAAAGTGTCGCTTCCCGGTCTACAACAAGTACTCTTCTCAGACTCCGAACTGGACACCCTCTGCATATTCGGGCGCTTCACCGTCCTCAAGCCCGTCATCGTCCGAATGTTGTCGTCGTGGGAATGGGGCGACCATGCGTTTGAACTCTCAGACGTCCCGTTCCTCCTTGACGCAACAGACCTCGACATCCGCATCTACCCGGACCTGAACGAGGTCCACCTCGCGCTCCAAGGCCCCGTCGCCGGCCTCTGGTTCGACACCGAGGTCTGCGGGCCAGAGTCAACCGCGGGCGAGTGGTTCCACGACAACCTGCTCGCGAACCTCCCCATCCTGCACATCACCTCCTGCACGCTCGACGTCCCCGACCTCGACGCCCACGCGCTCGCCGACTTCCTCGCCGACGCCCCCAAGCTCCGCACGCTCGCCGTCCGGATCTCCGCCACCGCCGTCGCCGCCGCGGACGAGACCTGGTCGGTCATCGACCTCCTCCAGCACACGGAGGACACCCCGGCCGCGATCCTCTGCGCCGAGCTCGGCGACCCCGCGGACTCGGACAAGGACCGCCCCCCGGGCGTCGACGGCGACGGAGCGGGCCCGGCGCTGTGCCCGGAGCTCCGTTCGCTCAGGCTCTGCACGGACATGCGCCGCGTGGCGCCGCGGTCCCGGCCGATTCGACTGGTACGCGTACGCGCTCGGGGACATGCTCCGCGCGCGCGCGGAGCTGGGCAGCCCGCTGCGCGAGCTGGTCGTCCAGCCGGCGTGCGGGATCGCGGAGGGCGCCGATGGCGCGCCTATGGGGGAGGGGGAGCTGGAGAAGGAGCGGCTGCGGTTCGAGAGTTGGTTGAGGGGGCGTCACCTCGAGCGGTTCGAGTGGGTACCGCCAGATGGGAACTTATTTGGGGAATTTGAGCCACGGGAGTATTGGAAGACGGTTGATGAAGAGAAGTATTGGTCGAGGGTCCAATGAACGAGGGCATTGTAGCATTGTGATGTGTAAACAGCCAGATCTACAGGTAGCCGACTATCGTCTACCATCTAGCATCAGTCCTATTAAGTGCACGGCACCTGTAAGCGCACGACTGAGCTAGTCAACGCCAAACACCCTGTCTGACTTCCTGGCCTTTCTCGCGTTTGGATGACGGTGTTTTGTCAAGAGGAGCACCGCAGTCCTAGTGATGCGGGGCAATGCATATGGAAACCGGGGCATCTTGGAGTTTCGGCGTGCCAGGCTAGCCCTTCGGACATGTCACATAAATTTGCACGAATATGAGGACTGGTGGACGTCGCCAAGAGTCCTTGTCAGTGATGGAGGACCCGAGGAGGGTGGGTGCCGCGTGCGCGTCTGCAGGGCACTTCAGGGCAGGCAAATACGCGCTTCTCCCACGGCCCAGCACTGACTGACGACTTGCCCAGCAACCGCCGTGTCACAACTTCTTCAAAACTGTACACCTGTAGAACATCCACAGCCTCCGAGCGCACACCGCACACCAGGCTTGGTCTCTTCGGCTCCTGCTGAATAGGCCCGTCAGGAAATTGACAAGTGCGTGGGCGCGGCGGCCGATCTATAGTTGTGATGACTTATTCTCGGACCACGACGTGCTTCGGGTCCCACTGCGCAACTTCGGCGGCGAACTGTCATTCCGCCACCCGGGTGCAGGTTCGTATCATCATGTCACGCACGTATCAGCGTCGCCCGCACACTGGCAAGCCGCAAGACTCGGATTCTCCCGTCCATCAGCCTGTGAAGAGTGCGGCCGTACCAGTACGTGCGCCTCAAAATGACTGCCAAGAAGCAGGAGTCAGCATAATGCTACTTGGTCACCTACCCCGCAACGTCCTTCTCCGCGGCGACGCCCTGATTTGGTCCCCATGAGAGAATCGCCAAGTTTGGTCAAGTCCAACTCATTCACCCCTGCGCGGCGTTATGGTACGTAACCCCATGAAGGTTCGGGTACATATAAGAACACTTCGTCGCGGGCATGCAGCGTACCTAGCTTGACCTTAACACCTCTTCAACGTCGGTCGTAGCGCCTATGGGTAGCCAGATCACTTTCAGCGCGTACGTGCCGGATGTCGATGGTACCGTGAGCTGGCGTACTCATGTACACGAGCCAGTCTTCAGGATCAACGAGCGGTGGTCGGAGCCATCGGTGGGTACTGGTAGTACTAACACACTGGAGTTCTAATTTGAAATACTCTGACGTATCTCTTGTTCCCAGCCATCGTCTGCTACGACCACTTCCTCACATTCGATCGCGAGATTCAGTACGTGTGGAGGAGGAGGATCACGAGTGCAGGCACGATCTATATCGTTATGCGTTACTCCACGGTGGCCGCCATCATCCTCACGCTCCTCAATATTTCCTCTTGGCCGGGCAAATCAACACCAGTGAGAGCCTTTCCGACCCCCAACAGATGGTAGACGCCTCTGAACCCCTTTACTTGGCAGAAGTACGCCCCCGGCCGCGCCTGTTTGTGTCTCAGCAACCCGCTGCACTAACCTGTGCTGCCGCCCCGCAGGTGCAACGCGATCACACTGGCTTTTTCAATGTTGGCTGCCGTCATTATCGTTTGTTCCGCGGGTGAGTCCTCGAGTCGAAGGCCAAGATCTGCACCTGGTTAATCACACTATGCTGTAGTGTTCTCGTCTTTGCGAGCGTACGCGTTGTGCCGACACAAACCAATATCCTTCTTAGTTTTAGTGCTGGGGTCCGCGAACGCCGTTCCCTCGATTGTAAGCACTCTCAACCTTTCTTCCGCTTTACTGTATCCAACTCAACCCTGGGTTTCGCTCAGTACACAGCGATCAAGACTAGGACCGTGTACAATCCAGGACTAAACGACACCAACGCCATATGCAACGTGGATTTCTCGCTATTTATATCCTTCCGCAAGTGAGCGGACTAGGTGTATCGTGAACCAAGCTCGATCTAACAATCTCCTTTCACAGTGGTCCGTTATCGCTTTCTCCCCGGTAGACGTCTCTTGACTTGATACCAAACAGTGATCGTCGTTGGGCGTGTCTGCGGGGTTGTCTGCGACCTTCTGGTTCTTGTTTTGACGTGGAGACATGCAAGACCGTTCACGGGAAGCGTGAACCAGAGATTTACCCTCACGACGGCCTTTTGTCAGAATGGTAAGTGCGTTGTTTTGGGGTCAATGGGTCTGTATATTGACGCATACATTACATTATAGGTGTTATATACTTCGTGTGAGCCATACGTCCCTTCCGCCTTTGTCCTCGTCGTTCACACGTCACATGTGCAGTGCACTCCTCTGTGTCAACGCCCTAAATCTTGCTTTCGTCAACAGCGTCCAGGTAACACCGCACATCATACTCCCCAAAGCTCGAATCTGACGTTGCCTTTCCAGCTCTTGCTCGTTCTCTCCGGTGCAATCAGCGCGTACGTTTCCCGCCATCGCGCTCGGTTATCTCTGCTGACGACGTCACCCCGGTGCAGCATGACGGTGCTCTTGACCTGCCGTTTCATCCTCGACTTATTCGAAGCGAGCGCGGGCGCACGCTTCGGCACCGCCCCCACAATACACCTCTCGACCATGCCCAGTTTTGGAGCGTCGCGCTCGCTCGCGTTCGGACACGTGGGCGGTCTCGGCACCACCAGACATTCTCAAGGAATTTTCGACGCGGATATCAGCTGGCGCAGGACAGAAGACGGCGAGAGTGTGTACAGCGGTCCGGACGACTACGGCTTCGAGCTCCAGGTGGACCCGGGACCGTGGAGGGAGTAACAGTTGGACCGACAGAAATCGAATGTGCGCTCTCTCAGATCGGAGTCCTGAGCATGTAGACCGTGCCTGTGAGTCTGATCCCACAGCTATGTATGTGTCTTGAAGCATCTCGGGCATGTCAGGCTCCAGATACTGGAGGGATAGGTGTCCTATTCAAGGACATGCCTACCATTGAGGACGTTGGAGGCAGAGACGGCGGCAAGGGCAGGCGAATGCAAGCATGTAGGAATGCCATCGGACGCTACCTCAGTTCAGATATGCAAACAACTGATCTGATTCGTCTGCCACGGTGAAGGATCGTACACGAAAACACTTCTGAAGGCAAGGCACATCATCTATCAACGCATCTAGCACTAGTTCTTTTCCATCATCTCCGCGATGAGGGCCTCCGCCTCGATCGACTCTGGCAAGGACCGCCGCTCGGACGTCGACGGTGACAAGGCGAAGCCAGCGCTGTGCCCGGAGCTCCGCTCGCTCAGGCTCTGCACGGACATGTGCCGCGTGGCCGCCGCAGTCCCGGCGGACTTCGACTGGTACGCGCTCGGGGACATGCTCCGCGCGCACGCGGAGCTGGGCAGCCTGCTGCGCGAGCTGGTCGTCCCGCCGGCGTGCAGGATCGCGGAGAGCCGATGGGGAAGGATCGGCTACAGTTTGAGAGTTGGATGGGGGGCCGTCACCTCGAGGAGTGGGTGCCGCCGGATGGGAACTTGCTTGGGGAGTTTGAGCCGCAGGAGTATGGAAGACGGTTGGTGAAGAGAAGTATTGGTCGAGGGTCCAATGAACGGGGTATTCTGCAGGTAGCCGATTATTCTCTACCATCCGGCATCAGACCCTACTAGCATGACCCCAGAGTTGAGAAATGGGAGCGCCCGCAAGATCAAACCATGAGAGTCTCGACCATCTCTGTTGCGATAGTCTTCGGATTTCGTACACATATTGTTAGTGTCATAAGAAATCAGTGTGCAAAGTTTCAAAGGAAACTGGTACGTATTGCGCCCCCAGTGGACGAACCGGCCGCGGACCCTAGAGTTGAGAAATTTCGCCGAGGCTTAGTCACGGTGCGGGTCACGCAGCCGACATCAACTCCGCTCGGCTAGGCTGTCAGACACGTCCAGGGATGACAGCATCCTCCCCAACGACAACGTCGGAGACTGAAATTCACTCACGTTCTGTGGCCGAAGTCACGCTTGAACTGACCCAAAGTGCGTTTTCGCCTCCCTCCCACAGATATCGTGCCGGAGAATTCGAATTGGGGCAGCCACGCTTCATCCAATACCCCTCACGCAGCTTCAACCTAAGCGCTGGTCATGGGATCGTAGCCGACGGGTATCAAATCTTCGACTTTTCTCATTTGAGAGATGTTTGCGAAAGATCGTGCTTGTTTCTGCACGGAACGACGTCGTTCTTTTTGAAAACGAAAGTGAGAACATGTTCCTACCAGCGTGTGAATTTTCAACATTATCGGACGAGGGACGGGACCGCCAGACCAGATTTCTCAACACTGGGGGCATTTCTCATCACTGGGGTCGGACTAGTACACGGGTGACGGGACGACACGCCTCGTCAAGCGTCCGACATCCTCGACCCGCCGGTACGGCTGCACCTCAATCCCTCCAAGAATGCGAGGACCCGACCGCCAGCTGTACTGAGGGACGCACAGTACGAAATCCGCCTCGTACGCCGCGCGCACGTCGATCGCGTCGATCTTCTTCGACTAGTAAGTTTAAATACTACGTACGTGCCCTGCATCTGTATCGTGACCGTGCGAGCGTACTCGAGGGCTCCCCGCTCCCGCGCCGGGCTCGAGCGCCGAGGGGATACTGAGTGTTTGATATCGAGGTGCCCAATTCGAGGGAGATGGAAAGATCGCGGGAGGGTAAATCTAAGGAAGGGGAGAAACTGGTGGTGATTGCGGCAATCGGAGTCTGGACAGCTGCGGCAGCGTCGGCGTCTGCACAGTCGACACTTCAGGGCAGGCAAAGACGCGCTGCTCCCACGACGCGGCGGAACAGGCAACGACTTGCTGGCAGCAACCTCCTTGCGGTCTGGCGCAAACTTCAGAACTGTTCACCCATACAACACTCTCAGTCTCCGAACGCGCAACCTGCGTCAGGATATTTGAAACTATCATGTTTCCAGGTCCTGCTCAATTGTCAAGTGCGTTCAAGATCTCTGTGCGCCCCAAGCGTGCCTGCGCTGCTTGTTCAGTGACCCCCCGAGTACTGGTTTTGTCGACTGATAATTAAGGCATACCAGGTGTGCTCGAAGACACGCAAGCCGAAGGAGCTCAAGTAAGAATAGCCGAGGCTAGCGACACCGACCTGTCGGCTGTGACGACTTATTCCCGGACTACGACGTGCTTCTCTCCCACTGCGCAACGGTGGCGATCTGTCACCCGGATGCAGATTTGTGGTACTGTCGCCCGCGCCCTGGCAAGCCGCAAGACTCGGATTCTCCTGTCCATTAGCCTATACAGCCGCGCGGTGGTTGTCGTGGCGAAGGGTTGGGTACGTGCGCATCAATGTTCACCCTGAAATGGCTGCAAGGGAGCAAAAGTCGGCAAGACGCTTAATCCTTTACCCCGCAGCATCCTTCTCCGCGCCGACGTCTCCATTTGGCATCCATGAAAAAATCTCCAAGTTTGGTCAAGTCTAACTTGCCACCCCTGCACGAAGTGTGTCGATACGTAACGCCATGTTGAAGATCCGGGCAAGTATAAGAACGCTGTGGTTCTTTGTCGCGGCCAAAGAGAGCACCCTGGCTTGATCTCAATCGCCTCTTCAACGCCGGTCGCAGCTATGGGCAGCCAGGTCATTTTGAGCGCGTACGTACTAGATGTTGATGGTACTGCGAGCCGCCGTGCTCATGCATTGTACGCGAACCAGTCTTAGGAGTCAATGGGCGGTGGTCGGGAGCATATGTAAGTGATACACCTGGAGCACGAATTCGAATTTCTCTGATGCTTTATCTCGATTCCAGCCGTCGTCTGCTACGACTACTTCCTCACATTCGATCGCGAGATTCAGTACGTGTGGAGGAGGAGGATCACGAGTGCAAGCGCGATCTATATCGCCATACGTTACTCCTCGGTGGCCACCATCATCCTCACCCTCTTCGGTTTCTTCGCTTCGTCGGGCCAATCAACACTAGTGAGAGCCTTTCCGAGCCCCAACAAATACTGGACGCCTCTGACCCCCTTGAACTGGCAGACGTACGCACCTGGCCCTGCCCATTCGCGCCTCGGCTCTTAGGCGGTGTGCACTAATCTGTGCTACCGCCCTGCAGGTGCACCGCGATAACACGGGCTTTTTCTGCCGTGTCTACCGTCATTCTCACGTCTTCCGCAGGTGGGTTCTCAAGTCGAAAGCTGATATCTACAAATGAATAATCACAGTATGCTGTAGTGTTCTCGTCATTGCGAGCGTACGCGTTGTGCCAACACAAACCCACTTCCTTTTTAGTTTTAGTGCTAGGGTTCGCGAACGCCGTTCCCTCGATTGTAAGCACTCTCAACCTCTCTTCCGCTTTACTGTATCCAACTCAACCCTGGGATTTTCTCAGTACGTAGCAATCAAGACTCGGACCATCTACAATATAGGACCCAGCGACATCGAACCCACGTGCCACGTGGATTTCTCGCAATTTATATCCTTCCGCAAGTGAGCGGACTAGGTGTCTCGTGTATCAAGCTCGATCTAATAATGACCTTTCACAGTGGTCCGTCATCGCTTTCTCCCTCTGTAGAAATTTCTTGACTTGTTACTAAACAGTGTCATCATCGGGCGTGCCTCCGGGGTTGTCTGCGACCTTCTGGTTCTTGTTTTGACATGTAGACATGCAAGACCGTTCACAGGAAGCGCAAACCAGAGGTTTACCCTTACGACGGCTTTTTTTCAGAATGGTAATTATGTTGCTTTGGGTCGATGAGTCTCTGTGCATTAACGCATACATTACATTGCAGGTGTCACATACTTCGTGTGAGTTATACGTCCCTTCTGCCTTTGTTCTCGTCGTTCACACGTGATACGTACAGTGCACTCCTCTGTGTCAACGCCGTGAACCTTGCCCTCGTCAATAGCGTCCAGGTAGCACCGCACCTCATGCGCTTGATACCTCCACAAGGCTTGATTCTGATATTACCTGTCCAGCTCTTGCTCGTTCTCTCTGGTTCAATCAGCGCGTGCGTTTCCCCGCCATCGTGCCCCGTCATCTCTGCTGACGACCTCCCGGTGCAGCATGACGGTGCTCTTGACCTGCCGTTTCATCCTCGACTTATTTGAAGCGAGCGCGGGCGCACGCTTCGGCACCGCCCCCACAATACACCTCTCGACCGTGCCCAGTTTGAGAACGTCGCGCTCACTTGCGTTCGGACACGTTGGCGGTCCCGACACCACGGGACATTCTCAAGGAATTTTCGACGCGGATATCAGCTGGCGCAGGCCGACAGAAGACAGCGAGAACGTGCGTGGTAACCCGGACGACTACGGCTTCGAGCTCCGGGTGGACCCGGGACCGTGGAGGGAGTTACAGCTGGAACAACAGAAATCGAATGTGCGCTCTCTCAGATCGGAGTCGTGAGAATATAGAACGTGCCTGTGAGTCTGATCCACGAGCTATGTATGTGTCTTGAAGCGTTCCAGTTTTCACCTCCGGTCCCTCTGAATAGAGGGATGGCGCAGGTATCCTAGTCGAGGACATACCTACCATTGAGGACGTTGGAGGCGGAGATGGCGGCAGGGGCGGGCGGATGCAGAGCGGAGTTCGACCCCTTCGAGGAATGCCATCGGACGCCACCAAAGTTCGGATACGCAAACAACCCATTTTATACGTCTGTTATGGTGAAGGATAGAGTATAGCCGTGCGCCGAAACGCTCCTCGTCGAGGCAAGGGACGTCATTTAACAGCGCATCCCCATCTCCGCGATGAGGGCCTCCGCCTCCGGCTTGAGGCTCGCCCAAAGGTCGTTGAGGCCTCTCATCGGCGTCCACCCCAGCTGCTGGCGCGCCCGCACGGCGCGCGACCGCGCGTTCGTCCCGTTCGCGAACACGTACGGCTCGTTCTTCGCGAACTCCCCGATGCCGTCCTCCGTCTCGAACTTGAGCAGCTCCGGGGAGTCGATCGCGCCGAGCGCGTAGAGGACGTCCGCGACGCGGGCAGAGAGCTCGCGCCAGAGGTGCTCGCCGTTCTCGGCGAAGAAGTAGCCCTCGCGGCCGTGCGCGAGCGAAGCGGGGTCGGAGAGCATGCGGCGCAGGATGATCGCGAAGAGGTCGGCGACTGGGGGCGGCGCGGCGCCAGCGACTGGACTGGTGCGGATGCGAAGCACGGATACGCACGGTCTTCGACGTGGACGTTGTCCCAGATCGCCTGGCCCTCGCCGATGATCCCGACGCGCTTCCTGACGAGCGCGTCCCGGATGAGCGCGGGATCTGGAGCGAGTGCGTGTTCGCGATGCCTTTCTCGGCGAGCACGCCCCGGGACTTCCCGTAGATAGTGGGCGGGCAGACAAGGACGGAGCGGGCGTACCCTGCACGCGGGAATCGTCAGCTCTGGGAAGTCGTGAACACGATACCCTCGGCAGACCGGTCACTCACCTTCCTTGTCGGCTTCGAGGAAGAGAAGGTCCACCGGACGGTGGAGCGCGTCCGCCGGGATGCGGTCCAGCCTCTCGACGTCCATGTCCGAGTATATGTCATCTGTGATGAAGTTCCCCATCTTGCGGCTGAAATCGACGAGGACGCCCGTTCCGGTCTGTGCGGCAATGGTCGGCGCCTGCATCGTGCAAAGCTCTACGACTAAGAGCACGTACGGTGTGCAACACGAACGGGCGGTCGTTCAACCTGCGGTGACGCTTCTTGAGCCCGCGCAGGAGCGCCTGCGCCATGTCGGTGTCGTCCGCGCTGACGAAGTTGACAACCACGTGGGCAAGCTCGGCGAGCTGCTCGAGTCGGTGAAGCTCTGCAGTCGTGCCGATGACGGTCTTCAAGAAGGGAAACTCGTCCTCAATGTACTTGGCCTTCTCGGACGAGCGAATGTACAGCGTTATGTCAAGATTGGAGAGCAGGGCCGGGTCGGCGAGGATGCGGCTGAGGAAGGTGCCGCCCACATAGCCTACGAGCCATCTGTCAGACGTAGCATGACGACTTGCTACTGCAACTCACCGGTGCCTCCGAGAAAGAGCACTGGAATTTTGGTAGTAAAAGCTGTGCGTCCATGCTTCTGGCTCTGGGAGGCCCTGAAAAACTTGGAGAACGGTTGCATGTGAGCAGAGAGCAGATTTGGATTTGGAAGGACAGGGATGCCGCAAAGTCGAGTGACACATGGATGGCTTTTATACTGAGCAAGTGTGCCAGATGCTCGGATAATACTAGTGCGTCAAAGTCGGAGGTACATACTGAACGTGAGCAGGATGAGACAGTATGAGATTTGCAGGGAGCAACAAGACAGATGGGTCAGAGCCATGGGGTGCTGATTCAGGTGACCGCACCAGTGCTCGAGACTTTGCCCAAATTGTGGAGATCTTATCTTGCTCGCCGCCAGATCTTATCTTTGCTGACGGGCTCATTCGGCGCTTATGGGAGTCTTTGTCAGGCCTCGGTTGTTTGGAAATCCTTCCCGCAGTCAGCCTCCAACTTGTCCCATTTGTTTCGCGCATTTTCATACGCCGAGTTTTCAGGATTTCAGCGGCGTGATAGGTAAAGCTAGCCTGGTTTGGAAAATCCACAGCAGAAGTCAGAGGTTCGCGCCGAATCATCCATGAGATCCTGTCTGCCAGTACCTTCCCTCGTCAACATCCGGCCACTCCTCCTTCGCGAACTCCCCAAACAAGTTCGCGCTCCTCGACAACCACTCGTACCGCTCGAAGCGCGCGCTAAATCGCACCTCGAACCGCCGCCGCTCCTCCTCCAGCTCCTCATCCTCAAGGGGCCCGCAGCCGTCCCCACCCGCCTCGTACGTCGGCTGGAGAACGAGCGCGCGCAGCGGGCTCCCTGCCGCCGCCCGCGCGCGGAGCGCGTTCTCCAGCGCATCCGCGTACCACTCGAAGTCCGCCTCGGCGTCCGGGTGCGGGCGGCCCATGTTCGAGCAGAGCGCGAGCGCGCGAAGCTCAGGGCACGGCGCGCCCGCGTCCCCGGCCTGGCCGAGCGCGGCGCAGAAGACCGCGGCCTGGGTCGCCTCGGGGTAGTCCATGACGTCGGGGACCCGCGTGGCGCAGAGCCGGAGCGCGAGCGACGCGAGCCGGGGGGCCTCGCGGAGGAACGCGACGAGCGCGCGCGCGTCGAGGGAGCGGACGTCGAGCGTGCAGGAGGCGAGGGAGCGGACGGGGAGATGCGGGAGGAGCTTGGTTTGGAGCCACTCGGCCGGCCTGGCGCGCTCGAACTGGGTGCGGAGGTGGGCCTCGAGCCAGAGGTGGGCCGATGGGCCGCGGAGCGCGAGTTGGACCGCGGAGTCGACTCGGACGTCGAGGTTCGTGGCGTCGTGGACGATGCCCGGTAGGAAGAAGTATCGGTCTTGGTGCACCCATGCGTGGGGCATCTGGATGGAGATAGGTCCAAGGTCGCCCAAGTCGTCGATCAGTTGGAGAGCAGCCGCTTCTGAGTCTGAGAACGACACCGTCCGAAGTCGTTGCAGGGACACTTTACGGGAGGATCTTTGTTGGATTGCGCCGGGGGGGCTTACACGATTGAATGACAGGACCTCGAGGCTGGGGATGTACGATAGCAGATCGGCGATGCGGTCTACCGTTCTGAATTTCGCCCCCGAGAAGAGCAGATGAGTGAGGTTGGGGAACCGGGTGCTCAGCTCCCATCCGGCGACTCCGTCTAGGCGCAGAGCTTTGACGCGTGACACTTGTTCTGCAAAAAGCGCCTTCGTATTGCCATGATGTGGGGACCTCCAGACATCCGTAGCGTCGACTGTGAGCAGCAGATAGTCTAGCTGTAACCCGGGGACAGCCGTGACGAGCCAATCCGGAAGCTCTCCGTTAACGCGCGTAAACGTCACCTTGAGTGTTCTGAGTCTGCTGGTGATAGGGGTGATGACCTCCATGAAGGAAACGGCCGAGAGTGCCTGTCGGTAACCCGAAAAGATGATGTCGTCGTGATGAACGACGAGTGAGATGGGGAGTTCTTGAGAGCGTTGCATGAAAGCAATAAACTGCGCGCGATCGTGACAGTCGGTGTGTGTCCACAATATTGGATATCCGATGGCTATGGTACGCCATTTTTGGGAGACGTGGGTGAGTGCAAGCAATGTGCGGAGGGGTACTCGAATCGCCTCCTTGGTGGGCCAAGTCGGGCCGCTCAGCGGAATGAGCGGGTGCCGACGGTCTTCAGTCGCTGCGAGAAAGATTTTGACGAGGATATCCTCCGGGAGATGGGCGATGGTAGTTGTGGAAGTGCCAGTTCGAGAAGGTGTTGCAGCATTGGAGGCCGCCGTTCCTCCTACTGGCAATGTTGGAGGTCTGTGAGACGTCCTTATTGCGTGAGCAAGATGATGCGAGACGGTCATACATGAGTGATTCATCGATCATGGCAAATCGCCGGTCGTTGTCCACGCTCGTCTGCAGCGTTGAGTTCAGAGTCGCGAATTGACGGGCGCCTATTGGCATGGCCACGACCCTCCGCCGCCATCACCAATTGATGGATTGGTCAGCCTAGTGATCGGTACGAGCACTCGCCAGTGGGCAGCGGTGAATTCCAGTGCACTCGACATTCACCATGGGCGACAACCCGTCCGCGAAGATAGACGCTGCCGAGAAGCGGCATGCACGATCTTACGAGCTTCTCGAGCAAGCGCGGGAGGCAGCCAAGAAGTCGTCGGAATACGACAGCCTGGCCACGCGCAGGAAGATGTCCGAGGAATGCAAGCGTCGCGCAGGTTTCGAGCCGAAGAAGGAGCAGCTCGACATCGCAGAGTCCATGCTGCTCGGCCTCGACTCGACAGTAATGGCCGCGACTGGGTGGGGCAAAAGCGTCCCATTCGCGCTCCCTCTGTTTGTGCGGCCGGGGAAGACCATCATCGTGATCTCACCACTGAACGACGACGATCAGGTAGGCTCTCGGTTATGCGTCAATGTTGGCTTGCTCATGTTGTGGATGCCAGGCAAAGAGGTTCTCACAGTGGGGCTGAAAGCAGTTGCTTTAATGGATAGCGATTCAAGAGAAGTCATGGCAGCCATGGTGGAGGTGCGTCGCAAACGACCATCTGCTTTGGACACGTACCGATGACATCATGCACAGAAAGTGAAAAAGGAAAACCACGATATCATCATCGTCGGCCCAAAGCTCTGCTTGGATCCGGATGGCGCGTTTCGGCCGCTGCTCCGCAACTCGAACTTCACGAACAGGATCCTTGCCGTGGTTATGGACGAGGCTAACTGCATCGCGCAATGGGGCACAACTTTCGCCCTGAGTACATCCAGGTGGAGGCGCTACGACGGTCCATAGGAACCGACGCACCCGTTCATGCAGCCTCGGCCACGCTGACTCCCGCTGCCCTCACGGTAGCACGCAGGGCTCTCCATATCCGCGCGGACGACTCCTTTCACCTAAACCTCGGCAACGACCGGCCGAACATCGCTTGGGAGGTGCGCTTGATGAACCCGGCAAAGAGCGACCTTGAGTCTCTGGACTTCGTGCTCGGGTCCGAGGAGGACTTGGACAAGGCCGAGCTGCTCCCACGATCCGTCGTCTTCTTTGACGACGTCGAGATGTCACTCCAGGCCCTGCGGCGACTTCGAAGCAAGGTCCCCGAACGCCTTGGAAACCGTATCTGCATGTACAACCCAATGCGTTCAGCGCTATCAAACCAGATAGTCTTCAAGCTCTTTCAGCAGGGGCGTGTCGACATCCTGCTTGCAACGGAAGCGGCAGGGATGGTGAGTACGTGCGTGGCATCCCGCTCATCCTCAGTGCTGACGTACGCAAAGAGTTTCGACGTTTCAGACATCCCCCTGGTGGTCCAATTCTTGGTCCCGTCATCCCTCGAGACGTGGATGCGGCGCGCCGGCCGGGCAGGTCGCAATAAGGACATTCGCGCTCGAGCCATACTGCTAGTACAGCCGACTGTTTTCCGCGAGGAGGGGAAGAAAACGCGTCAGCCTGGGGATCCGAGATTGTATGTGGAGGAGATCAAGCCGGACTTGCTCGACTGGATCACAGCATCTGAGGGCGAGTGCCGCCGCGCGATCGCGGACCGTGTCTTCGACAATCCTCCTCGGGAAGGTGAGCACTGTGCAACATTCGGATGACCACGAGACTCACCTGCTTGACCATCAGCACCGACCGGTTCTTGCTGTGACAACTGCGAGGCGCGCACGGTTCGCGCGGAAGCCGCCGAACGCCGTGAAAGCGAGGAGCCGGCCCGTGCCTCAGATAGCGAGCCCAACAAGGCTAGCGACACATCCACTTCCACGGAAAACATCGATGCACGGACTATCGACGCGGACCGGGGGACACCTCAGGGAAGCTTTGGCCCGACTGCACGAGTGGCGCAGGCGGACGTGGTTTTCTGACTTCAAGTCCGCCCCCTTTGGCTCGGCTGCTATCTTCCCTGACACCTTTCTCAACGAAGTCGCATCAAGGACGACGTACCTGCCGGTGGAAGACCTCGGCGCCCCTAAGTGGATGTATGTTTCTCGTCATGGCGCCGCCGTTCTCCAGCTGCTTCACGACTTGGATAAAGAATGGGCTGAGGTCGAGCTTGAAGCTGAGAGGAAGGAGGACGTCGAGAAGAAGCGAATCGCGGAGGAGATGGCCTAGGAGGGGGGAAGAAAAAGGAGGAAAGGGCGGAAAGGCACGTTTGACGAAGATCAAGGAGGGGGTCGTCAGGTATGTCCTATTATGGACCAGCTATGCAATACATGTTCACGCCGAGCACAGATATCCGAAAGTAACTGCAACGTTCCTGAGCTAGAGAGCCTCCCTACTCTAAGTAATGGAGGTACATCTAAGGGCGATGAGCGCCACTGTAAAGCAGACTCAGCATCCCTTTGTCGTGCGCGTAAGTAATCGGAGCGTAATCATCAATGCCGTCAACCGGAAACACCTGCTTCGACAATCGGCACGGGTAGCGCACCTCGCCCTCTCGACCCGCCCAGTCAAAGTCGATGAGCCTCATCCTGCCTTCGACGCCCTGTTCCCAGCCTTGCAGGAGCAGGATGTTAGGCGGGCGAAGATCTCCATGGACCATCCCGTTGTCGTGCAGGCGCTTCATCGCGCGCTCCACCTCCCGCGCGGCGGCGCTCTGCTGCTCCGGCTCTAACGCGGGGACACCCTCCACGTGCTCCATAATGACCATTTCGTGGCCGTGGTGCTCCTCCCTGGGCCAGAAGGCGCCGTGGTAAAGCAGGGTCGGCGCGAGGCCAGCCTCCGCAAGCAGCTCGTGTGCCCGGGCGCCGTACCGTTCGACGAACTTGACGACGACGTTGCGCAGCTCCGGCCCGTCGAGGCGTGCGAGGAACACAGTGGAGCCTTCGCTGGGCGTTTTTAGCACGTCGATGTAAGTGAGCGTCATGGGATGGCCGTCGGGCGCGTGGTACCGGGTGGCGAGAGGGAAGAAACGGGAAGCGTCCGTCGCCGGGAGCGGGAGGTCGGTGTAATATGCATGCAGGTGTTCGAGAGCGAGCTTGAGGGCGTAGAGCACCCGCGCGTTCTCCAGGAGCACGTCTCCATCAAGGTGGTGGTCCTGCGAGAGCCATATGTCTCTCAAGCGCTGCACGACGGGCTTGCCCGTGATCATGGCGCCCGAAATGGAGATGTGTGGACCGTCAATGCCGATCACGAAGGAGGGCGTGAAGCAGCTGTTGAGAATGGTCTGAGTACGTTAGATCGATGCGCACTGCGAATATGGTCTGATGAGAGCCGCTCACCTTCTGACCGACGTCACACCAATGCGCGATGTACGCGAACATCGAACGGAGAGCGCTAGGCCCGGATTCCGCATCCAGCTCAATAGTAGCCAGAGCTGCAGTGCCAGAGAATGGAGAAGGAACGGCAGAAGGAATGAAGTAGCCCGGACGTCTTCGCTTGACGGTCTCGCTGGACGGTCGCTGAAGAGAGAACCCGAGGAGAGCGGAGAGAAGCGGACAAACTTCGTCTTCGAGGTCCCATGCATCGGGGAAGATGCGGGATCCTGCATCCATGAGCTTCGCGGTTATTCTGACGACTTCTTCAGGGACGGAGAGACTGCGGTCTTGAGACAGTCGCTTGAAGGCGGCGAAGGCATGGTGGAAGACCTCGAGTGGAGGAGGCAAGGGGGTGACGGTAATACTCGTGCGACGTCCGCCGATGATAGCGCGCGGACCCCGTTGAATTTGACGATATTGGGAAGCGCGGCAGTTCTGAGATGGCGAGCCACAGTTTGTGGCTCTTACCATCCGTCTGAACCCTGAACGCTGACGATGTCAATCGTCAGCTTACAGATTCGAGCGCCAACGTACGGGTTACGCACTCTTCATCATATCGTTGAGGATATTCCCGTCTTCTTCTTCGTCCTCACTTGCACTTTCACGAGTCGGTGGCCACTTCTTGAGATTGAACGGTGGAAGTATGTTAACAACAAGAGCGCGTGTGGCGTCGGCCCGTTGTGAAGGCTGGATATCAAGGCTTCCCTGGATCGACTCGTCGTTCCTTTCCGACATGAAGAAGAGGATGTTGTCACAAAACGTGCGCGGATTGTAGTCGTGGACGACCAGAAGCGATTGCAAGTGCAGCCCATGAGTGGCGTACAAGGCATCCTTCGGCTGAATACAACATCCTCACTGTGAGCGCTGGGATGGATAACAATAAGTAGTGGCGGCTCACTCTGAAAATTGGAAGGCGCGTGGTGTCAGGCTGGCCTATCGCCTTCGACACAGCGACGAGAAGGTCCACGTAGCAAGCGTCCGACGGGACTATGACTATTGTGGGTGTAAGGTCTCGCAATTTGCGTCCCTCAACTATAAAAAGGGAGATTTTGAGTTCCATGAGCAGAGTAGAGATGATCACAAAGGAGCGAATGGCAGCCTGTTACCCAGTGGTTGAGTCAGGTTCGACTTGAAGCCGGCCACATGGCCTCGGGCGGCCTGGTCTGCGCGCTGGCGCCCGGCGCGCTCTATTACATAAGCGGACCGCGGTCACTGCTGCACATTAGAGCTGTTTGGAAATGCACTATAGTGCACGAACCTGACGCCACTTCGGTGCCTCCACTGCTCCAAACACCCGCCGGGCAGTCGCGTGGAGCAGGGACTCCAACGCTCCAACTCACGATTACTACAGTTCACTATCGTAACTTTCCAAACGGCTCTATTCAGTGCGACCTCAGGCGTTGCATCCGTTTCCCACGTCAACGCCGGGAAAGGTCTCAGACGATGGAGGCGGTGTGCGGAAGGGAAGGGTCGTGTAAACTAAAACATGAACAGAAATCTATCGTGAGGGGCGGCGCAACGGCGATTGCGGAAACGAGGAGGCCGATGGCGGGTCTTGACGGGCTTGCGTAGCGAAAGCAAATAAAATCCTTGTCTCGTCCAGAAACTCATACCGTAGAAATATGTACGTAAGCATGCACATCAAGCCGAGACCTCCGTGCCCCGAGCAAAAACACTCGTTCACATAGTCTTCCTTCGTGACTAGCCCGGACTTCTTTCCGGGTTTTCCCAAGTTCGAATAGAGCAATCATCTTGGAGAAAGCAATCATGCGCGGTTGAATTATATTGCCTTTGACAGAGTCGGTATCGTTACCCGATGATCCTCTCTGTTCGAGGCAGCCATTTCACCATCACGGCCACCAATCAGCGATGTGCAGCGATGAGATAGAAAGAATCAAGCACCCACAATTTCCCCGTTAACCACGTGGAGACATGGCTAAGCTGCGCTCGAAAACAAAAGCGATCTGTTAGCGAGCCCGAAGACGTTGCGTCCCAAGGACTCACAACGTCATGGAACGCCGCGTTGGGCTCGTACGGCTTTTCGCGACGCTTGCCATCGGGATCGTCCTCGAACGCCGCTGCCCATGGCTGCCACACGTTCCAATCGATGCGTTTCCCGCACGTGCATGTGGGCCGGCGCACCGCGCGCTGCGTCAGCTCCGCGAGCTCGCTCGCCGTCGCGCTCAACGGCAACCCGAGCGCGACGAGCATGTTTTCACCGCCAGGGGCCTGTCCGTTGCGCCGGCATCGATGGTGGTCAGCGCGTTCTGGGGGAGCCCGGGGAACCACACGCCCTCGGGGTGCTGGCGCTCGAAGGTCTGGAAGTGCGCGAGGACGTCGGGGGCAGTCCGCTGGTTTTTGGACCCCCAATCGCCGAAACAGTGCACGCTGCAGCTAAACAGCACCCGGGGGTCTTCCAGGCGGGCGAGCGTGGCGTCGTCGTTGGTTCGTCTTCGTCACTGTCGCCGCCGTTGCGGGTTTTGCGCTTGGGTCTCCCTCTGGCGTTCCCTTCGCCATGCAGTCGTCTGACCGGCGCTACAGAGGCTGGGGCGCCCCCGCGTGCGCGCGCATCCTTCCTTTCCTGCGCCCTCGCCTCTTCGCCTGTTTCTCCTCTGCCGCCCGCAGGATGCGCGCAAGGTCGCTTCTGACAGAACCCGGTATGGTTCCGCGAGATCGTCCATCCTGTGCGCGAGCTCGCGGGCGTACTGTTCTTTGGTAGGAGCTTCAGCGCGGGTGATCAGCGTGCGCACCGCCGGGATCTTGACTGCGTCCGCGACGCTCGGGAGGGTGCGCTTCCACAGCATCCCGGGGCGCGTACGGCCTTCCGCCAAAAAGGGCTCGTAGAACGAGCGGAACGTCTCGATGCGAGGCTCCCATTGCTTGAGGAACGCGTTTGCTTCGCGGCACGCGCGGTTGGGGGCGAGCTTGTCCATGAGCTTGCCTCGCATGGCGCTCCAACCTACGAATAAGCGGCGCGCATGTGAGCCGCCGCGTTGTGGACGCTGGAAAGATGAGTGACTTACCTCGTTCAGTGAAGGGGCGACTCTGGTAGAAGACGCCCCAAAATTCGTAGTCGACCTCGCCCGGGAAATCTTCTATCCGATATCCCATCGAAAAGAGCCTGTCCTTGATTCTAGTAGGAGCCATGACCTCAGGTTCAATCGAGCACATTGAGTGTTTCCCACTCACGCAGCCACGCGGTCCTCCGCGGCTTGAAATTTCCCTGCACGTTCCGCTTTCAGAGTGAGGAAGTGCCAGTGTGAGACACGGACATGAAACTTGTTCCGCGTTTCAGCTTCAGTCTATGGAATCGACCAGTATAGATTTCACTCACTTGCAACCGTGCCAAGGTCTCCTTTCGACGCCGCTCCTTGTGTTCTTGGATTGTGATTGGGTCGTTGCTGAGGCGGAGGCGGACAAGCTCCTCGAGCACGATTTCAAACTCGGGGATGTAGAACTTCACCTCCTTATCCTGATCCACCTCCTGAGGCTCACATACATTCCATGCTGCGAGAATCACCTGCCGCATAAGATACTGGCGCGCATAGAGACAAAGTTGTGGCCCTCTCACCCAGGTACTCGGCAGCCCCCGGAAGCAGGTCGAACACTTCTGTTTTGGCCTTAGTTTCCTCGACAGACCATTGAAGTATTTCTTGAGAATCGTTCTACCGGTTGCCACGCTGGAAGAGATCCGTGAGTCAGCACAAATCAGCGGAACAGGTGTCAGGAATGGGCGCTTCTCACTTTGCGGGCCAGCACTTGGCGCAGAACCGTATCGCGTTCGCGTAGCATGTCCTCGCCGTCGTCGGATTTTTCACCCCGCAGGCCTGAGTCATGCCAAGACATTCGCGTGACGCCAATGGGAGCAGACCTTTCTAAGGAGTCACTCACCATGCACACCTTCTCAAATAGGACCGATACGTACTCAGGCATAGACAAGTAGTCAGGGCACGGAGGAGGGGAAGGGTCGTATCGTCGGAGGGATATCTCCCAGAGCCATTTGATGCTGCGCGTCATGAGCATCTGCCGGAAGTCATTCGAGACACGCGCGAGGTGGAGGAGGTCCAGGGGGGGCAGGTACGACATGATCTGTGCACACATGGCTTCGTAAAGTGCATAAGTACGAGCCATGGATCACTCACCTCGACGAATATCTCGATGGGCACGTTCCGAACAAGCTGGACGTATACCACGGCGAGCTTGCCGACGTTCTTGCCCTTGGGACGCTCGCCCTTGGTGTTCTCCACGGCCTTGTTGAGCTTGTGTGCGCGTCGGCCGACTCGCACCGCTCGCGATTTCCTCATCCTCGAGTTGGTAGGTGTGTCCGACATGGGCAGGTGTTGGTAGTGGTGGGTGGTGGGGGAGTGGCGGAGGAGGAGGGAGAGGAGGAGGTTGGTGATAGACACGGGCGCGAACGTTGGCGCCTTAACGGCCACCGCGCCGATTTCATAGAGAGAAAATATGACGTCACTCCGTCCGGGTCTGCGTGAAACGAAGATCGAGAATATGTAATTGAAAGAAAAGCGGAGAATTCTGACCATGCACGATACCTGTGCATACACTTCTGACGAGATTATATGGTTCGGAGCACACATCGCGACTGACTCGACACCATGATTCAAACTAGTTGTGCAACACTGGAGATACGAATCCCTTGAGCGTCGGGTTCCTCTGAAAGCTGGAACAGCCTCACCTGTCCGTCACGACTCGGTCCCAAGAGTCCCTGTTCCGCGTGAACCGTTCGACTGTCAGAGCTGTCCACCGACATCCAGTGGCCCGAGAGACACCCTTCACTCTTCACCATTGGCATCTTTCGTACCGAGACTAATACTGACCAATGACGCCACTGCATTCGCATAGTGAAGATGAGTGATAAGAACTGACGCAGGTGAGAGAAGGAGAAGAGACTAAAAGAGGACAAAGCACGCCCGGCCAGCGCATGTTCACCGCCAGTTCCAGAATAGAAATTCCAGACTTCCAGCTTATAAAAATTGAGCATGCCGTCCTGATTTGATCGAGCGCCAAGTATCTCTATGTCTCCGATGATACAAGCTGTACCTAGCTCAATCCAAGCACTATCAACCACCACTAGTGATCAATATTTCGACGCGCCTGAGGCCATCGCGTACAGCTTCTCCCGGTCCCCGCTCTCATCCACCAGCGAACGGAGCACGCCGCCCCCTTCTCCAGCAACTCCGCCGGTCGCCCAAACTCAACAATCCGCCCCGCGTCCAGCACCATGATCTTTCCGAGTCCATGATCGTCTGCAGCCTGTGCGCGACCGTCAGCAGCGTCACGTCCTTCCCGAGCTCCGTCCGCAACGAGCGCTGGATCACCGCGTCCGTCTCGTAGTCGATCGCCGACGTCGCCTCGTCCAGCACGAGCAGCTTGCTCCGCCGCACGATCGCCCGCGCGAGCGCGAGGATCTGCCGCTGGCCCACGGACAGGTTCGCGCCCCCGCCCGCGATCGCGGAGTCGAGCGTGATCCGGACTGGGCGCCCCGTCTTGGAGAGAGAACAGGCCGGCGGAGCGGAGCGCGTCGTTGAGCATCGCGTCGTCGTGCTCCGAGAAGGGGTCGAGGTTCTGGCGGAGGGTACCGCTGAGGAGCTCGGGGACCTGGGGGATGATGGTGATGCTGGAGCGGAGGGCGTCGAGGTTGATGTCATGCGTCTCGAGACCGTCGTAGCGGACGTGGCCCTCAGTGAGGATGCAGCGCAGGAGTGCAAGAGTCAGGGAACTCTGAAGATGTGGTCAGCGCAGGCTCTCTAGTTGGACGGGAAATCCAAGTCGAATCGCACCTTTCCACTCCCTGTACGGCCAACGATACCGACACGCTCGCCCGACTTGACCTCGAACGAAACCTCGTGGAGGACACGAGGCCCAGTCCCCGAATACCGTGCGCAGAGCTTCTCGACCTGGAGGTTGCCGCTCGCAGGCCAGTACGCAGGAGGGACGCTTGAGGCGTGGACTTTGGCTCTTGCTCGACGTCCAGGTACTGCTGAATGCGTTCCAGACTATTTCCGGACACTTGCCACTGGTTGAAAACCCGGACGAAGTTGAGAATGGTAGAGCTGAAAGCAGCTAAGTGAAGGAGATCCTTGTCAGCTGAGCGCCAAGAGGTCCACCACCGAGCCACCAACCAGCCATGTTGAGTGAAAAACCGGTGTTCGATGCGCCGATGTCTGTGAGGTACACAAGGTACACCGCAAGGGCCGTGGTATACAGAGTTCCGACAAAGTCTACACGCATTGAGACCCATCTGTGTACACCGGTTAGGCTTGGATATCCCTACGGGGAGGAGTAGCCCAACGTACCGGTTTAGGTTGTACTGGGTGATCATGGCGCGGCTGTAGCGATCGATGCGCCTTTGTGATTCGGCCTTGAAGTCCTCCTGCTTTCCGTACGCACGAACGGAAGCTGGATGGGTTGACCGTCAGATGCAGCATACACCGACCATCATGTTGAGGAATGCTCACTTATCCCAGTGATGGCAGCACCAAAGTGACCCAGGATGGGCGCCTTGGCCTTGCTCATCTCACGCTTGACCGAGAGCTGCGCCTTCATGTATACATTGCCCAGCCAGTAACCAGCAACCGCGACGAGAAGGGATGGGCCGAGGAACACGGGCGCGAACATCACAGCGGAGATCATCTTGAGCAACAAAAACAACGCCATTTGCACGACGAGATCCATCGACGCCGGGACGCGAGTGTCAACTGCCTCGTGGATCAGTACACAAACGTGCGGGCCAGGAGCGCTTGACATACCGGCTTCGATGTCCTCTGTGCAGCGCGCGATGATGCGCGATGTCGGCGTCTTGTCCAGCCAACGTAGGGTGGTGCCCATGACAGATACAGCCAGTTTCTCGTGAATGATACGCCCCGCACGGATGGTGCCGAAGACGTAGTAGACGATTATGAAGGCTGTATTGACCATGCCGACCATAACGATCAAGGAATACATTCCAAGGTAACTATCATCGATGTCAGCTCATTCGATCGTGAAAGGCAGGCAGCGGCTCACTAGGTCACGTTGACCTCCTCCACGGGCAGGATATCGTACTGGGCGGCCCAATAACCCAGGTACCAAGTCTGCACAATTGACCAAGGTTATATAAGCGAAAGATGAAACGAGCCGAGAACAGCACTCACTTGGAAGTTGCTCAGAGAGTGGCGGGCAGTGTACGAACCAATGAAGACAATCCAAAAGAGCACCGGCCGCATGGACGTGTTCATAACGAACAGCTTCACTGTGGTTGGGCGCGATCAGTTATTTGCCCCAAAGCGGGTCCGCGGGAGACTGCAGCTTACTTGACCGCCAGCCCACGCGCCCGAGCTCAGTCTCCTCCTCGACGACGAGCTTCCCGGCGTCCTTCTTCGTCTGCTCACCCTCGACCTGCGGGATTTCCTCCTTGTCGAGCTCTTCCCCTGCCTTCCGCATCTCCTCTTCTCCCTTCTGCATCTCTTTCAGTAGCTTGGAGTCGTGCGCGAGCGCGGTTGAGAGAGAGCCCTGGCTGAAAATGCGTCCATCGGGTCCCATGTCGACCACGAAGTCTGCGATCGGGCTGACCATCGCGACGTTATGCGTCTGAACGTCTGTGAGCCCAGAGCTGGGTGGTGGGACGAGTGAGGCCCATGCTTACCACGAGGACGATGGTGCGACCGTGGAGGAGATCGCCCTTGAGGCACTTCTCGACGATCCACCGCGAAGTGTGGACGTCTAGCGCGGCAAGGATCTGTCGCCAATGTTAGCGATAATAAGTCGCGGAAGCAAGCTCCGCGCGCTCACGTCATCGAGCAGCAGGATGTCCGCGTTCGAGTATACGGCGCGCGCAAGAGTGACGCGAGCCTTTTGGCCGCCGCTGGAAACATGATCAACAACGACGGAGTGACAAACGCGCGCGCTGCCGGCGTACCTAAGGGTGATGCCCTTCTCACCGACCTCTGTCTGATCTCCGGCGTCGAAGAGACTCAGGTCGCGCTTGAGAGCGCACTGGGAGATGACCTTGTCGTACCTGGCCTCATCGAACGGCGCGCCGAAGGTGATGTTGTTCCGGATCGTGTCGTTCTGCACCCAGCTCTCCTGCGCCGCGTACGCGACCCCGCCGCCCCGGGGGAGGCTCACGAACGAGTCTAGGCCTTGCGGAATGCAGTGCATCTCCCCGAGGAGCGCCATGAGGAGCGAGGTCTTGCCAGCGCCGGTCGGGCCGACCACGAGGTTCACCTTGCCGCGGCGGAAGAAGACCTCGTCGTCGATCGTCAGCACAAACGCCCGCCGCCGTGTCCCTTCGGGCGTGGTGGACGCGTGTCGCGCGGAGTCATTGGCCCAGGTGAAAGACGCGTGACGGATGCCAAGGTTGTCTTGGTGCGACTCGGGGACCGGTGCGGGAGCGAGCACAGATCCGGTGTTTGGAGCCTCAGTGAACTCGTCGATGAGCTCAGTGTTGTAGAGGAAGTCGGACAGGCGCTCAGCGAGACGCTAGCCTGGATGAGCGCGGGGATGACGCGGAAGGTCGCGGATATGTCGGTGCGGAGCATGTCGAAGACGCTCATGGATGAGAAGACTTTCGCGGCTACAAAAACGAGTATGTCAGCACCACGTTAGATGATGCGACTATTGAAGGGGTGCTACTAACCTGTCAAAGTCTGCTTCATGATGACTGTGTAGGTGAAGAACGTCGTGAGCATGATCAGGATGGGGACGAAGTAGCTGGAGGAATGTCAGCTCAGAAACCTTTATCTCTTTCTAAACGATGGAGCACGCACTTGTACATATTGTTTATGACGCTGAGGAGCTTGCTTTTTCGAATGGATAGCAACTCCTCGTCGCGCTTCTCCCTGATCTGCGACAGAATGCGCGACTCCCAGCCAAAAAGCTTGATCATGCGGATGACGTTCATCATCTCCGTTACGAGCTGCACGCGACCATCGGTGCGTCTCATCTTCTCGCGCTGGGTGGTGCGGAGGTACTTGGTGATATAGCCGGGAATAGGGAGAGTGAGGATCATGGTGGCAAGACCGACCCATGCACTGCAAGCGTTGTGAGCAAACGCACAAACCAAACACGGGAGCTACGAACCTCCAGCCGAGGATCTGATGCAAGAAAACCATGCAGAGCACAATCTGGAACGGAGACTGGACAGTGGCGAAGATAAGCTGCTGGGCCGAGAAGCTGAAGCTCGCCATGTCGCTCGATACTAAATTGTTGATACGCCCGACCAGGTTCTTGTCCTTGCCCTTCTTTCCTTTACCCTTCTTTGGCATTTCTTTCTTCGCGGGCTCCTCCTTACCCTTACCCTTATCCTTCACTGTGTCCTGGCTCCGCGATGATAACGAACCCGCACTTGCGGTGCTCGACTCCCCCGACTGGTTTCCAGGGGTGTCCGTGGTCGTTGGGTCTCCCTTCGCCTGCGAGGCATCCTCGGAGGTCACGACCGCGCGGTCGCGCCGCTCTCGTCCACGGAGACATCGTCTGAGGTCTCGGCCTTCATGCGAATGCGTAGCGCGTGGTCGAACACGAGTTCGGTCACGATCGCCTGCAGCCGCACGGTGACGCGCGTGGACTTGTACATGAACCACACGTCCGACACGGCCTTGAACACCCGCCAAGAAGAGCAGCGCGATCCAGAACCATGGCTGGATAGGGAACTTGCCTTTGCTGCCCGCTCGAGGTAACTGCGGGATGGGCGCGGAGAGGACTTCGGCTTAAGGTCTGAGTGCGGATGGAATAGATGGGTACGCACATGAGAAGGTTGTTGATACTGATGGGCGCGGCGAAAGCGCGATGACCTAGAAGATGAGATATGTGAGCCCCGGTGTCTTGTGCAAATGTGCACCAGCGTCCCTAATCTTAGCCGTTACGGCATAGATAGATGACTTACTGCGGTGATGGACATGGCCATGAGATGTGCGATTTCGACCGCTGCAAATGACTCGACGTGTCAGCGAAATAACAACGTTGTAATGCAGAGGCAGCACTTCACCGAATACGCGAAGTAGTTTGAACGCCAGCGGAGCCCTTGACTTTGAGCGAACGGGTCTAAGACCTGAAACAGCAACAGACATTAGTTTGAAGCTCGATTCCATGCGGAAGTGAATACACACCGGGAAACTCGACCCAATGAGATTCCGCAGATGATCAAAGTCGGACAGTTCTGGGAGACGATCGTAGGGGAGGTGGGGCATCCGGTACGCGGTCCATACGATGGTGCTCATGAAGCCATACGTGAGCAACGACCATGCCGAGGCAACCTGTTCTGGAGCTGCGACGAGGTCGTCTTTCGGGTTGCGGGGGTGAAACTTTCGTGGGGAGAACGCGGGGACGAAGATGCCTGCGACCGAGAGCAGCGCGATCTTGATCCACATGAGCGCGCCTTCGGCGGCATCCGCGGGGGAGAGTTCGACGGTCGCGAGAGGCCAGACGTCTCTGTACATGTACGCGCCCCAAATGCATGCTAGCATCCAGGAGCTGTGCGCGTACGCGCGGAAGCTGGTCGATGCGGTGCCGAACGCGCTAAGGAAGGTGACGATGACAAGGTATGCCTGGAGATGCACAATGGTCGGTGAATATGCGTATATAATATATGCGCAAAAGTACTCACGAAAAGTGCGCTCTGAGCGATTTGGATGACAAGAGGCCAGTTCACGCCATATGTGGAGGTCGACTCGTGGGTTTGGAGGAGCGAAATGAGCTGGGCGCATGAGATTCCGAAGAGCGCGCAGGTCGAGAGGCACTGTGTTATCCGGAACGCGAAGATAGTGGGGCCCCCGACGATGTCAAGCTTGGGACGGAAGACCGAATGACTTTCATCATCCTCATCCTGCGCAGGACGAATGCGATCGGTGATGCACGACGCCGTGAAGGTGAGAGCCGAGAACGCGCCGATGTATGCGGTTACGAGGAGGGAGTCGAACCAAGGACTGGATAGGTTAGCAAGGCGTATTGAATGAGGAGCGTGTACTCACTTCCGGGAGACAGAAGCAATCGAGTCGCCCGAACGGGTGAGAGGCAGCTGGGCGATATCGACAAACCAGTCGATGGGCCGGTCCATATCGGAGGCTTGCGATGCGCACAGGGAAGTGCGCGCGGGCACAGCGAGAGCGGAGTGGATGGATGTGGCAGAAGGAGAAGCCGTCTCGTGGGAGCAGCACGGGGCCATTTCGTGCCATCAAACGCACAATCAAACGGTCTATGTATAGACCGACTTACAAAGGATGCGATAGCGTCTCCTGGTTCTTCTGCAGAACGCGAATGTCGGAAATGTTCCCAGGGGGCGAAAGGGCGAGCATGAAGTTCTGGATCTCGTCCCAACGGTTCTCTAGATAAACGACTCCGCTCCGACCACGTCCGGAGCAGGAAGCCTGGTTACGCGACTATTCAGCACTATGCAGGCAGTCAAAGCATGTATTACGCATACTTACAGGAAGAGTGTCGTATGCGCAGAATGTATTCATGTCGCAGGAGCAGTGGACAGGCGCAGGCATATACACCATAAGTAGGATACGCACTACGAGTGGGAGACGGAACGAAGACTCGATGGCCACTCTCAAGCAAGTTGCATTCAAGGTTCACAGCGGGCATCTTTTCCAGCAGCGTGTCATTGGGGGTGGCAAGTAATGGACATAACTAATACATGACTTCGGATATCCAGAGCTGCCTGACACAATCAGACCACGTATCACAGTAGACAAGACTCCACTTACAACAAAGAACGACGCCTTTCGTCACGGCGGGCTCATAGCTCGACTTCCCTCACCCCATCCTTGTCCACTACCTTCACCTTGTACTTCTCCGGGGTCACGACCAACCGCTTCGCCACTTCGCTGATGCATCTCCTCAACGTCTCCAGGCCCTCCTCCAGCGTCCCGTCAGGGTTGTGGTAACTGCGCCCGCCCAGAGGTCGATTCAAGATGCCGTAGAGGGGAAGCGTAAAAGAGACGTACCGGTCAAGCAAACTGAGCGCAAAGTACGCGCCGTAGCCGTGCGCGGCGAACGGCACAGCCGACATCGTGCCCAGGTAGTCGAGCCAGTAGAGGTGGGGGGTGTTCGCGGCCGTGTCGTATCCACCAATGAGGAGGTTGACGGAGTACGGCTTGCGCGATCGTAGCGAGTCCGCGAGCGTGCGGCGAATCCATGAGGCGGCGGATGCAGGGCGGAGGGGGTAGGTGTTACGGATCTGGTAGAGGCGGATGTTGCGCTCGATGTACTCCGCAAACTGGACGGTGTCGCCTTTACTGAGGTGAGTGACGGAAGATGAAGCGGAGACCGCGCGACCCACCTGGTTCGCCGGAGTACGCCATGAGCAGGTGCGGGCTGAGCACCTTGATCTTGTCCTCGTCGATCTTCATCTTGACGATGGACCGCGCCGCCGTGGTGTCGGAGGCAACAATGACATAGTCCTTCCCGGTGAGCGCAAACGAAATATCCATGGTGGGTGTAGAAGGGGAAGGTAAGAGGGCTGCAAAGTAGGCACCCCGGAGGACGCGTGTCGGGACGCGTAAGTCGGAGAACGCCGACGCGTCATTTGTGTGAGTCACGTGACATATAAGAGTTTCCATCACTTTTCGGCTTTTGGACGATCCTGATCCTTTGTGCCCTGCTGCGTCTCATGAGGCCCACCAGCACAATCTTCAACGTACCAGTTGTACTCGTGCAGGGAAATTTAGTCGTCTACATTCTGCGACTTAGGTCTAACTCTCAGTCTCCCTACGGCTTCAGGTCTCCTGCCAGTCCCCGATCTCCGATGAACCCAACTTGGAAGGAGGGATGTTTCTGAAGTTGAAATGAGAGCTGGTTGACGGCTTCAGTGTCATGTCATGCGCTACGGGTCAAACGTGAGTGCCACTGGCCCTTCCAAGTTCAATCCACTTGGTGACTATGCACACACAATTGGTACCTCGTCGTCGCTCGCGCCGTGGAATGAAGATTTTCTGCTTCTTCGGTGTATGTCAAGCGTTTTCACCTAGTCCTGGACTACTGAGGCTCACGGCTAACCATGAAACATCCAGCAGAAAAACCCCTCCGCATGCCTCCGCGAACTTTTGAACTTCCCCACGCCCCAAATTCCAACAATCGCGGGTCCTACCATCAGCAGTGCGGCGTGGAGGGCGAATTCCATGGTCTTGCACTCGGTATTCATTGTCCCGTCCGTCCAAGATGACTCGTACTGCCCTGCAGGCGATCAGGCCAACGCTAGCAAAAGACGGCGCCGCTCATGAAGGTACCTGCTTCGACAAAGCGCGACGCGGTGGTATGATGCGATAAGCATAATCAAGGTCGTGAGCGGGTCGCACACAGGTGTGGTACGAGTGGTACTGGTGAGGTGAGCACTCGTTCAGGTTGTTGTGCGTCGCTCAGTCTGTTGTTTCTGAGCGTGCTTCACCAATATTTTTGGGCGGACTTGCTCGTCTCAGAGGACATTGTTGCTGATTGCAATTAAAGTGAGTGTGCCTAAACCCTCCTTCGCTCATCTATGAATGCCTTGAACCGACGCGGCTGTGCAACCCAGGTGCTGGAGCATCGGTCACATGGACGACCACAACTGCCATGCTGGCAAGCACCTCACCAGATCCAAGCACCTGCCACACATCGGGACGATGTCCGCTATGTACCGACACCAGGATGGTCAAGCACTCACCGTCCAATACCACTCTCGCTTTGTCTCAGTCCGCCACTGCTCACGACTCGTATCCCTATAAAGCTCCAGCATGCCGCGTCTCCAAACCTCATCTTCCACTTTTACTCATCTTCTCCCCGTTCTCAAGTCACAACGATGATCCCTCCAAAAACTCCCAACACCAAGAGCATGTTCATACCCACTTCCACTGTGGTGCGTTATCGCATTCCCCCATTTGCCCAAGGACGATCATCCTGATTCCTCCTTGTTGTAGCGGCACAGCCAGAACAAGAAGTACCCGGCCCTTCCCAGCAAGCACAGTTCCAGCCCCGTGACCCCCACAGGGAGCCCGTCACGCTCTCGACCCGGGAGCGTGAAGCATTCCTATACCCGGATGTCCGTGCGCGAACGGTACCTGCAGCTCCCAGGGACCGCACGCGAGTCGGACTCCCAGCTCCAACAGTATGACGAGGTTGGGGAGCAAGAGTGGGAGGAATCGCAGAGGCTCGCCAAGCAGGAACTTGAAAAGCTCGCCCCCCTCGAGTCGACGGGGTGGCACGGCCACAAGGGGGCCACCTCTCGCACGGTCGAGGACATAGAATGCTGGTGTCTGCACCAGGGGTTGGACCCCCGCCCCGGACCCAGGAAACGTGTGCTCTGTTGGGACTTCGTGAGTGTACCCACTCTGCACGACGGCCGGTCGGTGCTCACTGCCATGATGCGACCCACAGCCGAACGATCTTCCCGCGTACAACCGGCCCACCAACATCTACCCCGCCGTCATCATCACCCCGGACAGCGTCGTCGGCTCGGAAACCATCGAAATGGGTTCGCACACCGGCATCTGGGTCCTCACCCCCCTCGACCTCGACGCGATCCCGTTCGGCAGGGTGTTCCACCTGTTCGCGGACCCCATTACTAGCCCGACGGACGCGAATCCCCCGACGTACCAGTACAAGGGCCTGTTCAAGGCGCATAACACGACCATCACCCTCAACGAGAAAGCGTATGGCGTATTGTCGCCCAAGGTGCGTCTGTTCGCCTGGCCGTGCTCGCCGCCGCGCGCTCACCTTCAAGTCGGTCTGTCCGTGTAGATCCGCCAGAGGGCTAAGGACGCCATGAAGCCTAGTGCGGAAACGACCGGCCCCGACGCGAACGACGCGTACAGGCGGTGGTCCCGGAACCCAGCCAAGGCAGAGCTCGTGCTGTTGGAGGCCTGCAGCTTCCCGCAACCATTCGCCAAGTTCAAGGAGTCTTTGCTGGGCGGCCTCGTCGGCGCCACCTTCCGCCCGGTGGGGAGAAAGAACTAAGTTAACCTATGATTAGTTATGTAATATGACATATGCGATCGATATCTTGTATGCCTTCTATGCAGACCCTTCCCAGTGGTGATGTCCATCACTGTCGTCTTGAGAGGAAGAGGTATGAATCCAGGAGACGACTAACACTTGTGCCCCAGCTACGATCCGTACTGAGGTGGGGATGCAGCAGGGTTTTGGATTACGCCAAAGCTGGCAGGAGGACACTGGAGTTTAACAATCTACGATGGGGATACGATCACCGCAGCGCGCCGAAGCCTAAATCGGAGTCGTCACGCCTCAACAATCTCCGTATCTTCAGCAATCGGGATCGTGACGAGATGCTCTACCCTTCTTGTAGAAACAGCGTATGCGCAGATAACAGGCTGATCAGCGACGAACCATCGAGATGCGAGTGGACGGCACGTACTCCTTCGTGGAAAATCCTCCGCCAACATGGCTGAGCTGTCACAGTGAACGGCCGGTCAGAATCTCACTGGCCCGTCATGGAACGGAAAAGCACAAACTCACCACCTCCTCGAAGACCAAAATCGGCGAGTAACCTTGCTTGTCGTACATCATCTCACGGAACGAGTTACTATAAATCCGCTCGCCACACGAGCACGTCGGCCGGCCGGCTGCGCGCCCGGTCAGCTCCGCCAACGCGCTCGCCGTCGTCCCCGGGGGCAGCCCAAACGCAGAGAAGACCGGCCCTGAAACGTCTGCCCATCGCTCCACGTCGTGGATGGCGACCAGCGCAGTCTGGTCGATATCTGGGTACCACGATCCACCGCAATGTCTGTCGGGGTTGAGCTGGAAGTGCGCCAGAAGATCGGGGTACGTCATCTCGCAGCCACCGTGGTAGGAATGGTTACAGGCTTCGCAGCTGAAGCGAGCATTGACGTCCTCCAGGAGCGCAATATTGGCGTCGTCATTGTCGTCTCCAGTAACGGGGGCGGCCGGTAACTTGCTGTGTTGACCGTAGCCCCTGGGTTTCCAGTGAGTGTATGCGACGGGAAGATCCCCATCCTTGACGGCCTTCTTCTCCTTCTTCCTCCGCTTTTCTTCCCACCCGGCACGCTCCCGCTCCCCCGCCCGCATGATGCGCACGAGATCGCGCCTGATCCTCGCGCGGTAAGGCTCCGCGAGTTCGTCCATCTTGTCCGCAAGCTGCTGCGCGTACTCTTCCACAGAGGGAGCCTCCGCCCGACTTATCAGCGCGCGGACCGCCGGGATCCTGATCGCGTCGACCGTTTTCGGGAGGGTGCGCTTCCACAGCATGCCGGCCTTCGTGCGACCCTCGGCGAGGAAGGGCTCGTAGAAAGCGCGGAACGTGTCGATGCGAGGCCCCCATTCTTTCTCGAACGCTTGAGCCGCACGACGTGCTCGGAAGAGCTCGATCAAGTCGACGAGCGTTCCCCGAATGCTGTTCCAAACTCAAATGGAGTATGTTAGTGATTTATGCACCGGCGCGGGCATAAGACCTACTGCGATCGGATAACGGGTGACGTTGGTTAACGATGTCCCAAAAGGTGGAGTCGGATTGATCGGGTAGGTCTGCTTCCTTGTATCCGAGAGAAAACAGTTTCTCTTTGATGCTGGACACAAGCCATTGTGAGCCGTCTGTGCGTTGTGAGAAAGGGCGAGAACATACGCAGTGACACGATTTTTCTCGGCTGCCCTCTTCGCCTCATGTTCTGCTCTCCATTGATGGGTCGCATGTACTCTCTCCCATATCCCCACTTGAACATGGAACTACCCGTCGAATTCTTTAGTGTCCCATATTCGGTGGATCAAGTACCCGAAGCAACAACTCACGTTCAATCGAGCAAGCGTTTCGTTACGACGTTGCTTCATGTACTCAGGCAGTAGAGTCTTGCCCCCGCTCTGTTGAAGCTCCAGCAACTTGTTGAACACAGCCTCAAACTCGGGCACGTAGAACTTGGTTCCCAAGTGCTGGTCTACTTTGGTGACATTGGTGCCGTGCCAAGCTATGTGTAAGAACAAAAATATAAGCGCATACACCCAGATGAAATGGTGATACCTCTTACATAGTTTATCGGCAGCTTGGGGAAGCAGATTCACCACTTCGACTTTCGCCTGCTTGATGACCTTCTTATCGTAATTCTTGAGGATTGTTCTTCCTGAAGCCACACTATGGTCTCAAGGTTCAGCACCGGGGAAACGGGATGGAAAAAGTCCTCACTCACTTCCCAGACCAGCATTGTCCGCACAGACGGATCTTGCTCGCAAAGCACACCCTAGACGAAGTTGTATGCTTTACACCACATCCCTGGGCCCCGTGACTTGGTCAACGCAAAGGCGATTATGCACAAACCGGGCGGAGAGACGCACCATGCAAACCTTCTCGAAGAGCAGCGACACATACTCCGGAGCGGCAAAGTGGTTCGGGCACGGCGGGGGCGGCGGGTCCAGTCGCCGGAGAGACGCGTCCCAAAGCCACTTGACGTCGCGGGTCATGAGCATCTGCCGGAGGTCGTTCGAGACGCGCGCGAGACGCAGAATATCGAACGGGGGTAGGTGCGACAGGATCTATGTGCATGTGTGGCGTCGGAAAACGCGTATTTACGCGTCACTGATGCGCGTCGGTCACTCACCTCGACGAATATTTCGATGGGCACGTTCCGGACGAGCTGGACGTATATGCCAGCGAGCTTGCCGACGTTCCTGCCCTTCGGACGCGCGCCTTTCGTGTTCTCGACCGTTTCTATGGCATTGTTGAGCTTGCGTGCGCGTGGGCCGGGAACAGCGCGGGGTTTCTCTATCTTCAGTGCGGCTTCCATGGAGACGGGGACAAGAGTGGTGGTGGGGGTCAAGCTGGGGGGTGGCGTCGACGCGAAGGCCCTCGAGTGATAATGAGCAACATCGGCGTCTACTGCGTTAGCTCAACACACGTCCCGTCGCGCAAAAGCACGAACTTCTGCCACTGGGCGTTCCAACCGAATGCCCCATCGCCTTCGTCCTCCTTTCCTGTGGCCAGATACTGAGAGCCAAATTGTGCGAAGCTCGCCGTCTGGGCTGTAACGCGGGAACATTCACCTGGCAGTGTCAAGTTCACTGCAGTCCCGGGTCTCATCCACATCGGTCATACACTGGACACGCACCGCACTGCACAAATTGATGAGACATTCGGACACGGTGGAGAAGATAACGGTGTCCATTCGCATCAGTAAAACACTGCCGAGTCTGCGCTCTAATCCACACACATACATATACCGCCGCAGGAGTACCCACTGGCCCGCAAGAAAGACACATACCAGGTACCCCTCCACGATGAACTTGCAGAAAAAGAACACCGCGACCACGAGCGGTGCAGGCTATGAGCGCCGCGCCGATGAGCGACCAGCCAGGACACTTGTGAGGAGCCATCCTCGGGTGCAGCCCATCGAGTGTGTCACTTGAGTGGGGGAAGAGGTGGAGGAGACCAAACGACGCACCTGGCTCCCCAGAGTGCCCCCTGAGAAAGTGAAGGCTCAGTCGGACCAGCTGCCCTTGTCGATCTTCAGCGACAGTAGGACTCTAGGAGAGACCTGGGAAGCCGCTGAGGGAAGGAGAACGGAGGAAAAACGCGCATTCCGTGATACGAAGCGCCTATCCTTCACGTGCCAGTCTCAAGCGGCCCGCGAACCGGGCCGGCCGGGACTGAAGAAAACGAAATGGACTCGGTGTTCACGTATCTGCGCGCAAGTTTATGCAGCGTATGGCACAATTGGCGTACGCGTACTCGACCACGCTCTTCAATAGGTTTTTAGCGACAGCGTCGGGTTTGACAATGCTACATTGCTCGATTCGATACAGTCTGCGGCATACCGCGCATCGACGGTTGATGGTGGAAGTGGTACTAAGTTACAGCATTGTGCGAGCTCTAACTGTGTACGACCATCTGGGTATGCGACGAAACACTCGAGTGAGGCGCTGTTTCCCGGCATCCCAGAGTCTCTGGAAGCGCTTCCTAGGTGGCCCTGGTTGTTATTACCGCAATGAGCGATCCCGCCTCGACAGAAAATCGTAAAGGGACTCACCCCGAGGAAGTGTTAACGTTGGCATCTCTTTAGAAGCAGCGCTCAGGCCTGCACAGTTGCCTACGATGGACGACTCCAAGGGTGGTGCTCTCCCTTCGTTCGCGGAGCTTCCCGGCGACGAGTGCAGTTCGAGAGTGTTACCGTGATCGGAGGAGCTTGCGCTCGAAGACACCGAAGACAAGTCTGCGCCTAGTGAAGAGACATGCTGAGCGTCCACAGGTACGGAAGATGGCGCCACCACGTTTGATTCCTCAGAGTCGCACGTCTCCAGGGTCTCGGGTTCGTTGGTATAGATAGCAAAGCTACGGGTGTACGATTCCTTGATGATTCTGAGATACGTCATCAGCGCAATCGGCGAACGAAAGGATGGGCACTCGTACCGCACGATCTCGTCTCTCTCCGCGTACAGTCCGGAAGGGTCTGGTATGTCTTCGCGTCTAATATACTCCGTGAGTTCGTACTTCATCTGCAATATCGGCATGTATTCCTGCTCTTCCTTCAGTCTTCTGGAGAAATCGTTGCGAAAGCGGTCAAGAGGGGGAAGTTCAGAAGACTGTGCAGGTGCAGTCTCGTTGGGCTCCACAGAACAGTCCTCGTCGCCGCCGTCAACGTTCGAACTCCGGGGAGCGGCGAGAGATTCTTCCTCGTCCTCGTCCTCATCGTCCTCTTCGTCCATACGTCGTAACTCCTGGGCCTCCTCTGCAAACATACACATAAGTCCGGGTACAACACACGACTCGGCGTTGGAAGACTATGAGTGCGCGTACCTTCATCCTTTTCCGCGTCAGCCGGAGAGTTCGGCACATAGGCACCGAGCCGCTTACCAGCAGCCTTCTCGTACCGAGCAACCTTCTCCTTGTATTTACGATAGCGGCTGGGATTCCGACATCGAAACTTGTCGTTTTCCCAGTATGTACTCATCAGTACTCGAGACTCCACGGTCAACCTGATAGCCTTGTCACGGTTCCAGCCCTCGGGTCGAGGCAAGACGCAGACCCACATGGCCTCGAGTGGCCAGTGGAAGCAGTTGGGAAACGGGAAAGGATCGGGCTCAGTTTTGATAGGGATGCGTCCGGTGGGGTGGGTGTCGGTCGGGGATATGGGAACGCAGACTTCCGGGCCACGGTTCTCGGCTTTGCACGGGGGTGGAGGCGTGGTCGCGATCGCAGTAACTTGGTACAAATACCACTCCCTAGGCATCGCCATCGGGGGAGACTGCGCCACATGGTGAACGATAAAATATGTGCAGATTGAAAAGAAGCCGTACATCGTTTATGTATATCAGGTAGGTCTTGGTTCGCTCTTCCAGCTGCTTCGCTGCCTCCAGGGCGAACGGGTCATCGAGATGCTGGACCATTGAGACGGGATCCATGCGAGCAACCGCGTAGAAGTGCGCTTGGGGGGCCCATGCCATGCCGGAAGTCAAAGGGCGCCCGATGTTCCAGTCGTCTTCACTCGAGGAGGAGTCATCCTCGGAGGAGGTCAAGCTGACATCCATTGCGGAGTCGCCGTACCCGAGCTCGTCTGACATGAGGGGCGTGGGAAGACTAGATGAAAGAGCGCTTAGATAAGATGGCAGATCTCGCCACTGGTCACCAGTCACTGGACTCAGCTAGAACTCAGGTCCAACACGATGACATACCTGATGAGAAGGAGGAGTGGCCTAGAGGGAGGAACGAGAGGAGAAAGCGTAGGAGGAAGAGTGAGAGTGGGCGCTGGTCTTTTGTGAGGGTGGACTCCTACTATTTGCGTCTATTTGGCTTCGCTCCGAATACAAGGCAGACAAGGCGCCAACAAGGGGGGCCCGGAAGGCCAACCGCATCTTCCAGTCGCACCAGCCCACTGCGCAACCAGAATTTCCTCGTCCTTATTGTTACATCACGCGGCCAGGTATACGCTCGCAACATGGCTCTGCACAGACAAAACCCTCCGCACAGGCCATTCCAGGAGGTGGCTTGTCGAGCTTGTATTTCAGAGCTTTAAATTCGGCGCGCTGCACCATGCATCGTCAGTCCTTCATCATCCACGCCACTCCTTACGCTCCGCTCTACCTATCTTTTCCCCTTAACATTATGTCTTGCCCCATCCAGACGTGCAGGTTCACGTCAGAGGATCATACCCGGGCCCTGGGTCATTCGCCAAATGTCGCATCACCTGGGGACATCCTTTACCTCCAGGAGACCGTTCAGTCGCCCATCTTCGATTTCCTAATCGATTCCAGCGAGCAGAAGAATATCTCTGCAGCTTTCACTTCAGAACTCATTGGCGATATCAAGCATTCTTACAACGCTATGGTGTCTTCCCTAGAAGGAAAGCATATTCGATCGCGCCCAGCGATCGTCCATCCTCGCTCGCAGTTCTCGTTCGCCCCAAACGCGGTCAACACTCCCCCACTCGTCTACCTCATGACATCCTTTGGTCATGCGGAAGATCTCAACAAGGTCAAGATCCCCGGGATTCTCAAGTACTTCTCCGTTCCAGTGTACCACCCCCAGATGAAGGACGATCCCATGCGCGAGCACATACACCTGGCGAGCTTGGAGGAGCACTTGTGGGATACGTCTCGTGTCATCGTGTTGCCATACTTCAGTCAGGTGACACCCGACTTTCCCGTGAGGAGAGACGACCAGGGAAACTACAGGATGCCTCCAAAGCGCTTCGATAAACCTGAACTGTGCCGTCTCCAGGATATCTCTGACGCGCGAATGGCGTTATGGCTGGGTCGATCTCCCAAAAAGATACACACAGACATTAAGAGGTTTGTGGTGAGCACCTGGCCATTTATCCAACCCATTTCAGTATCGCTGACTCGCCGTCCTCGAAGAAATGGTCCACAAGGAAGAGCGCTCACGGGGTACGTCAAGCTTCAATGGCTGTTTATATTCGGGTCCGCGTCGATCCGCTCACAAACTCTCCGCCATCCAGGACGCGTCGTCAACGCTTTCTGGCGACTCCGGTAGTCTCTGGACAGGACGCAATTCGGCTAGTACATCTGTGAGTATCCGCTCTCTCTGGCGCACAGGGCTGCCCGACTTACTGACGACGTATTTGTTCTCCAGGTTGCCACTTCCTGGCGGTCTCGAGCGTCCCGAAGCATCGTGCAAGAATCTCGCCGCTCCAAGCAGTCGCGCACGATAGGCATCAAAGCAAGGTCTATGGCTTCTATGTCGTCCCTTCAGCTCGTGAGTCGAAACCTGCAGCAGACACGTAGAGTGTTCGCCCGACTGACATATCCATTTCTAGAGCGCTCTCGATGGGCGCGCACCCGGACACTATCGTTCACAGGTCTCACCGGATTCCATCAAGCCGTTAAAGCCATACTGGAGTGCCATTCCGGGAGGCGTAACGGGTGAGAGCGTTCCGGCCTCGGTCTCCCAGCGGTGCCAGCAAGATCGATACTACAGAAGATCGTAGAAGACGCAGAGAATGTCGCGCCGATCGAGGTCAGTCGGGTTTCGCTTGGACCGCCGTCTATCGCTTTCTCACCACCGTAACTCTAGTCTCCTCACTCTGGGAACGTTAGCTTGAGCGCGTCCGACTGCGACTCTGGTTATTGTTCCGGGGAGTCTTGCAAGTAGTGCTATGCCCCGCGAATACAGCGCCCGAAGTTGCGAAGCGATCATGTACACGTCTAGAGATAATACACCGCACGCGATCTCGAAAAAAGCTCGCTTGAGCGTGTTATTCCTGCCGGGAAACTTTGCTCGCATATAGATTGTCGTGCTACTTAGGGCATTGCTGTAAAGTGATCTATAATGCATGAACGAGCCGATGAAAGTCAATTCCCCGGCCCATAGACCTGAATGTGAATCGCTTAGGTGCTCCCGACTTCCACAGCGCTGGATTAAAGAGATAGATAAATCGATATACACCCATTAACACACCCGCGATACAACTTCAAAGACCATATTCGGGCCAGCCACCCAGGGATATCACCGCCGCTCTCGGACCTTAGCCACACGACGAACACCACTCCCACACGAAGCCCGAGATGAACGCGAACAAGACCAACACGTCCGATAGTAATTGTTCTGTCCAAATCCGAAAGCTGGAAGAGCGTCGGACGTCAGCTCACAGGGCCGTAGCGGCGATCCACAGGTCATGCTCACCGTCTGCATGATGAGCGCCGCCGAAATGTTGACGGGAACGCCGGCGAGTGTGTCTTCGATTTGGAGCCCGGAGCCGACTTCGTTCACGGACAGCGCCTCAAGCGTGTACTTCAGAGGACAGAGCCATTGGAGCCAGCGGAGGACCGGAGGGATGTCGTTGAGGTGCACGAAGAACCCGCATACGTCATCTGGTAAAGCGCAGTAAGCGCGGAGACGAGGATCGCGATGCCTCCGTTCCGGAAAAGGCATGCGAGGAGGAAGTTCTGCGGATGGGGTTCATAAGTGGGAACTGACCACCTCGAAGAGGGAACACGCACAAAGAGAGTCATGACAAGGGTATACAGAACCAAGATAAAGAGGAACTTGAAGAAGTGAGCTGCGTCTGCTGCGAGCCCCGCCATCCAGTATGTACTAGAGAAGATAAGACAACGATGAACAGAGAATGAGGTACCAGCACGCACATTGTTGAGACGATGATGGTCGGAACAATGCGCAGCGGTAGCACATCAAAGAGGAAGCGGGACAACAACCACGCCGCCGGACTGCCAGGACCATTAGCCGCGATCATGCAAGTAGAACGTACGCAACCTCATACCTGTAGTAAGACGCCGAACGTTCTCGCAGGAAGAGGGTCCGGGTTTCAACGACGTTGTACAAGGCGCTGAGCGACGAGAAAGCAATGAGAGCACCCTAGCAGTCGACATGATCAGTAGGATTCTAGGGCGTGCTGCAATCGGCATACCAAGAAGAACAAACAGCCCACTCTCGACTGGAACCCGGCGATGGTCATGTCCGTGTGAAGTACAGGCCACCTGCAAAGCACTCAGTGGTGCGCTCATCAACAGTTGAACGGACCACTTACCGCAGAACACGCCAAGCACGCAGGCTACAGCTATATGCGCGAGGAACAGCGTCTTGTCCCTCTTCAGGATCTTCCACTCTCTTCCAGAAAGCGCTTCAGTTGCGTCAAGAAGGTCGCGTTGTAGTGTGTCCACCGGGGCGTCCATCCACGGCGCGTCCTCCCTTTTGCTCGCTGACACTTGAGATCGCCATGCCATCCCCGACACCCTTCTCGCGTCGGAGGTAGACCGCCCGGCGCATCATGGAAAGAGGGAAGAGGCTAACCGGCGGATCCGACGCGATGTCGAGGAGGTAGTCGGCAACATTGTATCCCTCCTTGTATGCAATGCCTTGCCCAGCGAAATGTTCGGCCGGCGCGAACCCCCCAGGCCCTGAGTACAGCGCTCGTCCGTGGGCAAGGAGCAGCACCTTATCGAAGGTATGATACAATTGAGAGCTGCAGCACCGGCTTCGCGTGAGCACGGAGATAAGGACGTGAGAATCCCGCGGGAGGGCTCACCTGGGCTGGTGAATGGACGCGAGCACCGCCGTGGGCGCGTCCGGGTAGTGGGCGAGCGCGTGCAGCGCCTTCGCGACCTTCGCCGCGGAGACTGAGTCCAGGCCCGACGTGGGCTCGTCGAGCAGCAGCACGTCCGGCTGCGCGACGAGCTCGAGCCCGATGCTGACCCGCCGCATTTCGCCTCCACTGATCCCGCGCCGCTCACCGCTCCCAATGCGCACGTCGCGGAGGTGGGCGATACCGAGGCGCTCCATGATGTCGTCCACTCGCGCAGCCTTCTCGGAGTCGGGGATCCCCTCGGGCAGGCGGAGGCGGGCGGCGAAGAGCAGCGCTTCTTGGACGGTGAGCATGGGAGGGAGAACGTCCTGTTGGGGAACGAAGCCGACGCGGAGGGGACGGTCGCCTGCGCCGGGGAAGGTGACGCTCCCCGTCGTGTGGCCAGACTTCTGCCTGCGCGCGAGGATATCGATGAGCGTTGTCTTGCCTGCCCGCTGGGCCCGAGGATGGCCATCATTTCTCCGGGGACGACGCGTCCGCTGACATTGTCGAGTACCACTTTCCGGTCGTCCGTGCGCGAGCGTCGGCTCCGGATGGGTAGACTTGAGGTAGGTTGTGCGACGAAGTAGCTGATGTCCGCCCATGCGACCGAGACACCGCCAGAGGGCGCGAGCTTCATGCTGCCCCGTTTTCGCGCCCGGCGCTGCGACAACCAACCGAGACAGAGGAGGAAGAGTGATATGCCAACGAGGCCGCCCACCACAGCGAGGCCTGCAATGACCCCAGGGCTGAGGGACGACCCACTACTGGGCGCGTTACTGCTGTCCGTCGAGTTGCCGGAGACGGTGTCGATGACGTTCTGGGCAACACATTCGCCGAAGGTGCATCCGCTGAGAGCAAGCCCTGCAGAACCGAACACCTGCTGGATGGTGTCCTGCTGGAAGGCGCACGAAGCGGTATTGTTGGATGGGGAAGGTGCGTCGCATGAGATGCCAAGGTGTCCATTCAACGTGTTGATGATACCGGTGAGGTCTGATACTGACGTCGCGCCGCAAAACGACGTCCCCGCGCGGCAGGTACACTGGAGGTTTTGACAGTTCCAGTCCGAGCTTCCGTCGCCAGAGCCGAGGTCTTGCGCGCACGAGTCGGCAGTGCAATAGAACTGCTCAACACCTTGGTAGAATAGCTGTGCATACACCGACCCGCTGGAGCCAAAGGCGGTAGTGTTTGGGAGGGGAGTGAGGGGGGCGTTGAGAGTGCGTAGGATTGTCAATGTCGACGACCCGGGGAAGAGAGACTGGATTGTCGGATTCTGGCAAGGGAGTGAGAAGCGAAGAGCAAGAAGAGGGAGCACGCTCACCAGGACCCCGCAACTCATCTCTCCTGCCGCATACACCCTAGCCGCGAGGCTACAAACGATGGTACCATTCTGCCCGCTCTGCACTCCCGATAACGCGCCCGCACTCCCCACAACGCTGGAGAATCCCGCCTGGCAGGCCGCGGTAGTTTGGCAGACATTGCAGCCAGTGCCTGTCCAACCGTCCATGCACGCACACGACGTGAGGTTCGCGAAAGGCGTTCCACTTGCCAGTGGCCGCGCGGAACCTTGGAAGATGTCCCCACCGCACGCGGGCTGAGAGCAGTTGGACCCACCAAAGCCTGGCGGACAGGCACAAGAAGTGCCATTTGGTAGGCCATAGTTTTCGCAGCTGGACATGGTGAGCGTGCCTAGCTAGCGGTCCAGGAAGTCGCCGCGGTCGGCCAGGGGAGATGTGAAAGAGTTCGCGCGGGAGGGATGAGGGGGATGGAGGGAAGAAACAAGCAAATATTTGGCAATTGACATGGTGCGAGCGGGTGAAGTTCGAAGTGGGAGTCGGCGGAAGCGCGGACGCCGGACAACGTTTCGAAGGCCCACCTGATCGCCCCTTTCTCGCGAGTTGTCACGTGCCGCTCAAGCCCGCGCTTCGAGTTAGTTGAATGGAGACAGTCGAGAGTCGAGACCACCTCCCGCGCCGAGAGGACGATTCTGCGCGAGTTTTAGTCTCCGCCAGGACGAATCCGCAAAAAACCATGCAATTCAGAGCCCATGTAGCGAGCGAAAGCTCTAGGAGCAAAAAAGGAGGCTATGCTGCAACCGACAGATATTCCAATTTCCAGTAGCATGTACAGTACTGAAGTATCACCGAAGAAAGAAACCACAGTAATCGTGGCGCGGGAAGTCTGATGCACTTGGAACACTTGAATTTCTCCAGTTCAAATTATGTGACAGAGAGAGCAATAAGAGCTCCATGGCCGTAGCTTCGGGCCGAGGACTGCGCGGCTCCCATACAGTCCCTTCGCGGCTTCTTTGTCCTTTCCTGTCGGCATATCAAACATCTATCATGTGCAGCATGTGGGAAGTAAAGCGGAGAGCCCCTTCGAAATGGGCTCCGCGGGGGATGCGCGACAGTGGTCATACGTACACCAAGCTACCATTTGATGCGCGCATTCAAGAATGCCCCGCTCCGCCGCTTCTAGGATGATCCTCAGTTATGAGACGACATCCGAGGTGCTGCTGGAGCCAAGGAACGTCCTGTGACCTCCTCGTGGCGCGTGAAGGACTCTGAGTCCTGACGCGCCAGGCGCATCACGACGGCCCCAGCAAGCTGTGACCAGCTAGAAGTAGGGAGGGCGTCAGTCGGCGGCATGGCATACATATATGTAAGAGCGTACCGGTTGGAGTGTAGGTATCAGCGGCGCACCCAGTAGCCTCGCTCATCCTCGGCCGGCTCTCGTCCAACGCCCGCTTCACGACCCACGACCATCATGCGCTTCAACTCCGTCGCCGCCGCCGCCGCCCTCGCATTCTTCGTCCCCTCCGTGCTCGGTGTGACCCTCTCCTACGATGAGGCGTACGACAACGGCTCCGCGGACCTCTCGACCGTCGCGTGCTCCGACGGCGCGAACGGGATGCTCACCAAGGGCTTCACCACGTTCAGCTCCCTCCCGCACTTCCCCAACATCGGCGGCGCGGCCGCGATCGCGGGCTGGAACGACACCGACTGCGGCTCGTGCTGGCAGCTGACGTACAAGGGCAAGAGCATCAACGTGCTCGCCATCGACCACACCGACACCGGTTCAACATCGCCAAGGCGGCGATGAACACGCTCACCAACGGCCAGGCGGTGCAGCTCGGGCGGATCGATGTGACCGCGAAGCAGGTCGCCGCATCCTCGTGTGGGCTATAAAGGTGGAAACAGGTCAGAAGGCCACGTCGCCCGTTCATCCTAACGCGGGGGGTACTGACCGTTGACCTCGGCTGCAGGGGCTCCTACCCGATGGACATGGAGTGGCAGGAAGGCGTTTGAAGAAGCGATGGAAGCTCGGACATTGCACGGACAATAACGAGACGGACTGTTCTGTAGCACGGATGCATGTGGACTTGCTGGAATGAACTCTTGACGCGATTTGTATGGGCACGGAGTAAAGATCACAGGCAGTTGTGCATGTGAAGCTCGAGGATGAAGGACATTGCGGTTGCATCTAGATATACCTGCATTTTGACGCTGAAAGCAACGCGTCCGCTCACGTGATCGACTCTACGTGTCGCTGGCGGCTGCGTGCACGATTGGCTTGGCGCGTCAGTCTCCTCACCCCCTCTCCCTCCCCTTCCACTCTCTTTTCTGTGTGGCTTTCTGCAGGGCGGACAGGGCTTTGTAAGCCATGTGCCCATTATATGTGTTTACTCCGTGTTCACTCCCCAGGCAGCTAGCACGCTTCGGCCACCATGCGCCTCCTCCGCAAGCTACTGTTCTCGGTCCTGGCTCTGGCCAGCCTCGCGTTGGCTAAGTCCAGCACTGGTGACTCCGTCCTCGTGGTTTTGGACCCTTCGTTGAGGAAGGAAGACTACTCTATCTTCTTCGGAGATCTCGAAAGTACGCCTATTTCTCTGCATATGCACCGACTGTCCTCATCACGCAACAGAGCGGGGATACTCGCTGACTTTCAGGGCCCCGAAGGACACTACACCCGAGGTCATCAAGGATGGCATCCCCCAGTTTGCGCACATCATCCTCTTTTCCCCTGAGACCAAATGTACGTCCGCACTCTCTGCCCGCGCGTGCCCTACTCAGCCGGCACCCAGCGTACGCATCGGACATCACTCCCCAGTCCCTTGTGACCCTTCTCAACAAAAACACCAACGTCCTCTTCTCGCTCTCTGAAAAGCAGACGCCGCTCTCGTCGCTCGCCGCCGAGTTCTCCCTCGTCCTTCCTCCCCCAGGGACCCCGCTCATCTCCCACTTCCCCCAACGTGACACGCCCGCGACCGTCGTCCCCGTCGACGCGCCCCGCGCGCACCACATCATCTCCCCCAACCCCGCGCCTGTATGGTTCTCTGGCATCCCTCAAGCACTGGGCCCTTCACCCTTGATTGTGCCCCTCCTCAAGGCCCCTCCGCAGTCTTTCGCCTCTGAAGCCTCTGGTGACAGCGACGCCGACATGCTTGTGGAGGCCGCGGAGAAGACGGGCGAGGGTCTTTGGGCGGGCAGTGCGATGAGCCTCGTCACGGGCTTCCAGCCCACCGGGAACGCGCGCGCGACGTGGGTCGGCGGCGTGGCGATGTTCAGCGACGAGTACATGAAGAAGGAAGCGTCCAAGTAAGTGTCTTGTTTCCCCTCCAGCGTATACCCAGCGCGAGTGAGCTGGCGGAGGACGTACTGCGCGGCCAGGTGCTAAATATAGCATATCTCCGCAGGGGTGTGCAGTCGGGCAACCAGCAGTTCGCGCGAGACGTTACGGCGTGGACGTTCCAGGAATCGCTCGTCCTCCGTCTCGACAGGACCGAGCACCACCGCGTGAACGAAACGCTCCCCGCGGAGGTGTACACGATCAACGACATGGTGGTACGTCCCCCTTTGCGCCCCCGCTTCTCCCGTGCAGTCGTCTAACCGTGTACCCAGACCTACTCCGCATACATCTCTCAATATGACGCGGAGACGGACTCGTGGGAGCCCTACTCTGGCATCAAGGACCTACAGCTCGAGTTCACCATGCTCGACCCGCACATCCGCACCTCTCTCCCTGCCGTCCCTGGAGAGCCGGGTAAATACTCTGTCACCTTCCGCGTCCCCGACCGCCACGGCGTCTTCAAGTTCGTCATCAACTACAAACGCAACGGGTGCGTCGTGCCGCACACACATCTCGTCATACTCCCGTCCCTGACCCTTCTCTGCCAGGTGGACATACCTCGACAGCTCAATGGTCGTGCCCGTCGTGCCCCCACAGCACGATGGGTACCCACGCTTCCTCAGCGCGGCGTGGCCATACTATGCGGGCGCATTCAGCACGAGCGCCGCGTTCGTGCTCTTCGTCGCGCTCTGGCTGGGAGGCGATGACCGCGAGCCGAAGAAGAACAAGGGCTCGAAGGCGGAGTGAGTACCGCCATGGGCGTGTATTACCGGAGTTGATATATATGATGCTTTCCCTGGACGATGCTCGAGTGCGTGTTTGCCCGTGTCCCTTTACGATGAGGTTCAAGAGGTGTCCACGCCCTTTGTGCATACCGTACACACAGTCGACTTACTCGGTGATCATCCGCTCCATATTCTCTCACGGCGTTCATATCATACAGCGGTTTTTCACGATGCATTCAAGGCGGTTCCCAGTATATGCGGTAATCGCCAGGCGGTGGTCACTAGTGCCCATTAAACCGAGGGCAAGCTCCCCATGTGTTGCCTCGCTAAGCCCTCCAGTCTCACGCCCGTCGCCAACGCCGTCCAGCACAACATGGAGCTCTCCGCGTGAGATTGGCCCGTTTCTCCTACACAGCCAACGACCTCAAATCCGCTCCGATTCGGGCTGTGTTCTCGGGTGGTTGGCTGCTCGAAACCATCGGGCAGCAGCACGTACGTAGCACTTTCGGCCGTCTGCTTTGACGATAATCTAATGTGCGTTTTCCGCGGCAGGACGCGATCGCCGGGAATAGTTCTTCAAGCACGCTCAAGAAAATCACCGAGCCACTTTCCTTGATGTCCCAAGTCGGAGGAATCGTTCAATGCATCTTACTAATCTCGGGACCCCAGGCAACAGCAAAGCGTAAGTACTTGCCGAGAACTACGGCTGAAGCACTGACATCGCGGTGGCGGCGAGACTCGTCCGCCTCCATGTGGCGTATACGTCGACGTAGGAGCATGTGCTCAGCTGTCGCGGGCATACGCCGCGCGGCGTCGGGAGAAGGCCGTCCAGGTTCGCCCTCGCAGGCCCTCGCCCGTCCGAACAGGCTAAAGCACGAACGGGGCCCTATAGCCTTCTCCACGCGACCCCCTCGGCCCTCGGGCATACTTCTCCGAGCGCGGGAGGCACACGCGCGGGGCGTTATGCCCGCCATTCGAGAACGCAGAAGCACCGCCACACACGTACGAGGGGGCCTCACGCGAGGCCGCGGCCCCTCCGGCTGTCTAATCATCCTGGGCTTGGATCACCATATGACCTTGGACATCGGGGAACAGCAGGGGATAAGCCACCGAGGGTGCTCCGACCGGCGCGTACGCTGACGGCGGTATATATAAAAGCTGGCGTCGACCACCGTCGAACGGCAGCATCAGCTCTCAGCCCAGCTAGCTCTCCTCGCACCGCACCCCCTCCTCACCTCCTATCCCCTCCTTCGCCCCCGCCACACCCCTCGTCATGCAGTTCAAGGCCGCCGCCCTCGCCGCCCTCGCGCTCCTCGCCGCGCCCGCGCTCGGCGTCACGCTCTCGTACGACGAGACGTACGACAAGTCCTCGAACTCGCTCGCGATCGTCGCCTGCTCCGACGGCTCGCACGGGATGCTCACCAAGGGCTTCACCACCTTCGGCTCCCTCCCGCACTTCCCCAACATCGGCGGCGCGGTCGCGATCGCGGGCTGGAACGACGCCGACTGCGGCTCGTGCTGGCAGCTGACGTACAATGGCAAGAGCATCAACGTGCTCGCCATCGACCACGCCGGCGCCGGGTTCAACATCGCCAAGGCGGCGATGAACACGCTCACCAACGGCCAGGCGGTGCAGCTCGGGCGGATCGACGTGACCGCGAAGCAGGTCGCCGCGTCGGTGTGCGGGCTCTGAGGTGCGTGCGGGGGGCGAGGTCGTTTTTGCGGTTCAGGTGCTGACTCGAGGTTTTGCAGCTTCGAGCGTCGTCGGCGACGCCGCGAGGCGCACCAACATGACCTAACGACCTGTAAAAGATCAGCACTTTGGACATTTGCATCACGGACTGGCACGGACTTCACGGACTACTCGCATGATTACCTGTACTACTACAATTCGGACGCTTCCGTGGGCTCGGCGTCGCAGAAATGTCAGTTGTTGATGCCGGATTGGCAGGCGAGTTGACGATCTTGCATGGATTTGCGGTTCGCGAAGCAGTGGTCGTTGTCGAGGGAAGCCAGGGGAAGTCTCACCGGCCCCCGCGCCGAACACGTGCCCTGGAGTGAGTAAATCCCCCGGTTGCCGGTTGGTTGCCGGTTCGACTCTTGTTGAAGTCGGCTTTTGATTCCGAACCTCGAGGTCGCTCTCATCTCAGTCGCCACCGCCAGACGCCGCCTTGTTCTCAATTTCGTGTCTGCGCCAGAGAACACATGTGCCCTACGGGCCAAGTAAACACTCGCAGTCATACATATGCTCGGTACCATGGATCTGCAGACTCAAGGTGCGTCAATCCCACTACTCGCTAGCTCAGTGTGTCATGACATCTCTTCAAGTTCTGGCTCTTGATCCTCGTATAGTACGCCGCTCTATCGTCTCGACTCCAGTCTTGTGTGTTGTGACTGCTGTCTTTTTCAGAGCGATGCGCTTACAGTTTCTAATCCTGACGCGCAGCTTGTGGGGACCTCGATAAGTTTGCAAGATGATTGTGACCGGAAATTTCTCACTCATCATTTTGACCAGGTCGAGATGCACAATGAAAGCTGGGCACTAGCCATGTAGCCGTAAGAAGCCATCCAAGCAGGGTCCTTTGAGGCCCACAATAGCGCTGCTAGTGACACCAATCGATGTCTGAGAACAGTTCCCAGGCGGTACGTCGAGATCACAGATTAGCGCGTTCAAACATGACCCGTTGCTCCTGGATCAAGTAGGAGTTAACCAGCCTCCCATTCATAGTGACAGCACCATACCCGGCCTCCAGCGGGGCAATCTTGAAATTCGACCGGCTTGAAGGCTCTTTCTGTGTCAGCTTTGGATGTACCGACTTCCGACCTCAGCGGGATTTCGTGTCTGGAACAACCTCGGCCATGAACCACGCTAACGACGGTTCCGCCCGACTCGGCAGGAGCTCGCGACATTCCCGGGCCCGTATTCGACCGTTCATCAGAATTTGCAGCAGCGTGGCATTGATATACCCTTGGCCCTGACTGCGGGACCATAGCTATTCCGTCGCGAGCTGCGGGCATCTCGTTTGCACATCCCTATGTAGGTTAAGCTTGGCTGAGTTGTAATCTGCCTTTCGCTACCTGGAATTTGACATACGCGTTTTCTTCTGTAGCTTCAGCGCCACGGTACCCTATTTGAAAACGACAGGTAATGCGCAGGTAATGCGCATTACAGCGGCAGCGCGTGTATGGACTGCGGAGTTATTCATTCGTCTCGTTAAGTACGCCCCACGCTGTCTGCTTGGACGTCTTCGGGAGTGATAGTTGAAGGTTTGAAGGGACGCGCAGCAGCGTGACCAAAGCACCGCATCGCTGCGAGGTTTTATATTCCCCCACTTAACCGAGAAGGACGCCATTGTCTAGTACACGATCGGCTCGTCTGCGATCTGTCAGTGCTCTCAAGCCAAGCCTCCGCCCGAGCCGTGTTACATACTTGCAATCACCAAGCACCAGGTCTACTCTGCGAGCGCCCCCCTGCATGATGCGAATCTAACCTTCGGCTCCGCCGCCGTCTCCGTCGACCACCCCAGACGGTGGGAATTCAGACCGCACAAGAGTACGTGCGCGAATCTCCTACGCTTGCGCAGCCCTTCCAAGCGCCTTTCGCTCCACTGCCATCGACTCGGTTTATGATACGACCCATTGCGACGGTTCGTACTTCGGTTCAAATCCCCAAGCACCAACGTGGTTTTGTCATCCTGAATAAGTATCTGACGCCTGATACTTGTGACACGGGCGGGCAAGAACGGTTCGTGAAGAACTTACATGAGCAGGCTCCCTGGATTGTTTGTTGGTGCCGAACGGCTGGCGTTTCGAGAACGTGGAGTCCGCAGTTCTTGCTCGATGTCCGCGGAGGTGGAATTTGATTGGTGATCATGCGCAAGTGGCACTCGCACTGGAGCAAGCGCTAGTAGTACACCACCGGTAACCCGCGGGGGCCCACGGCTCGAACACGCAGTGTATTTCATCGGCGGAACGAGATGTAGACGCACGAACCAGTTCCTCGCGCTAACAACCCTGGTGCCCATGCGGGCCGTTTCCGAGAGGCCGTAATGCACCTCGGACGTGTGCTGGCCCCGATCCCGCGACCGTCTAGCGAGCGACAGCCCACGACGGCAGAGAGACGGGGTCGGATCTTTGGTGCTGCACATTACGTGCGACCCCGCAGCGTGCCCAGCCGCTTACGAGAAGCGCGCCTGTAGATCGGCGACGGGCCTTGTTCGACAGCGACGATAATCGCACCGCTGCCCCATTTGGGCCCGTGGCGTGGACGCGCGAGGCGTCTGCCGGGAACCTCGGAGGCGCACCCACCCGCTCGCGTTCGATTGGAACGGAGTCCGCGGTGGGCCCGCGGGGGGCAGGTGTTCGCGCGCCGGTGCACCCCGCCGTCGGCGAGTCCTGGCTGAAGTGGGGACAAACGGGTTCGCGGCAGGCTCCGCGGCAGGCTCGCGACGTTGTGCACGCCGATCGATCTGGGCTGCGACGAGTTCAGAAGCGGACGGAATTCACACCGGCTACTTACAGTTTGCAACGCAACGCGCGTCCTCGACTTGGAGACCGTCTGGCATCTGCGGTCTTGCCCACACCATTCCATGGCCGTTCGACAGCAAAATAATTCTGCGGAAGACCACCCGGGTGCATGGCGCACGAATTGCGGGAAACAGGCGAGAGTTTTGAGGGGCTCAGCCCATTCAAAATTAGCGACGAGGATACTGGCCGCTATTACCAGACACCCAGTGGTGGTGGCGTGCGTTCCCGGCTCGGTGTCACTATGCGGGTGCATGTGTACACCGTCGCTAGTCGTCATCCAATGGCCGCTGTGTGTGGAGCACCCTCGGAACTAGGCAAAAACAAATTCGTACCGGACCGATGTAGACGCTCTTCCAGCCGAATTTGTGTTCTGTGTGCATTCTAAACCGGGGCAAGGGTGTCGGATTCGGGGTCGTAATGCGCTTTGGATAGGGCATACACTGTTAGAGGTCCGATTCAGCCGGGCATTTGATTCAGTACATACCACTTAACAACTTATTACCCATGCTGAGAGAGTCGCAGATCTGTCTTCATCGGGATCCAAGTGGCCGGACTGGAGCCCTTAAGGAAAGACCGGCGTAGTTCGTCCTACGATTGTCAACAAGCTTTTTGCGGCTACGTGCGTGTTCCGGTGAGTAGCGCTCGAACGTCACTGTCCGCTGGCTTCCGAGAGTCTTCGGGCGATGATTGGGTGGCAGCCTATAGGAGACTTGCCAGGTAACAACTGAGCGAGCACATCAGGACGAGGACGAGCATCGAGGCGAGCAGAGACCACTCACGGCAGGGACATTGACGACCGTGGCAAACCCGCCACAAATCCCGATGGCGCGAGAGGATGTAGGTCACGTGAGCCTCACCTCATTGGACGGAGAATGCCGGGACGCCCGGCCGCGCTGGGGCGTGAAAGTGCCACGACCAGCAACCTGCCCGCCTCGTCATCGACCTTGCCGGCGGTCCCCCTCGCATCCATTCTCCCCCCTCGACACGCACCCGTCTCGCCATGGCCGTCCAGGACGAACTTGAGTACCTCAAATCTCTCGTCTCCCAGTTGAACGACAAGATCAAGTCGCTCGAGGACAAGGCGAAGGCCGCCGCCGGGGTGCCCAAGACGCCAGCGCAACAGCTCCGCACCATCCTCGTCGGCCCCCCGGGCGCAGGTGCGTCTCTACAGCGCACACGTCTCCCCTCGTTTTTTCGTGCTGACGGCGACGCGCGCGGGCAGGCAAGGGCACGCAGGCGCCGCGGATCCGCGAGACGTTCTGCGTCTGCCACATCGCGACTGGGGACCTGCTCCGCGACCAGGTCTCGCGCAAGACGCAGCTCGGCGTCGAGGCGAAGAAGATTATGGACGCCGGCGGGCTCGTGGGCGACGGCATCGTCGTCGGCATGATCAAGGACCAGCTCGAGAACAACAAGGACTGCAAGAACGGGTGCGTCGCGCGTTCTCGTCCCCTTCCCCGTGCCCCACGTCTCCCTCGCGTTTTCCGTCCGCTCTGGGCGGAAATTTCCTCTTTATTACGCGTCTATGCGTGTCCGCGCTGCTCTTTCGATGTTCTGCAGTCGCGGGGGTGGACCGAGACGCGACGCACGTGACGTGGCATGCTCTGCGTGTGGCCGGCCTTCCATCCTCTGCAAGACACTGATGCGGTTGTGCGTTTCTGCAGCTTCGTCCTCGACGGCTTCCCGCGCACGGTCCCGCAGGCGGAGAAGCTCGATGAGATGCTCCTCGAACGCAAGGAGAAGCTTAATTCGGTCGTGCAGCTCGTGATCGAGGACCAGCTCCTCATCTCGCGCATCACCGGCCGTCTCATCCACCCCGCCAGCGGCCGCTCGTACCACAAGGAGTTCAAGTACGTCTCGTGCTCTACCGATGGTTCTTTACCTGATGACCCTCTCCTTTCGCGCAGCCCTCCGAAAAAGCCTATGACGGACGACATCACCGGCGAGCCCCTCATCCAACGCTCGGACGACAACGTCGAAGCCCTCCGCAAGCGCCTAAAGGTCTTCCACGAGCAGACCGGCCCCGTCGTCGACTACTACAAGCAGAAGGGCATCTGGAAGCCGATCGACGCCGCGCAGTCGCCCTCCGTCGTCTGGGGGAACCTCCGGAGCGTGCTCACCAGCTCCGCCACGAAGCAGTCGTGATCCCCGTCCCCCGACGACCCTTCCGCCGCCGTACATACGAGGCCACCTCCGGCCCGGACTTTTTGCCCCGCGCACTCCTACTGTATGTCGCCCGCGGCGCCCGTGGCCGTAGTATCTACCACACATAGATGCGTCGCATATCCCAAACATCCGACCCCCGCGCGTGCCCCGTTCAAGCATCGGCTCCCGCGGTGCGTCCCGCGCTCATCAATCCCGACCGCCGCTCGCCGCCGGTCAACCATCGAGCGTACATTGCGCACATTCGCGAGCTCGACCAGACACCTGCGATCTGAGCACGCAGTGGCCGTTCGTTCACCGCGCCGCCAGCTTGCCGCTAGTCGCGCGACGCGTGTCTCGCGGGCGCCTGCACGTCCTCTACCGCCATGCGGCCCTCTCGCAACGTTCGCCACTACATCATGTCCTTTCAGGCTCGACGAATCGGAGTACCTGTGGGGCCTCGGCGGTTTTGGGGCTCCTGCGAGGCTCGGGCTGCGCGGTCACGAGGCGGGAAAAGTCTCAGAGCTCGACGGCGGCCAATGGCCATGCACACCCGCGCGCGGGATCTGAGCAGAAGTTCCAGTGCGTCAATTGCTCGACTGCAGAACGCGGGCTTGGAACCTCCATGGTGCACATGACACGTCAATCGCCGGAGGCGCGCGATCGTCGCCGTGCGTCCTCCGAGGCGAACGGACCACGTAGTTGAAACGTTCACGCTCAGAGCGCTTTGGAGACTGAGTCCGGGCCACGGGCCACTCCTACCTCGAGGAGGAGTCCACCGAGATAAGTAAAGACTGATAACTGCGCGCGCGCGCGCGCCGCGTGGAACGTCGCGCACGGGGACTTGCACGAGTCGGTGGCGTTTGGCGTTCCGGACTTCTGAGTTCTGGACGGTGAAGAGTCTGAGAGAGAGAGCTGCTTGGAGGTGCCGCCGCGCAGTCGGCGCGGGAGAAGCGCGGCGCACGGCAGGGGATAGTGTGGTGTGCGAGCGCGCGCGAACGTTGGGTGGGGGGAGCGGCCGCGGTCGTGGGTGGCGAAGCAGCGCCGACGCGGGCTGGAAGGCGAGGATCGACGTGAGGCGCGCCCGGTCTGAAAGCTCCTGTCAGTCGTCCGCGCACGACCGTTCGAGTGGGGCCGCGGAGTTGTGCGCAGTGGTGGCCCGCGTCCGAACTCGTTCGACATCGTGCACGCACGCACGCACGTATGGACGTGCCCATATGGTCTTTTCCGGACCCGATAACCAAAGTCGGGTCGTCGAATTTCAGGCCTGCGGCCGAACGGGCGCCGCCGTGAAACCTCGTTCGGCGTTCAGAACGAGCACCCCCTAGACTGGTAGGGCACGCACCAAGAGCCCGATCGGCTGCTTCGCACTCCCGCGCGCGTCCACCCGCGCACCCGTCTTCTCGCCGACCCTTCGGGAGAAGTCGGGGAATCGCGCCGGCTTCCTGGACGTCAAACTCGGGCTTCAAGGCTTTTCGCCCGCGCTTGCGCGAGGCTTCGAGGGCGCGGTGGGCGTTTGAGGCGTGCGTAGTCGTACATATACATCATGGGATGCCGACATCCCGGCCCCCATCGCGCACGCGCGATACGGCCGACGCATTCGTGAGGCCCATGGTCAATGTCATTCGCGCGTAATAGAGCCCGTCGGGAGGAGCACGGTGGGGGCGCGCTTGCCGTACGCAGAGAACACAGCGTACGCTGCGCGTTCTACTGCAAACGCGCGTCTGCGGGGCGAGGGAGGTACGTAAAGGCTCGTGCCCACGCTCGCTGCGGCATCGCGATTGGCATGAACGAGCACCTCGGCGTATCTCTCATGGTCAATGTGTAAAGCTGCGACGACTCGCGACGGTGCTTTGGCAACCCGCCCACGGAAGCGGACGGCAGCGGGCCTCGGATGGGGGCGGCGGGGGCACAGCTCCGAGCGGGCGAGCCGGGTCCCGACGAAAGCCGGTTGCCGGGCAATTTGACGACAGCAGCGGGAGAAGCTTCGGTGAGCTCACTGCAGCAGCGGCGCACTTGCGAGGCCCGCGGTGTATTATCACGGACGGAAGATTGCGGGGCCTGAAAGTGCGAGTTGCACGGAGAGGGGGTGGATGAGCAGGCATGCTCTGACAGATCTCGGGCGGCGGCTGTGTTCTCGGTAAAATCCTGCGAGGAGGAGCACGAGTGTCTGTGGGCAGCGCACGCCCACCGACTGAGGCAGAGCGAGGGGAGGGAGCTTGGCGGGCCGCAGAGTGCCGGCGGGGATGGACGGGATGGGATGCTTGCCCTGAAGGAGGGCGGGAGGGAGGGCGAGCGTCTTGGCCGAGCTATCTGAGCGCCGATCGCAGAGAGAGTTGGCCAGGGCCGGCGGTGCAAGCAGTGCTGGCGCCAGAGATCCGATCGGCTGACGCGCCCATCCAGATTGGCGCCTAGGCCCATTCGCCGACGCCCGCGGCGCTGGGATCGGGCGCCTGCTCGCTCGGACATAGATTAACGCTGAGCTGGTGCGCCCAGAGAACACCTCCCCCACTCCGATCTCGCAGCTGCCTCCCGGCTCCCTCCCTCTCTGCTGCTCCCCCTCCTCCACCATGAAGGCCCCCTCTGCTCTCCAGCGCGGCATGGCCTGCCTCTCTTGCCGCAAGCGCAAAATGGTCCGTCCCACTCCCCACCCCCGCTCCGCCACCCCGCGCGTGCCCAGCCACTGATCACCACTGTCTGACATTCCCCGCTCCGCAGAAATGTGATGGCGCCCGTCCGGTCTGTACCCAATGCAGCAAGGCAAACCGCGGCACCGACTGCGAGTACTATGAGAAGAAGCGCACCTCCCGCACCCAACTCCTCCAAGCCAAAATCACCAAGCTCGAAGCACGACTCCGCGAGCTCGAGGCCGAGCAGTCTCCCGACTCCGCATCCTCCCCCTCCGACCTCTCCTCCCAGTCAGAGGGTATTTCCCTCCACCGTACGTCCTTTTCTGTTACCTGCCTCACCCATCCGCTCCGTGCCGCCCTGCCAGCTATATGCGCTCGAGCTCATGTCCCGCTGTCCCAGAACCCAATGACTTTGACTTCGGTTTTGACGATTTCGGCACACCCGAGCTCAACAACGACCTTTTCCTCGCCAACGACAGCTTCTCCGGTCTCGACGACACCATCCTCCTCTCCGGCTTCCAAGACCCCTCCTCCTCACTGCGCGGTATGACCTGGACGGGAGAAGAGTTCGACCTCGGTCCGTCCGTTGCCGATCTTCTTCCGTCCTGCCCCCCATCCTCTAGCTCGAGCGCACCCAGCCCCCTGGATTCTCCCCCGGAATTCTCTCCCAATTGGTGGGAAAATAGCTCTTTCTGCGAAGATAAGCAGCTGCTGTGAGCCTCCGCTTTCTCCCGCGCTTCTCAGTTCCCTCCCACTCATGTTCGCTCCAGCCTCGATATCTTCTTCGCACACCGCCACCAATGTGGCTTCGACGTGCATATAGGGCGCTTCAAGTCATCCCTCCTCCTCCCCGCCACCCGCCAACCCCATCCGTCGCTCGTTGACGCCATCTACCTCCTCGCCTGCTACTTCTCACGTGTACCGTCATATACCGATCTCGAACCACACTTCCTCAAGCGCTCGCTGAGGGGCATTGCAGACGGCCTCCAGCACTCCGACCGCATCGTACATGTTCTTCAAGCATCGTGCCTACTCGCCGTCTACTTCTTCTGGCATGGGCGAACACTAGAGGGCTACTATCACTCCTCAATCGCTGCTCGCCTCGCGGTCGGCCTCGGCCTCCACCAGATTCCGCCACGACACCAGTATCCTCAGGCCTTCCAACCGGACGCCCCGGTCCCCCTAAAGGCCTCTGTTCCTCTACCCCCGCCGGTAGACGATGTGGAGTACGCGGAGCGGGTCGCCGCCTTCTGGCAGATCTTCTCCGTGGACCGCACCTGGGCGGTCGCGACGGGTCTGCCGACCGCGCTTCCAGACGACGACCACCCTCGGTCCCGCATAGACACCAGCTGGCCGGTGGGGATCCCGAATGACCCTGAGGTGCGTGCTTCAACACCCGCGCGCTGGCGCGCCGCTCATGTCGCGCCATCGCCCACAGCCGACGCTGCAGAACGGGCTGCTTTCGCCGTTCCCCGGCAGTCACCTCTCCGGCTCGGATTCGACCAGCGGCCTGCGTGTGAAGGCCATAGCGCTCTTCGAGCGGACCGCCCGCGCCTCGTCCTGTACGTCCGCAGCGCGCGCGTCACCCGAGAACCTCCATTGACGTGTGCCTGCCCTCCTCCTATCTTCCATCCGATGCGCTCCCGGTCGCCCTATCGCCCGCCCCTGCAGCAGCGTCCAAGGACGAGAACATGGCCACGCTCGAGCTCCGGATCCAGCACCTGTCCGCGCAGATCGCGTCGCTCTCGAGCGCGAGCGCGCGGTTCGGCGCCGGCGCCGGCGGAGCGTCGGGGCCGACGACGATGGCGTCCATGAAGTCGCTCGTGCACGCGTCCGCGATCCACCTCTACCGCGACGGGCTCGAGCGCTCCGGGGACGCGTACCAGAAGTGCGTCTGGGCGGCGAACTCGATCGTGAACATCATCCAGACCCTGCGCGAGGGCGAGTACGAGCACGCGTGCCCCGGGCTGAGCACGTGCTGGCGCACCGCGGCGGAGGTGTACGTGCAGATGCTCGCGGCGCACCCCGGCGCGGAGCCGGCGCGGGTCGCGCTCATCGAGCGGCAGCTGGACGTGATCGTGGAGGCGATGGGGCGCCTCGGGCTCGTCTTCCCCGTCGCGAGTGCGTGTGTTTCCTCTCGCTCGCTCGCTCGCTCGGGGTCTCGTTGGCTGACGCGTCCTTCCGTTCCACCAGATCACCATGCTGCGAAGGTGCAGGACGACCGGTTGCTGGCACGACAAGCCGTGCTCGCCTCCGTTATTTAATGATTTTCCCCCTCGATTTCCTCGGGTCCTCGCACGCGCACGCTTTTTTTATGTTCTCTTGCTCTCGTCTCTTCCTGGGTTTTCCCTCCACCTCCACGATCCACGACACTACACGCCCGTCTTGCATTTGTCCCGCCGCCCACCGCATCGCCTCCCCCACGTAGCGCACATTAGGTGCATTGTGTATAGTACTACCACCACCACCACCACGCACGCAGACTTTATTCGCTATATTACTATCGCCCTCGCATGGCTCCCCGTCTCATCCGTTTGTCCGAACACCGACGTCAACGGCCCCTCGACGCAACGCGCGCGCCCCGCGGTGAGCCCTGACGACCGGACCATCGGTGGGTACTGGCACGTTGCCTTGGCCCGGCGGTACACAGTGGGTCGCCTTAATTCATGTGTCGGCTACTTAGCACTAGGCACGACCCTCCGACGCACGGCCCGATCGTGGTGAGACCGCCGAGCTCCACACCACGGTCCAACGCCACGTTCCTAGGTTCTAGCGGTGCTATATTCGAACCTCAAGCTTCAAATTCCCCAGGTTCCCCCAGAATCGAGAATCGAACCTTGAGTCGAGTCGCGTGAGCGCGGTGAGTCAAACCGAGCCGCCGATGCGTTCCGGTCGCTTCGGTGTGTGATCCTGGATCCATGACGTGCAAAGCATGAGAAGGACCGGGTCGGTCATCGCCAGTGCAGTGCTGACTGCAGTGTTGACGTTTGGTTCGGCTGAGGTGGGCGGCTGGTCCGCAGGCCTCGCTCGCTGACTCAGGTCCGATCCGGGCGTGTCGACAGTTGAACGAGGACGCGCGAGTCGATCGCTCGGCGCCTGGATTCGATCGACCGCCCGTACTTATAATATGTGTGTATCATTCAAATATTCACCGCTGGGGGACCAACGGTTCAGACGGGTCGGCGGCGGCGCGCGCACAGCTTGAATTTGCGCGCGCGAAGACGGCCGGCGCAGCCACTCGTCACATGTCTGCGGTGCTGCGATGTCCCGAAACTTTGGAGGGGGACTCGACACTGCTCGACATTGCTCCAGCGGCAGATAGATTGATCAATGCTTCGGCGCCTTCACCCTCCGACTTCGACAAATCAGATGCCTGCGTCCCTTCGCCAGATGTTCGAGATGGTGGGTACTTACTTACTTGGGCTGCGCGACGCAGTTTACCGACGACAGTCGAGTATGTACATATGCGAGCGCGGTGGAGCGCGCGGGACGAATCGATCGGTATCAAGCAAGTACGGGTGCCGTGAGCGCGCGCGCGCAACTAGGATCCCGCTCGATCTCGATGGGCCTCGTGCGCCGATCTGCGTCGTCCGTGGGCCCCACCGCGCCGCGCGCACGAAAATATCCGAGATCCTGGTTGCTGCTCGCAGCTCTAGCTTCGCCAGCATCTGCCAGCATGCCCGCGCCAGATGGACGGGCGGCCGTCGAGGCGAAAATCATCCATTTTGAGTGTGCGCACGCACACGCACGTGGAGGCCAAGACCGCGCTAGCGTTCGATGCCATCTCCGACCCGTCGGGGGTGTCGGTTGGGTGCTCGAGGCGTGCGCGCGATGCGCGGACGCGGCGCTGTGCACTCCGAATTCTGTGCCATAGATGCAACAGATCCCTCAGGCGACTGTCGTGCACACAGAAGATGCAAGGCTCGGAATCGGATGGTCTACTCACATGTAAACGCCCCAGAAGCAGTTTCCCGACGCCCCTGAGGCTTGAGCGAAAGGGACGCTTGCGCTCGGGAGGTTGAACGTTGAACCTCGAGCCCGCGCGAAACGGCGAGGAATTGGCATTGTCGCCGGGCCGCCCGTCCCGCCCACCGACGGGATCCGCGCCTCGCGGAACAGGACGCCAGGGAAACGGCGCTCGCCGCCCGACTCAAACGTGAGATCTTGAGGGCTCGGGCTGCACGGACGACGTGCCGAGCTCGGGGGCCCATGCGTGCCGATCGCTGTGCGCGCGGGGAGGCTGGCACGGGTGCGCGCGCTGGCCTCGTGGGACAGGGCTCGAAGGTCGGGGTCACTGGTCCCGCCGAAGGAAGGGCGCGAGGGCGGCGGGCGCTGCGGGAGATAGTGTAGGCGGATTCGATCACGGGGCGGCGACGTGGACAAGAAGGAGGAGAGCGGGACGGTGTGAATCTGTGATGGACCGTTCTATGAGCCAACGGTGGGTTGAAGTGAACGACTGGGAACACCTCGAAGAAGCATACGCGTGAGCGCGTCGAAGCGCTGACTTCCCCGGTCGATACCAGTCAATGTCGACCTCGAGGCTCCATGCTGCCATTGACGCATCCTACCGCCCTTGTCGTCCGATTCGGATGAGTTGCTCTGAAGTCGATGCGCCCTCGTCGTCGGCGCGTCGGCGCTCACCGCGATGGGGGCGGTTGAGGCGACGTTGCGGGCGACTGCCGTAACAGCGTGCCATGTCCCCGGGGGCGTGAAGTTCGAGGTTCGGAGTACGGCCACAGCGCGTGGCAAATCCAAATTCGTACCGCGCACAGCACCTGAGGGCCGACCGCCCGCAGCACTGTTGAGCCGCGGCGGGTTACAAGCACTCCCCACGTGAGGGCGCAACGTCGTGCATCGTATCGCCACGAACAAAGCTGTGAATGATTACGGATCCTGTCACTGCCTCAAATCATGCGTTAAATCATCGTGGAGGTGGAGGGTCCAGACCATTAGGAAGGGCTTACCGCGTTCCGCAAAAGCTCTAAATGACTGCGCAGCTCGCTATGGGGTATCAAGAGCTGAGAACGAGGTACCGTTGAGCACCCGGCGAGCTTGGCCGAGAAAACAGGTCGGTGGTACATTCCATGGATAGAAGCTTCACCGCAGATTTTCTTCCTCGGATTGAGTTCAGATGAGCTTCGGGCGAAAAATGTCAGGTTTTCATCGGTGTCGTGGCTTTCCGCAACGCTAGGGTACTACGCACGGAGGAAAAGCTAACGCGTTCTCCCATAGGCTGCGATAAAGACCCCAATCAATCAACGCGCAATTTGCAGGGAAGGGATCCCAGGAAGTTTGTCAAACACAAAACATAGAACCATGTCATGAGTCATTTGACGAGCGCGGGCGCCATTGTGAAAACAATTTGACAGACCTTTGCCGGGACATCAGCTAGAACAAGGCCAGACGTTGAGGGCTGTTTTTGATGACGGAGAACAGCACGATATGATAGGCACCGTGTTGCAACGCTGTCGCAAAGCAAAGAAGCGATCCGCCGCACCCACGAACTTGGCGGGGAGGATGGGAGGATCAAGGAGTTGTCATCTGCGCCAACAGTGCTCAGAGGGCGCCCGGGTGCGCGAATCTAACATTTCATCATGGTTTTTTGGACGAAGATCGCGCGCACTGTAGTATGATCCCGGCCGAGTGAGGGGGTGGAGAACTGAGGGTGGGGTAAGTATTTCTTCGTCTGAACTCGAGCCAGTGCGCGAGGCGCCCGGAAGAGAAGTCATTGGAAAAAGAAGGGCAGTTGGACATAACACGCAACCTCTGGCGCATTGCACAACTTATCGGACCAAAGCTTACCGTTTATGTTGCTAGGCTGTTGCGACCGTGCGATGATTCGAATTTCGATGCTGTGGCGAGGGAGAGTCGGCGGCGTTCCCTCCGCGATATCTTTTGGTAGCACGGCTATATGGCACTCAGAGTGTTGTTTGAGATGCAGGAGGGAGAGAAGGTTGAAAGACTCAGATGAAAGAGTTTCGTTCGCAAATCGAAACCAAGTTGGCCGGCGTCTTTGTCACTCGGACATGGACGGGCCGGTGGGTACCCGCGCGGCAGCGTCATTGTTTGCGCCGACCAAACAATCCGAAACGGGCAGTGTGCCGGGCAAGCTCGTCGCCCCCGTCGAGCTCAGCACCGAATACGACCCTTCCCCACCTTTCCACCGTCCTCCCTCGCTCTTTCAAGATGGGGGACGAATATCCCACTCTATTTCGCACGTCTTCTTATTCTGCAATGGCTGAGCCGAGCTGATTAGGCCCTCGTAGATTCCGAGGCCATGAGCTTGGTACAGCTCATTGTGCCAACCGAAGTCGCCCATGACACTATTGCTGAGCTCGGTGAACTGGGTAATGTGCAGTTTAAAGATGTGAGCTTTCGCAGCCTTCTCCTGGAGATATCCGTCGCTCACTTGAATGTGGGTTTATAGTTGAACCCTGATGTCAATCCTTTCCAACGCTCTTTCGTCGGTGAGATTCGCCGCATCGACGAGATGGCCCGCCGCGTCCGTTTCTTTGCAAGCCAGATCGAGAAGGAGAAGGAGCCTATACCCATCCGCCCTCTCTATGACGCCGCCCCTCTCGTCACCGTTGGCCCTCGCGCTGCCCAGACCATTGACGAACTCGATGTCAAGCTCGCGGAGCACGAGGCACGTCTGCTGCAGATGAACGAGAGCTACCAACTCCTCAGCGAGCGGCTACGGGAGCTTGTCGAGGCGCGTCACGTTCTTCGCGAGACTGCGGTCTTCTTCGACAGGGTGCGTATAAACTTCATAACGTTCTGCGCATATACCCATACCCTCTGCAGGCTGCTGTTCGCGAGACGGAGGCTCGTCAGTCTTACGATGACAGCTCCGCGCCACTGCTTCAGCACGACGACCGTGAGCACCAGTACTCGGCTGCCGGTGATGCTCAGTTCGATCTCGAGTGCGTCCCCATCTCCCCGAACCTCTGGTACATCAGAACCTGACCCCATGAACTAGGTTCGTTGCTGGTACAATCGACCGGGCTCGTCTGTCGACGTTCGAGCGCGTGCTTTGGCGTGTGCTCCGTGGCAACCTCTACATGAACTACATCGACATTCAGGAGCCGTTCGTGGACCCTGCGACTGGCGAAGAGACCCGCAAGGACGTCTTCATCATCTTCGCCCACGGCGACCTTCTCCTCGCCAAGATCCGCAAGGTTGCCGAGTCCATGGGCGCGACCATCTATCCCATCGACGTGAACGCGGACAAGCGCGCGGATGCTATGCGTGAGGTCACCGGTCGTCTCGAGGACCTTCAGATCGTCCTCTACAACACCGGTGCCAACCGCAGGACGGCGCTGATGAGCATCGGGGACAATGTTGCGAGTTGGCAGGATGTTGTGGCGAAAGAAAAGTTGATCTACGAGACTCTGAACTTGCTCAACTACGACGTCCGTCGCAAGACCCTCATTGCTGAGGGCTGGTGCCCCACTCGGGACATTGCCCAGATTCAGCTTGCTCTGCGCCACGCCACGGTAAGTTTACATCTGTCATTGCTCCTGATGGCCTCTCACACGTCATCATAGGAGGAGTCTGGGACCAATGTGCCGCCGATTCTCCATGAGCTGCGCACGAACCGCACCCCGCCGACGTTCCACCGCACGAACAAGTTCACGGAAGGCTTCCAGGCTATCATGGATGCGTATGGTGTGGCAACGTACCAAGAGGTCAACCCCGGTCTGTTTGCGGTCATCACTTTCCCCTTCTTGTTCGCTGTCATGTTCGGCGACATTGGCCACGGTTTCATCACCTTCGTTGCTGCGCTTGGCATGATTCTGTTCGAACGGAAGCTACTCAAGGGCGACCTGGGCGAAGTACGTCTCACATCTATGCTATTCTTAAGACGGGGAATTGACAATAGATTCCCAGATATTCAGCATGTTCTTCTTGTGCGACGTTTCGTGCCTTTTCTTTTACGTTTTGATGCTGATAATGCAACAGCGGCCGGTACATCATCCTTCTCATGGGTGCCTTCTCGATGTACACCGGGTTCCTTTACAACGATATTTTCTCCAAGTCTCTCCACCTCTTCCATTCTGGCTGGAATTGGCCGGAGCAGCATGGCGAAGACCCTATCACCGCTGTCTCCAATGGACACACTTACCCCTTCGGTCTCGACCCCGCCTGGCACGGCGCTGACAATGCGCTCTTGTTCACCAACTCGTACAAGATGAAGATGTCGATTGTGCTGGGTGTCATCCATGTGAGCTCCTTCTGCGCTGCTGTGGACTACCGCGCTAACGGGATTGTCAGATGACCTTTGCGCTCTGCCTTCAAGTGCCGAACCACATCAGGTTCAAGCAAATGTCCGACATCTACACGAACTTCATCCCACAGATGATCTTCCTCCAGTCCATCTTCGGCTACCTTGTTGTTTGCATCATCTACAAGTGGACCGTCGATTGGACCAAGGCCTCGACCCAGCCGCCTTCGCTCCTGAACATGCTCATCGGCATGATTCTCTCTCCGGGCACCGTTGAGGAGTCGACGCAACTGTATCCTGGTCAGAGCCTCGTTCAGGTGGTGTTGCTCCTGATGGCGGCGGTGTGCGTGCCGATCCTCCTCATCTCGAAACCGTACCTGCAGTGGAAGGAGATGCAGAAGATCCAGGGCCAGGGGTACATTGGTCTCGGCGCGGACGAGGGTCACGGTGCTCGCCAACTCGAGGACGCCGATCTCGAGGGTGAGGAAGAGGGCAATGGCCGCGCAATCGCGGAGGCGAACGACGACGACGAGCATGTGCGTGCATTTCCGTTCTTCCACGTCGACTTGGCTTTGACCCTGCTTTCTCTGCAGGAGCACCACGACTTCAGCGAGATCATCGTGCACCAGATCATTCACACGATCGAGTTCTGCCTGGGTTGTGTCTCGCATACCGCGTCCTACCTCCGTCTCTGGGCACTCTCGCTCGCGCACGCGCAGTTGTCGGAGGTGCTCTGGGACATGACGATCGCCAACGTGCTCGGCATGGGCGGCATCATTGGAATCGTCGCCCTCGTCGTTGTCGGTGTGCTCTGGCTATCCCTGACCATTTGTATTCTCTGTATCATGGAGGTGGGTTTATCCTTCTGAGTATCCGTTGCGAGCAGGATGCTGAAGTCATATCTCGCTTTAGGGTCTCTCCGCGTTCCTGCACGCGCTCCGTCTGCACTGGGTGGAGGGTAACAGCAAGCACTACCAGGCCGGCGGTTACGTGAGTGCCATTGAATTGCAATCGTGCAGACCACGGAATTGACCTTACTTCCACAGCAATTCGCCCCATTGAGCTTCGCGAACCTTCACGTTCAGTGATACTGTTTCATAAGAGGAGAGTGGCTTGCTTTGACCGCTACGAGTGTGCTCGGATATTATTAGTTGGCACCGGCAATTCTAGTCATGTTGTGCATAATGACGTCTCGGCCAGTGCCCATGCTGCGTTTAGACCTGCGATGAGCGGACATCATGCGAACGGCTCGTCAGCCGCTGAAAGTTGAACGCTCTCTGTGCAGTTCTGTGGATTTGCCGAACACAGGTTGAGAGCAGGACGGTTATACGCGTACTAACCGTTCTTCCATTGCGGTCTCTTCGCCGTATGCGCAGTACAACCGGTGCGGGGAAGAGAAGAAGAGTGTGAGGAAAAACGGCACCCGCCAAGCGGAATCGTTGCAGCGCCCCAGGGAGCGTCGACCCTCGCCACGGCGTACTGCCTGCCTCTCCGCAGCGGCCTCGACGCTCCTGCTCCGCACTGTTAATACCGTCCCTCTGCCCCTCCCGACAACCCTCTCTCTCTACTACCGTTCTCTCCACCGTCACCCACAACCTTTGTGCACGCTTGTTACGACCCGGCGCGCCTGACTCCGACTTCTCGAACTTGAACACGATCGCACGACGACGCTATGCCGTCCGTATACCCCGCCCCGGACCATACCTTCGCGGTCTTTGCGCGCGCCGCGCAGGACTCGCTCGCCCCGAACGAGACGCAGCGGAACACGCTGATCGTCGCGGGGGTGTACATCATCGCCATTCTCATCCTCTGGTGCGTCTTCTTGCGTATGGCACTGGGCTAGGGGACTGAGCCGGGTTGGTGCGGCACAGGCATGTGCCATACGTGTCTGTTATCAGTGAGTGTTCCGTCCTGTGTTTCTGTGTGGAGAATGAAGTGCTAATTGGTCTCGTGCGCGTCCAGTCTACCCCTTCAAGTGAGTTTTCGGTTGGGATTCTTGTGGGGCCGGTGCGGGAGGCCGGTGTGGGTGCGGAAGGCTGACTCCGCATGCGACTCCGCAGGCTGTTGACCGTTGGGTTCCATGAGGTCCGTCTGCCCTTCTCCCTGGCTGATTGCACTCCGGACTCAACGCTGTTGGGGTGTAGATGAGCCATGCCTTCGCTGGTGGTGAGTGCCCCGCGCACTTCGCGCCGACCGCTCACGAGCTCACGACCGCACTACCCCCGCCCTGCCCCGCCAGTGCTCACCTGCGCGCATATCCACTCAATAGAGCTCGATCGTACGTTTGCTCGCGCCTCTTGTCCCTCCCGCACTGCTCGAGCTCACCCCCACTTTGCGCAGCGGACGAAGGCGGCGCGACCCGCATGTCCGGGGGCATCCCGTGGATCACCCTCCCCGCAGGTTACCTCGGTTCGTCGCTCATCGGCGCCGCGCTGATCGCGTGCGGGTTCGACACGAACGCGAGCAAGGTCGCGTCCCTCGTGCTCGCGGTGTTCTTCATCTTCACGCTCTGGTGGGCGCGCAAGAACCTGCTGTGAGTCTCTCCTGTGCAACGGACGCGGAGCTGAGCGCTGACGTCGGCACCACGGCGGACAGATCATGGATCCTCATCTTGGGCATGGCCGGCTTGATTGTGGCCTTTTGGTTCATCGCGAACGGGGTTGCGTTGCGGTACCTTGTACGTCCTCGCGTTTCTCGCACGTGGGAGACGGAAGTCTCAGTTGCCCTGCAGATTCTCTTCATCGGGGTCATGTCGGACATGTACGTTCTCTGGGATGTCATCGGTGAGCACAAATCCTTTCATTCCCGCGTCCAAGCCACCGAACGGGCCACCTCCTCCAGACGACACCATCGCGCGGAAGGTCAACGGTTCCGACGCCTCCGCCTTCTCTGATATCTGCGGCTGCTGCCCGTCGCAAGGTGAGCCTCCAGTCCGCACGCAGCGGGCGTTACGCTGAGACTCACACATGCATCCACAGCATGGGGCGTCCTCTGGCTCCTCATCGCCATCGCCTTCTTCGCCGCCGGCGTCATCGTCGGACTCGTCGCGTTCAAGGTGCGTCTCCGTCCCAACTCCGCCTCTCGTGTCTGCAGACTGATGCACGCATCTCCTCCCGTCGCGCAGGATTCGGCGGCGGAGCAGGCGGCGGACTCGAAGCACTTCCTGCCCGTGCCCGGACAGAGTGGAGCGCTGCAGACGCTGCCCGCGTCGCTGTCGATGCTCGCGTGCGCGGCACTCACGGGCTCGGTGCTCCTGCGGCGGTGGTGAGGGCGCCGGTGTCCGCGGACTGGAGCGTGGACTCTGCGGTGTTGTACTGGTGTGTAATGGACAGCGTTTTTGGATGAGTGTCTCCGTCATGTCCCATACTATATGAGTGCGGTGCGTGTACAGCTCTATGGTCGATGTGGATAAGGCGTTAGTGCCTTGTACACCTGACGGCAAACTGTCCTAGCCTCTATTCGAATGCGTGTTAATCTCCATTATCGGGATGTGCGTTGAGACAAGACCCATCTGGATAGTCGCATATGCTGCTCGTATCACCGCGAGCCCGAGGAGGGCCTCGGCGTCGACGCCTCCCCCACAGCTTGAACACAGCCGTCATCATCCCAACCCCCGCCTCTATGAACGCAGACCTACACTTGGTGAGGCCCTCCGCAGGCGCGGGCGCGGAAGCTCAACACGAGCGCGACAGGCACACGTTCGAAGAAGAGGAACATCGGCAAGCCCGCCGGCATCTACGTTCGGCTGGTCCGCAACATACCCGTCGATACCTTTGCTGAGGTGAGTGGGCGATGCGTGCGCGACGGGAACGCGTACGCACGCGTTTTCTGACGCCACGCACAGATCCTGTCGCACCTATCGGGTCACGATACAACAGTCGAGGAGTGACTGATCCACTTTTGTGTCTCGTCCGGTGATCAAGGCGTAGGAACGCCTGCGGTCGTCATGATGGCCTGTGTTGACTGCATTCAGTCTGTTGTGAGATTGTCGTTCATGCGTTGAAATGCGTTGTGGGCTGCCCTCATTGTAGAATATTGTTCACGATCGACAGCTTGCAACACTCATATTTCTGAAGCAGTGGGACCGTCATTCCAGATGCTGACGGCGAAGTGTCATAGTGAGAAGAGTGCATATAAGGTCTACATAGGTACAGGACAGGGACAGCATATGGCATATAACGAGGCATTCACAGATCGTTTCTTCCTCACCGAGGGTTCGGTTGCAACATGCGCTGCGCGCTCGCAAGGTGTCCCCTCAAGGTGTCCTTGAAGGCGAGATGATCACGAGGAGCACCGCAAAACTCTAACAGCACGAGCTCTCCTATAGGCACCGTCGGGCCAAAGCGCCACTGCCGATACGCTGTCTTCGCGGCGGCGTCCTCCGATCTTCTGTCGACATGCATGATCCCCACAGCCCGCTTTTGGATCTAACACGGAACGAGCGGATCAGCACGCGGCGGCGGCGATTCGGCGGGGGACGTCGAGGCTGCGAGACGCACCGCATCGGGCAGTGCAAGGAACGCCTTGCGCTTGAGAGGCTCGCCGGTTCTCTTTGCCTTGAACAGGCCCTTGTACTGGAACGGCCCTTCGGTGCCGCTCTGCGCGAACAGGTGGAAGACCCTGTGGAGCGGAATAGCCTTGAGGTCGAAGGGGGTGAGGACGAAGATCCCGGCGTGTTTGCCCATCTCGATCTCGCCCGAGGCCATGAAGACCGTGGCGCCGTCCAGGGCGACGACGGGGAGCACGCCGGCGGACGGTAGTACGCGGGACAGTCGGCGACTGCAGGTCGTGGGCGTTAATTAGCGGACGGACGCGCACATGCTACAACGGGCGTGGAACGGCGACCCACAAAGTCCCAAGCGGCGAGGGCGTCCGGGTGCGTGCCGCGGCGCGCCAGCTTCTGCAGTATGCACCAGTGCTCGATCTGGTAGAGCCTGCCCGCGCAGCTCGCGATATTTCCGTGCCATCTGTACGCCGGGGGGTCGGGCTTGAGGTTGGCGACCTGCTGCTCGGCCAGGGATGTCGCAAGCTCTAGCTTGGAGGGTTCCCATCTGTGGTTCTGTGTGCGTGGGCGGGAGGACGACCGGGCCTTGAGGTACGCCTTCACCATTGAACTTTTATGTTCGCAGGTATGCTGTTCTGTGATGTCAAAGTCAGTACGACTGGAGGCCATCAGGAGGGGAGAGACGTGAAACGCACTGATAATTTTCTAGGTATGAAGAGCGACTGGCGTCTTTGGGCCTCCCGCCTGCTCCGCTGGCCTCGGAAGTCATTGACTGCATTGCTATGGCTTGGACTGTGTAGAGGATGATGGAAGACGAAGATTTGGAATGCGACATGCCGGAGCTTTATAGGCACGCGAGGAGTCGTTAGCAGTGCAAGGTCGGACAAAGCGGCGTGACGGTATTGGGTGGCACGCGCCTGACGTCCTGGTGGCAGCGTAGCATGGCAGTTGTGGTCGTCCAGATGGCCTGTAGGTATAGGGACGCCGGACTCAGGCCTATGCAAACGCGTCAGTCGGAGGTTGAACTCCGCGGAAACGCAATGGTGGTGTCACTCGCCCGACCTTGATAGCGGCCGACGTCCTGAGCGATGATCGTTTCCAGCAAAAAAGTGGTCAAAGCACTCCTGGATGTAATGGACGGATTCAGTCGGTTGCTATCATCAGTCAGTGGCAGCACGCAATGACCTCGACAGTACTCACCTGTCCAGGGCCACTCGAACTGCGCCAGCTGCATGTCTCCCAATCTTGACCTGCTGCGTACCGCATCATCCATGGTGCTGCTCGGTGGCGCATAGGATTGACAAAGCTCGCGAGTGACATCGTAGCGCCGTCTGTGGAGTGAGAGGGAGTGAGGCGTCACGATGGGTGGATATCAGTAGTCGGCGGGCGCATGCGTTTTCTGCATTTGTTCGTATTCGTCGTTTGCAGTCTGTTTGGCCACAACTGGCGGCTCGTGAGAGGCTTTTCGGTGGTGCAATCAGTAATCCATGATGTATGTGGATGTCGAGGATGAGCCAAGCCGGAGCCTCGCGTGTTACTCGTCAAAACGTGCCCCGTCGATTATACAGACGAGCGCGGTGGCGTTCGGGAAGCCGCGATGTTGACGCGAAGTCCTCAGATTGCGCGCAGAATAGTAACGTCACCTGAGACGGTGGGTTGAAGAACGCGACACCCTCTACAGTCGCGGGTGACGTGTTCGCTGTTGCATACCACTGCATAACAATCTGATAAGGTAAAGGACTTACGTCTGACGTCGCCGACGAATACAGGGTGGTCCTATGTAAGTCATCCAGCTCGATTCAAGACCATGGCCGTGGGAGTCGCCGCGGCCGACGCTCGGGTTACTGAGGCCAGGCTGCAGGCTATCCCAGCTCCTGCAAAGTTTGAGGCGCGGGAGAAACAAGGGGATTAGAAGATGACATTGAAGATGTGGAGAAGAGGAAGAGCGGAGGTCACACGCGGAGCGCAACTTGAAAGTTGAAGCCACACGCCGCAAGACGCCCGTAGCATTCTCTGCCTTGCTTCTTCACTGTCACACCTACATCCTCGGCGGCCCGCTATTCCTTGGCTACGTCTAACTCAAACCCCGTCTCTCCTGCCACCAGCACCGTGCATTCAACATCGAGCGACGACGAGCACCCGGGCCCATGCTGCTGAAAACTTGAAATCGTCGCTTGCGGGTGCAAGTGGGAGGGCGATATCAGCTCGAATACTTCACGTACGGTCCATTCCTCGAGGCTTGGATCCGCCAGCACGCACGTCAACGATCGACCGCTGTCCTTTACCCTCAGGGAGGCCTTCGTCTGGAGGAGAGGGTTCTGGGATATAGTGGTGAGCAAAGGCCTGATTTATTTGTTAACGCAGTTTATCACGGCTTCCACTTTCCCCAGGTTGGCTCTCTGACACGAGCATGCCGTCCCTGGAGGTGGTGGATCATCTGGCGATAGACGAGCATGCAAGAGATTCCAAGTCATGCTGCCACTACAGGTGAGTCCTACGTCTACATGGCGTAGATGCTTTGCTCATTGCATCTCACGTTTGCTCGCAAGCCTTTGCGATCGCATCCCAAATGAGCTTGTGCTTTTGGTGTTCCACCACGCGACGACTGAGCAGCGGAAAGCGCCGACCCTTGGATTGGATCCTGGCGATGGTCTCGGCGGCAGCGTGGACACAGTTCTCTTATCCTTCAATGGGTGCTTCGTACGTTCGCCGTCATCTGGGTGTTATAACTTGTCGTTGCCAGATCTCTTGTATATGTAGTAGCATAACGTATTCTCTGCGTATTCCGCCTTCATGCGATGTCTTTCAAGTTGAGGAAGAGTGTGTGTCGTGGGCGTGATTCTGCGTGATTGCGTCATCGCTGTATGCTCTCCCATGGGCGGCTCGCGAGTCGCGACGGGGCTTGATGAAGCGCCGATAGCCGCCCGTTGGTCAGTGACCACCACAACCACCCGTGCACCACCACCACGATGTCGGGCACCGCTCAAGATCCCTCGAGGATGAAGAGGCCCAAAGCAGTTCTCGGAGACCGCGCACGTAAGCTGGTTCACGCCGTGGAGAACACCAAAGGCGCGCGCCCAAAAGGCAAGAACGTCGGAAAGCTCGCCGGCATCTACGTCCAGCTCGTCCGGAACGTGCCAGTCGAGATATTCGTCGAGGTGTGCGGATGAAGGGCGATGGGTACGCTCCCACATCAGTCGCTGATCCCATGTATATGCGCAGATCCTGTCGCACCTGCCCCCAATCGACATTCTCCACCTTGCGCGCGTCTCGAACGACCTCCGGCAGATGCTCATGACGCGGAACATCAAGTGGCTCTGGGACGCGTCTCTAGCGCGGTTGGACCCGCCACCGCCGCCCTGCCCGGACCACTTCGCCGCGCCTGAGTATGTGTCGCTCTTGTTCGAGAAAGTGTGTATGGTGAGTGCCGTCTGCGCAGTCCGATCGCGCTACTAGCTCGAGTTCGCGGAGTTGATCAATTTTGGTGACAAAGGCGTGTGGCGTGAAGCATAAGAAGGCAGTCAGAGTGTGCTTTGCAAGCAAAATTCGTTTCTGTGGGCAATGCTGGCCCGCCAAGTGAGTCCACGCGTTCTTCGAATGGTTTTGCCCGTGTTGAACGATGCCCTCCTAGTGTGGAAACAGCTCGGATGATTTTCAAGAAGTCATTTAAGGGTATCCCAGAGGCTAAGGCAGAAACGGAGATATGTAGCCTCCTCCCGGAGGCCGACGAGGACATGCGTGAGATATCTTATTATGGTGATCTGCTGTGTCCTCGAGGCTCATGCAACACAGCATCGGGCGGGTCCGAGGTCAGCAAAGTGGATCAGTGCCTGAGCACCAATTTTTACGTGCCGGAGTTTGAGGTGGTATTCAAGAGGTTGCTGGAACTTCGTCGAAGCGGAGATGCAGCTGCCCTCGCCGGTTACACAGAGCAGCGTCGCCACGAAACGCTGACACGGTTGAACGTAGGTGGTCTCAGGTACACAATTTTGTATGAATATGACGCTGAAGCAATCGGTAGTTCCATGTCAAGGTCGGGAAATGGGACAGTGCCTGGGAAGACGCCACCTATAAGGCCGAACGCAATGCCAGAGAAACGGCCGTCATGAACCGCGAGAATGCGTCAGTGTTCATTGCGTTCACAACTGAAGAAGGGCTCACAGTTCGTCGTTCCAGGATCAAAGAGAGACTCTTCTCGCTCGGATATCAAGAGGAAGACCTCCCTCCCCGCAAGGACCACGAATTTTGGGAGATCGTTTGTCAGCGATATCCTTTGTCGGAACGCAGTACGTTTTACGACTAATCCACGTACCGACTGTACCAATTTCATACTAAAGCTATTGCTTCACAGTCTGGAATAAAATCCAAGGCACACTCATCGACCAGGTCGAGCTCAACCGGGCGCGCCACGCATCCCAAGCCTTCCTCAAAGAATGGGAGCCACGCATCGACACCTTCCGCGCATTCTACGAACCTTTCCTCGCGCACGGGCGAACACAGCCTGGCATGCTGTGGAAGCGAACTCTTCCGACGATCGCGGACGCCGTAAAGATCCCGGCCGTCCGCGCATTGATCACGCGCACGGAGGCTCCATCCGTGAACGACTACGCGCGGGAACTCACGGAAAAGATGGACGAGCTCGCTGAGCCGTACCGCGTGTCGGTCAGACGCGATCTCGCGTGCATCACGCGCAGTCTCGCGGAGCACAAAGAGAAGCTGGCCAAGAAGCGTAAACTGAGAGCCCCCGCGGCCGCGAAGGATCAGTCCCCCGCCGCAGATGCACAGGTTCCGTCAAAGCCGAAGGCCAACAAGCGTACGAAAAAGGCCCTCCCCGCCCCCTCCTTCGACGATAAATCCAATATTACGCTCCTGGAAGACATTGGCGTGCGGTTTGGATGCCGTGAATGCAGCTGGCATGTTAAGGACGCTACCACCCAGATGCCCTACCCCGACACACTGCTGCACTTTCAGATGAACCCCACCAAGCATCCTCAGGGGGTATGGTTCCCCGGGATCAATCACTCGGCTCTGAACACAACTATCTTCGCCGAGCCGCAGGACCAAGGTTCCCCGATGCGTTTACTTTTTGCTCTCGGACTTCCTCCAGGAACAACGGCGAGTGAACTGGCAGAGATGACGGGACGCGCGACAAGCTCACCGACGTGCACGTGTGGAGAGTTTGGAGGCGACAGCTTTCGGCAGTTGATGTACGGGAACAACGACCCGGACTACTACTCGCCTCTATGGGTGTACGAGGAGGTGGTGAGTGCTTCAAGCACGTGTCCGCTATGCGCGCTGACGGGCAGATGCCCTACCCCCAATAGTTCCTCCATGTCAACGGTTTCCGCGCGGATAAGAAGTACGTTCTTTCTCTTCCTCCCGTCAATCCCTCATTGTCGCCCGCAACCTCTTTTTTCAGGGACCTGGAGAAACACCTCATCACAATACCGATGGCTGAGGACGTGGAGCCTGTCAGCGACGCATGATAGCTTGGCAGAAAGTACTGTTCTTCGTCAAAACCCAGTGTCTGACAGACCCACCAGTTGTAGCTATGGCTCTGACACTTGTCGAGATTCCAGCACGCATGCACTCTCTCAGATACTACTGTAAGCTCCTTTGAAATAAATACATTAGGCCAGGTGCACATGATTTGGTTGAACGCACGAGCCCGTGAGGCCATCCCTTCACGCCCGCGATGAGCTCAAGCGTCGACATGTACAACTCCCAGCCACAGCCCGCCGCAAACCCGTCCCACTTGAGTCCGCGCGTCGGTATCCCAGGCTGAGTCGGACCCGTCCCGGAAGAACGTCCTCGCGATGTTCCGCGCATGGCGCGCGCTGCTAGTGGCCACGCCGCCACGGCGATTCCGCTTTGCACCTTCATCGTGCAGCCGATGGTGGACTGATCTCCCATGTGAGGTCAACCGCGAAATCATATCTGCCACTCCGAGCCTTGAAGCCACAACAGGCCTTCGAAGCGTGGTATTTGGTGAAAGCATGATCCGGTTCGGAAGCTACAAACGAAACAACATGCATGTGGAGAGAAGGCTACGAAGTCAAACATGCAACCGAGCTCGGACAGGTATCAGGCCTGCAGAACGCGCGGGAATACCACGACGTCCTCGTCTAGGTTCTCGCCGGTGGAGGATTGCGAGGGCAGTGGTCGAATGGGCACGTTGAACCGCACGTTCTTCTTCCCCGGCCGCTTGATGACGTACGTCTGCCCGTCCGTCAGGACCCACTTCTCGCCGCCCGCACGGATCTTGTCCTGCGCGAGGCCCATCGAGCTCTCCATAGAACGGAGAGGGCCGACCGCGCCCATGTGGATCGGCGAAGCGTCGGCGGGCATCCACAGCGTGTGCGCGAACGGCGAGTTCGCCGGCTGGCCTGTCGCAGTCTCGACGTAGTCCATGCCCCACTCGCGAGACGCGTATGAGCCCGGGAAGAGGCGGATGGAGTACTCCGAGTCCGGAATGGGCTGGACGTAGACGTGGGGGGCGTCGGGCTCGGGCTTCATCTGCTCGTACGTCCATCCATTGGGCGCGAACAAACGCGGGGAAATGATGAAGGACTCACTCCTGTGGGCTCCACCAGCTGCTCCAAGAACACTCGAGCGGCCTCTTCTCGCTCCTCCTCGCTAGAGTAGCCGTCCGTCCGCTGAGTATGCTAGATCCACTGGATATCCTCTGGGTCGTAGGTTCGGGCTTTTGTTCCAACTCCCGAGGGTGATGGTCTCGAATGCGCTTTTATCGACGTATTCTGACCACCAATCTGGATGCCCTTGACACAGACCTTGCGGAAGGGGATCAAGTTTTCGAACGGGGAACTGGGGACATATTGCGATGGAGCGAGAGGGGCTTGAACGACCCTCCAGGGGGGAGGGATGTGCCCTTGGACGAGTTCGTTCGCGCTGACCGCTTTGACAAGGTGTAAGGCTTGTCCTGTGTCCGCGGCTGAGCGGCCTTTGCTGGGGCTTCGTGCGCTTTGTATCTCGGGATTTCATATCAGAGTTCATGGAATACAGTCGTGGGCCGTGAAGGAAGAGATTGATAGAATAATTGACAGCGAACGGTTGGTGGTTTTCGGCAAGGTGAAGTGTCTGAGTGCTGTCACGATCGCGACTGCTCACGCCCTCTTGTGACAGAACGTGTCGCCAGTCCTGAGGTCCCCGTCACGCACTCGCCTCCGCCTTAGTATGAACCTACAGAGTATTTTCTCTTCACAATGGATCCCAGGGATGTGGCCAGTTATAATAGGGCAAGAATTTGCCTGCATGAGGGCAGGAGGATAGCGAGAGTCCAAGTTTAGTTTGCAATAGTAAGCCGTGACTCAGTTCAACTTGTATTCCATCCGTCTAGGCATAGCACACACTACTCAACCATCTCCGGTACGTGAACCCCCCAAACACAACCGGCCCGTCCACTAGCTTCTCGAGCTCCTCCTGATCAAACAGCTCAGGGCTCGGAACGTACCTCCCTACCACCGCCGACGGCGGGAACTCCAGCCTCAACGCCGCATCCCACTCCCGATCCTCCCACTCCAGCCGCTCCAACCGGAGCCCACGCTTCGCGCGATGCCCAAGCAGCTTCACCAGCACTGCGACCCGCGGCGGGATCGCCCGGAGCACCGTCTCCCCCCACCCCGCCGGCCGCACCCGCAGCGCCGCCCACGCCTCGCGCGACGCCGACCTTTCGTCCCCGCGGTTCAGCCCGAACGCGACCTTGAGCGTCTTCAGCCGCGGGCACACGAGCGCGTCGGGGCTCCCGTCGGCATCCGGGCGCTGGAGCGCCTTGATGACGCGGGCGCGCGGGGGCCGGCGAGGTCGAGCGAGGTGAGGTGCGGGAACGCGCGGAAGAACTCCGACGGCCCGTTCCCAGAGGTCTGGATCGCCCAGTTTTGGTGGAGGACGAGGTGAGTGATGACCGCGCCGGTGTCGCGGAAACCTCGATAAGGTCCAACGCGTCCAGATAGTGCATGCCGTGCGAGTGGGCAGAGAGGGTGAAGCGGATGAGCTCCTTGTCGTCCCTCGATGTTGAAACAAAATGTTGGGGACGTTCCACTGGTCGTACAAGTCGGATATGTGGACTGTGCTTGCGGACCGCACTCGGGCTCGGATGAGCCGGGTGTGGCGAGAAGGCAGGTCTCGGCAGAGGTGCGAAAGGGAAAGCTCGTCTTCCACGAGGTGTATGCCGACGGAAGACGAAAGGGTGATGAGATCCAGGTATTTTACCGTTTTCATGTTGCCGTTGATGTTGACGACCAACGTCCGCAGCGCTGGAAGGTTGACGGGGGCCACCCACTTATAGGCGCCATCGTCCGGCATCAGTCGGAGATCACTCCTGTTCTCCATACACAGGTCGAGGCGCGTGAGGCCCGGAGTGTTCCTCAACGCGCAAACGAAGGCCTCCAAGTGATCGCGGTTGTTTACTGCGGGAGTGATGCACATGTCGCGCACAGTGGGACAAGCAAAGTGAACCACGAGATCGATCGGAACGCATCGGAGCGTATGAAGACGAGGAGTGTCTGCGATCAGGCCTTGAACACCCGGCAAGTTCCATTTCGAGTGTCCCCAGGCGAGTTCCTTTTGGTCGATCTGCTCGTCAACGTCTTTGTGGTTACTTCCAGTTACCGGCGCCAGCCACTCTCGGTACACCCCTGTATATCCGGGAAACGCGATGCCGAGGACGTTGAGGTTGGGGACGCCGTTGGCAAGAAGTGCGCACAGAGACTTGAATTGTGCGGCGCTTTGGAGACGGACGAACAAATCGACAAGTCGGGAGGTGTGCGGCGAGAGTGTATGGGATAGGGCATCAGGGAGAAAATGAATCTTGAGGCGCAGCGGGGCCGGAGATGATAGTTCTATCGCGGTAGCCGCAAACGAGATGCGGTCCTCTCCAGGTGTTGACACTGCGCTTGATCCGGGCCTTGTTGAATGTGAGTTGGTCCCCGGAGCTGCGGCGGCCTCTGCCCACAGTTGCGGGGTTTTGAGTGCCGTCGCGCGCCAGAGACGACAGACGTGCATGAGGCGGACACTGCTCATGTCGTGCCAGCAGTGTGAAAGAACCTCAGAGAGAGTTCCACCGGGAAAGCGCGGTGGATGGGCGCGATTGAGTTGTGGAGAGATAGCAGAGACAGGGCGATCTCACGATACTTCTCCGCCTTGGCGACGACCCATTCGCGAATGGCAGTGTCCGAGAGTCCTGAGAGTGAAGCACGATCGGCAGCAGGGATGGAGCCCGCGAAGGCAGGAAAGGGAAGGATGTCAACGGTGGCCATTTCTGTGGACATTGGTGTGCTCGTCAGCTGGGAGCAGCCACACGGTGTGAGAAACTCACCGTACTGTCGATGATGTGGCCAGGAGCAACACGCGCGAACGGCACTGTGGTCGCAGGCGCTCAAGTCTGGCGCGGAGAAATGCCGGCGACTGGCCACCTTAAGTCCTCGACGACCTGCGCTCACCATCCTACGAATGATATCTTGCGGACGGTCTTGTAGGAAGGCAAACACGGAGGTTTCCATGATCCTTGAAGAGCGCTGCCTTGAGTACGAGCCCATCTATCAGAGTCGATCAGGACGAGCAACAGCCGCAGCATTGATTTATTCGAACGTGGTATGAAGCGTAAAAAGTGCGACGATGTTCGGGAGCGAGAGAATGCAGGAGGACGGCGAAGGTGAAACGTACGCGCGGTGGCCTGTGGACCTCCGATATCCGTCTCCTTCTCCTCTCCTAACGGCGGGCAAAGCGCAAAACGCCAACCAGCTGATGCTCACCGTATGCGACGCTACGTATGCTTGAAAAAAGCTTGACGACCGGAGAGTAAACACCATACGGACAAAGAGGCTCCTAGAAAGGGCTGGTGGGGACATGAACGAGCAAGCCAGGTGTAATCGTGGTCGAGAAAGGAGGGAGACAGACACAGCCCGGCGCTTGCTGCTGCTCCATCTCTCCAACCTACCAACCGCTCACAACCCGAACTGCTTCTTCATGACTGTTTCCGTCGCTGTCCTCTCAGGCTCAATCCCCGCTGCAGACCGTGCTGCATTAGCCGGTCTTTCTGACGACGCAGTACGCGCATGGGTGGCCACCCGGGCCCAGGAGTACCGCGACATCGCCCTCGCCCTCCTCTCCATCTACAACGCCATCGCGCCCATCCACCGTGCCTTCCCCACAGAAGTTCTCTCCGAGATCTTTTCACACTGTTGGATAAACCCTCGAAGCATCGCCGTTGCTCATGTCTGCCGCCACTGGCGTTCAATTGCCCTCAAGACTCCCCGCCTATGGGCCGCCGCCCTCGCCGCACCTGGGAAGCTGCTCTCCCACTACTGGGGATGTAGATCCAGCCGCCCCGATTTTGCAGTGTTCGCCCTCGAACGATCTTCTCCTCAGCCCCTTCTCCTCAAAGTTTACCACTTCCGCGATCCCTTCGCCAGCATGCTCGCCCCACACGCTGCCCGCCTCGTTGATCTCTATGTCCGTCTTGACGGTGCATCGAACCTCTCTCTATGCAAGTTCCTCGACTCAGGCGCGCCCAATCTCGAAGTCCTCGGCATCACATTTCCGGGGTTCGTGGGGATGGACGAAGACTGGCTGTCACTCCACGAGGACGCACACGATGACGACTTCGGCCGCACCGCCGCCGCCCGAAACGCTACCCGAGAGGGGCTCGAGTGGGATCTACAGAAGTGGAGCCAAAGCACACAAGCCCCGGTTCTTGACACCATAGCCCTCCCTCGCCTCCACACCATCCGGTGCATCCCCATCGACCTCTTTCCCTACTTTATCACCCCTACACTTCGCGACGTGTGCGTCACCCCCGCGCAGTATGCCCATGACCACCTGGTCGACTTCGCCAGAGCGCTGGCTCAGTGTCCCGCCCTTGAGCGCCTCGAGTTCCGGATAGTCGGCGGGGACTTCGACATGCACCCAATGTATGACTGTGATGAAGATGGGGAAGAGGTCGATAGAGGTCCGGTCGAGAGCTATCTTCCCACTTCCGATTCGTCTATATGGGACAGCGTTGATCCGGTAACCATGCCCGCCTTGCAAAACGTCGTCATCAACACTGGTATCTATCCCACGTCGCACCTCTATCTCCGCTGCCTCTCCTGCCCCCTTCCCACCACCTTCGAAGTTATCGTGGACCACACGACACTACCAGATCTGGTCGACAGCCACGAGATGCTTGAGGAACGCATCAAGAACGCGGACGTGGCTCGCATCTGCGACTCTGACTCCGGCGGCGGATGGATGACCACCGAGGTCGCTACCTTCAGAGGCGACGTTGCGCTCGCTCGACTTGCGCTTTCAACATTGAGATGGGGAACGCTGGGGCAGGTCGGACCGGACTGTGCCGCCGTATTCCGCAAGCACGGCGCGAACATCACGCGGCTTGTCCTCCACCAGAACGAAAACAAATTCTATTCCAGATTTTGCGAAGTCCTCCACGCTCTCCCCAATCTCACGTCCCTTGACCTCGCCGGCCAATGCGTGTCGGACGCCATGCGGACGCTACTTCGACGGGAACACGAGTACGGGGTGCCCGAGGACAGCGACGGCCCGAATTGTCAGCATCTGCGCACCCTCGCCGTAGCATTCCCTCGAGTACGCGACTCCGTTCAGAAGGTGATCGAAGCCAACCCATCGGACTGGGAGGAGACGATTGGGACGGGCGTCCGAGACAACTTGGCAGAGCTCGTGAAGATGCTGAGCAACCGAGCGTCGAGTGGTCTTTGCCTGGAACGGCTCGAGTGGCGAGTGGCGGAGTGGGACGAAGAGCTCCGGCTCGAGTTCCCCCCGACCGCGGTCGTCAGCACGTATGTTCCACCTATGTCGCTGTACGACCCGACGGAGCTCGAGACGTTGGTCGACGGGCCCGTCATGTTCGGTGGGGTCACCTACCAGGTCCGTCGCCGTCGCTAAACAATCGACCGAGGCTGTGTTGGATAGCGTCCGCGGTTTATAAATCCCACCAATTAACTGTGACTGGCCGTGCGCTCTGACGACCGAAAAGTTTCCAAGCGTGATCCCGGTGCCAGGGCCCGTCGCTCGCACAGCGCTCGAGAGCGGACATGCTCTGCGGCGGCGGCGACGTTGGCGTTTTCCATGGTCCGGATGTCGACGTCGAGCGGGTCGTTATAAACGCAGAGGACGTCGCTCTCGTCGGCATTGTAGGTGCGGAGGACGTCGGGCAAGTCGACATGGACTCACAAGGGCGATGGCGTGTACGAGGGGCCCAGCCTAGGACGGCGGGGTCCGTTGAGCTGGGGTAGCACATCGCGCACGATGTCCGCAGCGTTATGGTGTGTTCCCACCAAGTAACTAGTATCTGGCATTTAGGGTAAGTACCGAGCAGGGCAGATGGATGCTTGTATGGCCTCGCAGAGCGTTCTGTTCGCAGCGGGCGGAGCACATCTCAGGGATATCTGTGGTCCGTTAAAGTGCGCACGCCGTCGGCAGGGAGGCAGGAGAGTCGCACCGGCTCAATTCCATCCGTACCTGGACGCGACCCATGCGTAACAACTCGTAAAGCCATCCATCTGTCCAGACACACTCTACTCAGCCATCTCCTGGTACGTGAACCCCCCAAACACAACCGGCCGTCCACCAGCTTCTCGAGCTCCTCCGATCGAACAGCTCAGGGCTTGGAACGTACCTCCCTACCACCGCCGACGGCGGGAACTCCAGCCTCAACGTCGAATCCCACTCCCGATCCTCCCACTCCAGCCGCTCCAACCGGAGCCCACGCTTCGCGCGATGTTCAAGCGGCTCCACCAGCGCCGCGACCCGCGGCGGGATCGCCCGGAGCACCGCCGCCCTCCATCCCGCAGGCTGCACCCGCAGCGCCGCCCACGCCTTGAGCGACGCCGACCTGTAGTCCCCGCAGTTCAGCCCGAACGAGATCTTGAGCGTCTTCAGCCGCGGGCACACGAGCGCGTCGGGGCTCCCGTCCGCGTCCGGGTGCTGGAGCGCCTTGAGCGCGCGGTGCGCGCGGGGGCCGGCGACGTCGAGCGAGGCGAGGTGCGGGAACGCGCGGAGGACGTCGGGCTGCCCGCCCAGTTTTTGGATCGCCAGGTTCTGGTGGAGGACCAGGTGGGTGACGGCCGTGGGCGTGTCGCGAAAGGTCTCGATGAGGTCGAGCGAGTCCGTGCTGGACAAGCCCAAGTACGAGTCGGGGGAGAGGGTGATGCGGACCAGCTCCTGATCGTCCTTCGACATTGAAATGAAGGCGGTGGGGACGTTCCGCCGGTCGTACGAGTCGCAGATGTGTACGACGCTTGCGGACTGCACTCGAGCTTGGATGAGCGGGGTGTGACGAGAAGGTAGGCCTCGGCAGAGGTACGAAAGGCCATAGCCGCCTTGCATGAGGTTGATTCCGACGGAAGACGGAAGGGAGATGAGGTCCAGGTACCTTGCCGTGTTCGTGTTGCCCTCGCCCGCGAGGTTGACGACCAACGTCCGCAGCGCTGGAAGGTTGACGGGGGCCACCCACTTATAGGCGCCATCGTCCGGCATCAGTCGGACATCACTCCTGTTCTCCATACACAGCTCGAGGCGCGTGAGGCCCGGAGTGTTCCTCAACGCGCAAACGAAGGCCTCCAAGTGATCGCGGTTGTTTACTGCGGGAGTGATGCACATGTCGCGCACAGTGGGACAAGCAAAGTGAACCACGAGATCGATCGGAACGCATCGGAGCGTATGAAGACGAGGGTGTCTGCGATCAGGCCTTGAACACCTGGCATGCACCATTTGATGAGTTCCTTGGAGAGGTTCCGTTGGTCGCTCTGCTCGTCGATGTCGTAGTAGTGGCTTCTGGTTCCCGGCGCCAGCCACTCTCGGTACATCCCTGTATATCCGGGAAACGCGATGCCGAGGACGTTGAGGTTGGGGACGCCGTTGGCAAGAAGTGCGCACAGAGACTTGAATTGTGCGGCGCTTTGGAGACGAACGAACAAATCGACAAGTCGGGAGGTGTGCGGCGAGAGTGTATGGGATAGGGCATCAGGGAGGAAATGAATCTTGAGGCGCAGCGGGGCCGGAGATGATAGTTCTATCGCGGTAGCTGCAAACGAGATGCGGTCCTCTTCCAGGTGTTGACACTGCGCCTTGATCCTGGCCTTGTTGAATGTGAGTTGGGTCCCCGGAGCTGCGGCGGCCTCTGCCCACAGTTGCGGGGTTTTGAGTGCCGTCGCGCGCCAGAGACGGCAGACGTGGATGAGGCGGACACTGCTCATGTCGTGCCAGCAGTGTGAAAGAACCTCAGAGAGGAGTTCCACCGGGAAAGCGCGGTGGATGGGCGCGATTGAGTTGTGGAGAGATAGCAGAGACAGGGCGATCGCACGATACTCGTCCGCCTTGGTGACGACCCATTCGCGAATGGCAGTGTCCGAGAGTCCTGAGAGTGAAGCACGATCTGCAGCAGGGATGGAGCCCGCGAAGGCAGGAAAGGAAAGAGTGTCGACGGTGGCCATGACCGTGTCCATTCGCGATCTCGTCCCGAGGGTGGTTGCACAATTTGAGAAGCTGACCGTACTGTCGATGATGTGGTCAGGAGCAACATGTGCGAGCCGCGCGGGCGCCATCACGTTTGGCGTGAGCAAACATTCACGGGGAAGCGCCGGGGACGGGCGACTTCAACGTGCCCGTGTCTCGCCATGGAAATTTGACTTTGGTTATCTCGGCCGTCTCAACTTCGGGCGACAGACTTGAAGCTTGATGGCTAGATGGCACAATGGACTTCTCGCAAGACCGGCGGTAGCGAAGACCATCACGATGTGGAAGGAGAAACGTAGCAGTTAAAGTAGAGATGATAGCAACGAGGTTCAAATGTCCACTTACCACCTGTCTGCAGCAGCGCGCGGGGTCCGCACACGCGACGGGTGCGGTATCATGGAATTCACCGTCCAGCGCACCACCGCGCAGGTGGGGTGTGCTTTTCGTAACCATTGCATGTGTTTCCGGTCTGAGTCCTGATGTTTGTACGGGACGCTCAAGGAGATGACAGAAACATCTTGTTACTTCGACCTGCTACACTATAAGTACACGATATGTCCGCGCGAGCAATACCAAGTACAACGACGAAGATGCACAAGTTCGTTTATGTCCGAGAAGGAGCCTCCTTATCCATCAGGATCTCCAGGAGACGAGCCTGCTCGCGCAGAGCGCGAGGCTGGCGGCGGGACGCGCGCAATGAGCGGCGCCCGGTGGGGCTTGCGGCTTCGACTCGAACGTCGTGCGTGCTCGGGAAGCACGGATGCGAGGACGAGGACGGGGTTGATGCCGCGGGACAAGGTCGACCGCGGACTTGCGTGCAGGCGATGGTCGCCGCGCGAGTGTGTTTGAAGGTGGCAGGGCTGGCTCGGGGACAACGCCCACAAGCGGCGCGCGGGCTCACAGCCCGAAGTACTTCTTCAGCCCGCCCTTCGTCGACGTCTTCTTCTGCCCGTTCGAGGGACGGAGGACGTGCCGCGCCTCGTCGTACAGCGCGTAGGTGTCGCGCGGCGACTGGGCGGAGCCAAACAGCGCGAACGCGTTCGGTGCGGCGGGGGCCGCGAATGAGTAGGCGGAGACGGTGGTGTAGGCCATTGCGGATGAGGTGGACTCGAGATGTGCGAGTGCAGATGCGAGTGGAGGTCGAGTGGATGCTGAACGATGTGAATGATGATGGCGAGTCACATTACGCTGCCTGTGACTTAAGTATGCACTTGGTCGCGACGGATTGCACCTGGATTGCTTCTGGACGCGAGCGACAGGCAAGCGCGACGACGCGAAGTGCACTCGAGGTGCGCCCACACGGGGTTTCCATTCCGGGAAAGTGTTGGGGGCGGAACAAACAAGTGCACAAATTGTCGTCCACGGTGGTACTGTCGCCAGGATACAGAGCAGGGAGAGACACCGGAGGCAGGCAGGAGGAGGTCGTCGACAATGGAGGGCGAGAAGGCGTGCGTCGGCCCGCTAGACGCGTATTTGGCAGTATTTGGCTTGCAGGCGTGCAAACAATCCGGCGCCAATCTAGCCGCGGTCCGCGGGGGCAGTGACACAGGCTGCGCACTCGCGACCAGAGTCTCACCTTTATGGTGTAATCTCTCTCTCTCAACTTCCACTGAGATGCGGTAAAGTACTCGTCCTTGTACAGAAACTAAGCAGCGTAAACGCTACAAGCGAATTTCCCAGTAAGCAGACCTCTTCAACTCACCGGGTTGTCGCCAGTCGACTGATCGAGGTCAGAGTACGCAGTGAACTTTTCGTGAACTGCCGACTTGGGGAGCCCTCACTACTCTCGTGTTCTTGTCATAGGATTCATACCGTCTTTGAGGCCCAACGGGGTGACACGCAAGACCTACCTACGGCATGCAGCTCGCCCTCTTTTGCATCTTTGCACAGCGGTGAGCAATAAGTGGGTGGGACGTCTCCCCCAGGCGCTTCTCCCGAAGACAGAGGGAGCTAAGTGAGACCGGTTGGTCGATAGGAGTCTGGTATGTATTGAAAGTTCGATCTCTGGTGATGCAATGCGCACATCTATAGTGAGTCACCACTGCTATAGGTACTTACTTTGACCTGTGTACATACCCTACCTCTGCACATATGGCCTGATATATTTGCTGGCGGAAATAACGGTTGTGCACGCCCACCGTCCCCGATGCGTGCGCACCATCGCGCAGTGCAGAACTCGCGGCGGGCCCCCAGCCTCCCGGGACCCGGGCCTGATATGACCTCATGGGGGTTTTCGGGGGCTCGTCGCCCGGTGAAGTTGCAGGTGGCGGCTGCCGGCCCTGCGCTGTCCACCACCACCACCTCCTGCCCATGGATGAACCCCGGAATTTTTCCTCTGACGGGGATGCGGTCTCGAATGTCGACCCCAGGTACGAGCGTGTAACCCTTACGCCGGCCTGCTCACCCACTCTCGACTTGCAGGGAGGTCATCGACCGCGTTCCAACCGAGTTACTAGTGCAAGTGTTTCTACTCGCAACCGGGGAGCTTCGGGAGATAGGCCTTGTAGTTCCCGCCAAGTGGTATAGTCACACCAAGATGGAGACCCGCTCTCTCATTTCCTTGACTCACGTCTGTCGGAAGTGGCGTCAAGTCGTCCTTCAAGCTCCCCTTCTTTGGACGCGTATGAACTGCTACACTCCGTCGCAACTCCGTGCGTTTTGGGAGCGCTCCCGCGGACTCCCCATTTCTCTGGCCATTCACCACAACGACATTGAACACTACGTCGGCACGAGTTCAACGCCGGAAGCCACTCGGGATAAAATCGAGGAAATTCTTGCTGTCACTCATCAACTTGTCCGTAGTTTGGATTTGCGACTCGAGGGTGAAGACGGTATGGACCACAGCCCGCCTTCGTGGCTCTCCTCATGCGACATGCCCAATCTCGAAGTTCTCGTTCTCTCCATCCGACGTGACAGGAAAACACGCGTGTCGCGCAAAAACGCTCTCATCGGGAACAATGTGCGCTCGCTGAAGGCTCTCGCAATCACGGAGCTCGGTGGATGGTTCCCTGTCGACATGTTTCCTAGCCTCACTCATCTGCTCCTGGATTGCACCAACGCATCGATCAAAGAACTTCTGCGCTTACTACGAGACTGTCCAAAAATCGAAGTCTTGCATCTTCCCGGGTCATACTTCGAATTCGACGGCGTAGTTGCAGATCCAGTCTCCCTCCCCACGCTGAAGTTGCTGGCGTTCACCGGCGCAGATTCGAAGACACTGGACCTCCTTCGCTTCGTTCACATCCACCACACAGTGCCGATCCGGATGATGTCGACGTTTATCAGCGTCGATGACTCCGAAGAAACGTTCTCCCCAGAAGATATATTCCCCATTCCCTTCGACATCATCCCCTCCATACGCGGGGCCACCCACCTCGACATCCGAATGAACGAAGGTCTTTTCGAAGTCCACTTCGCCCTACACGGCGCCGCCTCCGGATTGTGGATGTTCGGCTCGCCCTACCCTACCTACGGCTACCAGTGGCTCGTCGACCAGATCCGCCGTCTTTCCACGGACGCCCCCCTCTCCGACGTCACCTCCGTCGTCCTCGACATCCCCGGCAGCAGCCCCGCCGTCCTCGTCGATCTCCTCCGCCACCTCCCCAGCCTCGAGACGCTCACCCTGCGCCTCTACTGCCCCGGGAAAGGCGGCTGGCAGATCGGCAGCGGCGGACGGATCCCGTTCGAAGGCTCCCCCGCCGACGTCCTCGGCGCCCTCTGCGACGCGCTCGCTGGCCAGGCCGGCGCGCACGCGTCCGAGCCGCCCACGTGCCCCGCGCTGCGCGCGCTCGCGGTGTGCGCGAACATCGGCACGGACGTCTGCGAAGACGTGCAGGCGGAGCTCGATCGCTGGCGCGCGCGCCTGGAGGAGATGCTCGACGCGCGCGCGGCGACGGCGGCGCCGATTCGCAGCCTCCGCGTCCAGCCTACCAACCGCGCGTACTGCGGGTACGGGCGCGATCAGGGATTCGACTTGGAGGCGACGAGGGCGGCGTTCGAGGAGGGGCTGTCCGCGCGGGTGGAGAAGTACTCCTGGGTGCCGCCCGGAGAGACGTTCTTCGAGGAGTTTAAGCTGTGGCCGCTTTGGAGGGTTGGGGGAGAGGAAGAGTATTGGAGGCTGGATTCGAAGTATCAGCCCACCTACCGCGCTCCCGAGAGATCGTGACGTTTGATCTTCATGTGCTCTTGTTTTCTTGCAGGTGGACTTCGAAGTTCGTCTGCTCACGATGGGGAGGTACCATGCTAGTTCCCCCGCTGCTCTTGAGCTCCGGAATGCTCGAACGATGTCTCTCCGCTCCCCTTCACCAGATGTCGTAAAATCGAACGTATTTTGTGTTTGCAATTGGACGGTCGACTCGAGTTACGCCCACGCCTGGTTCGACCGCCGCGTCCTCCAGCTCCCCACACATCTGTCCCTCTAGGATCTCACTTTGTGCACCTTTGGAATACAGGCCTTTCATCGAAGCCAACAAGCTCGTCGAAGGCCTTCGCCACGTTCTCCAGCTCGAAACGCTCAAGCCGCGGCAGCCCACCCTGGTACCGTTCCAAGCACCATCTCCGTGCGGGAAACGCCAGGTGCACTTCTGTGCGACCCCCTCCTCGGGGGTCGGAGTCCTTTCCCGCCCCAGAGCCAGTGCTGTGCTCCAGCATTTACCACAAAACCGGGGCAAAGACGAGTTCGAACGGTACACGCACGCGCTCGAGGACGCAGCACGCACGGGGCGGGGCATGGGGAGCATGCTGTGCGCAGCGCCCTCTCTCGAAGACCGCGAAGACGACGGCCACCTTAGAGCAGGTGCTGAGCAACGCGTTCGAGGCTTCCCCACGTATCCATGCAGCATTTCTTATCGCAACGTACTAGTACAAGAGACCCCAAATACACGTAGACCAACCGTACAAGTCAAGCAACGTCTCGCAGAGACGTCGTGACGCTCTTCCCCCCCGCCCCTCCCGACGGCAGCGCGACGCTCACACCACTCTCGTTCTGCGCCGAACCGGTCGGCTTTTTGCCCGGCCCGACCACCTCGAGCGTCACCTCCACGTTCGACAGCGTCTGCGTGGGGTCCGCCACAGTGACCTTGCCCTTGTCCAGCCGGTACACGACGATCGCGCCCCCCTGTACCGACACCGCGACAGGCGCACGCCCGAGCCCAGGCGTGAACGTCACGTTCCCGCCCGCGCCGTCCCAGAACACCGCCGCCGCGACGTGGTGCGACCCGTCGTACACCGCGCTGACCTGTGCGTCATTGCGCACCGTCCGAGCGTCACCGCGGCCTTCGCAGCCTTCGCGCGGAACGCGCCGCGTTCGTCGCGGGGAAGACGGAGTACTCCGTGTCCGCGGGCGCGCGACGCGACCCACGCCGAGAACAGGTCGCGGACTGCACCCCGCGGCGGAGATTCCGACCGCGCCCCAGTTGCCCGTGCGCGTGCCCCAGTCGACCGAGACCGGCGCGCCGGTGGGGGGAAGGCGTACCCGACGCCATCGTGCCAGAGCGTGCGCGCGTGCGTGAAGTTGCCGCCGTGGGCGAGCGGGGCGCCGTCGAGGAGGACGGGGCCGGAGTGGCGCTTCTGGTCGAGGACGGAAAAGACGGGCGCGGAGGACGGGAGGAGAGGCTGGAGAGCATGACGTGCTGCACGTCGTCGTCGAGGAAGAACCACGCCTTCTGGAACGACAGGCGCCTGTAAGCGCGTTCGTGTAGCGCATCGCGCCGCCCCGATTGTGCCGTCCGAGGCACCTCCGACGAAGGCCTCTGTACCGATCGCCTCAGTTTGACCGCAGCTAAGAGGAGTGTTGCCGTAGTCCGTTGTGATGCCAGGAATCACTACAAAGAAATAGTCAGAGAATGAAGATCGTGGATGACACCGACGCACAGTTCCAATCCCACATCCCAGCAATATCCTCGTACTCGTCTCCCTCCAGGTACGTATACACGGTACCATCCGCCAGGTGGAAACCGACCGTCTGTGTGTGCATGAGCCCACGTGAACAAGCGTGAGGTTGAACGAAACGCACATTCTGAACATTCACGCATTCCGTGTTGGCCGTGCGAGAGGAATACATCCGCAGCGTGGTGACGTACCCGTCTCCCCGATGCACCATGTAGTCGTTGTCGTAGAACATACGGTTGCCGTTCATAGAGCCGACGTTTGCGTTGTCGGTATCTGAAGTGAGTTGGGAGGCAGCAGAGCTGATGATGTCCGATCCCCAGAGCTGACCGAGCTCTGCGAGAAGGGTGGTATTGATCAGGATGCTCGATGTTGCCCTATGTCCCGTCAGTCATTGTCCAGGTCTTCGTGCAGTAGTCCACTCACTGCTCGTCAGAGACGGCGAAGGTGATCATGCGGCCAGTGACGCTCTACGGCCATTATGAGGGGTGCGTAGAACGAATAAACGAACAGGACACGCACAAAGTCCCAATGGAGAATGCTAGTCTTGATGTTCTTGTAGATCATCCACAGGTTCCCATCCATAAGCGTCTCGAACGCGCTCTTGCTGTCGTCACCGGCCGCGAACTCGGTGCCCCCGGCGGTGATCTCGAGCGCGATGACGTCGTTGGAGTAGTCCTTGCCGTAGTTGCCGTTGTAGATGATGCCGGTGTGCTGCCCGAAGCTGCCGTCGGGACGGATCCCTCCGCAAACGTCGCGTCGTGGACAACGACCTCGCGGTGGACGTGTCCATACGCGTCCGCGAGTCCTGTCGAGTTCTCCGCGAGCAGCGCTGCGGTGATCCCGCACTTGGCGATGTCTAGGATGTTCGCGCCCGCGAGGAAGCCCTGGCCGGAGGCAAACGTGCCGAATGAGCGCTCGAGGATGTTTGTGCAATTCCCGTATTGTGTGTCTGAGAGCGTGGTGTTGCCCAATATGAGGCACGTGTCCCCGATGAGCACAGGTACCGCGATCACCTGCCGGACCGCGCAGTCAGTTTCTGCCCACGAGACCGCCACAAACGCGGAGATAGCGAGGGCAGCGTACGTTTGGAAACCAGTTAGTGTTCCAGAAGCCGGGGTCCCGCATGGGCATTGGCCGCTGCCGCCGCTGTAGAGGCAGTCGAGGTTGGGCATGTCGTTCGCGAACCAGAAGTCCATGGCACGCGACGCGGTAGAAAGCACCGTACTGCTGTTCACATATGCATCTGCACCCGGCACACCGCCGCGCCATGCGGCCGCGAGTGTTTCTGACACACGAAGCGCGGAAGCTTCAGACGAGGATGAGCGGAGGAGAGGACGGATGAACGACGCACCGATGCGAACCCAATGCTCCTCCGCCGGCCAGTTCGCGCGGCGTCCGTCGCAGCCGGTAGCGTAGTTAACCTCGGAGTCCGGCCACTTGCCTTCGGCGTTGAGCGTGTCGAGCCTGGAGGAATGTCAGCGAACATCCCCTTTATGATAGGGGCAGAAAGCACGGACCAATAGTCGATCTCTGGGACTAGTGTGGTGTTGATCGCACCGATGGCGAGGGCGACACGACGAGAGCGCATGGTGCTAAAGTCTACATCTCTCGGGGAAAGGCCTTGCGAGTTCTTGACGGATGCGTTGGGTAGAGCATGCGTGAACGAGGGGAGCGAGCGCGCTGCAAGAGGTAGGAAGACCAGGAGCGACGCAAAGACAGCGAGGAGCATAATGAACGCTACAAGGCGGCGAGGTCGGGGAAGGGGTCGGTGTGTTTGAAGAAAGTTTAAGTAGGTGCGTTCGGTCCGGTCTCCTCTCGTGACACTGACAGATAGACATTTGGGGCCTTACGTTCGCCTGTCGTGCTGGCATCTGGAGACGTCAAGACAGGGACGCTCGTCGCTCGAAAGCGCCACCCGAGTCCCGGATCTTAAGCCCCTTGGTCCGTGTTTTCGTATGACGCGGCACGAGTCGCGTCGAACTCAATCGCGCCGGATGATACATTTGAGAAATTGTGTGGGTGCATGGGACTCCCGCTCGACGATGGACGTTCCTTGTAGAACGGCGTGATCATTGCCTCGGCTAAAAATCCCACAAGCGTCCCAGTCGCCTAGACTGGTACCACCATTAGTCCGAGATCCTTCCTGGGTGCAGTTATAATCAGTTATCGGAACATCTCACGTATAATGGTAGATGGACGCACATCCAGATGCCGGGCCGGTCATGTGCGGTGTTTGCTAGAGGGCAAACTTATGCACTTCTGGAAGTTGGAATAACGGACATTGGTTGGGTGAGGGTACCGGGCAGAGGAAGATGGTGTTCTTGATGCGGCGCGCCGAGCGCTCCGAGTCGAAGCGTGAGATGGTAGGCTCTAGATCGAGCGGTGTTCATTCGGATGCCCGGCTAAGTCGCACCGCGGACGGACGACATGGTGTTCGGTGTTCAAGGGGAAGTGTAACCAGGTAAGAGATGTCGAAGTCTATAGATATGGTCCGGGTTGAGGTGTCGTCTCTGCAGTGACGATGAGCTTGAGGAAAATGAAGGTTCTGAATTTCCCACCAATGAAAGCCAGGGATCGTAACGTTGAGAACGGCACTCCGTGGATATACTCTCGCGAGTGACGCAGAGCTGTAAAACTGGAGAGTGCGAGCGCCGCGAAGACCCCTCCTCGCCACGACTTTCCAGTTCCCACCGACTTTGGACGACTAGAGGTCCGAGTTTGAATTTTAAGAGTGGGCACGGACCATCCAGAGGAATCAAATGTCGCGGCATTGAACCACCCGTGCGCCGACTTTCGTTGGGTTGGACTGTAGAGAGGTCCGGTTCACGACTTGAAGCTGCCCAAAGGAGATCAGCGTGGGGACGAGGGCGGAATTTAAATCCGCATGCCTGAGAGCACGGACATGGATGGCGGGCTGGGCTGGGTGGCCCCTTCGCGCACCGGCCGCTCCCGCTTCTCCCGGTTGTACTTTCTCTCCACCCTCAAATCCGTCGCGGCTGACCGCCGAGCAGATCGCACATCCTGTGCTGCTCATGTGCGAGCTCGTCGTTCGTGGATGCGTCGCTCTAGCTGATCGACCGGCCAGTAGCAACGATTCCCGCGCAGTGGGAGCGACGCTCATGCCGTAGAACAGCATCCGCTCCGGTCAGCATTCGCCTCGTGGTGCGCGTGCGCATGGACGTGACAGATTCAGCCCGCTGTGCGGATGCTGCGAACCGCGCGTGACGCCTTGAACAATCAGAACTAAGTAGAGGATAAAAATGTTGTGAGTTGTTGGAGAATTACTGGGGAAGCCGACCCATCCATTCCGCGGCCGCGGCCTCTGCGGACACTCCGCGGCGTGTATGCACGCACCAGGACGCAGCGACATCGCCAAGGGTCGTCGAGGGGCCCATCCGCCTCGCTGGCCGATAATGCGAGCATACGCGTCGCGGTGTGGATGCGGAGGGGCGGCGAGAGGAGTAAGAGTGGACGATGTGTGCCACTCACAATCTCTTCGCAGTCGCCTTCGGAAAGCATCTGGCAGCAAGGAGGACAGGGAGGAGAGGAAGGATGTAGACAGAGGCCGACGTCCTGACAGAGGCAGTCGACAACCGGGTGTTCTTGTTGGCTTACTAGGTGGGTGACCAATGACGCGTTCGAGGAGCTCAAGGTGGGCGTTTCGAGGGCTCAAAGCGCAGACAGAGCAGTAGATTTACGTTTCGGTGCAGTCGAAAGGGGAGCACGGCTGACAACGAAAGGCGAGGCATGACGCACGGTGGCGAGAGGGCTCAGAGCAGCGTCGCACAAACAGCGGTCGACCACGATGGGGCGGAGGTGGAAAGGGGGCATTGGCGCGTCTAGCGGCGGCGTCTTGCTCGGCACGGGCGCCTCCCCGCGGCCCGGCCACGTCTCCTTTCCGCCGCTGCCACAGCCCTGCATTTCACTGGCTTCAGGCTCGCTGCTCTCTTGTGTCTGCTCGTCACCGCCCTGCTCCACACGCTCGGGTGGCGGCTCCCTCCTTCTGCGCCCAATTCGTCTCTGCCTCTAGTCGGTTCTCATACAACCTGGTGTTTCGGACCCACTCCTTCCAAACCGTGAAGTTATGGCTGCCGTCATCACTGCTACTCGCCCGAAGTTAGGTTGCTGAGGGTGACATTGTTTGCGTCCTGGTACGTTCATGCTTTATGGACCGTATCATTCAGCTTGTTCATTAAAGTCCTACATATCGGCGGCGCATGCATAGAATCAGGCCTGTGTTTTTCCATTTGTTTCACGCATCAGGCACCGAGTCATGGCTTCCATGAACCTTCCAAGACGACAAATCGACTTTCAGGACCCTGCGATCCTGCGTCCATCGCCCAGTTCCTCGTTCGCACCGGCGCAAGTGATGCACTCTGCGTCAGCTTCAGTGGGTTCCGAGGTCGACATCTCCGCTGCAAAACCACTGGGTCCCCTTTAGCACAGAGCACCGAGCACTTCTCCGCCGTTTAGAGCCCTTCCTCGCCCTCGCTCTGCAGGCCATGCTCGCTGAGCTTGGGCCGCCACTCAAGTCGCTGCAGGTATTCGCGACCGTGGCGGACTCGAACTTTGCATCACACCGAGGTGCTGTGCATGGACCGTATGTCGCGCCATCCTTCCGAGCTGTCCCTCGAGCGACTCTGTAAGATGAAATCCTTATCCACGGCTTCACGCCGGACATCCATCCCGTCCTCCAGTACCCGAATGTATACCAGACGTACGTGTTTGAAGTCATCATTTGGTGGTGCGATGACACTGAAGACCGAAATTTGTCAATCAGAACAACAACGAGGGAATGATCCAAGTATCTTTGCGTCACAGCGGAAGACATCGAGGCACACCTCGACGCGTGAGGTCGTACCCCCGAAGTGCATTCCGCCTGGCCCTTGCGCGTTCCTCCCGCAGTCCCACTGATGAGTTGTGCTTCACTCCACATTAAGGTCGAAACACCATCGAATACACCCCGACACACCACACGCGCCTCCCAGTCGCCGCGTGCACCCGAATCTCCGCACGATGAACACCGCCTCCGTCGAGAACGACAGCAGCTGCGTGTCCCTGACGCACATCACGGAGATCGAGGGCATTCGCGCGACCAACATCCAGGGGAGCGTCACGCTCGGTCTGCGCCTCTAGACCGCGCTCAAAAATGACACCGGCTCATGCCCCGAAAACCTGTTCCTCCTCGCGCTTCGGCGCCCCGTCTGCTGGATGTCTCGGGGCGCTCAGATGCTGGCCGGACAAGACGTTCGTGAGTTTGATCCGAGGAGCACGAGAGGGCGCAGAGGACGTGGCACGGTGGCGCGTCGTTGGGCACGGAGAGTGTATCGCGGAGAGCTGTTCGCGGGACACTCTCCGTGTTTGATGTGCTCGCCGGCGGGCGCGCACGAGAGCTGCGCGTCAGGCGTCTTGAGGCGGGGAAAGTGGCGGAGGAGGGCGACGAGCACGTCGTGCTTCACGAAGGGGACGGCAAATATCCTCGAGGGTGCGTTGGGAGTACGCACTACGCATCTCAACCGCACTACCCTGCTGGTCTGGATGTGCTGTGCTATTCGCACGCAATGCTGTACTAAACCAGATATAAACGAACACTGCCCTCGTTCATCCTCTGTTGTAGCCAGTGGCGCTCGTCATCGTCGCCTCGCCGGTGGTGATCGGGATACAGTCACTCAAGCAACCTGGCGTCACGACAGTCTGCGTCCAGTGTGTTGTCTCTCATGACGCTCGTTCCCATACATCTACTCAGCGTAACTTATGACCGTCAAGTGATTCACGGCGTATGAAATTCTACTACTCTAAAGCTACGTCTTGAAATCCTCTGGGCATTAGCACGAGTCGGTAGCTGGGATATGTACCCTTGGCGTTTCCAGCAGCGCATCAAGTGTTTCGCAACGTGGCATCGCTCAGAGCTATAGTTATCCTATGGACTGAAAACAGCCCGCGGTTCGAACGACTCGAACGGCCGGTCGAAAGGCTGATCAGTGTTGGAGCTGATGAAACCTATGTAATACAGCCGTTTGGCCCGTTTGCATCTGAACCCCGGAATGGTGCGCTTCAGGCTTTGCAAGTTTCTTTGGTTCCTCGCGGCTTACGCGTCGCTCTGTCCTCCGATCGACATGCAGTACCAGATGATGATCATTGGACGCCTATCTATAACGCAAGGGCCGGTCAGGACTCAGACCGCTAGCGATCACTGTCGGGTACTTCGGTTGGCTTTGGAGTCTGAAAAATGAGTCTGGAGAGGAGGTCCGACAGGGTCCGACCCCCTCTCCAGCCATGGCCAAGAGGCTCGGCTAAAAAGCGAGGCGTCCCGCGTGATCGAGCGGCAATCCGAGCGACCTGGCGTTGCGGATGAGCGTCCAATCTGACTGGGGATGGCGGCACGTGCGTATGGCCAGAGCCACAGGTCGCGCGGCGCAAGTGCGTGGACAGGCGCTTCTGGCTGCCTTTTCGGGACGAAATCGCGAGGGTTCAGCGTTCAGGTGCAAACGGCTGCAACTGGCACAGCCGACTCGATCGTGATGGAAACTGTGACGCAAAGGTTTGGCGGTTCAATGTTCAAGGACGGATTCCCCCGGCGACATGCTCGGAACGGCTGGAACAGACGGTGAGACGGACGCATCCGTGCTTGCCGGTCGGCTATGGCAACGGATGCACTCGGAAAATCACCGCTGCTTTTTTCGACGACGAGCGACTCTGCCTCAGTGATGTCTCCAGATGCCAGCACGACAGGCGGGCGTAAAGCCCCAAACATGTCGCGAGAAGAGACCGGACGAAACGCACCTACTTAAACTTTCTTCAAACACACCGACCCTTTCCTCGACCTCGCCGCCTTGTGGCGTCCATTATGCTCCTCGCTGTCTTTGCGTCGCTCCTGGTTGCCCTATCGTTCCTGCCACCCGCAGCGCGCTCACACCCCTCCGCATCTGTCAAGAATTTGCAAGGCCTTACCCCGAGAGATGTAGACTTCACCACTATGCGCTCTCGTCGTGCCGCGCTCGCCATCGGTGGGGTCAACACCACACTGGTCCCAGAGATCGGTTCTTGGTCCGTCCTTCTACCCCTATTATATAAGGGATGCCCACTGACCTTCGTCCAGGCTCGACACGCTCAACGCCGAAGGCAAGTGGCCAGACTCCGAGGTTAACTACGCTACCGGCTGCGACGGACGTCGCGCGAACTGGCCGGCGGAGGAGCATTGGGTTCGCATCGGTGCGTCTTTCATCTGTCCTCTCCTCCGTTCATCCTCGTATGAAGCTTCCGCGCTTCGTGCGTCAGAAACACTCGCGGCCGCATGGCGCGGTGGCTTGCCTGGTGCGGATGCATATGTGAACAGCAGTGCGGTGCTCTCCACCGCGTCGCGCGCCATGGACTTCTGGTTCGCGAACGACATGCCCAACCTGGACTGCCTCTACAACGGCGGCACCGGCAATTGCCCATGCGGGACCCCCGGCTTCTGGAACACCAACTGGTTTCCAAACGTACGTCGCCTTTGCTAGCGCTATCTCCACCATTGCGGACAGAGACTGATCTCGCCGTCCGCAGTTGATCGGGGTGCCTGTGCTCGTCGGAGACACGTGCCTCATATTAGGCAACAACACGCTATCAGACACACAATTCGGGAACTGCACGAACATCCTCGAGCGCACCTTCGGCACGTTTGCCTCCGACGAGTGGTTCATCACGGGCGCCAACATCCTCGATATGGCCAAGTGCGGGATCACCGCGGCGCTGCTCGCGGAGAACACGACCGGACTCGCGGACGCATATGGACACGTCCACAGCGAGGTCGTCGTCCAAGACGCGACATTTGCGGATGGGATCCGTCCCGACGGCAGCTTCGGGCAGCACACCGGCATCATCTACAACGGCAACTACGGCAAGGACTACTCGAACGACGTCATCGCGCTCGAGATTACCGCCGGGGGCACCGAGTTCGCGGCCGGCGACGACAGCAAGAGCGCGTTCGAGACGCTTATGGATGGAAACCTGTGGATGATCTACAAGAACATCAAGACTGGCATTCTCCATTGGGACTTTGTGCGTGTCCTGTTCGTTTCTTTATCTCACGCATCGGATGATATATGGCTGTAGAGCGTGACTGGCCGCATGATCACCTTCGCCGTCTCTGACGAGCAGTGAGTGGACTACTGCACGAAATGCTGGACAACGACTGACGGAACATAGGGCAACGTCGAGCATCCTGATCAACACCACCCTTCTCGCAGAGCTCGGTCAGCTCTGGGGCTCGGACACCATCAGCTCTGCTGCCTCCCAGCTCACTTCAGATACCGACAACGCGAACGTCGGATCGGTGAAGGGAAACCGGATGTTCTACGACAATGACTACATGGTACATCGGGGCGACGGGTACGTCACCACGCTGCGGATGTATTCCTCTCGCACGGCCAACACGGAGTGCGTCAACAACCAAAACGTGCGTATGGTCCTACTTCATGCTTGTTTATGCAGTGGGCTCATGCACGCGCAGACGGTCGGTTTTCATCTGGCGGACGGTACCGTGTATACGTACCTGGAGGGAGACGAGTATGAGGATATTGCTGGGATGTGGGATTGGAACTGTGAGTCGGTGACATCCACGACCTTCACTCTCTAACCATTTGTACGCAGTGATTCCTGGCACCACGACCGACTACGGCAACACTCCCCTCGACTGCAACCACACCGAGGCGATCGGCAAAGAGGCGTTCGTCGGAGGTGCCTCGGACGGCACAATCGGGGCGGCCGCGATGCGGTACACGAATCCGCTCACGGGCGCGCTGTCGTTCCAGAAGGCGTGGTTCTTCCTCGACGACGACGTGCAGCACGTGATGCTCTCGAGCCTCTCCTCCGCGTCCTCCGCGCCCGTCTTCTCCGTCCTCGACCAAAAGCGCCACTCCGGCCCCGTCCTCCTCGACGGCACCCCGCTCGCCCACGGCGGCAACTTCACGCACGCGCGCACGCTCTGGCACGACGGCGTCGGATACGCCTTCGCCCCCACCGGTGCGCCGGTCTCAGTCGACTGGGGCACGCGCACGGGCAACTGGGGCGCGGTCGGGATCTCGGCCGCCGGGGTGCAGTCCGCGGACCTATTCTCGGCGTGGGTCGCGTCCGCCGCGCCCGCGGACACGGAGTATTCCATCTTCCCCGCGACGAGCGCGGACGCGTTCCGCGCGAAGGCCGCGAAGACCGCGGTGACGCTCGCGACGGTGCGCAACGACGCACAGGTCAGCGCGGTGTACGACGGGGCGCACCACGTCGCAGCGGCGGTCTTCTGGGACGCCGCGGGCGGAAACGTGACGTTCGCCGCGCGCGAGCCCGCGCGTGCGCCGGTCGCGGTGTCGGTGCAGGAGGGCGCGATCGTGGTGTACCGGCTGGACGAGGGCAAGATCACGGTCGCGGACCCCACGCAGACGCTGTCGAGCGTGGAGGTGACGCTCGAGGTGGTCGGGCAGGGCGAGAAGCCGGCTGGGTTCGGTAGCAAAACGAGAGTAGTAGTGAGCGTCGCGCTGCCGTCGGGAGGCTCGGCGGGGAAGAGCGTCACGACGTCTCTGCTAGACGTTGCTTGACTTCTTTTGGTCTAGTGAGCGTGTGTTTTGGGGACTTTAGTTTATTTTTTGATTCCCGTTTTACGCCCTAGAGGCCGAGCTCAACGGCCCTAGGATATACATACGGGTGATTCTACAGTCCGTACGAGGTCTGGCGCATACGGGGAGCCTGGGAGACAAGTTCGCTCTCCGAAGAGAGCCGGGCGGGCCGGGAAAGTCAATATATGAACGACATGGTGTGTGCGTTGGTAGAGCAGGGCGAGATGAGGTGGTGTAGGGGTGTCAGGTGCGCCGCACGGGTTTCACAGACCGAGCTCGCACGACGGTGGGAACGAGAGGGAAAAGAGAGGCTACGGTGGCTTCTGGCGTACGCAAGCGCGTGGTCGTACACTCCTATTCATGCGATGTGACAAAAATTTGAGGTGACCCTCTGAGGGCGGCCGACCAAGGCTCAGGAGAAGAGCCGCGATGCCGAGCATAAGAGTCCGTCCGTGCGGCTGCTACGAGACCTGGTGGATAGCGACATCGGTCACGTCGCAAGCATAGTGGGGCTTGAGGTGCGGTGCTCCTTCCTGTACATCCACTCACGCCTCCCCACGATCCAAACCACCGCGCGACATAGTATATGTGAACGCGTGTTGAAGTTTTGTCGCCTAAGTGTCAATCCTTCTTCGCCAGGGTTTCAACTGGAACACCGACAGGCTGATCGAGAGGTTCCTCGAATCCGCCGACCGCGTCCGAGTCGCCGACGCCGGCGAGCCCACAGACCCACAGCAGTCCGGACAGCGGCGCCGCGAAGCGCATGCAGCCCCCCGAGATGTGCGCCCCACCGTCCGAGTTCATGTGCCCGGTGTGCTGCAACGACGCGCGGGCGGCGTTCGCGATCCGGTGCAAGTACGCGTTCTGCATCGCGTGCTGGCAGGTGTACGCAACATTACCTTGTTTCAAATCGCGCGGTGATGAGTGCACTGGCTGAGCGATTTTCATACTACTGCACATCGCACTTGAGCGCTTGAACATGATAAGATAAGCAGATCTCTAGTCGCTATGGCATCACTGGCTTTGTCAGCATCCTCGACGAGTCGCGTGGCAGGCCACTTCGAGTTCCACACTGTCTAGGAACTTGAACATCACTCAGTCCACTCAGACTCATTTGCATAATCATATCTTCGGTCATGAAAATCGACATCCCGCCGTCTGGAGCCGACTCCCCCCCAAACGACCCGGCGTCCCTACCGAAGACCATATCGCAACATCATGAAAAGGTATCTCTCAATGCCACCAGGCACTCAGGTAGAGCGCAACCGTATGGCATCAGGAAGAATCACCTGCTTATTGTGAACGGTGGTTTTAGTGACCAAAGGCTCAAGTCCGTGCTTCAGGAGGCTACTGCGACATCAAAATGTGAAGACTTCAAGAATCTTCGCACAACGGGTCCATACTCTGCGCCCATATTCCACCTTCCGAACGAGATTCTCACAGAGATATTTCGTATCGCTACGGAAGACAGAAGAAAGCTCACGATACTGGATATACACGACGATACCGAAGAGAGGTGGGAAGCGTTCGAATTCCTCGTCACGCTGACACACGTCTGTCGAGGATGGCGTCAAGTCGCTCTTCAATTCTCCGAGCTCTGGACACATGCCAGCCTCCCAGCACAGCACGGGCGATATCTACATTTCCAGGAGCTTTCACAGGACAAGCCACTCTCTCTAGTAGTCCAGTTCCCCTGGACTGGTTACGTCTCCGACTCTGATCGTGCGAAGAACAATTCCAGCACTTACCGCGCCATCGCAGCTGTCAGCTCTCGCCTTCGTCGCCTTGATATTGATTTACCATCAATGGGGCATGCAGTCCCGTCGTGGCTGCTTGATATCAGGGTTCCCTGCCTAAAATCTCTCACTATTCTGTACGACGAACGGGAGGACGACAGCTTTATGGGCCCCCACGTTGAGCGCAAGGTGCTTTTCGCGGACCAAGTTTCTCCTCTCGAAGGACTCGCACTCATCAATATGCGCGGATGGCTTCCTGCCAACAACTTCCCCAACCTGACTCATCTCTTTCTGGCCCTCCCCTACATCGACCCCGTGACGCCTTCCGTCCTCATCTCTCTACTTCAGAATACCCCTCGCCTTCAGCATCTCCACCTGAACAACCTCCAATACTATGGGCGAGAAACAGTTGATGAGCCTCTTCCTCTGGAGAGCCTGAAGTCGTTCGTCATCAGCGAGTCATATCTCAACACCGCAGAAGTCATCCATTCCTTCCGACTCCCCGAGCACACTTGTCTTCGCATGCCCAGGAGCAAACTCTGGCATTCCCACGTGTTTCAACTCAACGGCCTCTCCGCCGTCCGCGGCGCAACCGATCTCGACATCCGCGTGGCTCCACCCCTAGATTGGATCCACCTCGCACTCCAGACAGACCGCAGCGGATTCTGGGTGGAAGGGATGCACACCTTCGGAAGCGACCTCGACGTCCACCCGTGGATCCACTCCCTGTTCTCTCAGCTCCACATCCAAATGCCCCTCGCGGACGTCACCACGTTCACTCTCGACGTGCCCTACCTCGACCCGAAGATGTTCGTGCCGGTCCTGAGCCATCTTCCTCGACTAGCCACCCTCAAGCTGCGCCTCTCGGCGATCGGGCCCACGGCTGCCCGGGGGCCCCCGCCGGGGTACAGCCACGTACGGTCTGCGGGCCCGCCGCACGCGCTAGTCCGGATCCTCAGTTCCGCGCTGCGACGCCCCGGCCGCCCAGTGTGCCCCGCGCTGCGCACTCTCGCGGTGAGCACGAATATTGGCGGCAACGGCCCCCGTGTGTACGGCGACGGCAATAACGGCGACGGTAATGGCGGCGGCGGCGGCGGCGGCGACGACGACGACGACGACGACGACGACAACAGCAGCGACGACAACAGCGACGACAGCGACGACAGCGATGACAGCAACAGCGACGACAGCGACAGCGATGGAAACGATGATAGCGACGCGGCGGAGGGGGAGACCGCCTCCATTGAGCTCGCGGTCACCGAGCTTGGCGTCGCGCTCGCGAAGCTGCTCATCGCGCGCAGGGGGATGGGTGTGCCGCTCGAACGGCTCGTCGTCCAGCCGCGGTGCTTGAAGCGCTACCCAGAAAGGCCAGTCCCACCAGAATGGGAGACGGAGGTGCCGAAGGAGCGGGCGCTGTTGGAATATCTGTTGCGCCCGCTGGTGTCGCAGTACGAGTGGATGCCGTGCACGGAGGACATGTTCGGCGTGTTTGAGGTGAGGAGGTTCTGGCACGTGGAAGAGGAGGGGAAGTACTGGGAGTGTCCGGCTGGATTCGATGTGTGCGAGTGTATGTAAGGGCTTGGGCTGCGTGTTCTCAGTACAGTGGCTTGTCTGGGTGGCACGGCGCTTCAGCCGAAAAAAGTAATTTCCAGTGCATCTAATATCTATGGGAACGTCCTAAAACAGTTCTACAAGTACTGCACCATCACCATGCTGCGGTTGGTGGTATGCGAGGTGTCGCCAGAAGCGGGCCCCTCTGTCTTGGTAGGACACCGAGTAAGTACCGCGACGAGCGCGGACGCGTTCCTCGCGAAGGCCGCGTGGACGCTCGCGACAGTGCGCAACGACGCGCAGGTGAACGCGGTGTACGACGGCGCGCAGGTGAGCGCGGTGTACGACGGCGCGCACCATGTCGCCGCGGCGGTGTTCTGGGACGCCGCGGCGGGAGCGTGATGTTTACCGCGCCCGGGCTCGGGCGGGCGCCGGTCGCGGTGTTGGCGCAGGGGAGCGCTATCGTGGTGTACAGGCTTGACGAGGGCGCGGTTACGATCGCGGCCCCCACGCAGACGCTGTCGAGCGTGGAGGTGACGCTCGAGGTGGTCGGGCGGGGCGAGAAGCCGGCTGGGTTCGAGGGTGGTAGTGAGCGTCGCGCTGCCGTCGGGAGGCTCGGCGGGGAAGAGCGTCACGACGTCTCTGCTAGACGTTGCTTGACTTCTTTTGGTATAGTGAGCGTGTACTATTTAGGGTCTCTTGAACCACCTGAACTAAGGTGCCCGTCGTCTTCGTGGTCTTCGACCCCGTCGCCTTCGTCGCCGTGTGAACTGTAAGACTCTGCCACCGGTGAGGTATGGAAAAAGAGAGACGGCGCTGCGAGAAGCGATATGTAGCGAAGGAACCAGACGAGCGCGTTGAGGGCGATCAGTGGTCGGGATCCGGAAGACGGCACTGGCAAAGGGCCAAACATTGGCAAACCGTGTACGGAAACACCGACCAACTCCCAAGTACGGAACAACTACCACAGTAAGCTCGTATTACTACTCGGGCTGAGTCGAAACGAGGCGTCACCAGTCATCATCCCTCGTCCAATACCTATCCTCCCCGTCCACAGTCCAAAACTTTCGCTCTTCAAACTCTCCGAAGATGTCGTCTTCTAGACCCAGCCACTCGAACCGCTCAACGAGCTCCGGCAGCCGCTCTTCGAACCGCCGCCCCACCGCCTGCGGGTCGAAACACCGCGAGACCACGTCGGGCCCGACCGAAGCGCCCATCGGCTGCACGACGAGATCGCGCAGCGGGCGCCCCATCGCCCGCCGCGCGCCCGCCGCGTCCTCGAGCGCGCCCGCGTACCGATCGACGTCCGCCGGGAACTCCGCGGTCTTGTGGCACATGTTCGAGCACAGCGCGAGCGCGCGCAGCTCCGGCCACAGCGCCGGCGTCGGGTCGGGCGAGGACTCTGCGGCGCGCTCGCACAGGGCGGCGCAGAGGTGAGCGACCTGGGTCGCCGGCCCGCCCGCCGCGCGCAGGTCGCGCTGGACGTCGTTGCGGACCACGCGGCCACGCGCGGGGGTGGAGAGGCGGAGCTTGAGCGTTTCGAGCCGGGGGGCGTGGCGGAGGACGTCGACGAGGCTGCTGGCTTCGACGAAGGGTACATCGAGCGTGACGGAGGTGACGTCGGAGAGGGGTGCGTGTGTGTGGAGGTGGAGGACGTGGAGGAGGAACCAGTCGTGGGCAGCACCTGGCTCGACCGTGCGCCCCTGGAGCCAGAAGCCCGCGACGGCGCTCTGAAGGACGAAGTGGACCTTCTGCAGCTCGGCGCCGATTCGGATGTCGAGATCTGTCGCTTGGTGGACCGAAGGGAGGCAGTTGAGCGTGTCGAGGGCGTCCGAGACGAGGATGTGGGTGGTCGTCATACGTAAGGGAAACGGATTGGTGGTGCTGCAGAACTTGAACAGGTCCACAGCGTGACCGTTCGACGCCAAAAACGTGACGGACCGCAGCTTTTGCAGAGAAGCCGGGCGTTCCGGCGTCCCTCCGCATGTGCCGATGTTGTCCAACTCCAGGAACTCGAGATTGGGAGTGCGCGAGAGCAGCTGGTACAAGGTCGTGTCGTCATCTTCGTAGTCCCAAGAGATTGACAGATGGGTGAGATGAACGAATTGGTTGTTGGGAACCCAATCTCCAGACCCGTTCATGGCAAGCGCCTTGAGGTTCGATGTTTCCTCGCCAAAAAAAGGCCAGTGTGGGCGTGGCTCCTGTATGAAGTGAAGCAACAGAGCCTCCAGTCGAGGAAGACACATCTTTTCGCGGAGCCATCTTGGCGACCGGCCGTCCTCCAACATGGGTATGATGTCTAGCGTGCCAAGCCGGTTCGCGACGGAGGCGATGAGCTTTCCCATGGCGGAGCCGTCGTCCACACGTCTACCGTCACGGGTGGTCTTGAAATTTCTCCGCCGTTGATCTCCATGGCCCACTTGTCGTCCTCAAGTCTGCCGTCGCGGGTGGTTCTGAAGATGTCGTCGCGGTTGATCCGCAGAGAAAGGGGGAGTCCTCGAGAGCGCTGCTCGAAGGTGGCAAACTGCGCGCGGTCGTGGAGGTCGGTGTGCGTCCACAGAAGCGGGAAGCCGATGGCGACCTGCCGCCATCGCTGGCAGACGTGCGTCAACGAGATCAAGGTGTCGACGGGCACGCGATCCTCCGGGTCGGAGTCGAGCGACCTCGCCTGCCTGGTGTCCTCGGTGGCAAAGAGAAAGATGTGGACAAGGACTTCGTTCGGAAGCCGTTCTGTCGGAGAGCGCGAGTTCACCACGCGGAAAATCTCGCTGCAGAGTGTTTTCGACCAGGTTTGAACCATCTCGGCGGTCTGCTCCAGTTGTTCTACACTGTGGCAGGTGAGGTCACTGTCGACTGAACAGAGATGAGATATATGCTATACCTGAGAGAGCCACGAATCTTGCTGTACTCTTCAGAGACACGTTGAAGTGCCTCCGCCAGGGGCGACGCAGGAATAATCGGCGTACCTATAAGGAGTCGACCGATTCAGTCTTTTGGCACTATAAAAGCGAAAAGTAGGCAAATAACGCCACGACGCACCCATTTCCACTGTTAGAGCGCACACGTGGGTACTCGGAAAATGCAAAGGTCGAGCCGAGTACACAAGATGGTGGAGGATACGCGTTCTTCGTGGTCCTGGTCAAACTTGTGGGCTAGGTGATGACGAGGCTAACCGGTCGTGCGAATAACTCGACGCGTGAGGTCACGACTGCGACGCGCATTGTCACAAATCGTTACATCGCGAAAAGTCACGCAATGCCCAGGACCGATACTCACTCTAGATATTTGCCACCGCAACCTGGGACCCGTACGCTGAAACAGGATATGTAATACTCTGGACCTTTCTTACTTTAAGCACACTGGCAGAATATATCCAGACCAAATCCATTCATTATCTTGCAAAACCGACCGTAACGTAGTCATTATAAGCAGTACATCCAGCGTCAGCGCGAGACGGAGACCCGGATCGTCAGCTCGCAGCGACCTGCATCCTCGCCAAAGACGCGACCTCGTAGCACGCGACGAGCAGCAGCTGCCCCGTCAGGTCCGTGAACGCCGACTGGATCGGGAGCGCGCACACGTCCGGGTCGAGCCCCCGCCTCCACAGGAAGGTCGTCATCGGCTCCGCGATCCCCAGCGGGACCGCGACCTGTGGCGGTGGGCGCGTCAGATGTCAACCAACTCACTCGCTCGACGGACGAAAGAAACACGAGAAGAAAGGGGGACCGGGCGACGCACCGCGAGGAGGAAGAACGGCACTTGGAGCGAGACGAAGAGCGGCGGGAGCGGGAGCCACCGCGCGAGCCGGAGCGCGACGAGCAGCAGGAGCTCGACGCACGCGCAGACCGCGGCGAGCGTGAGCAGCACGAGGCGCGCGCTGGGTGCCGCCGCCGCCGCGGGCCGCGCATCCCACTCCTCCTCCGCCTCCGCCTTCGTCGCGTCGCGCGCGTCGGGAGGCGAGGAAGCGTCTGGGCCGGACGACGCGTGCAGCGCTGTGGAGAGGCGCGAGACGAAGATCGCGCCTGCCGCGCCTGGAAGGCCTGGATGGAGTGAAGGTCAGCAGTGCGCGCTGGATCCGGACGCGAGGGCGAGTCAAAGCTCACCGGCGTAGACGACGGCGAGGAGCGCGAAGCCGACGTAGCGCTCGACAGAGGCGTCGAGCACGACGCCGGCGACGCTGCTGATCGCCATTGCGACGAAGAGCGGGATCCAGCCTTTGGTGAGCAGCGGGCGGACGTGCGAGTTGCGCAGGGCGACCACCGTCCAGCATGCGGCGGCGAGGGCAAGGGCGATGATGATCAAGAGCGGGACGAGTGGACGGCGCAGAAAGCCGAGATGAGCCTCTGAGATGAGCCCGAGCAGTGCAAGCGTGACGAGGTCGCCCAAGCATGCCGCTACAGCTGGAGCGATGTTGTCTGTACGCATAGGTCTCCGCTGAGCATGAATGGAACATGGAAGAGAGGAAGGAACTGCTCGCCTGGGTCGAGTCCGAACTTTCGGCAGAGCAGGACGAGACCGCACATGAACGAACCAAGAAGGGCGCTGGACAGGCAAGCTGCGCACATGGCTGAGGATGCCACCACGAGAAATCTGCAGATGAGGCATCAGTGAGCTGCAAACCTCTGGTGGGATGGAATAGAGATCCTACTCAGCAGCACCTGAAGAGTGCCCAAGTACGGCGGCCCGAATGGCGAGTTCTTCTGTCGATGTGTCGTCATGCACGCCGAACATTCGGGGTAACGCACGACTCGAGGCGAAGGCGACAATGGCGGCGCAAAAGGAAACAATCGTAGCTTGTACTTGCAACAAGGCGAGGTTGCCGACGATGATGGAGCGTCGCTTCGTGGGAACGTCGAGGTCGCCCAGGTTCGCCGATGTCCCGAGGCGTGCGGACAGGTTCATCTCCAGATTTCCTTTCAGGTTCAGCAAAGGCATGACGATCATCACAAGCTCGTCGATGGCCGACATCGCTTTCCATGTCTACAACAGACTCGCGTGAGCGAATGTATCAAGACAGACGTTGAGCGATGCCTACCGAGAAGTAGCTTAGGATTTTCCCAGAGAGAAGAAAGCCAAGCGTGGCGAGGAGGAGAGTAGGCGCTGTCTGGATAAGTGAACCACGTCAGCACGCCACGTCACGCAACCGCAACAATGTGAATGCTGACCTCGATGACGATCTGCTTTGTAAGGCCGAATGTACTCTGTCGCTGCCGCACCTCGTGGAACCCGCGGCCGCCAGCGGTGACACGCGCACCCAGCAAAGCCTCCTCTGCATCTGATTCCGCGTGCGACGGGTCGGCGTCCGCGGGGTAAGCAGCGGACGCCTTCTCGCTCCCGGACGGGCCGTCCGCAAGCAGGACAGGGACGAGCTCGATGTCGTTCTTCTCGGAGGCCATCGTGCAGGGCGTCGGTGATGTGTGTCCGGGAACAAGAACGAGGCTGGCGACCCGGGGCCGTCGCCGTACGGGAGGAGACAGAGAGGCTGGCGAGTGGCGCCACTGCGGCCGAAGAGCGTCTTCTCGATCGACGCGCTTCGCTTAAGTGCGCTCGGCAGCCAAATCTCAAGCACTAAGTACAGGCACGGCTGTCGTAGAGGCCTGCTGGAGGAGTGCGGAGCTGTCAGCCGCTCGGAGTGCGGGCGACGTGCTGTTGACGATGGTCAGCCTCATAAAGTGCGCTGTAAGGAACTTGATCTTGCCTCTAGGTTGCTAACGCGGGATTAGTGAGTCGCTAGTGGAGACGGAGGACGTGGAGAACGGGAAGAAGCAGATGCTGCGCGCGAATCAAGTAAGAAAACGGGTCATCTACAGGCGAGGCCCAGTCTCCAATCCTACGGCGACCCCGAGGCAGGCACCCATGGGGTCGACCCCCGGCATTAATTGCGCGCGGTGTACTCCACCAAGAGTGGAGACGGCGACAGAACAACCCGGTCAAGTTCTCATCTCGGCTTCGCGCAAAACAAGTGGGCGGAAGTGGGTGTTACGTTAGTAGAGGATGGGAGAACGTACGCGCACCGTCGTCCGGGTATGTCTGGACGTTCTGCTCGATACCAACACCCTGAGCCCTCGACATCGTCAGTGCTCCACGGAGCCTCGTGGAGCATCTTTCCCTCCCCGTGCCGTTGTCGGAAGGCGATCCCATGTACTTACGGACAGCTGCCCTACACCCTCCGTTCACTGACACATTCGCCACTTGTATGATTGCTCGCGTTTCTGGCCAGTATCCATTGTTGTACGGACCCAATGTGGAACTGAAGGAGCAATGGGGAGAAGAAGCAGCATGTCGACGTACCTCTTTTCGGCCGGGTGCACAAATGACAAGGTTCCTGCGCACATGCATAGCCGGGGCAATCAAACAAGGCTCATCAGAACACCGAGGGACTCCTTCTGCGGCGTTCGACGTGCCTTGCAAATGCTCGGCGGCGTTATGCCTCCGGCTACCCCAATGCTCATGCGCAAGCGTGCATTGTTCTGCGACGTTCGCAGAGCCGCAGAAGACACGGCAGTAGAATCTTGCTATCTCGAGGGCCCGGGCGACGGCGCGAGCGGGGACGGATCGCGGCGTTCGCAGAAGGAACTTGTTGGATGCGTCGGCCAGTGCCGGACTCCCGGGGTCGAGCCGTCGAAGGATTGGCAATGGAAGAGAAGTAAGCTGTGCCTAGGGGAGAATCTTGAAACTGGCAGGGGTGGTCCAACGATCCATTTTGCCGTGCCGGAGTACGCGTCGATGACGTCGGTATCGTTCGTACCTGAAGGCCTGAAGGGCCGCGACAGCCCAACAGTCAATCTCCGCATGATGAGCAGTGAATAACCTGTTTGCCAGCTCGGATTACATACAGCTTGAAGTCTGGTGGCTAACAAGCCGTCCACCACCGATGCAGCTCCATCTCCACACCGGTGAAACACGGTATCTTGCGACGGAAATTGGTACTATCTTGACGCACTGCGGCGTTCGTAGAGCAGCTCAAAGTCAGTCGCGCCAGACAAGAAGACTGGAAGTTGCGCTGATGTCACGAAACAGATACGAGCCCTTGATTCCCCGATGCTCATATCGATAGATAAGGCGGCTGCTCACGGTCGTTCGGCAAACCTGAGTGTGGGTAGAACGGTGACCTGACGGAATTGACGGTGGCGGTTGAAGCTGAAAATAGTATAGGGCGCTAATTGATATTTGTGCACCCCGTCAAATCCCACGTGGCGGCCGCTTCGTTGCGTTCAACGGCGACTCGCGCTACAAATGTTCAAACAAACGCTCAAGGCCCTCTTGGCTTCCACGATACGTATCAGCCCCAACCGACCAAGCTCTAGCCCTCGGAGTCAAGCTGTAGACGAAGCTTTCTATTCATTCACATCTGCCACTTTCCACGATACGTATCAGCCCCAATCGGCCGAGTTCTATCCCCGGGGTTGAGCTACAGACGACGGCAACTGCCTATAGACTGTGAGTTCAGTGGGTAGACATAATTACTGTCTCGAAAGCTTACAGGATGTGTTTGATTACACTGGCGGTGTCCTAGTTGTATTAGCTCACTGCTCGCCCGATTACGACGCCCAATCACTCATCGGTCCACATCGTCCAAGGTCTGCTAGTCGCCTTTCCAAGGACAAAGCATCGGCAAGAGGAACGCCCGAGGGTGACATTCGGTGCGCCCAATCCGCGCCTGCCTCCGTGCGACAGCCTGCGGGAATCTCCCCCTGCACAACTTCGCCGGGAGGCCCGTTTTTCCATCCGAGGACTGCGGCGGTACATCGGCCTGCGCGCTACCCGCACCACCGCACTCTCCTCGACACAGAAGCCGCCCCGAACCGCACCCCCGGCGTGCGCGGCACCCTAATGGCTGCGCCCAGCCCGCGCCGCGGAGTTGGACGACTCAAACATAGCGCGACCGCCCTGCCATGCTGCCACTCCCGTCGCGCTGCGATAGCATACCCTGAATGCCGGGAGTGCTTCCTTGACCCACGTTCCGGGCTTGCCGACGGCGGGTTTGTCTCGTTCCAGGCAAAAGATACCCTGCGGCCGTTCTTCCTTCGGTGGCGCATGTGAATCATGCGCGAGCTGTATATGTATCCAGACCGTTCTGTGACAACTGCGCGCGTTGGCTGCGACAAGCCTCCCCACTCTTTGCGCGCGCGGCTCCTCTTACACCGTCCTGTCCTTATTCTGGTCCCCCACTTCTTCCTTCCTCAGCCATGGATTACGATGCGTACGACGCCTTGCTCCACCACATCTTTAAACAGGTAAGTGCAACCGCGCTCACTGACATCGATTTTTTTTCACATCACATCCATCCCTACCCAGACCCAAGGAGATGCCTGGTTCAAGCCGTCGGAGAACATCCACGCCGGCGTCTGCCTCCGAGTCGACAACGGCCTCTTCCGCGTCTTCCCGTACGAGAACCCCCACCTCGAGCCCTTCGAGGCCGCGGTCCGCTCCATCAACCCTGTTGTCGCCGTCAAGCTCCGGAGCGCCGCCATCCACGCCGCGCTCGCCACTGTGTCCGTGATCCTCCCCATCCCATCTCGGCAACCTTTACTGACTCCGTTCTATCGCTTCCAGGCGACCCGACGCGGACGCAATACACGTCGACGACAACACACGGATCCAGATCGTCGACTCCATGTGCCTCCTCTCGGGGGCCGACAAAGAGCAGTGCGGCGCGTTCATCCGCGACGAGCGCGTGCTCGTCGTCTGGTCCTACCAGCTCGACTCCATCATCCCCACCTGCGGCGACTTCGAGGACAAGCTGATCAAGCTCGTCTGGAACCGCCGCTCCGCCAACATCTCGATCGCATCCGCCGACGACCTCGCGGCGTCAACCGGCGCGTCGGACGCCACGCTCAAGGAGAAGGCGTCCCAGTCGGCAGAAACGAAGGAGGTCGCCGGCGCCGCGGAGGGTGCGGCTGCGCGCGCGCAGAAGCCCAAGAAGAAGCGCTTCTGGGGCCTGGCCTACTTCGTCACCGACAAGGACGACGTCGAGAAGACCGCGGTGGGCCCTTCGCCACGCCCGGTGAGGCTCTTCGCCCCCTTCTACAACGGTCTGGGGGTCGCATTGTCTTTCTGTGAGTTATACCGCGGCGCTTGTCGCAGTTGGCTGATGCTGTACTACAGTCTTCATCTCGACCGGCATCGCTGTCTTGCTGCAGGAGTCGCTCCTAGATGGCAATTGGGCTCGGTGGGGTCTAGTTGCTACTACGCCGTTTCTCTTCTGCGTGTCGCTCGTGAGCCGCTCGCACTCTCGACTCCGTTGAGCGCCCCACTCATTTCCGATGTCAGTTCTTCTGTTGTCAGATCATCGGTGCTGTGTCCTTCTGGTACGTCCCGACGTTCTCTCGCCCAACAGGGTCGCTGACCATCTATCAGCATTGGTCCCGTTGCGCAGTACCACCAGAACTCCAAGTACTACTCAGCCATCAAGCCCGCGCCGAATAAAGTCGTCGACACCAACCTGCCTCACATAACCATCCAGATGCCCGTGTACAAGGAAAGCTTAAATGAGACCATGTAAGTACCTTCGCCTCTCCCACCCCTTCAAGGAACCGTCGCACGATGGAAACGGGAGGTGATCAGGGGAGCCCTCCTCCTGAGCGTCCGCGACCGAGCTTGTTTGACAGGCATGGGCTCGTGCCTCTTCCAGTTTCCGCCCGCCCTCCTCGCGCTCAAAGCTGACCCTTCGCTCTCCCAGCGCGCCCTCAGTGTACTCGCTCAAGAAGGCCATGCAGACTTACGCGCGCCAGGGCGGCACCTCCTCGATCTTCATGAACGAGGACGGCATGCAGCTTCTCTCGGACGAGGAGCGCCAGACGCGCATCGCCTTCTACGCAGACCACAACATCGGCTGGGTCGCGCGCCCCCCGCACAGCAGCGCGCCCGACGGCTACAAGCGCGCCGGCGGTTCAAGAAGGCGTCGAACATGAACTTCGGCCTCGACCTCTCCCTCAAGCTCGAAAGGCACCTCGCGTCGCTCGAAGCGCTCCAGGCCGCGGGCGGCGCCCTCACGCCCCTGCGCGCCGACCGCGACTCCCAGGACGCCGCCGCCCCCGCGCCCGAAGAGACCCTCGAGGACCGCGCGCTCGCGCTCGCGATCGAGGAGGTCGCCGCGGAGAGCGGCGGGCGCTGGCGGGCGTGGGCCGCCAACGGGCGCTCCATCCGCGTGGGCGAGATCATCCTCATCGTGGACTCGGACACGATCGTGCCGGAAGACTGCCTGCGGGACGCCGCGCGCGAGCTGGCGGAGTGCCCCGACGTCGCGATCGTCCAGCACGAGTCGGACGTGATGCAGGTCGCGCACCACTACTTCGAGAATGGGATCGCGCACTTCACGCGCCGGATCAACAAGTGCATCTCCATGGGCTGCGCGAACGGCGAGGTCGCGCCCTTCGTCGGGCACAACGCGTTCCTGCGGTGGAGCGCGCTCCAGGACGCGGCGTTCGTCGACGAGGCGGACGGGAAGAAGAAGATCTGGTCCGAGTCGAACGTCTCTGAGGACTTCGACATGGCTCTGCGCTTGCAGCTCTCGGGCTACATGATCCGTTGGGCGACGTACTCTGACGGGGGCTTCAAGGAGGGCGTGTCGTTGACGTGCGACGATGAATTAAATCGGTGGCAAAAATATTCGTATGGTGAGCACTTCTGTGCCTCGTATGTCTCATTTTTCACTCACACGAGGTACAGGTTGCAACGAGCTCATCTTCCACCCACTCATCGATTGGTGGCGCAAGGGCCCGATTACCAAGCAGCTCCGCACGTTCCTCTGGTCTGGTGCTCCTATGCACTATAAGATCAGCATGATGGCCTGTAAGTGCCCTTTTACGATGTTGAATCAATCCTAACTGACCCCCGAGCACAGACATGTTCTCGTACTGTGTGTATTTCTCTCCTTTTTCCTCGGTCATTTGCTGACGGTGTACTTCAGATGGCCTCTCTGCGTCTGCGCTACTCTCCGTCCTCAACTACTTCCTCCTTGGGTGGGGCTTCCCGGTACGAGATACGAACTTGTTCTACTACGTTGGTTTGTGGCTGACCTTCGTTTCACCAGGTGGATGGCTTCTACGAGCGCAGTTTCGAGATCTGGCTGGCGTGTACTGTCGTTTTCCCCGGCGCCGGTAATATCGGCTTCACCCTCCTCGAATACCGCCTGGGTCAACGCAACATCCTCCCGTCGCTCATCGAGAACATCACCTGGGTCCCATTCTTGTGCGCTTTCCATTCTCCTTGAACATACGTGACCTAATGCTCGCATCGTCAGCTTCTTCTTCTTCGGTGGCCTGAGCATCCACCTCTCTCAAGCCCTCCTCGCCCACCTCTTCTCGTACAACATCACCTGGGGCGCAACGAAGAAGGAAGTCGAGCGGTCCAACTTCTGGCTGGAAGTGCCCAAGATCCTCAAGCGTTTCTGGCTCTCCTTCGTCCTCAGCCTTTCCTTCTGCGTCATCATGATCGTCTTCACCACCGACGTCGTCCCCATTGGCTGGCGCATCTTCAACTGGGAGTGGGCCGTGATTCTACCTCTCGGGTGAGTCCCCGCATGCTCCCGTTTTTCAATCGCGCGTTGACCCGGATACCTCGTCAGTCTCGTCGCCGGCTGCCATATCGCGTTCCCGGTGCGTAACTCTCTGCTCCCGCAACCTGCGCGGCGCCCTGCTGACCCTTTTTGGCAGATCGTCCTCAATCCGTGGTTCATGATCTTTTCATACTAAATACCCCCACGGACCCCTTCGCCTCTGCTAGCGTTTCCCTTCCCTGCCCTCCTTCCTGAATTGTGACCCAGGCCGCCGAAGCGCCCCCACTGGATCCGATAGACTCGAAAGAATGTGCGCGCCGTCCTCTCGTTTTCTCGCCCTGGTTCCTCCGCCACGGACGTCGCACACCGTGGCACGATATTTACATACCTATGCAGTATCTACTGTCTCGTTCACGCCATAGACTAGGGCTTTTCTGGACTTTTCAACGTACCCACACCTACATACGCGCGGAACGAATCGGAAATGCGGGCCCCCGTCCGCACGCGTTCCCCTCTTTGGCTGGCTTTCGCTACGTTTCGAATCGGGACTTCCAGTGTTTCCTCGTGTACTTAAAGTGTCGCATCTTGATTACGGTTTAGAGTTCGCCGTCGACTTAACGGCCTGCAACGACGTCTACAAAGCCACACCCGCGACCAATACTTGACCTCGTCACCGTCTACCACCCAGAAGTCTCGCCCCTCAAACTTCTCCCAAAATCCAGTCAGATTCACCCACTCGAAATGCTCGACGAGCGCCGTCAGTTTCTCTTCGAAGCACCTTTGCACCCCGCCCATGTCGTACGTCTGTCTTCGTCAGCCACAGAGAAGGTCTCGCACGCAGGATGGGCCGCGAGGGAGCGAAGCGGGCCCGCGCGCCGACGATATTCTCACCAGCGCGCGCGCGCGGTACCGCTTCAAGTCGTCCAGAAGCTTCGCGCACTCCCCCGACATGTCCGAGGGTGGTCAACGCGGGACGCAGCGGTGTTGTACGCGGAACCCGTCGACTTTTTTTTTTGTCTTCCTCGTTTAACGCCTCGAGGCGAAGCCCTATGGTAGGCGTAACATACATGGTCTAGTCCTACTTGACCGGGCTCACGAAACTGGGGGGGGGTATCAACGACACAAGTGCCTAGGGGCGATGGATGTGGGGCAGTACCGCGATAGCTAGGTGGGCCAGTGCGGAGGGCGGCCGGAGATGTGGTAGAGTATGTGGGATATTATGTGCAGTGGAGACCGGGACAGATGGAGGCTGGGGCATAGGGGCTAGATAGTATCGAGATGGAGAATTGAGGATGAGCGGAGAGAGAGACTGGGGGGCAAGGAAACCCGTCGACTCAACCAGCGCGGCGCACAGGATCGCGACCGGGACCGAAGTCGGCGCAGATGCGCACGTTCTCGTTCGGGCACGCGTATCCGTGTGGTGGCCGAGGCGGGGCTTGATGGTAGAGAGACGGAGGATCCCGGATTTGGCGGAGGAAGTCGACGAGTCGCATGGCATTGATGAGGGTGCGTTTTCCCCAGCATTCCTACTGACAAGAGGAGTATTGTTCCACGAAGAAGTTTGTGTAATTGAAGTACATCACGACAAAAATATGCGATATGAAGACCGCGAAGATATCTCAAAGGAAACGGGTAGCACCTATGGTTCTGCCCAAGAGTAAAGGAGGTGATGTTGTAAAAGGAAAGCAAGAAATGAAGGGTGAGTCATCCGTGGACCTTCATGGGATGACGAGTCCAGACCAGGGTGTAATACCCACCGCATATGGTACGTCCGGCAAATGCACATGATCAACTCCAATTGCGCTCCCTTCTGAGCCGCTCCACAAGCAGAAAGGAAACTGTGTAATCACAAGACATAAGGCGACGCGCAAGAAGAATCAAGACTGTACGTACTAACGAGCTGATCAAGAATGTTCGCAGTCGATACCGGGTCCACCTCGAGGTACGGATATTGGGAGATGCGCAGAACACCAAGGAAGCGCTTCTCCTTGTAGTACGCTGCGATGGGGTGGGCGGGGTGGTCTTCACATATAAGCTGGAAGGCTCATGAGCAGTTGACGGTGGATATAGTTCGTTCGGTGAACATTACCTCGAGTCGCTGCGGGCCGGCATGCCAGGTGTACCGTTTGCCGTCCTTTGCCCGGAACCATGCGCACCTGGAAATTTCATCGTGAGCAAGAACAAAATGGCTGTGACACAGAGCAGCCGCACCATTCATCCGCACCCGCATCCTTCATGCGCTGCTTCCCCTTCGCCGTCGGGCTCAACACGGCTTCAACAGTGACGTCGGCTCCCGCGTCGCCCTTGCTCTTACCGTGACCCCCCTCCATCTCGCGCCCCCGCACATGCCCCTCCTCCACATGCAAGAACTCGTCCACCGGCTTCAACTCCCCCTTACCACTCTCCTCATGACTGCATCCCGGCCCCCTCCCCTCTCCCCCCGCGACGGAGACCGACACCGGCGAGCCCACGCCCAGGACCGGCGCGTGCCCGTTCAAGAGCTCCGCGAGCGGCTCGAACACGACCGCGTCCATCCGGCCCACGCGCGTCCGGTGCCGCTCCCACGGCGGCGTGCGCACCTCGTAGTACCGCCGGTCGCGGCGGTCGGCGAGGACGACGTTCCGGAGGGACGTCGTCGTGAAGACGAGCTTGTCCGGCTTCCCGGGGACCGCGCTCGGCGTGCGCGAGTTGCGGATGTGGTAGACCGAGGACGGGCCCGGGTTCGAGCTCGAGTGCGCGCTGGGGGATAGCGAACGGCCGCTGGAGGAGGTCCGCCGGCGCTGGTAGTGGTAGGGTCGGCCGTAGCTGTCACGGTCGGCGTCGTCCGCGCGGCGTTGGTAGTGGTACTGGTGGTCGGACATATCGAATTCAGTCGCAAGTGTTGGGCGTGGTGCTAAGGCTTGTGGGACACTGTGCCGTACGAGAGAAGGGTGATGGATTCCTTGAAGATAGCGCGAGCGCAATCGAAACACAAAATGTAAGAGGCGTGGATTTCGTCGTGGGAAGGGAGGGCCCCGCTCGCTGGTAAGTGGGCGGTGGCGCGAGTGGTTGGGGGGTGCAGGAGCGGCGGACGCAGTGGGTGCTCGAGGCCGCGCAGCAGTCGCATCAGAGTGAGAGGCCGCTTTATCGTACGGTGGAGCGCTGATTTTCGCGTGAGCGTTCGCCGACCCGCCCAAGACGCGCCGCGCCTGCAATGCGTCCAGTGAGAAGATGTAGAGCGATCTGGACGAGGGCGAATACCACGGTGGAGAAAACGCACCGGCAAGACAGCTGAACCGTACGCGGTGGTGGGAACGCACTGGCACATTCCCAGCGCTCGTCATGGAGACCTCCTCACGCTGGACCACTGGCAAACGCGAACCGCGAGCATGGAAGGGAGAGAAAAAATGCGTGGTCTAGTCCATTGCGGGTGCGAAAACAGATGTAGTGGTACATTTTGGGTTGATGCGTGCCGTGGTCCTATGCAAAATTGAAGAAATGCTGTCTATGGTTCAATACACACCGTTCACGCCCGCGCCCTCCGCCCAGTCTCCAAAGAGAAGAGAGATGCTCTCGCCGTTGTGCGTGCGCCGGATGCTCTCTGCAATCGTGGGGCTCACGTCGATCGTGACGAGCTTCGAGCAAGCTGCCTCGTGCGACACCTGGGGCACGGAGTTGGTCACCTGTGAAACACAGAGCATGAGATTGGGCCAGAACAACGCAAGACCAGGCTCCACACGCGCCGAGACTCGTGTAGAAAGATAACCCGGGAGAAAGGACGCACTACAAGTTGCTCGATCGGGAGCGCTTCAATCATCTTCATGTTGGTCTCCGACAGAAGTCCTGAAAGACGGTTACCATATGAGGCAACGGTTTCGCAAGGAGGAACAGAGAAACACACCGTGAGAGATGATGGCGTACACCTTCCTCGCTCCGTTATCCGCAAGGGAGCGGGCGGCGAGCGCGAGGGTATTGCCGGTATCGATCATGTCGTCGACGAGGATTGCCACCTTGTCCCGAACGTCTCCGACAAGGACTTCCATCCGATCCGGCCCACCAGGATTTTTCTTGCGCTCGCGATGGATAAGCGCGAACTCGACCCCGAGCTTGTCCGCGATGGCAGTCACCCTGCCCGTTGGATCAGCATTACGGCACGTTGACCTGGGAAACACAAGCCAGCCAAAAACCGCCTTCCTTGCGCTTCTGTTAGCCTGAAGGCTTTCGAACTTCATGCTGCGCGCGACGCCTCGACTGACGCTTCCGCACACTACGACACCGGCCCGCTCTGCGCGCTCTCCCACCAAGCAGATCTTGCGCTCGCCCGACGCCCGCACGCTGAGTCAGGATGACGCCACTCACCTCTTCGCTCCACCGGCGTCGGGGCTGACGATGATGCTGTCCTTCCAGCCCTCAATGTTGCGCTTGATGTACGAGATCATGAGCGGCTCCGAGTACAGGTTGTCGACCGGGAAGTCGAAGAAGCCCTGGATCTGGCTCGCGTGCAGGTCCATGGTGATCACGTGGTCGCAACCGGCGACGGCGAGCATGTTGGCGACCAGCTTCGCGGTGATTGGCGCGCGGCTCTTGTCCTTCTTGTCCATGCGGGCGTAGGGGAAGCAGGGGATGACCGCCGTGATCCTCCGCGCGGACGAGCCCTTGCAGGCGGAGATGAGGATGAGGAGCTCCATGAGGTTGTCGTTGACGTCGGTACAGCCGGTCTGGATGATGTACACGTCCTCGTCGCGCACCGACTCGGAGATCTTGACATTGATCTCCCCGTTGGAGAACTTCCTCACCGTGCAAGGGGTGATGGGGACATTGAGGCTTCGGGGTTGGATATGAACGACTGCGGGGGGAGCCATCGCAGCCGGACGGAAAGCAGAAGCTCACCGCTCGACCACGGCCTGCGCAAGTCCGGGGTGAGAGTTGCCTGTATGCACATGGCGGGCACAGGAGTGAGCAGATGAAAAATGCACGGGGAACGAGAGACGCACCGGCAAGGATCCTGACAGAGTTGCCGCGGAGCATGGTTTTCGAAGTAGTGCAAGAAGATTAGTTCATGTGCAAGGTAGAGTAGACGGTGGGGGTGGAGATGGGGGCAGAGAGAGAGAGAGGTTGGGCGCAAGGGGCGGTGGAGACTGTCCGCCTCTTGGCGCTCCGCATTACTCGCATATTCCGCGCTTCGGCGGCTCCCACATGAGCCCCAGGCGCTTCCGTTCATCCAGCCAATCGCGCAACAGCAACGGGCGTACGTACCTGGCTCTCGCCCGTCGCCTGCGTACAAAATAGAAGACCACGTAAACTCGAGTGCGAACGCACACGTCCGGTTCAACGCGGATGCAAGCGAATGTATTGGTTGACCTCCATACAGTCCCTCTACGTCCACGATATACGGATCGTGATGTTCTCTACAACATATTCGGAATCTGCATACCCAAGCAGATGTGGGATCACAGAACTGAAAATGGCCGACCAGTCAGCTATTAGCGACAGGCGAACGACCATACACGTGCGCATACCTTTTCAATCCCTTCACCCGTTCAATCTGCGCTGAATTATAGTTCGCCAGCCCCCGCCCAACCTCCTCCACCTCCCAGTCAGCCGAGTCGACCGTAGCGCCATCGAGGATTACGAGGCTGTCCTCCGGCAATGGCTTGAGCGTCGTTGATGGCGTCATCTCCTCGTCCATCGTTCCCCAGTGCTCCAGTGCCGATGCGATCGAGAGATGGACGAACTGAGCGATGCCGTCGCATAGATCTCGGGCGTGTTGGGTTCCGTCTCCACGAACGCCGGCTGAGCTTTCGTCTCCAGAGGGTTGTCTGTGTCCGAGCTCGCGTCGGAGGATGGCGCCACAGCGTCCTGCGGCTGACCCTTCCTGATCACGATCCTGACAGCTTGTCCCGATGCGAAGGCGCCGCAAACCAATAACGCCGCGGCAAGCAGTCGACCGCCCGACTCGCGCTTTGAGAGGATTTTGTGCGCCCCGCGTCGATGATAACGCTCCCGGCGGGTACAGGTGTCTCTCGTCCACGACTTGAGGTCCCTTAACGGTGCAGGGCAGGGATGAAGAGAGTGTGTGGTGGACGGGCAAGGGGAAGAGAATGAGACGAGCCGCAGGGGAAACGCGGGGTTGAGGGTGTCGGCGTGATGGATGTGGACTCGGATGAAGTGGGGGTAAGCGAAGGGGTGGTAGAGGGGGCTGAGGACTGGAACGGCCAGATTGTGGGGCTGAAACGGGGGTGTTTGCGCCGGACTTCAGCTGGACGTTGTACTCGATGATCTTGAATATGTTTGTGGGTCTTTGCTAGACGTGACGATAGTCGACACACCAGCAGCGGTGGCGATATCGGCCGCAATGAGCTTCGTCTCCATGCCGCCCGTCCCCAGGCTTGAACCAAGCGTGTTTATACTGACTATGTGCTGCGAATGAGATTTCGGCTAGCGATAAGTTGAACAGGCGTACCTTGAGATCGAATGGCATCTACTGACGAAACTATGTCTATCCGTCGCGCGTTAGGGTCCTTTCGAGGGTTTGAGGTATACAAGCCATCGACATCCGTCATGAGGAAGAGGTAGTCGGCGTGTATCATGGACGACGTAATGGCAGAAAGCGTGTCGTTATCACCAAATTTGATTTCCTGCACAAGAAGTTCAGTAAATAGGAGCGGTGGGTCCCATCCCAAGAAACACGAAGCCAGGACCCATGCATATGTGGACACCGCCCAAATCACAACAGGTAGATCAGGAAATTGTGCAGAGAAAATGGGATTGCGAGACTTGCGCATATAAAGATGGAAGTAAAGATGATACTCACACTGACGGATACTGTATCATTCTCGTTCACGATGGGGACCACACCCATAGACAGTAGCTCCTTGAACGTGTTGACCGCATTCAGGTATCTTGTTCGCTGCGTATCTCGTCGGCGAGGGAGACCACGACACTGGGGGAAACGTACGTCTGATATATCTCCTCGAGTGAGGAGGATTTGTGCGATAGGCTGCCCAACTTGACCGAACAAGTTGTCCCAGAGCGCAATCAGTCGTCCTTGTCCGATAGCAGCTAGTGCCTGGTGTTCCAGCCAAGACGACCTTCTCATGAGTTCCGCGACATATGGACAGACTCAAACATCGCACCTGCTTTTTAGACAAGCTTTTGGGCTTGTGCGCAACCTCCATTCGCTTTAGCCCGACGCCAATCGCGCCCGAGCTTACGAGGACCACCTTATGACCTGCTCCCGTAGTGCCACCACCGCCTCCACGATCCCCGAGAGGTCGAGAGCAATGGCTGATGCGTTGTTTCATGCACGATAGACGACGTGCCTGCCCGCAGAGTACGCGTGGCCCGTCAGCGGCAGCTCTTCTGGCTGTGGGGAGAAACGCACCGAGTTTAATGACGATCGTCTGCGAAGGTGGATGCCTGGGTCGCGCCATTGACGTGTGTCAAGGCTGATACTGCGCGGGATAGATGGTGGGCCGGGAAGGAGGGGGCGAGAGCGACGAGGGTGGGGATGATTGACTCATGGCGGGGGGCAAGCAGTCATGCACAGGCGCCTATGGTCTATAGACAGCGCAGAATATATACGTATGTTTCCGAATTCCACGGAAACAGCATATGTTCAAAGTCGCATTTGGACAGAGAGGATACTGAAATCGTGATTCAATGATATAGAGGATTACAATCGCAAATACAGCGTATGTGTCATCTAACATAGTAGTCAGTGGGAGCTTTCGCTGCTTCTTTTTCGCTCTTGAGGATCTGCTCAACATTCCGACCAAGACGCTGGCGTTCCTCCATGGTTGGCTTCGGTGCCGTGGAGGAGTATCCGAGCCCTGCCATAGTTTCAGTTTAAAAAGAAGCAGGAACAAATAACGCATTCACTCACTGAGACTAGGGTATTGCAATGGGACCTCCTCGCTCAGCACAGGAAGTGTAGAGAGATCGAGAGGGAAAGAAGGGCCCATCCATGCTAGACGGATCTCATGGTCTTTGCGCTAATGACTCTGCGAATAAGACTGCATAGAACGACCAGAAGAGCAGGAAGTTACTTACCTCCTCGCGGGTCAAGGGATGGACTAGGATGCTACAAGCGAAGTTTAGTTGCCACGAGGGATAATAGTGCGACAGACCTGAGATCACCCCTGTTCATGCATAGGTACGAGTACAACGATGCGAAGGACTCGGACGGACACCATATTCGTAGGAGCCTGGTATCGAAGTACGCAGGAGGAAGATGCGGAGATGTAAGCGTCAATAACATACCGACAGGATGAGGGCCCATCGGTTCCATGTTCACGCGGAAGAGTGGCACCGCGATGAATGCTCCGTCCCTCCGGAGTCGCAAGACCGCGTTTCTGAGTTCGAGGGCGGCGTGGTGCTCTTCGGCGTTCTTCTGGTGGAAATAGATATCTGAAAAAGCGTGAGGTCTTGAAGTACCACGTCTCAAGAACTGATAGCGCACGGAAGTGCCATTCCCTGTTAAGCAGAGACCAGCTAGTCAGGGCAAGAGGCCGCGATTTGAGAGCTACTGGAACCTACTTGATCTCGCTCTCCACAACCTCCTTGAGATCCGTGGCAGGAGCCATATTTGCTAAATGCCTTGAAATTTGTCAAGGAAGATTCAATCTAGGAAAAGAGATGGTGGTGGGAGATGAAGAGGAGAAGGCCTACCTCACGGCTTCCGCTTCACATGGTCGCAATGTGGCGAGAAGCTGAGCTTTAGGCGTGATTGCGCGTCTAGTGCTGGACTTCATCTTCCCTTCTGACCACCATGTCCTTCCACCATAATGCACCACAGTTATCGCATTGTACCGCTGCCTTCCTTGTACATCCGTATGTCTCGACCCTGAAATGAGAACCGCTGCGGTGATCCGACTCCGATGGTCGGCCGAATCTCTGCGTGGATGCTCGCCGGTCGTGCGTATTGTCGTGGCGGAGGGATGGAGGGATGCTATGCGCGCATAGGTGCGTTTTTCTCTCGTCGTGAAGTTCCTTCCTCTCAGGCTCGGCGATTTCAGCTTCTGTAACCCAGCTTCATCGGCACGGCGACCCTCCTGTGCGCATGAGATCGTATCGAGGACTTACCCGCTGAGGCACCCTTCGTCTGCGTGGAGAAGTGCAATCCTCCGTCAAGATGGTCTCCGGGGCTGCTCTCTTGTTGTCGCACTCCTCACACCGCCGTAAACCACTGTTTTCGCCTGTTTTAAGCTGGAATCAGGCACCCACCCGAGCAGTTTCCGGCCCACCAGGATTCCACAACATGGTGTCCACTCCACCGAGCTCAGTCCTCTCCATCACTCCCTCCGCCGTCGCCAACTTCCGTCGAAGCCTCTTCTCCGTGTACTTTCGATGGCGACAACGCAAAAGGTGTCCCCTCTGGAGACTCGGGGAACAACCATATGTAAACTATCATCGGCATGGTCACCATTACCATTCACTCAGTCCTCAGTTCAGGTTCAACTGAGATTCCCCTCAACTTCAGTGCCCTTGCGCCTTTGAGCTTCCTGCCTTCAGATCCTACTGCCCAGCCTCCCTATCGTTGGTTCTGGCGACGCTTCTCGATGGTACAACTACCATCTTTATCATCGTCCCGTCACGAGAAAAGTTGTCAGAACCTTTGTCACCTCCGACTTTCGTCGTTTCGATTACGACCACTGTGTTCCTTACCCCCCAATTCACCGTTGGTGTCCCAAGCGCACCTCCGTTGGGCCGAATCTCAACGCTTGGGCTGACCAACCCCGCTAGCCTCCCGCTATCCGACTCAGCTTCATCACTGCTTCCAGCCCACCTCCCCTCGTCACGACGCTACGATGTCAAGCTCTCTCGGGACACCCACATCTTCGCTCATAGCTGCACCTGCTTCAGATGTTCCTACCTCCATCGTCTCACCAGACTCGACCCTTCCACTGTCGTTGCCTGCGTCGGCGGCGATATGCGTCTCTTCGTCGGTGCCTTTGGCACCCGCACCTACATCGACGGTCATCTTCACCGTTACGATGCCCGGTTCCACGGTCACAGTTACAGACCCACCCCAACTGTTATGAACATCATCACTATCGTCTTACCCGAAATGCCCTCGTCGACCATCGACACCGACGTCCCTTTTCCACCCTCAACCGCCACTCCCGCTACACCAATAACGTGGCTGGCGTCACCCGAAATGACGGATCTCGCCTCGCTCGACATCAAGAACTTCGCCTTCGGCCAGCAGAACATGCACATCATCGTGAGCGACCCAATCTCCCCCTCCATTGCCCCTCCCGTGGACTCGAACGACGACGTCGCACAAGCCGAATTCGCAGTCGCGCTCGCCGTCGACGCCGGGCTCATCCCCGCCCCACCCGCGCCCAACGCCTCCGCGCTCCTCCAGCTCTTCTACCCCGCCGGCTCCATCAACCCGGGCACGCAGCCCCAGGGCGGCGCCGACTTCTACGCCTCGCCGCTCCCGGACGTGCGCGCCGCGCGGAACGTGACGCTCGCCTACAGCGTCTTCTTCCCCGCCGACTTCGACTGGGTCCGCGGCGGGAAGCTCCCCGGGCTCTACGGCGGGCACGACGGGTGCTCGGGCGGGGACGCCGCCGCCGACTGCTGGAGCACGCGCCTCATGTGGAGGGCCGACGGCGCGGGCGAGCTGTACCTGGTGAGTGGATATCCCGGCGTCTCGCGGTGCGGTTCGACGCCAAGCTTGGGCGGGCGCGGATTAGCGTTTTGTGGTTGCTGTGCACCGGTGGCGAGGAGGTGGATGTGCAGAGAGCGGTGCCCGCGCGGGCGCCGTGCCTGGGTTCTTCAAAATCGGCGCCTGCATGCTGCCCTCAGACTCAGTTCTCAGTCGCGCTCACACCCGTCGTCTGCAGTACGCGCCCAAGGATCGGCAGACGGCCGCGCTCTGCCACGCGCCGCCGCTGTCGCTCTGCGACTCGGACTTCGGGCTCTCGGTCGCGCGCGGGGCGTTCCGCTTCGCGCGCGGGAACTGGACGCGCGTGCGCCAGACGGTGGCGCTCAACACGCCCGGCGCGCAGGACGGTGGGTTCGCGCTCGACGTCGACGGCGTGCGCGTGCTCGAGCGCGCGGACGTGTACTACCGCGACGTTCCTGGGCCGAGGGAGGACGACGGCCGAGGAGAAGCAGACGAGGACGCGGACCCGTTCGCGTCGTTCGGCGACTGGACCGCGTTCGGCGCAGAGAGCGAGGCCGCCACCGCCGACGAAACCAACGACGGCGACGGCGACGGCGACGAAATGCTGTACACAGAGCGGGCTCCTCAGGGCCCGCACGCCGCGCCGTCCGCCCACGGTCAACCTCGTCCAGGTGCCCGACCAGGCGGGCCCCGGCTCGGACGCAGAAGCGTCCACGCAGGACGCGACGCAGCCGGAGCAGTGCGCGCCCCCAGCTGGTGCGGAGCTCGTGACGAGCACGGCGACGGTCGTCGCCGCGCCCGTGACGGTGACCGCGTTCCCGCCGGCGTTCACGGACTACGACGTCGTGATCACGGACGGGCCCGCGACGGCGCCGGTCGCGCTGTCCGCGGAGGCGGCGCCTGGAGAGCCTGTCGGGTTCGCGGGGCTGTTCTTCAGGTGTGTGCTGCGTCTCCTGCCATCCGTTTTCTTCTCTCGTTTGGGCGGAAGCTGATCGCCGTCGCGCTGCAGCACGTTCTTCGGAGGCCACGAGCAGGAGTACGCGACGCCGCGGGACCAGTTTACGTGGTTCAGGGACTTCGAGATGGTGATCAACGAGTGAAGCGGTTGTGCAATCGGATCCGTGGGTAGCTACGGGCTGCAGCGAGAATGCTATCGATACCGTGCGCGTGAAGGTCTCTTGCTCAAATCGTTGGTTTCCGTACGTTTCCCCGGTCAATCGCATGAGCTCTGTTGGGCGAGGCAGCGCTTATAATTGAAGATCAAAAGGTCCAGTAGTAATACAGAAGTGCAGATGCCCACTCAGCTCACAGGATGGCTGCTCTCGGTGTGTCGCGGGATCTGAAACATCCTTGTTCTGGTGATGTGTCGGAATTTCCATGGTGAAGGCGGAGGTGGCTGAAGGAAATAGCAACGTCTAGTACTATACTACTTAGCTAGTGAAGGAGCTCGGCGCGAGAACGCTATGTGTCACAGAGGTGTGACGCTCCGGTCGCTAGTCATCGCGACATGCCTTTTCAGGGCAAAATCTCAGAGCTCCCATGCAAACGACTGTAAGTACTAATCTTGACACATTATACATTGTCCGGAGGCCACACATCTGGTTCCTACATCAGGCATCATGACTTGTGATTGCTGTAATGGTCTGCCACCGACGAACAGCGCGCCGACTGCACTCGTGTCTGCGAGTGTAGCTGCAGGTGGGACATGTCATAGTATCATAAGGTGAAAGCTCGCGAGACGGTGCGTCGAGCGAACGTCCGTCAAACATTTGACAACAGACATGAGACGGTGATACGACCAGGGCCCGCTGATGAGCTCAATCATGCGCTGTCCGGAACTTTGCTCTAATCTATCCACCCGCCACCGGACGATGGACCTGGCCTGGCCGGAGCATCCGATCACAGCCAATGGCGCGCGAGTCGTGTGGGAGGCGCCAGTCGCGACGTCGCCGGGGCGATCGTGCACGGGAGTCCGAGCCGTATCACGCGCCCACCACTCCTGGGCCTGGAGGGGTGGATGTCCCAGCTCCCGCACTTACCGGGGTGGCGAGGACAGGGTTGGGTGAGTCCGTATGACCGAGGTCCGAGTGCGGTGTCCTGCGCGGTTGGTCAGGCTGTCCACAACCGACGCGAGCCGATGGCCAAGTGAGCGCTGTCGCAGCCACCGGAGATTTGCCATCACTTGCGAGGTTGAGCGGGCGGTTGGCGGAATGACATGTCGAGGGCCGGGTTGGAGCTGTGTGCAGAGGCGATCGGACTGGAAGCGGAGAGATTTTGCCTCCGCTGCCGCAGCCAGATCGGGAGGGAAATGGGCGGGAAAGGCGGATTGGGGCGAAATGGATCGAAACGAATTCGAAGCGGAGCAAGTAGTCTGTTATCCGCCTGGGCCCACAGTTGACTCCACCCACAACGACGTCCCTGCGCTCTGTCCGCCATGGCCTGCTGACGTGGGCCCGACTCGCCCTTTATCATCCCCCACCCTCCACGCGCGGCTTGCCGTCCGCCTGGCCCGCCCCAGGTCGTCTCACGCACTCCCCACCCGCATACACCCACCATGCTCGACAGCTGGAGCCACCACCTCTCGCCCTCGCCCTCCGTCGGCTCCTCCACCCGCTCCTCCCACCTTTCCGTCTTCTCCAACGCATCCTCCGCCCCCTCTCCCCCTCCCTCGCCCACCGGCCTCAAGACGTTCGCGTTTTTCGCGTCCCCCTTCTCCGACCATCCCTCTCTGCCCTCTCCGCCACCCAATCCCCATCGCAAGGCGAGCTCCGAGTCTGCAGACAACACCGAGGTGAGCTCCGACGACACTCCGAGGCTGCCGCACAACATCCCCCGCTCCCTCAACGCCGAGTTCTTTGGCCCGTCCCTCCTCCCCACTCCCCCTCCCTCCATCCGCTCCCTCTCGAGCACCCGCACCCGCGAAGTCAGCCAGCCCGCCAGCCCGTCTCTCTCGCGCGACAACTCCACCTCGCCCCCTCCCATCGCGTCCCCCTCCCACCCCTCGCCCGCTTCTTCCCGTCCCGCGCGAGATATGGGAGCGAATCGGACGCCCCACACGGCACGAACGTGCGCCAAGGCTTTGTCCACATCGACTCCCAGAACGCTCCCGCTTCCTCCCTCGACACCTCATATGCCCATCCCACCCCCCACGCTGGTGAGCAGACCGAGTCCCCGACGGACCTCCAGCTTTCCGCACCCGGTTTCGCCCGCGACGACCGTGGAACGCGCCGCTCGCCGCAGTCTCCCCGCCTGCAGCTCACACCCCAGCCCACCGCGCTCCCTGACGATCCCGCGTTCGCATCGCCCCGCGGGCCGCCCTCCCCACCGCCCTCCGAGTCCGAGCACCTGTCCGACGCCAAGCTTGAGCCCGGCCTGACCGTGGCGTCCTCCTCGCTCGCCCTCGAGCTCGTCAAGCCGCTCGGCGAAGGCTCCTTCTCGAGCGTATGGCTCGCGCGCGACGCCGCCGGCCAGCTTAACGCCCTCGAGCTCTCGCGCAAGTCGTCCCTCGCCCGCATCCGCTCCCTGCGCGGCCGCAAGAGCCGCACCATCGACGGCACGCGCCCCACACGCAAGACGGAGAAGACGGGCGACGGCGGGGCACGGTCGGTATTGTCACCGGACGGGGAGCTCCCTCCGAAACTCCGGGTCGCGCGGCAGCCCACCGGCGGTCGGCTCGTCGCGGTCAAGATGACGGAGCGGGCGAAATGTGACACGAGCTCGCGCTCGCGCGTGAGCTTCGTGCGGGAGGTCGAGGTGCTCCGGGTGAGTGTCTTGGCTTTGTTCCCGTCCTTCCCCTACTCCCCACTGCCCCAACGCTTCTGCTGTGACGGTGCATATCAGCTGAGTGCGGTATGGTGGTCACGTTCTGCTTGACGCCTGCACTTCCGCGCGATGTGACGCACGATGCAGTCAACGTTCGTCATATGTAGTTCCGAACATGACGTTTCCCAGAGCGCTCCTTGTCCCGGATCTTTGACTGATTCCTTCGTTCACAGCACATCGCGCATCCATCAATAGTCTCGTATCTTCACTCGTTCAGTACACCCTCGCACCACTGTCTCGTCCTCGAGTGTGTGGGTGGCGGGGAGCTACTGGACTTGGTCGACAACCCTGTTGTCCAGGCGCGATCACCGAGCCGCTCGTCAGGCGGATATGGGGAGAGCTGTGCAGAGCAGTGGCGTGGATGCACAGTGTGGGTCTCGTGCATCGCGACATCAAGTTGGAAGTGCGTATCTGCCGCGGAAATCTCACGACAACAGTTCGCTCACCATTATTCCAGACATCCTCTTGACGACAACCCGCTCGCCGACCCCCTGCCCTCCCAGTCCCTCATCAAGCTCACCGACTTCGGCCTCTCACGCTTCATCGACCCGGCGAACCCGCAGCTGACGACGCTCTGCGGCTCCGACTCGTACGCCGCCCCGAGCTCGTGATGGGCCGCGCCTACGACGGACGCCAGACGGACGCCTGGGCGTGCGGCGTCGTCCTCTACGCTCTCCCACGCGCCGCCTCCCGTTCGACTCCCCGTCGCGTCCGAGCGCACCGCGGACGGCCGCGAGGCGGACTGGGCCGTCCAACAGCGCCGCCGCGCGGACCGCAAGGCCCTCCTCAACCGCATCGCCCAGGGCGACTACCGCTGGCCCGAAGAGCCGCTGGCCGCGGCGGACCCCGCGCGCTTGCGCGGGACGGAGCTCGCACAGAGCGACGGCATCCGTCGGGCGGTGGGCCGCTTGCTCGTGCGCGACCCGCGCCGGCGCGCGCGTGTCGCCGACCTGTGGACGGACGCATGGATGCACGGGGAGGGGCGCCGCCTCCGCCCGTGTTGGAGGCCGCGGAAGGTGCGGAGGGCGCGGGTCTCCGCCGGAGCGCCGGTCGAGCGAGGACGAGCTGGTCCGATCATCGTCAACGGGGTGGACGGCCGCGAAGTGGTGTCGAGCTCGGCGTCGATCCGGAGGACGCGGATGTGGACATGGACGACGGCGAGGGTGTCCTCGTTGACGGGGAGGACATCGGGCCGGGGTCTGTTGCGCGGCAGGAGCACTAGCGCCAGCGCCGCAGGGCTCGCTCTTCGCGTCGTGGCCGTCGCGCGGCCGTCGAGAAGCGTCCGAGCCTCGTTCGTCTCGCGTTATCGCGGCCCCTTCCTCCGCACTCCCTCGTATCTTATCCGTCGTCCTCGCCTTCTCCGGTCTCTTCGTCCGCATGCACGCAGCTATCGTCCGTTCGCCCCGCCTTTCGCTCGCTGTTGTTGTCTGAGCCTATTCCCTGTAGAAAGCGTCCGCTACTTACATATCGTTATTTTCAATGTTGTCTCACTACACCCCACCCCCACCATCCAATCTGCACTCCACTTACGCATTCACCTCTGAGCTCCCCCGAATCGCAATCCCTCGCTGGCTACCCACATCCATCATCATCATCTCGTCAGTTCTCCTAGCTCTCGCACCGTGTCCCGCCCGCCGCCCGTGACCCCAACCGGAATGCCACCTAGACCCACCTCCCACCGTGTCCGCCGCCCTAATTCATCCGCGTTCGTCCGCGTTCCCGCGTGCCGCGCGCTCCCCTCCAGAATATCACCGGCCGCGGCGAGTTCCCCTCCCCCTGGTCCCTTCCCCTTGCGTCAATACCCCGCCGCCGCTTCCGCACCCTCCTTCCCACTTCGCTGTACATAGATAAGCCGCGCCGCCCCCGCGTCCGCTCTCCGCCCTCCGCCCTCCTTACTCCGTTATCGCTGCCTCTAACTGGTATCTCCTCCTTCTTTCCGCCGCCGCCGTCGCCCAATGCATATACGTTCCGTCTGACACTATAGTTTGCGCATCCCACCGTACGATACACAATCCACCCACGCATTCATTGCTTCGGGCTATACTCAAGGGGCTTGCTTATTGGCCGCACGCCTCGTCCGTCGGCGCGGTTCGTGCTGCGCGTTATGTGCACGGTACGACAACGATACGTCGCACACACACATATCTGTAACACGCTCGCCTTCGCGCGGTCTGCGCCAGCTGGCGGCTGGGTCACGGAAAGAATGAACGTGGTGTGGCATCGCACCGCTGCACCGACGGAGATCACCCCGGCGCTGCAGCACCCGGAGACTGGTGACCGCCGGAGATTGCCCACGCGCCGCGATCCGTGGACTTGCAGGCACTGGCCGCGCGAGGACGGGACGGCGGACCGGGAGGGAGGGAGAGGGGGCCCTCGTCGACCGTCGGTGCTACACATCATGCATGTCCCGCACGCCGCGCGTCGAAGGGTCGAAGGGTACCCGAAGGGGAGACGGAGACGGAGACGGCGCGGCGGTCGGGGACCACACGGACGCCGCAGACGAGTTGAGCGCTGAGGGCCTTGGGGCGCGACCGACGGAGACGTACGCACGTGTGCGGCGCTGTACGTACGGTGCACAGGTTGGGGGGACGGTCTGCGACTGCGAGGCGGGCCGGGGTGCGGGAGATCTATGTGCAGTACCACCTGGGGAGGCCGGGGCGAAAGTCTGGGGCGGACGAACGGGTCGTGCACGGCCAGACGGGAGCGTCGGGGGTCGGGACGGAATTCGGCGGAAAGGGCGGCGCGGTGCGGGTTGAATGCGGCCTGCGACTTGCGGGTCGGGGTTTGGCCGGCGCGCGGGAGATCAGCGTTCAGCGTTCGGACGGGCGGAGGGACGCTCGAGGAGAAGGCGGACAGGTGCCTGGGGATGCTGACGGGAGAATCGCACCTTCCAGCTGGGTGCGCCAAACGCAGCGGAAAGACAGTGTGGAGGGAAGACGACGCAAGCTGCTGCTTTGAGATTCGTCTTCACGCCAAAAGAGATAACATGCACGCTTGGAACGTCGGGCGCTTGTATGTGCGCCTTGCCACTCGGACTCGCGCCATGCACGGACCGTGCCAGCACGCGCAGTCGTTCTCCGGTTGTGCACGGGGCCCAAACCGATACATGACGGCGCGTGCGTTACCGTAAGACGGAAGGAGAAACAGATTAAAATGCCCGAGTGCGTGATCTTGACCGTTTAGGAGACCGTGGCCGTGATCCGTCCCTTGGAGTCTGAATATGTATGCGGTCGATCAACGGCCAGTCCAAGGATGATGAGGCAAGCCCGCCATGACCGCTCCGAACATCGACGTGGAGGACGCGTTGCGACCTAGGCCGAACGCTCCTTGGAGGAATGTGGGAGCCGATGCACACCAGGTGTAGTTTGAGCAAGCAATGGATCACAGAAGATCAAAACAACCGTTACAACACTGGTAGATGTACCGTCCGCATACATGTAGCCTCCGACCTGGCGAAACGTGTCAACACGTGAATTGATCGAAGATCAATTCAAACGGCGCACTCACCAACCCGCTCCCCCCCGCCACCTCACTGTTTCACCCTCCACCCGTCGTCCAACGCGTCCTCGACCAGGAAGTCGTACCAATACACCGCGATCGGCACCGTCGCGAGGTGCCACAGCGCGTGCGCGTCGACGGCCCGCGCCCACGGCGGGAAGTCGAACAGCTCGAGCGCGCTCGCCGCGGTCGTGAGCAGCGCGAAGACGCGGGCTTGTACGCGTGCCGCGGGCGGTACCCGCGCGCCTGGCCGGGGAACCGGCGGACGAGGGGCGCGGAGGCGGGGAGCGCGTAGCCGAGCCAGAGGAGGTTGTGGGTCATGCCGACGGCGAGGTTGAAGGCGATGTTGTACGCGTAGTCGAAGCGGGGGAGGAGGGAGAGGTAGGAGATGTGCGCGAGGAAGGCGATCGTGCAGAGGAGCGTCCATAGCACGTGTGTCCCCGACCGCGGGCTGTGGGCGATGGTGGTGGTGGTGGGGTAGAGGTGGAAGAGGCGGATGACGGTGTAGTAGAGCGCGTAGAGGATGGCGAGCGCGGCGGAGAAGTAGTCGAGCTTCTCGGTCGTGGGCAGGTCTACAGACAGAGCGGAGGCTTGAGCACGAGAGAAGCGAGACCGAAAGCGAGAGGGAGGGGCGGACCTCGGGTGTGGAAGACGGAGGACCAGACCCACGCGTTCATGCTCGCGAGGGCAAAGACGAGGTAGAACTTCTTCATTGGGTGGCCGTCCGGTACCCTACGGAGGATCTTGCGCGCACCGTTGAAGTGGGCGACGAAGTTGAAGACAGAAAAGAGCACAGAGGCAGGCTCCTGCATGCCGGCGAGCCGCCAGAAGGGCCACTTGCCGTAGTACTGCTCGACGGGCGCGCCGTGCTTGATGGCGGCATCGGTGACCATGTGCATGCAGCGGTACTTGCAGTCATCGGTGCATGTCCAGCGGGTGAGGCGGAGGGCGAACGAGAGCGGGATGGGCGAGGATGCGGGGCAGAGTTGGCGTTCGCATGTCGAGACGCAGTCGCGGAAGCCCTGCGCGCGGTCGCCGGAGGATGCGAGGACAGCTGGAGAGCGTGTGAGACAGAGAAGAAGGAGAGAGAGGGCGGGGAGCCTCATCGGAAGGGAAAAGAGGAGAGCGTCGTCGGCGCCTGGGCTCGGACGCTCTGGGACACGCTTAGTCAGCGGGTGGCAGATTCACAACCGCGGCCTTCGACGTTCGTCATCTTCACCAAACACCTCCTCCCACCGAACACTCCATCTCCCACCGTACCGCATACAACAAGCTTGGGTGAGCTAATGACGCATGAAAAAGGCGCATGCGTGTTTTGTTGACTTGAACAGCATTTCCGCGATTCCAACATCCCCACTTTTACTGCTCGCATAACATCACACAGTGCACAACTCGTGCGTACACGATCATCCGTGGCTGTGGAGACTACACGCACTAACTTTCAAGTACAGAACGGCATGGTTCGCTCTTCTCAGGCGACAACTTACACATTCTCTGCTTCGCCTTATTTTGACGACAGAGGCCTCCTCGCGACAGCTGAACCCCTCACGGAACGTGTAAACGTATGTCGATGGTTCTTGCTTCTTTCTCTTTCTCTCTCCACTGACTCCCTGATGTACAGCCACATTCACGACCCATTGTTTCCTACTACTTCCCCAAGGGCATTGGCGCTCAGCATTATGGAGTGCGTCGCTCTCGTGAGACTCCCTCACCAAGATCGGCATTGATCCATCGTTGCAGGAGCACCATCCAATGAAGCCTCATAGGCTGACACTCACCAATGCTCTTGTCATGGGTTACGGTCTTGACAAGCAGATCCACCACATATACAACCCCCGACCTGCTACCCAGGCCGAGATAGAAGCCTATCATGACCACGACTACATAGATTTTCTCTCAAGGTGATTGCTACCCGGACCGTATTAGTCACACTCAGCTCACCATACACGTCCAGAGTCACACCACACAACCAAGCGCAGATGAAGCAAATGATCGACAGCTTCAACTGCGTCGAAGACTGTCCAATATTTGCCGACATGTATGACTTCTGCAAAATGTACGCCGGCGCATCGTTGGCCGCCGCGCGAAAACTATGTGCGGGAACGACAGACATCGCCATCAACTGGAGCGGGGGCTTGCACCACGCGAAGAAGGCAGAAGCCAGCGGCTTCTGCTACATCAACGACATTGTACTTGCAATACTGGAAATGCTTCGGTACGTCTCCTCCTTCAAACCTCTGTCGAGTGCTTGTGACCCACTGTGCACCAGCTACCACCCCCGCGTCCTCTACATCGACATCGACATCCACCACGGCGACGGCGTCGAGTTCGCCTTCTACCACACCAACCGCGTCATGACCGTCTCCTTCCACAAGTACACCGGCGACTTCTTCCCCGGCACCGGCAAGCTCGACGACAACGGGAGCGGGCCCGGGAAGCACTTCTGCATCAACGTCCCCCTCAAGGACGGCATCGACGACGACATGTACATCCACGTCTTCAAATCCGTCATCAACGACGCCGTCAACTGCTTCCGCCCCACCGCGATCGTCCTCCAGTGCGGCGCGGACTCGCTCGGGTGCGACCGCCTCGGCGCCTTCCAGCTCTCGATCGCCGCGCACGGCGAGTGCGTGAACCACATCCGGAAGTTCAACATCCCGCTCCTCATCCTCGGCGGCGGCGGGTACACGATCAAGAACGTCTCCCGCTGCTGGACGCACGAGACCGCGGTGCTCGTCGGCGCCGAGATCCCGGACGCGCTCCCGCGCACGATCTACGACCGCTTCTTCCGCGAGACGGAGTGGACGCTCCACCCGCAGCTCACCGGCCTCGTCGCGAACCAGAACACGGAGGGGAGCATCTCCCGCCTCGTCACCGCCGTCCGCGCCAAGCTCCGCTACCTCCAGGGCGCGCCCTCGTGCAGCTCCAGGAGATCCCCCCGGACCTCGCCGGCTGGCTCGCGGACGAGGAGCGCTCGCGCGAGGAGCGCGACGAGGAGGCGCGCCGCGGCGCCGGGGACGCGCGCGAGCCAGAGCGCGCCTCCGCGCGCACGCGCCACGACTTCTTCGACGGCGACCGGGACAACGACGCGCAGACGGAGGGCGAGGACCCGGCGCCGGCGCCGCAGTCGGCGTCGGCGGCCAGGCGCGGGGCGCGCAAGGCGCGGGGCGGGCGGAGGGGCCGCGGGCGGGGGCGAGGGCGCGCCTCAGCGGTGGCGGCGTCGGCGTCGCACGCAGACTCGGTCGCGGAGGACGAGGATGAGACGGAGGACGGGGTGGAGGAGGAGGAGAAGAAGCCGAAGGAGAAGAAGAAGCCGGGGCGAAAGCCGAGGGCGGCGCGGGGGCGGGGCCGGAAGCCGAGTGCGCGGGCGCAGAAGGAGAGGGACACGGAGACGTCGGCGGACGAGGCTGCGATGGACGTCGACCAGGAGGAGAAGGACTGAACTGGGGATCGCTGGGCGGCGCTTTGGACGTGCGTGGTCTCCCCGCTTTCGTTGGGTTCGTTTGACTGACTTCACGTTTAGGTTGTATCCTGTTCTCTGCTTTCAATTTAGAATTTTAATGGAAGAGCAAGGAGGTGCTGTGGACTGCTTCAATTCCATGATTGCGGTCTCTTGTCTCAACGTACTCAAGGCCGTACGAGCGCAGAGGAAGGCAACCAATATCTTTCTGTTCGGTACTCAGCACTCCACCACCGAAATAACTACTCGGAATTCATCCACCCGTTAAAGCCTCACATACTTATGCATTTTCTTTTGGCACAGGCTCCACCCAGTTCCATGCACGGAAAGCGTCGGAGAAACTCCCCAGCCGTGGTACCCGAACACTTGGGAGACCCGATTTCCGGTACTAAAAGCAAAAGTAGCCCCCCTCATCCGACCCCACGGACCGGCGACTCGCCTCAGCTATCGCGGCCACCAAACGGCCTCGTGTCGGATGAAGACCGGCAAAGCCTCGACAAGCGGTTGCGCTTTTCCTGGAAGGGCAACCTCCCGCGATACGGCCGACGCGAGCATCTGCGTCTCCGCCGCCCCCCAACAAAAGGATCGCGCATGCCGTTGCGTCGGCGGAAAACAGAAAGGACAAGACTGAGACCGTGGGGCAGCCTGCTTGAGCCTTGGACGCCAGCCTGGTTAGGTTAGGTCACGAGCATCGTGCGCGTGCGCCGGGCGACCATCATGTTGATGCAGCGCGGTGCCTCGCGCCGTCCTCGGCTCCAGCCTCGGACTCCCTGATCCGCAAGCGTACCGTACGGTCTTCCGGGGTACCAGCCCACCAGCCTCGCCTTGTCTGCGCGCCTGTGCGCACAGCCGGCGCGAGCACCAGGGCGTCCTTTCCCTGGACGGGCATCCGGCTCGACCGAAACACGCCCGAACGACGACGCTAGCTTTTTGAAGCCCGACACCCGACGCGCGCGCGCGTTCACGGCGACCAACGCCCTGGAGGCTGGGCGGGCGTCGCGTGGCTCTACCTTGGCGCGAACCTTTCCGCAAGCTCGCCGTCGGCTGATCGTGCAACCAGATGCTGCATTTAAGTACGACCTCCTTCAAACGGCAACTTGTCTGGGGAGACTGTAGAAGACCGGTTGCCGGCGAGTGCATGCATCACCGGCGTGCACGATGAAGCTTGCTCCCATCGATCACGGTCTCGAACGCAGGAAATCGTTGGTCTTTCGGAATCGTTCGGGCTCGGAGGATTCTAGTTTCATTGAACGCAGGGTCCTCAGCACCAGGCACTGGAGTGTCTCAGGGCTAGGGAAAACATGGGTAAGTAGCATGGCTTCCGTATGGGTTTGGTATGGGTGGTGTTCAGTGCTTACAGTGGTGCTTGCAGAGGACTCGTGGAAGGGCATTTGACCGGCCCAGCCATCGGTGACGTTCCTACGTCTCCGTTGACGTCAATACCAGCGCATCACCCCATATCCGCGGCTTTCAAAGCAACGGCGAGGTCCAAGCTTTGGGTCCCCGGGCGCACCGCGGTCGGCCATCGACCGCGCAGCCCCAGAGCAACGCAGCATCCCCATCAGGCCTCAGGTCTCGCGCTACTCTGGAACGGCGCCAGCGCCTGCGGTCGGGATCTCGGGCGACGGGAGCTTGGCGCTAGGCAAGGTTCGTCGCCCGAACTCGCGCAAAACGCACGGTGGGCCGTGGCGGAGGCGCTAAGCCAGAAGCCCCGGTTATCGCGCTAGGCTGAGCAGCCGACCTCTGGTCGCGCGGTGCTGCCGCACATGTCGCCGGAAACTTCCCAGGAGTGGCGAACCATGCCACATGTGCCGGAAGATGGCGGCGGAGTGCTGAGTTTGAACCACCCACGCGCGCCTCCGACTCTGAACTCAGCACTCAGCACTCCGCTGGATCCGTCGACCGGCCATTGTCCCTGCCGCCGCTCGTATATCGCGCTGGAACCATCGAGATTCGAAACCGCGACAGCCTCACCTGCCGTGACCGCTTGGCCCAGAGCGAATGTCACCGCCGCCGGGTGTGCAGGCTCGTTGCGTTCGCTAGCCTCTGGGGGCCTCTGGGGGCCCACGCCCCGCACCATCGAGAAATCGCTCTCCCTTGTCGGTCCTACTAATTTCCGCCGATCGCTCCATGTCGCCCGGCCGCCGGCCCCCACTCTATCCGGCGTTCGGCCCACGCTGGGTCCCCGCCGGCTTCCGGCGACCAAGCCGCACGAGCGCGAGCCTCCTGCTCGCTACTCAGGCACGCGTCCGACGCTCTTTCTCGAATCTCGTGGGTCTTCCAGCGCGGGTCAGAAGTCCCCATGGATACGCGTGGCCGCGCCGCCGCGACCCTCCCGCGAGGCTGCCCCCATCGTCGCGCGTGTCCGACGAGCCGTTCGCTCGCCGCTCTCGGGTCTCTCCGCTGTGCAGTGTGCGAGGCACGGCTCCCCGGGGGTGGTGAGCACTGGGCAAGCGGGGCGGCGTCGGGCGGGCTCGGTCGCGGGTCACGCGTTGCGCCCCGTTGCGCTTGAGCTTGAGCCCTGGGGGCCAATCCCAGTTTGTCTGGTCTGAAATCTGCAGGGAGGCTGCGCACTCCTTCACTTCTTGGAACCGTGCGCTCCAAGGCTCCAAGCTGAACCCTCCCGGGAACGGTCTCGCGCGATCGAGGCGTCCCAGCTGCTAGCGGCTCTCCACCATCCAAGTAGCTTCGATCGCCCGGTCGATTTTCCAGCCATTGGCCCTCTCGCTACCCTCGCCCTGCCCTCGGCACCACCCCCGGACCCTGCGCGCGGGCTGAACTCGCGCACCCTCGTTCTCCCAACCGTACCTGGTCGCACGCTCAACCAATAATGGCCCGCCAGAGCACCGACCGACCGAGCTGGCCACCCGCACTCCGAGCGCGACCGGACGATGCGGTAAGCCGCGTGCCGCACGCACATCGTGAATCGTGATGGTCGACCCCGTGCGCGCGGGCGTGCGCGGCAGGCGACGCAAGCGGACAAGCTCGCGACCGGCGGATCGTCGGGCCCTCTCTTCCCTACTCTATCTCCTCGGTGCGCGCTCCTCCTCGTGGCCCGCCACGCGGTCGGCGTCGGGGTGTGCCTCGGGGGCTCGGTCTCGGTCTCGCCCTCCGACGTTCTGCAGGCGGTGGGCACCCTCAGCCTGGCGGGGGAGGCTGTGGTCGAAGAGCATCACATCGCGAGGCAACGCGAGCCTGTTTCTCGGTCTTGGTCGAGGCTCCGCCTCAGAAATCTGGAACGCTCTTGGGAGCACGAACGAACACCGTCGCGCATCACGGGCAGAAACCCGTGGACGGCTAGGGAGTGGCAACACCAAATCTTCGAGCTCGCCGGTGAGACTGGCACCGGGAGCAGCTGGTCCCCCGCAAGAACCCGGTGGGACGGCGCCAGCTGCTCGTTCAAGCGGTCCATCTGGACTCTGCCAGAGCGCCGCACGTTCGCGCTCCGCGGCGCGGTCAGCTCGGCGTCGACCCGTCGACGACGATCGATGGTCAACCGGTCACCGGTCATCAGCGCGCGAGCACCGCGCGACATTCGTGCAACACTACAATCGCCACACGCCCGACGTTTAGCCTGGTGTGTGCGCGTTCGAGTCGGCAATGTAGCCAAGTGTAGCCATTGGCAACCGATGGGTGCGCAGATTGCGTCCAACGTTCAACTCCACTCTCCAAGTCTCCAATTCTCCGAGGCGCGAACTCAGCCCGGTCTCTCAAAGTTCAACACTCCAGCGTGATCGACGACCCATCGAAACCCCGCTCTCGCTCGCTCCACGAGGCCTTTCTGCCGCACCCATCGATCGAGCGGATGCGCGCGGGAAGCCGACGCCGAGGGCGAGGGGGCGGGGGCGTCGACCGCCGTCATCACGTCTGACCTCGCGCCTCGCGCCCCGCCGGGCTTTGAACGTTGGACGCCGGGCGGGGGCGCGCGACGGAGCGGGGCGGGGCGGGGCGCATACGGATCGAGCAGTGCGTCGACCGCCCCGCCGTTTTCGATCAGGGGCGCCGCGAGTCGGCGGGCGTGCGTGGAGGCTCTCGGGCGGGCGTGGGCGGCGCTGAGCTTCAACTCTGCCCACCGCGAGCCCGTCACGCTCTCCAGACCCGGGTCCCGGTCCCGGGGCGGTGGGCGAGTCGGACCGGGCTGAAACGGGACGACTCCCCTCACGCGCACGTCACGGTATGGATGATCGACGGCGCGAGGAGGTGCGGTACGTGCGGCGGTTGAAGTTATAGGTCCCGAATCCCGATGACCCGACTGTCGCAAGGACGGGGCGGTGGGTAGTGAGACGGTTGGATGTCTGTTCCGTGGCGACCTTGAGTCATCCGAGGGCGCAGCTAGCTGCCCTTTCGCGACATAAGCGGCGGTGGGTTCGGAGCATTCAGGCGGCTAAGAGTGTAAGTATAGTGGCGTCCAAGTACGTGCGCGCAGCTCGAATTGCACTGGCCAGCCGTATAGTAATCATACGCGAACGCGAGCCGTTCGCGCTCCCCGTGGTCAGCTCCCTTAGTCCTGGCGACGCCGACTGCACCGTACCCGGACGCTCTCTCGCGCCCGGACCCACTCGCACGCCACTCCCCTGCAGACCTACGTACGGGTACACACGGTAGCCACGAGAAGGAACGGCGGCGCGCGGTGCGCACGCCTGCCGCACTTGGCCCGGCGTTCAACCCAGCGCGGGGGCCAGCGCGCGCGGGTCCGAGCCCGAGGCCTCGCGCTCGGGAAAAGCGCACAACGCCGACGACCGACGACGGCGACGGGCCCAGGTCGATCGTGCCATGTATACGGCGTTCGAACCCGGCTCCGCCGCGCGCGCGTTCCCGAACACCAGGAGCAGCGCATGCGTCGGGGCGACGAGAGGGGCCGCCGGTTCCCGGTCCTGCTTGATCAGACCTCAGGGATCGGCGTCGGGCCAACGCCGTCGCGGGGTTGGTAGTGGGCGACGCATAGGGGAGCCCATCGAGGTGGCTCTCGCCCCGCGGGGGCAGGAGCGGTGGGGCCCGGGGGTCGCTGGGCTTCAAATCCGCGACTGCCACGATCGCCAGACAGGAGCTGGAGGGCCCGCGGAGTCCGACGTTGCAACCTTGTTCGCGTGCGCTTGGCTGCGGGCTCCGTACAAGGCCCGCGAGGGCGATCGATTGAACGTGCGTGGGGTAACGGACGGAGCGGAACGGTGCGAGGGGGGGATGGCGTTCGCATTCGCATTGCAAGAAAGGTGGACTGCGCGAGAGTCGAGACTGCTGGTGCAAGCTGTAACTTCTGTCGGCAGCCAAGACCAAAATCCAAGTCAGCACGAGTACGACGTCGGAAGAGACGACCGACGCCGCTCACCATATAGGGTGTCGCAGTCCGCAGTTGGATGAGTGGGATGTGACGTGTAGGTGATCGGGAGATGCTGCAAAACGAGTACAATGGAACTCCTGAGCGATCCTCATGCAAGTGTCGTGTCAATAATGTCGTGGTGCACGTTCGTAGCGTTTCAGAGAGCGGTGATACAACAACCGTACGGACGTGAGAGACGTGAGGGTGAGACGGGGGGACAGTCAAGAACCGCGGGGAGAGCGCGTAGTATACAACAGTAGACAAGAGCAACGTGATACACGTACAAAAAGTTAAAACGACAAATAAAAGGCAGAGTCAACGGTGCCAGACGTATGAATCACCAGGGTGCAGGGTGGGACAGACTAACCAACCAAAGCGGCCTAGAAACTCAGGCCCTCCCTGAACTTCGTCCCGTTGTCGAACTTGCGCATCGAGCGAACGCTGACCGAGCCCGCGGACTGCACGGAGAAGTGGCGGTCGTCGCGGGGCCTGAACTCCTCCTCGTGGTGCCCCTCCACGGGCGAGTCCGCGAGCTCGGGCGGCGAGCCCGCCGTGGGGTCGCGCGAGTGCGCCGGGGACTCTCCAAACGGATACGAGTCCCGGCCGCCGCCGCGCTCGCCCCAGAGCTGGCTACGCCTGCTGTCCATCGAGTCCGCGCGGTCCGACACCGGCCGGCTGCCCGTACGCTCGTGCCCCACGGACGACGGCGGCGCAGAGGGCGAGCGATCGTCCGCGGGCGCGTGGAGCTCGACTTCGACCGAGTCGGTGCTGTCGGCGTGCTGCATCGGCGCGCCGCTCACGACGCTCGCGGAATAGCGGGAGCCCTCGCCGCGCAGCCGCGTGTCCGTGGTCGCGTTCGAGCCCGCGCGCAAGTGGTGGGCGCCGTGGAACGTCGGGTCCCACTCGTCGCCGTCGTCGCCCGAGGCCTTGATCCAGCCTGGGCCGCCGCCCCCGCGGCGGCCAAAGAGGCGGGCGACGCGCTCGCGCATGCCCAGGGGCCCGACGGGGGCCTCGGCGGTGAAGACGTCGCGGGCGCGGGCGCGGACCTTGCGCGCGTGGCGCTCGTACGGCGTCGGCTCGTGGTGGCGGAGGAGGAGGAAGATGCCGAGGGTGGCGAGGACGAAGACGGCGGCGAGGACGGCGATGACGGCGAGGAAGGCGCCGTACGAGCCGTTGATCTCGGGGCGGCTGTCCGTGGACAGGTTGGCGCGCTGGGCGGGGGGCGCGCGGGGTGAGGCGCACGGGCGCATACAGGGAGTGGGGGTACGTACGAGGGTGGGTGTGCTGAGGTCGTTGTTCGGCGAGCTCGCTGTGTCGGACGACGGCCCCATCGGTGTGGGGGGCGCTCCTTCGCCGCTAGCCCTGGGTATCCTCCAGATCATGTTGGTGGGTGTCGAGAGAGCCGGTGAGAAAGGTCGTGAGATCGTGTGCAGCGACGGGGAAGGGGTCGTGGGCGTCGAGCAGAGAGCGAGGACGTCAGCGCCCCGCACGGCCACTCTGGTGGAGCTCCCCGGAGCGGCACGGCGCAGCACGGCGCCGAGCATTAATGCATTTAATCGATCTGCGCGGCTGATAAGATAAACCGCCCCGGGCCGGGCCGGAGGGAACCGCAACAGCGAGCAGCAAGCACGACGCGCACCGCCCACGCGCACCCTCCACCCATCCATCCAGAGTCCATGTGCACGAAGCCCGCCCCCCCACCGCCGCGCGCAGGAAGCCCGCGCCCGTGACGCTGGCGGTGTTGGTCCCGGAGGTGGCCTGCCCAACGCGGCAGGTGCGTGCCGCCGCCGTGCGCCGCGCGCCCGTGCTAACCATCTTACGTGTCGCCCCCAGCGCGCGTTACGTGACGTTCGCGCCCGAGTCCCGCGACGAACGTTAACTCCGGAGAGCCTCGGCGCACGGCGGCTCAGCCGTTCTCGCGCGCCCCGGCCCGGGCGGCCTATTGTCAATGTCGGCGAGGCGGCTGCGGGCAGCGAGCAGCGGCTAGCGGGCAGTGGCACGGGCCCGGACGGTCTTCGACGATCGTGATCAACGTTCAAGCAATGAGCAAGCAATAGGCACGCGCGGCACACGGCGACGACAAAAAGGAAGAGGAAGGCGACGGGACCGGGATCAGATTGCCACAGAAGGGTATCGGCGGCACGCGCGGCGGCCGCGCGGCCAAAAGGTACGGTACAGCAGTACAGCGGAGCTCGAACGTACGGCACTGGGGTTTCGTTTTCGGAGCAGAAGCTGAGGGGGGGGGAGCGGGGGGAAAGCAGTCTCGAAACGGGGCGGGGCCGGGATATGAACGGGGGGATATGGATACAGAGGCGAAGGGGCCGGGGGTGGGGTGAGTCCGCACAAACATATACTATGCTACAGTGTGTACATGGGCGCCGCGGGGCGGAGCGCGCGGGGCCGGTCACGGTCGTCAACGGGCGTGAGTCGCGTACGGGGCGTGCGGGTCGTGAAAACGTGCCGCGCCCGCCGGGCGGCGAGACAGGAACGAACGTCGTCGCTGCCGTCTATGCGCGGGGCGGAGGGTCGAGAGACGAATACGAGAGACGAAAAGAAAGAGGAGCGAGGGGAGACATCCAGACATGGAAGGGGAAAACGAGAGGGAGACGAAAGGAAGACGAAAGGGGAATGGAATGGGTATAGGGCGCGCGGAGCTTACTGCTGGTCGACAGCGATGGGCGAGCACCCACCGCGGTACAGCCCGTCGTACATCGGGGACATCTGGTACGCCCGCGCGAGCGGGCTGCCGCCGTACGCGTCCTGCGCCACGCCGTCGATCCCGCGTGCCGCAGCCCGACGCTGTACGCCTCGAGGTCCGCGCCGAGGTCGTACGGCGCCATCATCGGCAGCGGGAGCGTGCCCGGCGAGTGCGCGTCCGCGCAGTACATGCCCGTGTCGAGCGACGGCGACGGCGGCGGCGGGAGGTGGTGGTGCGGGTGCTGCGCGTTTTGGGGGAAGAGCGACTGGCGCGGGGTGCGGTCGTGGTCCGCGGCGACGGGCGAGCCGTACGAGAAGTGCGTCGGGAGCGGGAGCCCGAGCATGCCTGTGCCCATGCCCATGCCCATCGGCGGGGACATGCACGACGCGGGGGGCATGGACTGGTACCACTCGCCGCCGTGGAGGTCGTCCATCTGCTGCATCGAGATCGTCTCGACGTTGATCTGGGGCGGCGCGGAGGGGTAGGAGAGCATGGCGGGGGGCACGGCGGCGTCGGGGCGGGAGGCAGCCGTCGTCGCGGGACCAGGTGGTGCCGAGCGAGGAAGTGACGACGGTGAGGGGGGAGGGGATCATGGACGTGGTAGCGGCGCGGCGGCGGCGCTCGATGATGTGCCCAGAGAAGTACGACGAGCACAGCGACTCCTGCGATGAACTGCCGTAGTCGGACATCATGACGTCCGGCGACTGGTACTGCGCCCAAGGTAAGCATGCGCGTCCTCCACAGCCGAGTGCGAGCGCGACTCACCGAAGACTCGAACTCGTTGCATGGGGACATCTGATCGGAGCTCCCCTCGCCCCAGTACGGCGACGGCAACGAGTCGACGGAGAACACGCTTTGGCTGTCCGACGAGTCCCCGGAGCACTCGTCGAACGAGACGTAGTCGAAGGGGGACGTGAACGCGGGCACGTCCGTGTACGGCAGCGACCGCTTCGGCACCTCCACGTACGGCGCGCGAGGCTCACCTGCGCCCTCGACGTATCCCCCGCCCACCCCAGGCACGCTCGCCCCCATCCCGGCCTCCGCGCCGTACCCGTACAGCCCCCCGTCCGCGAGCGGCAGCGGGAGGGCAGCGGGATCGGCACGGGGCACGCGAGGTGCGCGTGCGAGCGCGGGACCGAGCGCGCGCGCGCGCGCTCCCCGGCGTCGTCGTCCGCGCGCAGGCCGAGGGCGACGTACGGGTGCGCGCCCGCGTCGGAGGGCGTGCTCGGCGCGGGCGACGCGGACATGGACGACGCCCCCGCGCTGCCCGGGGTGGCGCACCCGAGCTCGACCTCCGCGTACGACGGCGGGCGCGAGTACGGCGGCGGCGGTGGGGCGCGGGCGCGGCGGGCGCGGGCGCGGGCGAGCTGCGCGGCCTCGCGGCGGCCGACGGCGCGGGCGAGCTCCTCGACGCGCTCGCGGCGGCTGGCGGCGGGGGGCTGGTGCGCGTGGCGGCGGGCGGTCGTGCTCCGGGTCTTCTTGTTGGGGCGGAAGGCGTAGCCGGGGTTGCGGCGCATGTGCTCCTCGAGCTCGCGCTTCGCGAGCGTGAACCACGGCGCCTTCTGCTCCTTCGTGAACAGGTTCCACTCGTCGCTCGCCCGCTTCGAGAGCGTCGGCTTCGGGGCGACGACGGGCGCGGGCCTCCCGCGGCGGCGGCCGGCGGCGGCAGCGGCAGCGGCCGCTTCTTCCTCTGCGTCCTCGCCCTTGTGCACCTTCACGTACCAGCATCGGAAGAGGATGAATGAGTTGGGTGGACGTGGGCCCAGCTGGGGTCTTGGAGCAGCTTGAGACGGTACCGCCGGAGGGACGTTGGGTTGGTGTACTTGGAGATCACGCTCCAGTCGAACGTCTCCGAGGTCGGGTTGCGTTCCGAGGTGGAGGAGAGACGCGAGTCGGGAGAGGTGCAGCGCGTGGGGGAGCTGGGGGCGTGAGGGGGCGAGGGGGCGGGGCGGGGATACACAAGGCGGGGCGAGGGGAGGGGTGAGGGGGCGAGGAGAGGTAGGAGGCGTTGCGGTCGTCATCGGGGGCGGACCACCCGCGTACGGAGCCGAGGGGGGCGAGCATGGGGGGCGGCGGCGGGAGGGTCGGTGGAGGAGCGTCGCGGGAGCATAACTAGGCGGGCGCGATCTTTAATATGCACGCGCGGGCGGGGTGGGCGGGCTGAGTTCTGGACGAGGACGGGCGAGGGTCCGACTGCCATCGACGGCAATCCTCCTCTGCGCACTCCGCGGGCCCGGCGCCTGTCCGTCACGCCCGGCGTCCAGATCGGCGCATCGGGCTCGCAGATCGCGGCCCAACAAAAAGACCTGATCCGATCGAGATCAGCCCCTCGCCTCCCCGCGGGCCTCGAGGCTACCAAACTCCGACTCAGCTTCACTCTCAGCCCCCGCAGGCCGCCCGCCGCCCGATTGGTGCAGCTCTGCCCCCTGCCGCCTGCGAGACCAACGCATCAGACCGCCAGTGACACTGCGCGCGCGGTGCGCCGGCTACGCTGGCCTCGCTCGATAATGAACGCGTCCCTGCTAGCCGCGGGCCGACGCGCCATCAGCCCCCAGGATCAAGACAGAACGGCGGAGGGCGCGCTCACCACGACGGAGAACAGGCCTGTCTCCGGCTGCCTTTTCGGGCAGGGTCCCTACTGAACTTCATCCTCCGCCCGCCTGCCCCAGCGCTTTCCCCCTCGCCAGCCGGCCATCAGCAACAAAAATCACGGAAAAAATCACAAAGATATTCGCACCCTCCCCGCTTCCCTGTTGTCGCGTACCGTTGATGATCGATGTTCTTTTCCTGCGCCGATGCGCTCTCCGCGCCCGTGCCCCCCCCCACGGTCCGGTTCGCTCGCGCGTCGCCTGCTGCGTGCCGGGCAGCACGGCGGGGTAACCGACCCCCACGCGCCCAGGCCCACTCCCGCTTACGAGCGGGGGTCCTGATGCCTCCCGCGGCGCGCTGCTCGCCGGGGTCCCCGCCCGACCCTCCCGCCCCCTCGCCAGCGGCCAGACCGCCGACGATTTCCCGCCGTCGTGCTCACGCGCCAACGAGGCGCTGCTCAGTCCTGACCGGCCGGTTGGGGGGGAAGGGGGGGAGGGGGCGGACTACCCGGCGCTCCTCGGGCTCGCACCCCCCGCCCACGTCCGCCCGAGCCATTGCACCTGCGCGGATGAACCGCGCGCGCGCGATCGCCAGTCGAGAACGGTGGCACAATAGCCTGATGCGGCCCCCTACGGTAGCCCCAGGGCCCCAGCGACCGCCCGTTCGGTCGTCCTCCCTGCCCTCGGCGCGTGGGCAGATATTATCCCAGCGCGAGCACCCCGAACCAGGCCCGCCACTCCCGGTGCCGCTCGTGGTGTCCCTGTGCCGAGAGGGAGAGGGAGAGGGAGGGGCGCAGGGGCGCGTCGGACGTCCGCGGCGCGCGCGTGCGTATCGTAAGCTCCGAAGTCTTCGAAGACTTCGAGGACGACGCTCCTATCCCTGCGCCAGCACTCGGCGATCGGCGGCGCGTGGCACTCACGCGAGCCAGCCCGGTGGCGCTCGAGCCCGAGCCACGAGCCGCATCGCGCTCCCGCGAGCGCCGAGCCCGGCCAGGCCCCGCGTGCGCCCCCTGGAAAAATGGAGGGCTGGATGGGCGCGGGCGCGGGAGTGGACAGGGGCGGGGGGGTGTCGATGGGCGCGGGCGGAGGCGGGCGGGCAGCCCGGCGCACCTGCGCAGCCAAAAGACCGGGTCGACCGTCGGGCGACCAGGGCACGGGCACGGGCAGCGGCAGCGTCATCTGAGACATCGTCCGTCGAGATGCGCACCCGGCCGCGCCGACGCCCCCGCGGCGCGGTGCGTGCCGCGCCGTACGTGTCGGCCGATTCGAGGGTGCACGATAGCTGTCGCTCGCGCGTATGTCGCCGGGTGGGATGGGGTGGGGGGGCGTCGCCTGGCCAGATGGCGCTCCGCGCGCGGTCCATCATGCGCGAAAGGCT